TTCCATAGCTAGATAGCAATCTATATTCAGTATGCCTGACTTGCGCTCTAGTAATTCTATTGAATCAATAGATAGGCTATGGCAACTGATCTAATAACTTAGCACTTTTCTTCTGTAATTCTTATATTTCGATTTGAATTCACCTATACCGGTACAGGGAAAAACTATCAGCTCACGCTATATCATCCGCACATTTGCGGCTCTACACATACCGGTAATGGAAGGTGTCCAGATGATATTGATGATGATTATGATTATGATGATGAAGCCAAAGATATCGTAAAATTAGACACGCTAGACCAGACCAGCCCCATATTCTGGAGATTTCGTACATGTACCGGTATCTCATTGTACATCTACGTACTGTATCTCTATTGGAGTTGCAAATTGTATCATGACCGAAACACCTGAGGATTGATATCAACATCAATAGACCTAACTGCCTTAGGTACAATACTCGAGTATATAACAATAGATAACAATAGGCTGCGCAGAAATACTCTGCTACCCGTGGGGACCCGTTGAGCTTTCAAAACTACCCGCCCCGCAAATACTCTGCAAATTTATTAATTTTTATAATATTAATGTAATTAATATAAAGATTAATATAAAAACTAATATATTTTTATAACTATACTAATATTATACTAATATTATAAAATTTATATCTGCGGAGTATTTGCGGAGTATTTGCAGCGGATACCCAACGGGTCCCCATTCAGATTTTTCTATTATCCGCCCCGCAAACGGAGGACCCGCGGGGGACCCGCCAGGCCAATAATCCGCCCCGCGGGTACCCGTTGCGCAGCCTAGATAACAACCAGCCGCGGTACAGATACAGGTACATATAAAGCACCACGTGAAAGATTGTGAGGTACCCACTAGGGTCTTTCGTCTGGAAGAAAGTACTCGAGTATATTGGTTATACATGTCAGCTGGTCTTGGATTTCACTCACCTAACCTCACTTATTGATTTCTAGTGTGGTCAGAGGTCAGTGATCAGTGGTTAGTGGTCAGTTGCGTTTTATCACAGATAATCTTTTGATTCTTGAACAATTTCGAGTGCACAACTGCTTCGAGTACAGTACATAAGAATAGGAATAATCCCAAGCTGGTGAAAATTGAAGCTGCATTTACTCCAGCGACTAATTCACTAATTCACACATTAGCGTACCCGAGACCTTAGAAATCACTCTAGACATTTTCGGAGAAAGTAGTTGACTCGGATGGCTAGATAATTCGGATTCTGTGGTTGTTGATAGAATTGGATGTTTTTAGAGGACCAAGGATGGTTTGTTGAAAACTTTTCGATTGTTGAATATTTCTTATATTTACTGAGTAATTATGTTTATGTTTTTGCTTTTGTCACGTAATGTTACTCGTGTATTGTTTATGTCACGGTCCCAGGGGTAGGCGCTAAGGGCTGTGTTATGTAAGCGAGTTCAAGATGCACAACCTTTGATTTCATATTAGAATCTTCTCTCTTTTTATTTATTGGTTTATTCTTTTGGATAACAGTAATTAAGCTTCTATATGATATAATTTCTGAATTTGTTATGACTTACTTTTCTGTTCTATTCTTTAGAAACTAGAATAATAGTCTCAAAACAAAGTATAGAAACAGATGTACAATAAATTTCTCTCGGAATCTAAATGTTCACTCCCCGGCACATTAGTATATATATCGAGGCTACAGAATTCAAATATATACATGAGGCACAATCTAAATTAGCACAAAATTAGACCAAATCCACCAAAATAACTGAATTAAATATCCGATTTCAGGCATGCTTGCCTATATGATGATTTACGGAATAGTTCAATATATATAGCACCCTACCTAACCTAATAAGATTCCAGTCAAGTCAACTCTTTGTCAGATATGATGGGAAAGTTATGAGGTAGTCTGGACAGCTATTAGCTATAGTGGGCATGAACACTTTCTTCAATTGTGCTGAAGTTTTTCGAGGTGAGCAAGTGGATATGGTTGCTGGGATTGGTATAGCCTAGGGATTTGGGAGTGTTTTATTGGAAAACAGGATGATAAAGTGAATTTATCTCACGGGAAGCAGGAATGGTAGGGATGCCCAATGTAGATTTTGCGAGGGTATCAAATAAACGGGATTTTTAAAAGAGAAGAAGTCTTTTGTAGATGTACACTAATTAAATAGAGTTTGGAGGGGGTTAGGAGGTGGAGTACAATTGTCGGAATGGTCGGAGTGAGATGGAATAGGATAATAGCATTTAGTGTTTTTATAAGGGATATATATCTAGACGGTTGAGGAAAGATGAAATGAAAAAACAATTTTTATATTAATTTTGTAGTGAAATTCTACCGCTGTTAGATACTCAGTTAGAAATACTCGAACCTTTTTGATTTTAGTCTTCAGAGCTGTAAGGAAATTGGTCATGTCTTATGTTCACTTATTAACGCTTAGAAATATAAAAACTCGACGCAATTTGCTACTAGTATTCACTACTAGTGAAGATTTTGTGGAGGATATCTATTCCCCAATCAGTCTCTCGCTAATTGCACAAACCTGCTACTGGATCTTTGATAGGATTAATTTATACAGCGAAATGGATATACTATATTCGAGAAGAGGTCATTAATGTTGAGATTGCTCAAAGTTATGTCTCTCTATATATCGAAGGCTGTTGCATATTCAGTACCTCTATTACTGAGCATGGTATTCCACAATATCATCGACTGGAAACTGGATATTATCTATTATATCGTTGAACGATACTCGTTTAGTTGGAAGGAATAGAATTTTAGTTCTTGAAATTTGCCGGCCTTGAATAATTGAATGAAGCCATGCTAAGAATACGCTAATATACACGACTACAGGCTAATTTGTTCGGCGTTTCCAACATGAGAAATGGTCCTCCAAACCATAGCACTCCACATTTTCTATCCTGACTTATCTCTCATATCTATTCCCAAGACTTTTGAGACTAACGACGGCTTATATACTAATATCTTTTGTAGTGACTCGCCACCACCAGGAGCCCATCAAGCGAGTTCAGCCGCCCCAACGCATACTTTTGCACATAAGGCTTCGCGCAACTGATTTCTAAAATAATTATAATATGTGCTTTGACTCCAAGGATTCATGCTGCAGTGTCGAGCATACTTAGCACACTAAGCAAGCATACATTTAACACTCTGATAGAAGATGCAGAACCACATTTGTGACCCAGGAGCCTGATTAGATTATGAGTTACCGTCTGAGAGCAACATGGCTGGGGATATTGCGGTGGAGAAATACGTTGTACTTTAGGGCTGTGTATACTAGCTAACATAGGGTGGGGAAATACTGAAATGGATTGAGATGACAAGAATGACAATGAATGAAAAGTTCTTGAGTATACTACTCGAGTAATCCAACTTCGGTATTCAAGAATATGCAGTCTAAAATATTGGTAGGGCTTCAATTGATGATCGTTTCGGGTGCCGCATTAACTATTGTCCCACACGTTATAGAAGAAGAACAAAATAAGAATTCAAATCAGACTAGAAACTTTTGGGTGTTCTGTTCGAGGTTGAATATTTAATTTCTGAGTGAATACTGGTGCACTACCAGTGATAGACGATTTTGGTGTAAAATAGGTGAATGAGGTGGGTCGGGTTTGAAGCAATTGTTGTATTAACCGTGACAATTTATAAGGTGAATGATGCAAAACAAGATGATATGGTGTTCTGAATGACAGCAAATAAATTTGCAATGATACAAGAGTTTTAGCTACAAAGAAGTCTACTTAATGCTTGATGATGTTGTAATACGAGTAGAAGAAATAGGTATGCGAAAGGAGCACGAAGGCCTCAGAGGTCACGGTTGATGATATGAAGGTGGGAATCATTACCGTGGCATTATTAGTCATTCCATTTTTGCAGAGTGCGTGTTAAGGTGTTTGTTGTCCCATGTATCATGTACCTAGATAAAAAAAAAATCCGATACTCCTTGATAGATTGAACATTGACTTGGTTTTATAGAATACCTTCAAAAATTGGGGGAATGCATTATCGAACAGTTATGGATTCGCAGGAGTATATTATTGTATGGAGTAAATTGGAAGATAAAGACTCCGCTATCTATTTATATTGATGTTGTAGCTGTGAAGAGTATCAATCTACAAGCTAGCTGTAATGTTTATTCTATCCTGAATCATTGAATGTATGAACCAGAACCATTTATTCGATTCGATTCGATTCAATTGGATTGTTCTTAATCATTGTATTGATTATGTTACTTTATCTCAACCTAGTTATTAAGATTTAGGAGAAGCCAGATTATCACCTATGGAAGGAGATGAGTGGGATGAAAAGGAGTGCAAGAAATTCATAACAGGTTTAAAATAATTCAAACTGTATTCCAGATTTGGAAGTTGTCACTGCTCGAGAATTTGAGTATAATTCAATAGCTCAAGTAGATTCAATACCTCAAACAATATCAGCATTGAAAACAATTCAAAGAATCAAGAATCCTATATTGTGGAGCTGCAAATCCAGACTGCTGGAAACCTCGAGTGGTGAATATAAAACAAAATCTCCTAAAATATTCATATCCAGTTTGCTATTTCTATTGTCACTTGCTGTGCTTGATAATTACACACTAGATATCCTGTTCCATATCAGATATTAACTTGGCTATCATCTATACATCTAGATAGAAATATCTAATATATGAGCTACATTGAAACATTAGATATAATATGCTTGATAAATGTGTCTTGGAATGGGTTGCTGTGCACAACAAATCCATACTTTGAGGACATAAAGTCCAGTTAGCACAGAGAGAAGTGATTTATTGTCCATTTGTGGTTTGAATCTTTGAAAATTCAGGACATTGAAACTCATGTCTAAATCCAGACAAGGTAGAGTCGGTCACATGACTGGGACGCTTAGACCATCTAAGATGGACTCAGCAGTTTGATGTTTATCCATTGGTAGTTAGCCGAGGGGCTGTTGGTGTCAGGATCAATCTAGCAACGGAACAATGGTCGGGCCGGATCCAAAACTTTTGGCATTGGAAATTAACCTGGCAATCAAGTCAGAAGGATATTGGAACGATATCAAAGAACCACACCCTCTCTCTCACCAGACGCACCACCACCAACACCAGAACCAGAGCCACCAAAGAAATGGCGTCAATACTTACGATTACTGCGGGAGTTGCTGCAGCGGCATTTCTAGTAAGTCTTCTCCTCTCCTCTTCCCTCAATACCTCCCTTCCCTACTGCATCAATCTTCAATTCTAACCTCATTCCCAGGGTCGCGCAGGTCTTGTAGCGTTCCGCAAATCGCGAGGAGAAGCTGTTGGAGTATTGGGAAAAGCCTTTTACAAGGGCGGATTCGAATCAAAGATGAATCGCAAAGAGGCTGCACTCATCTTACAACTTAGGTATGTTTATTCTACCCCTCCCTCCCTCACTTATTGCACATACTAACAATTCTTTTCCTCGCAGCGAACGACAACTTACCAAAGAGCGCATACGCAAGAATCACCGCACCCTAATGATGTTGAACCACCCAGATCGCGGAGGCTCGCCATACCTAGCTACAAAAGTCAACGAAGCCAAGGAATTTTTGGAGAAAAACGGTTGATCTTTCTGAATGCCGCATACAATTTTCTGGGATTTGGATGGGTTTTACTTGGAATCAAGTCGACGATTTGCTAATTCTCGACTTCCTCATGCTTCAATTATTCGCATACATACGATTTTCGCCCTTCTTTATCGACTTTGTTCCGGTCGATCTTTGTACATTCTCCTGCGACATGGCATAATTCGGTTTCGTTTCGATCGAATTTCTGCACTACTGCTATGAGTCCCTTTTCTGCGGTTCCATTTTCGATTACTTGTACAAGCTTCACAAAAACCTCTACATCCACGACAACTAAGCTTGCGATCTGCGATAGTTTGTACTCGGGCACATATCCTCCACTCTCCATACCTCTTCTCGAGTCGAAAAAAACCCAGCAATGATCAGCAATCTCAGTCTCAACAACCTCAAATTTCTTTTCTGTACAGCAAGTTTTCACCCTCTTCTCGAATCTCCCTCATAAACAGAAAGTCTCTGGTTAAATTCAGTTCACACACAGCATAATAGCGAATGGCGTTTACATGTGATATTTGCAGCGAAGTGGTTTTGTTCACGAATCACATGAATTCATGATGAATCGACGGATGGATGGCGTTAAATTGTACATTACCAACGGATGGATATCACAACCTGAAATCTCCTCTTTTACGTTATTTGAGAACAATAAATCACAATTTCATTTCCTCACTTAGGTAGGGAATGAGGTTTTATACTCTCGTTTATGCTTCCACTTTACTAGTCACTTGATCATGAAGATGAATGTAGTAACGACTATTTTCTAACTGATTCCATGCTATGTGTACTATGTACGTATTGCTCGCTCCGCTATGCTATGCTATTCGGTCTACTCTATTTGCTGCTCGCTGTAAAGAAATCCATGCTCGCTCGCTTGCTCGCTCGTCACGTTGTATGTAGCTCATCGAAAATTACCAAACCAAACCAAAGCAAAGAAAAGAAAAGAAAAAGAAATCTCAACGCAAAAGTTCCTCGCCGTACATTCGTCCATGCACACTCCCATCTCTCCCATCTCAGCAATCCAGCATCAGCAAAAACACCTCACCTCCCTCACTACCCACCTCACCTAATCTAACCTTCCCAAATCTACTCTACTCTACCACCGAGCCACGTGCTTTCCCTTCGAATCCGCTGGCCACGGATTCTGTTTCTGTTTCAGATTTCGTTTCTCGGCATCGACTTGTGCCTGTACTTGTACTTGTGCCTTTGCTGCCGACGAGTCCTGTTCCTGAAATTGCGTATTTGCTGAAATATTCATGGGGATACGACCTTGTTGTTGGAGTTGGGCGAGGGTGGTGGTGGTGGTTTGTGATGGGTGGGTTGAGCCTCTTGTGCTGGTACTGGTATGGGTAGATGCGGATGCGGATGTAGAAAGTTGGTCGGTTGGGACCGAGGAAGGATCAGTAGTAGAGGCAGGAGTAGAAGCCGCGGTTGTATTTCGAGTTACCCAGTCTCGATTCCAAGTACCACCTGTACGGGTTTCAGAAGGTGCTTGGCCCTGGGAATTGGCTTTGATATCAGAAGAAGTAGAATTAAAGTTTCTTGCTGATGGGTTGAGATTTGAAGCTGGGCTCTTGTATCCGCTTCTGTATCCAAACTGCTCTGCGGACATGAGCGTTGGTTCAGGTGCAGAAGTCAAACCGGTACTGATTTTCTCAGCTTTTGTCGGAGTGGCAGGTGGTGTTCCCCAGCTCTCGTGAGGACTGTGTTGAGCTTGACTTCGACCTTGAGCTATACCAGCCCAAGAGACAGAAGCAGGAGCAGTAGCTGTGGCTGGTTTAGAACCACCACGCCACAATTCATCTACGTCTGTCACCTTTGGTCTTCTACTTGCAGCCTTCTTGGCAGCATCAGCTGCTTTCTTGGCCTCTGCTTGCTCGGGTGTGATACGATCACCACCGTCGCTACCATCTGAGGACCAACCTTGTTCGCGCTCGTAAGCCAATTCTGCTGCTTCCTTGACGGCCCTGTTTGTTCAACAAGTCAGTATATCGATCAGGAAAACCAAGTCATGGACCAAAGTAGAGAATTAGGGGTGCAGTAGAATGAAGCTGATAGGTAAAAGACATACTCGGAAATTCTCTCTTTCTTCAACTTATCTTTCTCCTTTATTTCCGTCTTTCTATCTACTAAATGCTTACACGCAATTCCCAGCATAGCTTGCAAAGTATACACCGCATCATTACCAGCATTATGTAAGCTCCAGCCTGCAATACCAATTTCATGAAGTATAGCGGCCAAACTTCTTGGATTGACTTCCCGCTTCAAAGCTCGCCACATGAGAGTGGTGTCACAACCTTCATGTAGCTGGAGATTATTAATCTCGTAGCCAATCTGACGGAGGAAACGAATGTCAGCATCTACATCGTGGCCGACGAGGATGATGTTACGTTTCTTGTCGGCGAGTTCTGCAGAAGGAGACGTGGAGGAGAAAGGATATTTAAAGCAAGTTGCAACTACATGAGGTGCATTTTCCCGGGAGATAATCTCGCTCTTGCTGGTAAAATATTAGCACTGATCTTTATATACTCGAATAGGCCTACAAGAGAGGAGACATGTGAAAAACGAGGTGAACTTGGAACAGAGAAAAAACCATACCCGAATCTAAAGTCACCAGCACATCCCTGAACATGTTTTGTGTTGTTGAAATGCATATGCTCTTTGATGCGGAAATGTCTAGCACGGATTGCCTTTCTCCAGTTCTCTCCAAGTATACCCGGTTCCATATTAGCAATGTCCAAAACATCTAGAGTAGCAATGCCAATCTCTGTAATGATATTGTTGTTGAGTTCGTATGCTTCAACATCTATACAGACAAAAACGACAGCATCTTCCATCATAAACTTTGTAGGGTGCTCCGGATCGTAAAATGTATTGTCATCCGCGGTATTGTGACCTGCAGGTGAGCTGTCATCTGATCGTTTGCGCAATCCCAGATAACGCTGAACGCGCTTGGTAGAATCCTTCCAAGCTTGTTGCTTTGCAATCCGATCGATTCGTTGTTTCTCCTTATTAGCGGCTTTCTTGTTCTTTGCGGTTATGTTCAAAGCTTCGATCTTGGCTCTAAAAGCCTCAAGTGATGTATCTACCAGGGGCTTTGTGATGGGAGGTTCGCCATCAAGCTTGTAGTATCGAGGTGGAACGTTTTCTCTCACCTCATCCGCCATGTTCTTGTTTAGTACTCGACCAAGGTATCTGGGGTAAGGAGTGCCGTCGTTGTTAAATACTGCTTGAAATGTGCCTTTGGACCCAGAAGGAATAGTAAGATTTATACCAAGTGACCTGTTGATAACATTCAGGAAGTAGTCGACTTGCTTTGTAGGGACCAGGAACATGGGGCTTTGGTTCGAGTCTTCTTTGAGTCGGTACAGGTAAAAGCTATCTAGTGTCAGAATGCGGGAAGAGGGGGACTTCTAGAAATCCATATATGAGTTGTGACAACTTTGAGGTTGAAAGGCTAAGAGTTCAAAAGTTAACAAGGACAACTTACAAATCCCAAGTTTGCAAGTAGCATTTACCGCCGTCGAAGAAGCCTCCTGTGACCTGGAGACTTGTCAGCATATATATATGATATTAGAAGAGCGGGACAGGGGGGAAGGGGGTGGATTCGTCGAGAGATTGAGTGAATGATCTACAAAGTAGGACGATCGACGATCGACTCCGCAGTAGATATGATAGGGATAAATACAGAGAAATAGTGCTTGAGATCTTACCTTTGATCTATTAGCATTGCCAACATATCTGTGTGGGTACTGCATAACAGTCTTCCAAGGACAAAAGCTCTCTCCCTCAGCAGCAAGCTGACCATACTCCAGACCTTTATACTCCGGGAAGTCATTGGAACCCAGCTCAGGATCTACACCTTAAAATCAGATTCTTCCAGCTAAAATGACGTAACATAACATACAAAGTAATGGCGCTGAAGATCCATGAAGACTTTGATTCATTCCTGCGCGCATTCTAGCCGTCATGTTGTCCCCGCCATCCCAGTCGGAGTCCTCTTTCCACTGCGGTTGAGGAACTTTGTTACGCTTGTTTGATTTTTTTAGATTTGGTGCTCGAGGAGGAGGCGGAGTGTCATCCTCTTCAGAAGTACCCTCATATACATTATGAGCTCGAAAGGTGTATCCCTCGGGGAGACTGAGTGTATCTTCGACTTCGCCTTGTGTTTCCTCCATACTGGTATTATCGTAGACTTCTTGTTGGCCAGTCAAGGCTCTCAATCGATCAATCCGATCAGCCATATTGATGATTGTAACTTTGTGTCGTTGTTTTGGTTCGTTCTGGAAGGTGCAATTACAGAGAAGAGTTTGAAGAAAGCAGGACCTGGTAAACAGCCTTGCTTAGTCGCCTACTCCTTGACTTAGAATATAGAATACCCCTCCGATATAATATTCACCCTTGAGCTGTACTTGAATACTACCTGCTGTCTTTGAAGTTGATGAGTCTTTGGTATGAATACACTGACCATCTGGTAACAGTGTCTCTCACCTGACTTTATGACAAACAATTTTTATGTGGGACTGCCTCAGGACACTCTGCAGCCTCGTTGTCTAGGCACTACTTGTGCAGTCAACAAACACTCATATTGTTTTCTCAAATTGATAAATTTGTATCTCATATGTCAGTAGATGTTCTGATGGTGGAGGAAAACTAGCATGCATTTGAAATGTGAAAATGTGGATATTTTGAGGGTCCGTCCACCGAAGCGAATTTGTAGCTTCTTTCACCAGAGTACCCCCTATGAGAAATGAATGAGACTGAAGTCATTTCTAGCATTTGCAAACTTATCAATGTTGCCCCTCTCTCCAGGATTTTTTCGTAGTCATGATGTGCAAAGGATCCAATAATTAGTAAAATTAACCTCAATATACCTTTCCTCACAATGGTATGCACAGAACTGAGTACTTTCTTAATCATCAAGTACTTTCTTATTCATCATAGTATTGTTTATGATGATAGAGTCTAGCTAAAATTATCCATCGCCCAGCCAGTCGTTTCACTTTGTCTTCGTCTTCCCTAAAAATTGAACAAACATGGTATCATCCACCACAGTCTTACTCCCCTTTAAAATTAGCTGATATCACAAAAAGTAAGCAATGCACATAGGCACGTAATAACTCCTTGGCACCTGTTCATAAAGCTCGCTCCCAGCTTCCATATCATGTGAATAACCCAATCCCAGCCATTGCATGCCAAGCAATACCATGCCAACTAATCCATCATGCCAGATAGGATAGATATCACCAGTTGTGCCGGAACGCCACTAATGCAAATGAATACCATCCCACCATTAACTTTGCTGATTTTCCCCACAGAACCACCGTATCCCCCATCCAAACCCTATTTTCCCGTTGAAGATCGCAAATTTAGCAAGAGGTCATGAGAGACTATCTGATGATACCCCAATCCGCGAGCTTTCCTCCACCGGCATCGCAATCATCTCTTTGTCCTGGCTTTCTACCGAACACATTCCAAAATCTCAAAGTCTCATCGCCTGCACCCGTGACTATAACTCTGCCATCAGGACTCATTGCCAGGTATAATACTCTGTAAGTATGACCTGTAAGACTAACAACTTGTTGCATGCTCGGATATTTCCAAACCACGATTTGGTTTTGCGAATAACCATGGGTGGACACGATTTCATTCGAATTCTTTGACCATGCAAGATTGCATACTTGAGAGCCAGTGTCGACCTCATTGAGTTTGGTGCCGCGCTTGGTGTCATGGAATATGATACGACGGTCTGCAGTACCACCTCCCGATGCGAGAAGACCGCCTTGATGTGGAGACCAGGCAATGGCTTTGACAGCGGCAGTGTGATCACTGAACTTGTAGGTAGGAGTGTCAGATAGCTTATCCCAAACCATGAGTTTGTTGTCGTTACCACCTGATGCAAGTTGTTGGTCATCGCAGTTCCAACGAAGACCGCAAACTTCTTGCTTATGTCCAACCAATTTTCTCAACCATTGATCTGGTGCTCGTACATCTCGGTGATAAATGAGGCGATCTCTGGAACCTGAAGTGAGGATATGGTCGTTCCAAGCAAGGGATCCAACTCGAGCTGTATGGCCTGTCATTGTGCGTAAACGTCTCACTCGCTCTGCATCCCAAATCTGAACATATCCCTTTCCAGTACCAATGGCAATATGAGAGCCACGCTGAATCCACGATACGCTTGTGACAGTATCATCAGTTAACTCACACAGCTTGTTCACTCGTCCAGTTTGTGAATTCCACATATACACACAAGATCCAAGTCCTACTCCAAGAACATTGCTGCTTCCCCAATCCACAAGGTTGAGGTAAAAATCATCAGCTAAGTCAGGCGCGTCTAAGACTTTGTATGGCACCTTGCTCACAACTCGAGGTTGCTTGCGAGGACTCAATAGCAACTGCTGGCTGTTGAATCGTACAGGAGAAACGCTGTAGAGCTCCGATCGGACATCGAGGTTGATTCCATGTCTACTTTGGGGCGTTCGCGATGGAGTTGGGTGACCGGCAATATTCGTATGATGTCGCGGTGACATATACGTAAAGAGATTCTTGTGTGGAGTCGAAGGAGTGAAAGATGCCGGTAGTGATGAGATCGCAGGCGAGATATGAGGGGGGGTATGAGATCTTGTGGGATCATTGATAGTGGTTGTATGCGATTCGGGCGATAAGCTGGTAGGTGTAGGTTGTGGAATTGTCGTATCGAAGAGCTCGGACCGAAGCAAGGTAGAGAATGTCCGATTGGCTTCTTCGGCTGGTAATAAGATTAGCTCTCTATCAAACACCGTGAATTTTCACCATCTACCTACTTCTTTGGAAATGAAGCTCGCCGTGCGGGGTACGCTTCTTTTGTTTAGAAGGTGTTGCTGGAGATCCCTCATCATGCAGTAAACTGAAGCTGGCTTGCAAGTCTTGTCCTTCTCGATTTGGAATGAATCTGGACATCCAATGTCAGTACACTGTCCAATAAAGCAATCTCCAGCGCGGCTTTGGATACAAGTTCAGCTTTGACCTTGGGGGCTTCTCAATCTCTGGGAGATCGGGCTTTGGAAGATCGAAACCACAAAGATTGAAATTGCTGTGCAACAAGAGCAATTTGCAGTTTCAACATTTCTGGAGCTTGCCAATATGAATACAGTATACAAAAAAATATTTTTCTTACCTGTCGCCATATACACGTTGTCGCTTTCTGCTTGGGCTACCTCCAGGTGTGATGTCGCGATGCCTGCCACCAGAATCCTCAAACTCTCTCATAAGAGCTTTACTCAGCGCATTCGAATCGACCGCATCAACAGTTGGACGATATGTTCTGCTTGTATTTTTTGAAGAGTTTGTGTTCTCTTCTCGGGGTTTTCTTTCCGTCATTCTTTTACTTGTTGTGGTAGGAGGGGTCGTTGAGCGGGGTGATGCCGATATTGGTGGGGTGTTCAAGGAATGTTGGGTCTTTTTAATATTCGCATGGGATTTGGAGGAGCCATAGTTTGGGTCGCCGTTGATCCCCATGATGATTTCCTTGGAGGAAAAAGCAAGCAATTATGGGCTAGAGGAGCTGCTGGAAAGTCTTCCAAACAAGGACGCTTAGGACTTAATGCGTCTGTCAAATTGTTGCAATTATCGAAATCAACCGAAGGTCTAGGCCCGTATGTTCGTTATGCGCAATGCGATCGTACTCCGCGTCGTTGTGATAATTGATTTTGAATCAAATGTTTGGTTCGCTGGTTCCGTTACCCGGCCACCCTGCTTCTAAGGACGGTCCGCAATCGATTGTCGGCTTGCTTTGCCGCTGTCCACGTCCCTCACTGGTCGCAAAGTCGTGAAGATCACTTTTGAGAGTTCCTTCCCACCGATTTTATGATGTTGACTGTTCTCTACAGATGTAGATTGTGGGGTGTTGTTGTTGTTGTTGATAGATCGGAGTTGGTATTAATTTGGAAGTCGAGGCAGATCTAACGCTATTCCATTATCGGCGACGCCTTACGCGAAATCTCGGCTCCCGTAATGACTGTATGCTTCCTTTTTCTAGCTGTTTGCAAACTTGCTGTAGGTATTGATTGATGCGAACAATTTGAATTAACCTTAGAGATAATGAATGATAATAGATGAATCATTAGCTGAAAAGATACTGTATAGTATCGTAGATACATCCAATCCAATCCAATCCATCCCTTTACGACCAACCCCTAAATTGAACCAAAACGCGACCTTCATCGCTTCCCTTTCATCACAATCGCGATTTCTCCATTTTGGGATCAAATACAAAGCAAAGCAATAAATGATACTAGCAAAATCAAAACAAAACCTCAATATGGCAATGCTAGTTTCACACATCTTCCTTTCTTTGGCTTTGTTATGAAGGAGAGGGTACCTGGAAACGCGAACGGTATTTCTCCGACTGGTTTATCTTCGAGTCAGGGGTTGGGGTTTCCTGCACGCAACGCTGGGTTATATAAATTCATTGGTGATGATTGCATTGAGCGCGTTAAAGTTCATTCATCTTGTTAAAAGTAATTTAATAACAACAACAACAATAACAACAACAACAACAACAAAAATATCGCGAAAATTCGCTGTCTGCATGTTTTTCAAAACATAAATCCCGCAGTAGTTGAAGGTTTTCGGATTCCCCAGCTTTTAACAACATCGCATTGACAATATTTCTTTGAAATCAAGCGCCCGCAATACCAGGATCTCGCTCAGAGTTCGTTCGAACCTTTCCATGAGTATGGAACTTGGCATTCAAATGTTCTTACGAGATAATTTGACTATTGTACCTGGCTAATAGCCATAGCCATAAACTCAAATGCACGCAATTGCTAGGTATGGCATACAAACTCAACTTTCCATCTACTCGTACTGGTAGTCTCTTTTTTGTTAGAGAAAACCAGACGAATATTGATCGGTACGTCCATACTGTACCGGTATATATCTCGAATACTCGTACAGATCGATCAATTATATAATCAATGAAGAAGGTTCTTAAAGATCCCACCTTTAGTCGCCATCCTTCCATTGACCAAATCAATGAATGCATGGCTTTGACGGACCCTATACCTTCGATCAACTACTAGACCTCATGACAAATGGCAAAACGTTTGTTACTCGAGTACCTAGGTATGTCACATGGAATTGAAGAGATACACAATTCCCGCCTATTGTTTCAACCTCCCTCTTCTCTCCCTCATTACTCATACTCATGCCGCCAGTAAGTCCGCAACTCAGGTAAACTAGCATGTACCCTATTCAGATGGTAAACTACAAGGGAATAGCCTAGTTTCTTTAGTTCCCGAGTTGCGGACTTTCTGGGCGATATGAGTACTGTACTATCAGAAAGTTTATAATTCGGGAAGTCAAAAACTAGGCTATTCCTGTTATAGATTTTACTACCATATGGCATGTGCTAGCTTACCCGAGCTGCGGACTTTCTGGCGGCATGAGAATACAAGTGGTAGTTGGTATTTTTAGCCATTTCCTCGCATAGCTGACTGGCACTAACCAGATCACACATCACACATCTACCGATAGTGGGGACCCCGCTGAAAAATCCGCTGGAAATTCTGGGTAATGGAATTCCGGGTAATGCAATGCCACCCAACTTGCTACTTCATACCCATGCTGCCAGAAAGTTTGCAACTCGGGAAGAAGTTGAAAACTAGGTTATTCCTGTTGTAGTTTTTACCACCGTGTGGCACATGCCAACTTATACGAGTTGCGGACTTTACTTTCTGGTGGCATGAATTACTTTTATAAGGTTTGAACGAACCTGGTCTGGTTATGGAGTCGTATGGAGCCGTTAGCATCCCCGCATTTCTCCCGTGCTCCGACCTTCTCCATTTCCAAGATCTTTCCCCGCTACAAAGATTTGATCAATCGGTGGAGTCTACTTTAAGGTAAGTCGCCGGTTTTCTCGGTGAGATCATGGTGAAATCTCACCTCAAATCATCACTTGACCGTGAAAAATGTAAGTTTGCATAGTGTTTTCATCAAATACGACAATGAGCGGTTCTCGTTCTATTCACCAAGCCGCCTCGCGGGCTGTGGATCGTCAAGCCAAAACTAAGTATATAAAGATGGCAGATTTCCAGCTTGAATAGAATGAATTCATCTCCAGCACCTCCAGCATCTTCACATAATGGTTCACCTTACATTTTTGGCTGTCACTCTTTGGGCCGCCATATCAAGTGCCGCGGAAACAACATCAGCTTCTATTGCAACTTCAATAGGAGCTAGCAATGTCCCAACCGATGCACCTATACCGGGAAACTATACAGGAGCATTAAGACCTCAGTTTCATTATTCTCCACCTCAAAATTTCATGAATGATCCCAATGGACTTTTCAGAGATGCAGATGGGGTTTACCACCTCTATTATCAATGTAATTTATTCGCATCCCCTCATATTTCAGCAAGACTAACGATACCTCAGACAACCCAACAGGCATTGTAGCAGGAAATCAACATTGGGGCCATGCAACATCCAAGGATCTATACAACTGGACCAACCAAAAGATAGCACTCTACCCCGAAAATAGTGACGAAGGGATTTTCAGCGGAAGTGCCGTGGTCGATGTAAATAACACCTCTGGTTTCTTCCCCGACCAAAACAACGGCGTAGTGGCAATCTACACTCTGAACACTCCTCAGACTCAAACCCAAAATATCGCCTACTCCATCGATGGCGGTTACACTTTCGAGAAGTATGCCAACAACCCCGTCATCCCATCTACCTCCAACCAATTCCGTGACCCCTACGTTATTTGGTTCGAGGATCATTGGGTAATGGTCGTGGCTTACTCTACCGCCTTTGAGATTGGCATTTTCACTTCTCCTGATTTGAAAGAATGGACTGCTTCCTCCAATATTAGCCACCACGGTCTCCTAGGCCTGCAATACGAATGTCCCAATCTCATCCCCATCCCTGTCGCCAACGGTGCCGGCGATGAAAACATGTTCCTCCTGATTATCTCCATCAACCCTGGCGCTCCTCTTGGCGGTTCCACGACCCAATATTTCCCAGGTACATTCAACGGAACCCATTTCGTGCCCATCGATTCCGCAACCCGGCTCACCGATTTCGTCAAAGACAACTACGCCGGACAATTCTTCCACGGGATTCCCGCAGACGAAGATCCCGTTTTCCTAACCTGGGTCAGCAACTGGCAATACGCAGGAGACGTGCCCACGGGACAACTCGAGGGATGGCGAAGTTCCATGTCACTACCCCGACGCACGCATCTCGAAAACGTAGCCGGTGCAGGCTGGACACTCGTATCGTACCCCTACGACATGACTCCTCTCTACAACGACACCACCTCACTAGCCGCGAACGAAAATCTCGGAAACGGCAATCTCTCTGCAAACTACGCATCCCTCCCCAGCGGCGCCATCTACATTTCCTGCACCCTAACCACCACCCCCAACCACACCATCGACGGCGGAACCCTCAACTTCATCTTCACCTCCTCCCTTACCGGCGAATCCATCTCCGGGGGCATCTTCCTCGGAGGCGACACCTCCTTCTGGCTCTCCCGCCACAACATGCACGGATTCGGCGAGACCAACCCTTTCTTCACCGACAAATTCTCAATCGCCAATCCATCTAATACAGCAGGTACTTTTACACTCGATGTAGTGGTCGATAGGAGTATACTCGAGGTATTCCTGGATGGAGGCAGAAGTAGTGGGTCGATGACATTTTTTCCAGAGGGCGTGTTGGATAGGGTGGAGGTGTCGACGCAAGGGTTGGCTGCGGAGGTGAAGGTGGATGCGAAGATTTGGGGGTTGCAGGGGGGGATGGGCGAGTATGGAGAGTGAGGATGGCTGGGTTTATGGAAATGTGACGAAGGTGGGGAAGTGAAAAGATGGGTGGGGAGAAATGTAGGTAGTTATCTAGTAATGGACAGAGGAGATAAGATAGGATAGGAAATAAACATGACTTTTAATCGATATATATCTTGAGATACTTTTTGATTTTCGTTCTCGGTATGCACGTAGCTGAATCCTTTGCGTACACATTTTCACCATCACCACTGGAACCAACACTGGCACCACAACTCTGCAAATATACTTCCTCATTTGTATGTGTAAACTTCATGTTATTACATGCCAATCGACTCAATTAGTCCTCAACCTCATTATCATCTAGAAAATATCTATTCATACACCTCCAATCACACTCAATTAAACCCCATCCTATTAATAGCTAGCTAGCATTGGTTTCGCGTGTGCCTCTCTTTCTCTCTAATCAGAAAACTGCGCATAAGATATGAGTACAAGGTGAAGGAAAATGCCACTTTATCACCACACCACCCACCTTATTTCTCCTCGTTTTGCCTAACTTTCGGCCATCCACGAAATATACCCATTACGAAAAGTGCTCTGAAGAATTAAAGGGTCCATCTATCTACTCTAATCGGAAATCGTTATCGGATTCGGATTCGAATTCGGATATGAGAATTTTTGTATCTATTCGGTAGCGATCGCAACTGGGATTGAGATGGTTTGGTTCGAATAACATCCATCGACATGATTTACATCTGCGCAGGTAAGGGTGATGGGTGTAGCTGCCGATCTGAGGACTTCGCCTGCGTTGCTATTTGGAGGAGAAGAATATTAGCATTTGCGTCTTTGAAATTTAAACCTGATCTCTCTCAATCCAGATTCGTATGGGAGATTAGTATAGAGAAATCGGTACAGAGAATGGGAAAAGGGAAATAGAGAAAACCATACTTGGAACCAACAAAAGCATGAATCAACTCAATATTGAAACTAGTAAGATTTCGATACTCAGTGAATTGCCAGTAGAAATCATCCATCAGGTTGCCGTTGTTGTTGCAGGGAACCCAGCCCGTGGGGAATTGGGTGGTGCTGGCTGTGCCTTGGAAATCGTCGTTGCAGGCGGTGGAGGTGTTGCTGTTAGGGTCGTTGAAGAGGACTATTTGATTTTGTGAGTTGGGATGTTCTATTGTGTATTTGGTGATGAAATGGGGATTGGGAATTGGGTTTTAATCAATAGTACAAATGGCGTGGTGGGGGATGGTGAAATAAAGTAAATAGATAGAGGACATACAGGAGATAGAATCATCATAAATGGTAGTTCCATTACTGCTATCAACGGCAGATCTAGTAACAATACCCTGAATGATCATATGCTGAATAGCAGAACTAGTTGCAGCAGCAGCATGAACAGTGTTGAGCTTCAAGTTATATTTTTGTTGTTGAGCGCGGGGAGCAATGCGAGGAGCAATGCGAGGTTTTTGGACCGAGACAGCTTCTGCCGTGGCCAAAAGACCAACGACGATACTGAGAAGCTTGGAGAATTGCATTTTGAGGAATTGAAGATCGGAGGTGATTGAATAGGATTGAGAGATTTAGAATTAAGGAACTTCGATTGAAGATCGAAGAATTGTAGGTAGGTAGAGGTGTTGGTGGAAATGAACGAAAGTATTTTGATGTAGATGAGAAAACAGGTTGATGTGGAAACAGAGTCAGGTTGATATATGATGAGATATGAATCAACAAGCGAACGCGGCTGTAAGTAAAGCAAAGGAAAGGAAAGGAAAGTAAAGCAAAGTAAAGCACAAGTAAAGAATTTAAAAATACATTGCAGATCTCCTGATCTCTTAGTGAGGCAGGCACGAAGTGTGCACGAAGTGAAAGCCCACTACTTACTGTACGATCAAGATCGGATGATATGACAACAGGATTCTGGACAATGGAAATGTTGGAGGCTGGAAGCTCCTTGTTTGACAAGAGATGAAATAAAAGGGATTGATTTGTTTTGTTTTCTTGAGTTTGTTCTGTTACTCTGTTGCTGCAGTTCTTTGGTACTACTACTGCTGCATAGTATCTAGAATCTAGAATCTAGATGCATTGTGTTGTAAACACAGAGCAGAGAGAAGAAAGAAACATTACTCGTATAATCTACCTGGTTGATCCTATCTTCATATCTTCACTTTGACCCATTATTTCTCCATAATTCATCTATTTGTACCAAAATCATCCAATTGTAATTGGAGAATCGCAGAGGCATAAATAATCCGCATTATTGATTTAAAGTGTTCATGGTTAGTTATTCCAGCATGGAGGAACAAAAACCTAATGGTTGAGGAAAGGATTCACGTCAAATGTTATTCACATTATCAGCAACCCTTAGCCGCTACATCATAGCTCGCATAGCGTTTTCCCCTGACTCCGGTCCTGATTAGGAGAATTAAAAGGTCTAGCGAAAGGGGGATGGGGGGATGGGTCCTTGTTCCTTGTTGGTCTGCTTAAGTAACGTACGATTTGGTCGCCCGGTATGTACCTGAATAACTTTAATATATGGATTCTTGGCATATGGATCTTAAGATGGAGATCTTCAAGATTGGACGAAGATCAAGGAGGGTATTAAATTATGTTTGAAACGTTGGTGTTCGTGTAGGACAGGGAAATGGATTTGCGGGGCAGAGACATTCAGTGCTGTTGTTCTCTTGATGGGGTCTCTGTATGACATACCTACTCTGTATATGATGAGGGAGGATTGTTGTTATTGTTGTTGGTTGTTGCACGAAGAAAGGGGGTCTGAGAGTGAATCTGATATATTCGAAGCTGTTGGATAACCCTTCGTGTACAGTAATATTTTCGTAATAAGAGATGATGGGTCTTCCTTTTTGTATCCTTGTACCGAAAGACACCGAATTATATTCTGTACTCTGTACATTAGCACTGCTACGCTGAGGCTGTGCAAAAACAGATAATCAAAATGCGGAGATGGCTTTTATGCTGTCATTCAAGGTCTCCAATCAATCAAGATTGGCATAGATCTACCACAGATTTGGGCCCCCCATTCTACCCAAAGCAGTAATGAGTAACGGGAACTGACCCTAGAAATTCATTCCTCGATATGAACTTCAAGACGACCTCTACGAATCTAAGATTACAATAGAGTTACAACGACTATTCTATTTCCCATAGCTTCACGTCTGCTGTCATCCGGATAAGCCAACGTTCTTTTTCGGTTCATCATGGGAACAACATTATTGCTGTGCAGCTGCAAAGAAATCCTTCCAACTATCGAATATCAATCATATGTCATCTCTCGAAATCCTACTGAAATCAAGAATTCTAGTCTACAACAACCTACTGAATTATTCCGTAAGTTGACAGTTTATCCGAAGGGTATATAAATATATTTTTAGAATGGTCCCTAAGAGTAAGTCAGTCATCAAGTTCATCAGAGGCGTTTCATGAAACGCATATTGGAACGAAGGAAATTATCGAGGCTGAAAATGATACCGTGTGGTTATTATCTTACTTTGCGGTACGCCGGTGATACAGCTTTATGCAGTAGGTAGGTAGGTATGCACTTTACCAGTGGGCAGAGTTTAATTATTTGACTGCCCGATACAATTCGTCCAGCAGTAAGCTACCTATCTTCCACAGCAATGCTTATCCAACCACCCAGAAGAGCTTTAATGGCCGTACCAAAACATCCTCACTCACTGACTTGTAGGTATATCTGTATGTACTTTTATTTTCAGGGGGTAAAAATGACAATCCGGGGCATCTACATACAAAGTACAGTAAATCCAACCCCCAAAATCTCACAAGGCTCAATACATACAGCCGAATGATTGCCTCCTATGCAATACTCCGGGACTTTTCGGCTCATTTGGATTTGGGGTTGCATTCACAAGATTAATTCAAATGCAAGCTTGCGGCCAAAGCAACCATTCTTTTTCCACGTTATGGTTGTGTTGTTGTGGTTGTGGTGGGAAGGGAAGGGGGAAGGGAAGGGAAGAATTCGCCTGAAGGGATGCAGGTGTTGGGTCAAGCTTTTCTTCTCGTGCTTCCGAAGAACTTCTAAAAATAAACCATAGGTAGTTCTTTTTGAAGAAGGAAATGTCATACAGTAATTGCAAAATGCAACATCAATAATCAACTGCCAAGGGGTTGGAGGAAGATACGATACCGCTAACTGTAGAGCTTCTTTTAGTTGACACCTTTAGTTCCACAGAAATATGATGGGGGGAATGAATCCATAGCTAATAAGATAAGATGCATTGGTGATCTACTCGTAGTCTATTCTAGAGTCTTCCTGATCCTTCAGCGCCTATGTTAGGGAATCATATACCTATAAATATGAGTTTGCCGCCTAACAGTCCCCTAAACAACAGCGATACACAGTTCTATAGGCTTTTATCTATATTCTTATATATCATTTGTGACTGATCTGATCTATTTACATGCTTTTATTTTGATATCTTGATTAATGATCCTATGTTTTATGGCTAATAGTCATACTGATAATATGATAATCCTTCATAGATAAAATCTTCCGATTAGAAGTTCGTGGTGCTCTTGCTCAACAAACATATGGGTGATACTAATGAGCTATGAGTAGGCAGTCCATATATGTGCTAATTTGATGCATTTGCTGTCTTGTCCTAGAAAGTCTAAATGATAAGCTTAGCATACGTTAATCTTCTTGATATCAATATTCCAATACAATTTACACTTGATCTAGGTGACTTTTGATGAAAGGTAATAAGAACAAAGCAAAGATATCATAATGATGTTATTATGTTACATCGCATGAACCCAGCCTTTTCCCTTCCAACAACTTCGAGCCGCCGCATCATCTCCAATTGATTCGTCCATTGACAACCCTTCAGAACAAGTTCATCCCAGCCCAATTTTACTTCGCCCCCTTATCCCCTTATCTTCTTACCCAAATTGCTCCAAATTGTCACCCAAAGTGCTTTACCTAGCTGCATCTTTCGACATTAAGACGACCGGGTTTGAGTATCATTGCTATTATTATCTTTGGTTCACTCAATTTTTTGAATCATTCTGTATCATCCTCACTGGATACCATACTAAAAGCAGATTCCGAGAGTTTAATGCTAAGTACGAGTAATCTTGTTTGAACATTGAAGCCGAGCTCAAGGTTCCCCTCCTTGTCCTTGACTGGCAAATCATCATTTGAATTGTGCACTGCGAGTCTGCGAGTCTGCGAGCGATACTGGCACGCACGCAGAAGAATTGGCCCCACCAAAGCACAGCCAGCGGCCGACCCTAAAGGTTATTATTCATTCTTGATCCCATTCATTGTGTGTCGTGAACATAATACAAATGCCCTTCCCCTTCAAACATAGCAATCGTTCAAAGCAGGCATTGAACGAACCTGCTATAGAAAGACCGGCCGTCACTCCTTCAGCCTCGCATTCAGAACAATCCTTCTCGTCTGGTTCTGGCGAGGGAAGGTCCACAACAATTCAACAACAATCCTCCACCACCACCACCACTACCATACCATCTCAAACCTTTGAACAGCCCTACGAACCTCGGAATTCTGAAGTTGGGTCTCGTGCATCTGCATATTACAATTCTGGAGGGTCACCTTCCCGGTCTGTTTCAGCTCAGTATCAACAACAACAACAAACCTATCCACAAGAGCTTGAAGCTTCCCCCGCTTTCCCATCTCCAGCTGGTTCATCCGTCGATGATTTAGTTCTTGATACACAAAGGTTACAGAACCAAGGTCGCAGACATACAACACAGATACAATCGCCCGTGGTAGAGCATAAGAAAAGGAGTATTTTTGATCGCATGCGAGGTACAAATCCAAATCGATCTTCTGAACAAAAGTATCCCCCGGTTACCACCCAAGGGACCTATAGCAACAACACTAGTGGGCTCGCGCGTAGATTATCTAGACGACACGAGGGACCTCCCATTATACGAACTAGTCAACAAAGAGTTTCGGTAGAGCAACATCAAAGAGTAGATTGGCAACCTGCAGCACAAGTTTCGAGATCAAATCTGCCATCGCCTCAAGAAACTCCCGAAGACGACGGATTGGATCCATATCTCATCAAGAGTCCTGAGGAAGGCACGCCACAAAGTTCTCAGAGTTCTATGAGTGTGCGCGGGCAGCGACAACCTCTAAACACAATTCGAGCTGTACAAAGCAATTCTGATTCACCCCTCTATTCGACAGAGTCACCGAACAACACTCCTGACCAACAAATTCAGCAATCACCTAATCAACCTTATTATCATCAATCTCCTCAAAGTACTAGTCAATACGAGTCACCCGAGAGTGTTCCCCAATACCGTTACGAATTACCAGATCTGATTCATTCACAGCAACAATTGAACAGTTTCCCAAGCTCCCCCAATAGCCAATACCCTCCGCAAGACTTCACTCCAGACAGTGCCTTAGCACAGCAACACGAATCTTCTCTGCTGTATAGAGAAGAGCAACGGCCCGGCTCGGTACAATCTAATAATCAATCTCCGATAAGTATACAGCAATCTAACAGGGCAGATTACCCAGAGCGAACAACTTCAATACAAGGGCCGATCCCAGGCTTATCTACGAATCGTCCTTTGTCGCAACATCTTTCGATGGCACCACAGTCCAACACAACACAACAAAATCGTCGATCCGCAGACTCGAAACAATCACTACAAGCTCAAATGGCACAGTCAGATGGGAGGGATCCTCCGGCATACCGCCAACAGCAACAAGCCCCCAGTAACAATAATAGTCAGCCACCAGCAAACAGCCCGCTCCCCCCACAGGGGCAAGGTCCAAATTACAGAGGAGGCCCTCCGCAGCGAGAACAATACAATCCTTCGGGTGGTGGAGAGCAAGGACGAAGCACACCACCGCCGGCACCTGGAGACAGAGATGTAAATGAGGCATACAAAGAGCTACGTAAGTTGTATTGCCCCCATAGTGATGAAGTTCCTTGCTAAATCCCCGCAAGTGCAGAAATATAAAAAGGTCAAGGGGCTGTATTTTGACAAGACCGCATCAGTGGAGCAATTACAAGGACAAGTCGAACAGTTACAAAACACCGTGGCAAACCAACGGTTATCCCAATCTCGTACATCGCTTGATGACGGCGAATATACATCACGCTTCCAAAGGTTAGATGGTGCTATTACAAATCTCGCTTTCAACATTCGCAAAGATTGGAGAACGGTGCCAGCATGGCTTTCACAATCTGTCAATCGTGATGCAATGTCAATAGGAAAACAAGAGATGACAGCTGTTGGAAGAGCTTGTATCACAAGATTTCTTGTTGATGAAATCTTTAATCGCACCTTTCACCCAGGCCTGGAGAGTGAGCTCAGCTTGAGCCTGAAGACTATCGAACAAAATATTCGCCGATTCTCTCCTGCTATCAATAATCAAGAAGAATCTGACGCTTTAACGGCCAAGGTCGTCCAATGGAGATTGGCAACTTTAGATGGGTTGAAGGACATGTTGAATTCCGCCGAAAGCGAACAATTCAAGAAAGACTTCTCGAAAATGGTCACCACCAACCTGACGGCCAACTTAATCAACTATCTTCAAGAACCCATACCTGGTGGTATCGAAGAAGCTGCAACGACCATCGTGGAATTGGCAGTGAGCATTGCAGCGAATATCCCCTTGGAAAGCAGAGATGTAGTGATCATGTACCCAATGCCGAACGATCTAGTCCAACGCCAATACATGAAAATTGAAGCTGGCATTCCTGCACTGGAGCACCCGGGCGCGGAAACCAACGGTTTCGATTCGAGTAGTGTGGGAAGTAATGATAAGGATGAGGGTTCGAAAGAAGAGCAAAAGAGTCATGCAAAGTTAACGAAGGAGAAGAGTGGAAAGGGTCAGGGCATGTTACAAGCTATGATGGGAGGTGGTGGTAGTGGTGGAACTTCTGGAAAGAAGATGAGCATTAGTAGCCAGGGTGGTCAAGAACCAAGTGAGAAAGTCAAGAGCGAAGATGGAGCTCACAAGGTACGGTTCGCGGGTTTCATGACCATTGATATTAGGGGAAGACAGGTGTTATTTTCAGCTCCGGTTTGGACAATGGGATAGATGGTGAAATATCATTTCTCCTATGATGATTGGATGACTAGATGACTGGATGATTGGATGAATTGGGAGGATATGTATTTAGGACGGAAGATTTGGGGGAGATGGTTTTGGATGCCTCGAATTTTGGCCATGTCTATGAGATTACGAAGATAATACCAATATGATAACCATTAGGTCGTCATAAGTTTTTACATTTCAGCCAACAATTAGTTCCTTCTTAGTGGTTATGTGGATATTTGGAGATAGAGAACATGTCTATAGGAATATCTACATGCTTTTCATACGCATAGTGTATTGCGTTGACAGAATATCGCAGCTATAAACATCATATGGTTTGATGCTTGAGTTTCTCGAATGCCAAGATGTCATTTGGACCTTTAGATGAATAAGACTTCATCTAGTTTATCCAGTCTAATCAATTTCTAGGTATTTAAGTTAAAGAAAACAAGTTGATCCAAGTTTAGATGAAAAATACTGGGACTTCGCTCCGCGAGTGTATGAATGAATGACCTGTTATATTAATTGTAGAAAATTCATTCTTATCTACTACTCGTACGAGTAATTGTGCATAACATGACCCTCCTCATATAAAAAGCGACCAGAGAGCTATCTCCACCGTTATGGATTATGATTAGGTATACTTGAGTGTTGTTCGTTGTGTTGTGTGAAGACTGTGAAGTTTGTGATGTACATGGTGGTTGCGGTATATGGTTAGGTTATGCTATGCATTTCTAGGGCTAATTTTCAGCCAGCTCAGGATACACAAAGGTGGGGGAAAAGGTAAATCCTTCCGTGTACGATTGTAACGACGGTATAACTACTGTTCATCTACTTTGTACCTATTTACTCTCCTCTCCCTCTTTGATATATGTGAGATATCTGGTGTATTCTCTTTCGTTTGGTCTCTGCAAGTTGCATTGATGATTATTTATTCGTGCATATACAATTGTACTATGCAAGCCAGCAAAAGTGTACATTCCGCACGCAGTCAGAAGTTTTCTTTACTAGAATACGCTGTAGCCATCCAGCTCATTATACGAATTTGAATATGACCGACCCAAATTATACCCTCTTCACTCTCCTAGCCTCTGTCGCAGGCATAGCATCACACCTAGCATATTTCATCCACGGCGAACACCACATGCAATCTCCCCAATATCTTCTCACCATCCTCTTCTCCCCGTTACTTCTCTTCCTCGCCATCCTCAAATTTGAGCTCACTTCCTCATATATCACAGCATTGCAACTTACAACCATCATCCTGATCTCATTCTTCACATCCTTGGCATGCAGTATCCTCATCTATCGCATATTCTTTCATCCATTACGACACTTCCCAGGCCCTTTTCTGGCAAAATGTTCAAAGATGTTTCATGTGCTGAGGTTACTGGGGACGAGTGATAATTATTTGCAGGCGCATGGCTTGCATGAGATGTATGGGGATTTTGTGAGGTGAGTTTTGTGGGGTTAGTTTGGGAGAATGAAGGGGTGCTGATTGATTTAATGTGATAGGGTTGGGCCGAATGAACTTACGATTGTTAGACCGGAAGCGGTTAAGGCTATGATTGGGCCGGGCTCGAAGTGTACTAAGAGTTCTTGGTATGTTGTGAAGATTGAATACTTCTAGCCCCTGCGAATTTTCTCATGTCATGGCGATCTGGACGCAAATCATTGATATATATCAGGTATGATGTTATTGGTCTTCCTCATACTAGCACACATTTGGAACGCGATCGCGTGAAGCATGATAAGAGAAGGAAGGTCTGGGATCGTGGATTTAGTGCGAAGGGTAGGCCTATCTTCTTGGGAATGGTTATCTGGAGTCATGACTGACATCCATCTAGCCCTGCGCAACTATGAGGGTAGAGTCACAAGTTATGCAGATGAATTGATTTCCCAGCTTGAAGCTTTCAAAGGAAAACCAGTCAATGCAACTCTCTGGTTTAATTCCTTTGCTTTTGATGTTATCGGTGATTTAGCATTTGGGAAATCTTTTGATATGTTGAAAACTGGAGAAAAGGTTTTGTTGCTCCCCATTCATCATCATTTCTCTTCTCTAACTAGAAACAGCATTCTGCACTTAAATTGTTGCAAAAAGGCATGGAACCATTAGGGATTCTTACGCCCATCCCCTGGGTCTTCCCCATCCTCATCAAGATTCCAGGAGTGGTGGATGGTTTCAACGAGTTCATTAACTTTTGTGAAAAGCAAATTGATATCCGAAGAGCAGTTAGTGTGCCCACTCTACTCGTACTAACATTTGAAAATATACCGGTATACTAAACGGTGACAAATTTAGAATGAACCAAACATGCCTGACATCATGACATGGCTCATCGATGCTCATGAGAATGATTCAGATCCAATACACAAAGATCCTAGGTCCTAAATCCCCATATACCCATCGTATATCACAATCCAAGCCTACTAACAACCCACAAGATGGTTATCCGGCGACTCACGTCTGGCCATCATCGCCGGCAGCGACACTACATCGGCAACCCTCACATATCTCTTCTACCACCTCTGTCTCGAACCGCACCATGTCACCAAACTCAGAGAAGAATTAGAACCAACATTTACCCCCGGATCCCTGAGTGAGTGTCGAGATATCCAAGATTTGCCGTATCTCAATGGGGTTATTAATGAAACATTACGACTTCATCCGCCTGTGCCCAGTGGCTTGTTGAGACAAACACCCCCTGAAGGACTTATGATTGATGGGACGTATGTACCGGGTGGTGTTACCATCTCGGCTCCTAGCTGGACCATGGGTCGTTGTACGTACACATGATTTATCATTCCAGTTCTCCCATCCTCCACACATGACAGTGACATCCTAACTAACCCCTCCCCTAAAACATAGTAAAAACCTGCTACCCCTCACCCCACTCCTTCCTCCCCACCCGTTGGTTCCCCGATCAGGCGGATCCACAGCACGTGCAAGATCAACATCAAAATCGATATCTGTTAGATAAATCAGTCTTCACACCCTTTAGCGCGGGAAATTACTCGTGTGTGGGGAAACAACTTGCGTTGATGGAGTTGAGGGCGGTGGTTGCGAGGGTGGTGATGAGGTTTGAGGTGGAGTTTGCGGTGGGGGAAAGGGGGGAGAGGTTGATGGGGAGGGAGTGGGTGGTTCAGGGGGATGGGGTTGGGGATGGGGATGGATATGGAGATGGGCGTGGGGAAAAGAAGAGGGAGAGGGGGAGGAGGGAGGGAAGGGGAAAGAGGGAACAGGATACTAAGGAGGTTTTTACGTTGGAATTGGGGGATTTGATGCTGGTTTTTGGGGGGAGGGAATGAGGGGTGAAAATATGTTGGAAATGATGAGCAGTCTTGTTCTAAGGTTTAGTAGTTGGGGCTCGGGGCTCGGTGATGAGGTGCGGATGGATGCTGACTGGTGTGGATGAATGGTTGGATGACTGGATGGATGACTGGACGATTGTGCAAGAAAATAGTAAAAATATAGATATCAATACGTATCTATAATATTGTGATCACACGGATTTGTGTGTGGAATAATGTGAGCTTATAAACAACGTGTTATTCAACAGGTTATGCACTTTAGAAAGATTGTTGATATGATATAAAGATATAGTTATGTTTGTGGGAGTCATGAAAGGGTGCTCTCGAGTATCCTACTATTGTTTTATCCTAGCCAGATATTTTGAAAGTCGAGAATAATTTGACTGGGCCTGGCGATTCAGAGTAGGTACGAATGATTAACCACTAGGTACTCGCGTTCTAGATATGCCACGATTCCAGGTATGATATGATTCCGATAGGTTGACGCCTTGAATGATAACTGGATCTTCAATCTGATAGTATTGTTGACAGCATGAAAGAGCCAACGGTTCGGTTCCCATGAGGTGATGAGTCGTGATGGTCATCGATTTGAGCGTTCTTTCAGCCATGTAAGTAACCTCTGCATCTGACAACTCAACATATGGTATAGCCTAGATCGTTTGAAATTCTAAAACTCACGAGATCTCCAAGAATGAAAACTAGTCAGATTTTAGGACACTATCCTATAGCATGTCTTCACTTGTCTCGTTATTTTAGGTAGAATGAAGTTATTGTCATCGCTTGATGACTGATTTTGTTGGGTCGACACAACTCTATCTAGTGTCCTACCGGTACATTTTCCCGATGACAAGTCCTAAGCCTGCCTACATTTTGTCTCATCTCTGTATATGATATCGAAATGATACTATAGTCATTACTTGATGACTTGTTCAATTCATTCAACACTAGTCCCTTTAGTATCATATCTCTTCTATTCGTATATCCTGCCTAATGAACTCGAGTCACAATCCAGGTAACTTCTCTTACGTTTCATTTACAGGAAATGAAAAACCAAGCTCATATAGTTAGTTTAACCAAATTACTTCGCCAAAAAAACTGAAGCCGCGTTATTTGCCTTCGGCTCGCTGATGATAACTTCATCTTGCCTGGAAAATGCCCACATTTCAGTATTCGTACTCGTATCTAATAACTCATGCGCACATGATATGTGACCTGTTATGAGACCTAGCCTATCCAAAGTATCGGGTTTTTTGATCAAAAAGTGGTAAAGAGGCGAGGTGAAATATGCTGTAGGCTGTAAAAAGCCGAGAAAGCTTATCCCCTTTTCCATCGGGTTTCTCCCGTTTTTCTATGCGTCACGCTAGAAACTTCGCCACTTCCATTCCAAGCATCAGCCACACCACCACGCAATTTTATCAGAAATACAATATAATACAACACAAACAGATGGAAATAAACTTTACATAGATATGTCACAAACAAATTGCTATTATATGCAAGATACCGAAAGCATCCAATGAAGACAGGATTCCATCAAATGCTTCAGATCTTTTGCCTCGTTTTCGGATGGAACCTTGGCAAGGGGAACCCGGGAATCCTTGCTATAAATGACACTGCCACGGTTTATGAGTCACTTTTCATCTCGGATAGATAGGATAACCTTTGAGGTGAATGAGTGAGTGAGTAACTGAGCGATTTGAGATGGAATGGAATAGAATGGTGTAACAACTCCGAATAACGGATTGGATTGTGGTGTAAGAGATTCGGTTATAAGCATATGATATGGTGACATGTAGGAAATCTATATTCGAGTCATCGAGTGATGACTATTTTAATAGTATTGTGACTCCACTGGTTGTTGAGGAGGTGATATAAGTCAAATATCCTCCGCCTTCGCTTTTGTTTTGTCTCTTGCTTTTTTATCGTTAATTCGATTCCTTGTGCTCCAATCCTTTGGGATTTATCTACTCTACCTCTCGATTTTGGTTATTGTTGTCTTGTGTACTTTCTATCAGGACTTCATGAACCAAACCTCCAGAATTCAACCCCCAAGTACCATCTCACCCCAAAATGGTCACTTCATATCTATACCCTTCCTTCTCCCCACCTTCACACACTTACATCGCCTCTCCTCCCATTCATCATCGACCAAATCGACGTCGCGAAAGGCCAGGCTCACGCGCCCGTCGCACCATGCCTCGCAAATCTGCTCTCGCCACCGATCTCAACGAAGGAATTCTCGAAGCTCGAGACTCTAGCTTCTACATCCCAAATCATAGACCTGGCAATGGTCCTTCTCCATTACTAAGACAGAACTTCGATCAGAGTTGGTTGAGATGGAAGGCGAGACAAGCTGCTGAGTTCGAGATGTTGGTTGTCAGGGAAAATATGAGACAGTTGGAGATGGAAAGGGAGATGATGATGGGAGAAGCGAAGGGGAGAGAGGAAGAAGAATTGGGGAAGATACAACGACGACTTTTTGGTGGCGAGGAGGATGATGAGGATGTGGGTTGTGATATTGATCTTTGTCCTGCTATGTTGGATGTGGTGATGAGACTTTTTGATGGGGAGGTCGATTATTTGGATCCCTAGTGAGAGTCGTATCCTAAAGTTACTTTACTACTATCCTTTCTTTGATCCACCATCCACGAGAATCTCTGGTCTCCTTTATCCAATATCATATATCAACATCAACACTATCAATACCACCCTCTGCGCTATCTACCTCTCAACCCCATTTTCCCTCAGAACCAGCGCCAGAAGGACAACCCAAAACATCAACCTGGATACTCATCAAGTGACGACTTGTAACAAATCTCTCGAAACCGATAGGCTTTACTTGTTTATCATTCTATTTCAGTAACCTACCTACCTACCCACCTATCTACCTTTCCCCTCATTATCGTATCTATCGAGTCTGCGACAATCTGGACAGGTAAAAACAGTGAAGAGAAGGGACGAGAACAAGAGAACGAGAATAGAAGGAGAAGATATTGAGAATACATCCCCATAGACCGCTACTCCTTCCACCAAAAGGAAACGAGTTCTGCGAGAGGGGCAATTTCTTCTTCTTCTTTCTCAAATTCTTGATGGTCTCCTGCCACTACGACCTTCTCTTACTTTTTGCTCTATTCAACTCTCACTTTGAGTCTCTGAGTCATCACGAGTATTGAGTACCGAGTCCCAACACCAAAAAAATGTCACGGTCACGGTTATGAAACAAAGACGTAAAGAGATAGGATAGTTGTGACAATAGGATAATAGGAAAAAACGAAAACACACAAAATACACCTTCAATTACAACATGAAGAAAGAAAATAAACAATCATTGAGAATACATCTCCACAAACCGCCAATAAATCTCACCACAAAAGGAAAGATATTATATTGTGCGAGAGGAGCAATGATTTCGTTTTTTTTTTTTCTTGTGAAAGAAGTCTGGTAGTAGGTACTGTTTATTGGGTTAGAGAAGAGATTGGTCCTCGAAAACTTGTATGGAGGGATCTGGTTGATGTTATGGTTTTGGTTTTTGCGAATTTGGGGCTGGGGTTAGTGGGAGGGGAGAGAGGGGGGAGAGAGAGGAGAGTAGAGGAGAGGACTCGAGGGGGAGGGGAGGGGAGAGATGGCTTGATGTTATGTTTTTTTATGTACTGAGATAAATGTACTTAATAATATCCGTGTGCTCACTGCCCACAGAGAAAATGGAGAAGGGTCAAGGACTGTTTAAGCTCGCTGTTGTTAGAGTTAAGATAATATATACAATAGAAATAGAACACAATAAAACATCCTCGACTTCTTTTCTGAGTATATCGAACAAGAGTCTTTTGATATTCAAATCTTGTTCGTCTATTAGATGAATATTATTTGGAATTATAGGATGAGAGTTTCTTGATATCTGAGTTTGATTTATAGTGAATTAGTATATTATCGACAGATAAGAGGAAATAGGAATATCGAATTATATATATCGAAACGGAATATTCTCTCACGCTAGATACCTTCTAAGTATATATAAGATAAGAATAAGTACTATAGCATTATATTAATATTTAATATTTTCTCTTTCTGATTATATATCTCCGAGTCTTGAAATTTCTCAATTTATACTACTCGAGTAGAGTACTAGTAGATCTAATCTAGATTAAAAGTTTTATTTATAGAATCTATAATATCTAACTCGACTTCTAAATAATCTAATTAAGACTTATATATATAGATATTCGATCTACTTCTAAACTTATTAATAAAATCCTAATACTTATATACGATTAACGTTTGTTAAGCGAAACCTTATTCTATATTAGAACTAAGCAAATATTATATTATCAAGTTTAGACGATACTAGCAAAAATCGGAATATAGAACATTCACTACGATTGCGTTTTAAATTAAATTCTACCGTGACATCATAACAGAACCAGCAACAGAACTTTACCGAACCGTTCAAGTTCAAGTTCAAGATCCATTATTCATAGGAAATCCAACACGACCCCCAAAATTCTCCCAATCAAGAAAAAACAATCCTATCAAATCAGCATCTTTGAGAAACTTGCAGTCAGCTTTATGACCTCCGAGTGAGTCTCTTATTCCAGCCGGTGTTCTGGCACGTCTTATTGTAACAAGATCAGTATATTTTCGAATGCTCGTAGAAAAGACTCATATGATTACTTACTCTATTACAGTACCAGAAAAGTGAACACTTGGCACATTTATTTAAGGAGGCCGCTTGCTTATTACACCCGTGACATGTTCTTACACCATTTACAAGTAGTTCCGTCGAGAATTTTTGGACACGGTCGCTTACTAGTAGCGCTAGCAATTTGTCTGTTGATAGGGGAAATACCTGTGTGGTTGTGTCATGTTAGAAAGATGTATCAATTATCGACTTGATGGGAATTACAATATTAAGACTTACATTAATTTATGTAGGGTCCTCAAGTCGAATTCCCGGGTTGTTTTGGGTTCTCCCTTCTCCACAGCCACGCTTCGAACTCTTTCGAGTCAAGTCCCTGAGGAACGTCATCCACGGCTGTTTTCCATTTCATCGACATGCCGTATAACTCATGCTTCAAAGGATTCTGGGAAAGCGCTTTGTATCGAAGCACGTTGGTGCTATCGTCACCTTCGAGGACAGTCCATCCACGCACTGCGCGCTCAAAAATTATCCGAGCCCTGGCTAAGTCGCCGTTAGCGATAGCGATTTGTGCAGCGTCGAAGAAAGCTCTTGGCAAGCCGTTGTCATTTGGGCCAAGTTCATTATAAAGACGGATTTGTTGATCAACGTATCGAAGTATTCGTAGTGAGGTCGACAAGATCGCCATCATGCCACCTCTGCGAATGAAACCTTCCAGCTTAAGGATATCATCCAGCCTTTTATCGATTTCTTGGCTTTGATCTGCTGGCAAGAAGCAAAGACGACATGAGCAAGTAAACGCGAATTTTCTTCGAAGAGTCTCTTGGCGGGTTTTGCGGTTGTTGAGAACGCCAAGGTAGAAAATGGTGATTTCCTCGCCGTTCTCGATGTCACGTCTTGCATGGACAGTGTGTCGATTAATGTTCCCATTCCAGCTTTTCTGAGCATGTTGTCGCAAGCATGATTAATGCGGCATGCATCAAGAAATATACCCCCTTCCTCCACAAGGTCTCCAATTGGAAGGGCGTTCGTTTGCATGATTCCTAGGTACGGCGAGGCAACATCATCCGCATAAATATTATGCATGGAAAGGAAAGCTTGTCGTTGACCCGGAGTGAGCGCATCGACTTGTTCGTGCAGAGATGTTTCCAGGGCCTTAATATCAAGAGCAGCTTCGGGCAATATGATAATGGGCTTTTCAGAGAGGATGCGCGTACCCATAGGGATCATTCGTGTGGCGATGAGTCCTTTGCCCTTCCCTGGGACCTCTCGAAGAGTGTACATGAGATCAGTCGCAGAGCTCGACATTTTCATGTAATATCCGTTCGATCGTGTATTCGAGCGGCAGATGTGCTTTTGAATGAAGATAGGTCATGGATAAACTTGTAGACTCATGCGTTGCTTTTAAACTCCTTAACATAAGTGAGGGGTTTAATACAGGATACCGAGCTCTATGTAAATTATTGAGTACTAAACCCAATGATTCATAAGCTGTGGGTTTTTTTCGGAAGCTATAAGGCTGCACTAATCTAGGTGACGATTTTGACAACGAAAACAAGCATTTGACACCGGTTTTTATCATTCCAGAAGCCTGGACTATAATGCTTTTGAAATCGTCCTTAACGCCCAATTTCTTATTTATGAACAGATTCTGAGTCACAATCTTCTTTTAATATTGATAGGCTATATCTTCTCATATTTAGCACTGAATATATAAACAAACTCAAAGTTCAGCTGACCGGATACTGGCATCAGATTTACATTAGGTCAGTGCTAACGGAAATGTAACTTCCCAAATGACCAATCACTTGCATGGTATCCAACCCTCTACAAACATTTCTTGCAAAATAAATGGAATGATCCTGTTATTTTTACGCAAACGCTTCCGTTTGTTGGGCTATGGGAATTCATCCTAACCAGATTGTGATTAGGTACTAGTACCTATTAGTACCCATCAACTTCTTTTTCTGATAGCTACATCTTTAAGACCCGACTTCTACCGTAATTTCAAGCCTTCTGAGTATTTCCTTGCATCTGGCACCAAGTTAGTAGTGACATTATCCTTTTCGAATATGTCCACTGATTTTTAACGATAAAATCTCAAGTAATTGACTTAAATGCCAACAGTCAAATCTAGATAAGATATCAAGTTCCGAGAACTCCGATTCATACGATCAAGCTGTCGATATCACAAGCGCTTCCCATTTCTATTTGTCCACTTCTGAATCAATGGATTTGCCCACAGCTCGAGAGAAGGAGACCGGCGATGTTCTGCTCCAAGAGACAGCAAACGAAAACTTTCCGATTCAGAAGTATCTGCTGGAGAATGTGGCTGAGTTTCGACGATTGACTGAGCTCCGGCAACAGGTAAATGGGTCCAGCGCTAAACTCTCAATCAATTTCGGGGCGACGACGCTGACTGGCTTAGGGATGGGACAACCCAAAAGGCGATGATTACTTTCAAAAGCAACGCCACAATGCCGACAACGCTGACGAGAAGATGGGGAATTATTTCTTTAACATGATGAAGGAAATTGCCCAAGAAATGCATCAAGCAACCTGTGCTCTCGACATTTCAAAGATGGCCAGCCCTACCATTCTAGACATGTGTATGGCGCCTGGTGGTTTTCTCGCAACGGCGCTGAATTTAAACCCAGGATCCCGTGCTTTGGGATTCAGCCTGCCCATTTCTAAAGGGGGCCACAAAGCGCTTCTAGCAAGAGATCCCAATGTCACACTCAGATTTATTGATATTACAATGCTTGCTGCAGATATGGGTGTTGCGGATATCCCTGCAGAGCATCCAGAAGCCAAAAGATTTCTCTCACAACAGCTTGACCCTGGACAGCTCTTCGATCTTATTTTGTGCGACGGCCAAGTCCTCCGAACCCACAACCGAGCTGCGTACCGAGAGACGCGAGAAGCACTAAGACTATCAATTACCCAGCTTGCCATTGGACTTGAACATGTCAAGATTGGCGGAACAATGGTCGTTCTTCTCCATAAAGTCGAGGCAGCACACAACATCTTTTTGTTGTACAGGTTCAACAAGTTCTCTTCAGTCAAGGTCTTCAAATCGACAAGGCACCATGCCAAACGGTCATCCTTCTACATGATTGCTACCAATATCCAAAGCCAGCACTGTGAGGCTATCCTAGCGGTGGAACTGTGGAAGAAGCAGTGGAAGGTCGCAACTTTTGGAACGGATGTTGAATACGAGGAAGAACTTCGTGCGACGTGCTTAAATGCAGAGGAAGTACTAGGAGAGTTTAGAACAGAGCTGGTGAGATTGGGAAGAAAGGTATGGGAAATTCAAGCTACGGCTTTAGCAAAGGCACCGTTTATCAAGAAATGATGGACTGTAGGATGCCAATGTACAACAGGCTGCGCACTGGGGCCCCTTAAATTCCTATAGGCACCTCATACCGGCCTTTTCCGTATACACAAGGAAATATTGCAAAGGGCTCATCAGATTTTTCGTTCGGATATATCAGTGGTATGATTTAGACGTAAAACCTTCGCCGCGAGGATAGGAAAAACATATGTAGTATAAAGATAGGGATTTTGGAGTGACAATAAAATAAAAGTGTTTCTGGCATTCTCTGGTAAATCTTATACTGCTGTCAATCTTAGCCAGCTAGTATACTAGTCATTCCCAGTCGTATGTGACAATAGAAATGAGCTTGGTCGATTAAAAGGGTGTTCGAGGTATGGTAGAGGAAGAGTGTTGGAGCATCGTAGAGAAAGCGTGACGAAGAGCGTTATTGTACTACAACCACGCCGGATCTTTTAGAGATGTGTACTACAGTTCGAGACACTCGTCTTGGCTTCAACTCATTCGATTTGATGCTCAGTCCAATATGGTGCAATTTACCAGCTCATTTTCACGCAACAATTTCACTCATATTTTCTTGTCCATAGAGACTTCATTCCCCCTCCAATTCTTGTAACCATATCCCATACAGTGCACAAGTCTATGTCATCCCAGCTCATCCGTTGCCCCAAGCAACGCCAATGCTTCACGCCGCGCGTAGTAACCTTCCACAAAAAGAAATAAAAACCTGACGAACCACAAACTTTATTTAGATTGGGCAGTTTTGGTGAGACCAGTGTTGGGACGCGTTCTGGGCCGCCTGGCGTTGGGCGCTGCCGCTGTGAAATGCAAGATCATGGATGAGGTCTGAAGAATTGGAAGGAAAAGGATAAATTAGCTGAACCGTAGTGGGCGGACCGTCCCTTGTCCATGCCGTGTGACATTGTGGGTTGGACCGCATTGGATGTGCTATTTTCAAATGTTAACGCTGAAAGGAGATGGAGATAGTCTGGTGGGGTGGTAGGACCAAATCGATGTTACTCGTACAAGGAGATTCACTGGACGGATGAACGCTTTTTGGTATGAGAACGTGTTCATCTGGTAGAGGACGGTGGAGATATGAGATTGGATGAATGGTTTGGTGTAATATCAATCAGGTAGGTATCTGAGAATGAACCAACAATTGATGGCGATTGTGTTTTTAGGAAATTGGTTTTAAATACTGTAATGAAGCACTCATGATGATTGGAACAACATGAGCATGTTTCTTGTGTTTTAAGTGAAGGAGGGGGGTTTGAGGAGGAGTAACTAGTAAATAAACAAGCATCTAGCTGTTTTCATCCAGCTGAGGAATAAGAAGAAATAAAAAGTTGAGAATGAAAGGAAGAGAATTACATAGAGTACACTTGTAGTATTATAAGAAGTAAAAAACGTTCTTAATTTAATTGATCCTTCGTTATCGTTTCTCTTCAGCCTTGAAAGGACTCGAGAACTTATCGTTGTGCAGTTCATCTACCGGTACAACCCTGGAAGAAAGCAAGAAAATTGGTGTTATCTGACAACTTTTTTAACTTTTTTTTATCCCCAAGTAAAATACGAAATTTATCAATATCTTGTAAACTCTTTTTTACCTTCTTCTATGGATACAATTCGGGTTATATGATAAGAAGGTCAAATTGAGAAGATAACCATTCGAGTTGCGAATTCTGCGAAAGGTTTACACGCTTTGGTTGTATATTAGTAAAGTTAACTACCTCTTCCGTTTGCCAACAAAAACTTTGGTTCTGCGACATTTGCTTGTTGAGGTTTGTCCATTGCGTATATTCTGCATGATGAGGAATCTTTTGAAGCTGATATGTTATTATACAGTTATTTATGGCTTAATGCTAATGTCAATATTACGAACTTTTCGATACCGTTTGCGATTTCAACACCTGAGAGTCATAACCAAAGCGACTACATTTTGAGTACCTGTACCTATCGAATTTCAAATAATCTACATCATATACAATGGCTGATGGACCACCTCCTCCTCCTCCTCCACCCCCTCATTGGACTCCGCCGAAAACTTCCGGTCTGCCACCAGGTAATTATGATATTTTCATCATTCCACCCCATGCTTCGGGATCAGGGTTCCTCTATTTACCTTCACTACAACCAAATATCAATAGTTTCGTAGCGGGGTTTGCATCTGCACTGGTGCTTGTCGCATTAACTTTCATACTTAAACCTCTCTTGAATACGATCAAAGGAGGTGGAGGTCCAGCGACATTGATTCTTATGTTTGCAATTGGACTGGGAGCATGGGCATTAGGGCGAATGCAATCGAACGGTGAAAGCAGGCCCGGACCAAGTCAAGAACCCGGTGTACCTCCGCATGGTGGATCACACTCAGGTACCAATAATAATACATATTCTAATGGATCGGCTTCAGGCGGTGGGCCACGAACGTCAGGAACTGGATTTTCACCAGGATCCACATCAGAGGAGGCTGGGGGACCGCCACCTAATCCGCAGGCCGGAGCAGGCGCAAGACAAAGAGAAAGTTCAGGTTGGGAAGAAACTCCTCCCCCATCCCCTGGTGCTGATCCAGAAATGCCGGGCGCAACACCCAGGGCAACCCCTGGCACAACACCTGGCGCAAACGAAGATAATCGATCGAAAGAAAATGCCTCGAAATCTGCATGGGAGGAAGCTCGAGAGAGGACTAGGAGGAAGGAAGAGGAGAAAAGGAAGATAGAGGCTGAGAGGAAAAGAAAGGAAGACTTGGAGAAGCGGTTGAGGGAATTACGAGCAAAAGAGGCTCTGGAACGAGCATCCCGCGAGAAGAAGCAAAGAGAAGAACGTGAGGCTAGGGAAAGAAAGGAAAGAGAGGAGCGGGAAGCTAAGGAAAGAAGAGATAGAGAAGAACTAGAGGCTCGGGAAAAGAGGGAGAGGGCGGCGCGAGAGAAGGAGAGAGAGGAATGGGAAAGGAGGGCGAGAATGGACAGAGAGGAACAAGAGGCACGAGAGAGGAAGGCAAAAGAAGACCGAGAAACTCGAGAACGAATTCAAGCAGAGGCTGAGGCTAAAGCAAGAGCGAACTACGACAGGAGGTTGAGAGAGGAGATAGCAAGAAGAGAAGTTCTGAGGAAAGAGGAGGAAGCCATTAAAAGGGAGCAAGAAAAACTACGATTAGAAGCTATGGCTAGGGTGGAAGCCGAAAGGAAAGCCAGAGCAGACAAGGAAAATGCAGACGCCGAGGCGAAAGCAAAAGCAGAAAAGGCAAAAGCTGCTGCGAAAGCATGGGCTGGTGCTAAGGCCGCAGCAGCAGCCAAAAGAGAGGCCAAAGCTAAACTAGAGCGAGAAAAGGAAGTGGCGGCGCAAATAAGAGAAGTCAGACTCAAAGAAGAGCGAGAAAGGGAAGCAGAGGCGCAAGTAATAGAAGTCAAACTTAAAGAGGAGCGCGAGAAGGCAGCAGCGGCGCAAATAAGAGAAGTCAGACTTAAAGAACAACGAGATAGGGAGACAGCAGCGCAAATAAGAGAAGCCAAACTTAATGAAGAGCGCGAGAAGGCAGCAGCGGCGCAAATAAGAGAAGTCAGACTTAAAGAACAGCAAGATAGGGAGACAGCGGCGCAAATAAGAGAAGTCAAACTTAATGAAGAGCGCGAGAAGGCAGCAGCGGCACAAATAAGAGAAGCCAAACTTAATGAAGAGCGAGAGAAGGCAGTAGTGGCGCGAATGAGAGAAATCAAACTTAATGAAGAACGAGAGAAGGCAGCAGCCATAGCCGCAGCAGAGGAGAGGAAACCGAATACTTATTCTTATGCTAGTGTGGGAGAGAGAATGAACCCTTGGCCAAATGGAAAACCCCCCACGGCAACACCAGCTTCTCCAACCACCAGTTCGATACCCCGACCTCATGCACGAAATCCCTTACCCAAGAAACCCCCGGTCCCAACTGCAAGAACAACGTATGCAGGTACCGACAAGGATGCTCAGTCCCACTCATCCTATGCACAACCGCCAAGACCAGCACGAAAAAAGTCCCTCGATTCATTGTATTCCGACTCTTCATACGCAGCCTCACAATCGACAAGCAAAACCACCCCTCCACCTTCGACACGAGGTGCATATAGCACCAAGGATCCTGATAAGATTGTTATCAAAGGGGTATTCGCATTCAATAATGCATTCCACAAAACCCCTACATCTCAACTTCTCTCGGGTATGGGTTCTGTAACCGACGGACTGATATTAAGAATCACAACCGAGGGTCTCTTCATCGATGATGATGTGCGAGGTGTCGCTCAACGAGAGTGGGACGTCAAGGCATGGACAATGAAACTCGTAGAGGTATGGTGCCCATCGTTCCGACAAGCATCGCGTGTTCCTCCCGCTACTACTGCCCATAAAAACCCCGTCCGACGTCTTTGGGGCCTCGATAAAGAATTAGGGGCAAGTGAAGAAGAGAAAGATGATCTTCTCGTTAGCATGCTGCAACTTTGTCGGGATAATTGTCGCGCGCGTGCGATTTCTGGTTCTTCCGCTGCGCCTTCTGCTAGTGGTTCCGTCTATTCTGCGAGTTCATATGCTTCATCTGATACACGCTCGTCTGTTTCATCTGATTACGCTGATTCCATTGGCTCGTCTCAATCTTCGTATGGCGAGAAGCACAAGCGAAACACAAACCATAATGCGCAGACGAGTCAGAATAAGACAGCCGGCTTACATATCTTGAGAGCAAGTATCAGGGATCAAGAGGGGAAGAAATATGTTTTTGTGGTGCAGGAGGGTGAGGCTTGGAAGGTGGCATTGGGGTTGCAGAGATTGAGGAGGGGTACTCAGGTGAGGAGTTTGGGGGTTAGTGGCATGAGTCCAAATGATGCGAAGGCGATGCTAGAAAACTTGGGTTGGATGTGAGGATGTGAGGATGTGTGAGAGAGGGGCATTGATCGATGGGTATGTTGCGTATGATCAATATGTTCGGAATGCGCTATGGAATGTGGATATGTCGACCACCTCCCTCACGACAACTCGGTCGCAGACATAACAGAGGAGAAAGAAAATCATGATTTGATTGTCAAGATCTAGCATTTACAAACACGACAGAAGAAGCATCAGCGATGGAGTTTTTTATTATTTATTTATTTTTTATTTTATTTATTTGTTTTGTGTTTGAACTATTCGTATTTCCACTCATCCAAAGGAGTTGGGGGGGGGAGGGGAAGGGGAAGATTTTATGTGTGTATGTGTGTGTGTTTACGGACAGGGGAGATCGTTGAGCTTTATTTGGATGTTGGGATGTTGGAAGCTGCAGTACCTAGTACCTTTGAAGAAAGAGGTGTTTTGTTGTTGTTGTTGTTGTTGTTGTTGTTAGAGAGCGTACTGTACTGTGCTGTATCTTGAATACCAATACCCAGTTCTGTCTTGTTCTGTTGTGTTCTGTTCTGAAGTCTGATATGGTTCTTGTTGGATGTTTGTTAATGAGGGAGGAGGGAGGGGGGAGAAGAGGAAATAGAGAGGAGAAGGGGTGGAAAGGGAAGAGGGAAGAGTACATAGTGATGTGATCGTAGTGGCAGTCCTAATTAGTCTAGTAGGGAAGGTTCAAATGCAAATGATGATTTAAATTAATTGCTTGTTTGAAATTCGAATGTGTTATAAGATAGTGTTTGTGTGGTCTGTCGTGTCGTCCTGTGATGAAGTGATGAATGAAGTAAGTAAGTAATGATATGATTCTATTCGCCGCGATATCTGGCTTGGTACTGTACTCGAGTAGATATACCTGTGAGTGAGTAATGAGTGGATGAGTGAATATGAGTATTGGTGTTAGTATCTACTCGAGTAATTGAATTGAATTGGCTACAGTATATATGTATATCCATTCCTCGTCCTCGTCCTCTTATCCCTTTCCCCCCTCGCCAATCAATATCTTTACATCTTTACATCTTCAGCCATATAGTACAATAGCTGACCTGTAACTAGTTTATAACTAACCCATAACTAAGCTATAATATAACTCGGAAGCAATACAATACAATATAATACAACACAACACGATACAGTAAGTAAGTAGTAAATAGTAGTAACGAGCTCTAGCTCTACAGCCTCAGTGGCCGAAGATGATCAGTGAGTTGTACTCTTGTACTCTAATTCTATCCCTCTACCTACATACCACATGTCTTCGTAATAGTATACTAACGACATCTCTGCGCTACTCATAGACGAGAAAGGGAAAAGAATACAGAGACGGCTTTGGGTAAAAGGGAGAAAACATCGATTTCATTTCATATTATGATGCTATGTATATATGTATGTATATATGGATCTTGACCTGTTCAAACGACCTACATGTCAAACTGAACTATTCATATGCTGCTCATCTCCCGCAATTAACTATGTTAGAAGTACAAGACGAGTATACAAATATTCCCTGCCATTCCCTGCCATTCCAATCCCTTCGAATCCCTATGCATTAAAGTAGCTCGCAAGTAAACCCAAATAACTCCACGTTGAAACGAAGCCCAATATTAAATACCTCCATATACGTTCCATTCCCCATTACTTTCCAGTTTGTACAATATGTACCATCCACATGTACCGAACGTCTAACGAATCTTACCAATTCTCTTCTTCGCAATGTCAAGCTTCCCCTTAACTCTGTCAGAATCCTCATCCACCCTCTTCAACATCTCATTCTGCAATTCCAATTCCCCATGAATCGCCAATCCCATTTCCCTCTGTCTCCTCACAATTTTGCCTAGCTCTTCCACATCCATATCTTGATCCTGCATCAATTCTTTTTGTAATTGTAATACACCCTCGTTATCCAATTCTTTCGTTTTATCTGTTTCAGGAACCGGTGCGCCGAGGACTCGTCCACTGGGTCGCGAGACTCCTGGTCCAAATAATGCGCTTTTATCCGCTTGTGTCGCCGCCGCATTGCCATTTCCGGAGCTCGAACTTGCTTGGTTCTTGACCGCTAACGTAACAGCCAATTTTTCCAAGCCCTCCTTCTCCACCTTCGCACTCCCCAAAAGATCCCTCCTCCTCCTAAGTTCGCCCGTCCCAACCCTCCCCTCCCCCCTAGTAACCCCATTCTTCTCTCCCTCTCCCATAACCCTCAAACCCTCCTCCAACTCCCTCAACAACCCTCCCGCCTTCACCAAACACCTCTTTGCATTCGCCCCCGCCTCATACTGACCCGCCGCCGAATTCGCCGCATCCCTCCTCCCCAAAAACAACCGCGCATCATGAAGCTGCGCCTTCATTTCCCGATGCACATCCAGCCACACCTGCGGATCCGCCAACAATTCCGCATTTCCACCCACTCCCCTCTGACTCGCCGCAATAAGTCCCTCTCGCGCACTACTCAGACTCGCACCGCTCCCACTACTACTAGGCAGATTGAGAAATTGACGCCAAATACTCGTTTCTCTCCATCGTCGATCGGGATTCTCTGCAATACTCCGTAAATAGGTTTCGAGGCCGCGACGACGGTCTTCTGTTAATTCGGGAGAGGTGATCGTGCTTTTGAACCATGTTTTGCTTGGGAGGGGAGCAGGAGGGGGACTGGGAACTTGGGCGCAGAGGGAGGAGTGGAGATTAACGAAGTCGGAGTAGCGCTTTTGGACGACGAAGGTACGGAGAGGGAGACGAAGGGTAATATTGTAGAGTGTGTAGGGTTTTTCGTTTGGTGCGCTCGAGAGAATTGTGCTGGGAATGGAGAGTTCGAGAGGTGGTGCCATGGCTTGTTGATATGAGGCGATGTGATGCGATGCAATACGACGCGGTATGTGAGGATTGATTGTTGATTGTAATTTCTTTGTAAATGCAAAGAGCCAAGAGCCGTCACCGTTTGTTTTGAAGTTGCCTTGTCTAAGCTCAAGCTTGTTGGGGGCTTGAGGTGCAACAAGGATGACGATTAATAGCGCAAAATGTCACTTAGCGATAAGGATCAAAATTGTGTGAGGTTGTGAGCTCAAGATGAACAATCAAATTGGTATTATACGAAAGAAGACTTGTGGAGTTTATATCTAACATTAAAACTCTTTATTAACCAGAGAACTCTTAAGAATTATGTATGATCTCAAAATGCTTCAGAACTGGTTCACATGCAACCTCCCGTAGCCTATAAATGCTACCAACCTATGAGCCTGTAGATTGTGCATCGCACACTCTGCTCGTTCATAATTCGTATCTCATAGCTTTTCTTGCTATAACTCCCGCGGGCCAAAGAATCAAAGAATCAGTGGATCAATTTGCAACATTTGCACAAATCCAAGTCCCATTATAGTAAAAGAATCTAGAATGTCTCTTCTTGGTCATCAACCTCCGTCTCCGCCGGAATCTCAAATCCATCTTCAGTCGAGTACAAGATAGTTTGAATATGCTTGATTAAGCCGTCTTCCTGCTTCTCAATCTCGGGGTCCTCTTCGCATGCTTGTTGAACCAGTAATTCGATATCTCTGAGTTTGCTGAAGTAGAAGTCTCGTTCACGTTCTAATCCTGCGACAGTTTCTTTCAAAGTGTCGTTCTCTGCTTTTAGAGCTGCCGAAGCTGCACCGCCGCCAACAGGCCCCCCAGCAGCCTTAGCAACTCGTGGGGCGGTCGTTGTTGGTGTTACTCCTCTTCGAGCTGCTCCAGTTCCGGCAGATGATCTTGGGGCAGCAGATGGGGCGGCACCAGGTCCTCCAGCGGCACGTCGACGAGTTACGGCATCATATTCTCCTCCCGGAAAGTATTGGTCCCAGTATCTCTTAGTCCACTGTAGGAATTCGAGGTTATCTTGCATCTTGCATTTGATGAGTTGTTCGACATGGATGTTTCGATCGACTTGATGGCGAGTAAAGCAATCTGAATGGTGGTCAGTGGTTGGAATCATATTCAGGGGAGGGTATCCAGACTTTGAAGAACTTTGAAGTTTTGTAGATATGCATACTCGGTATTTACGTTAAACTTGACTTTTGCCATAGGCACATCGAGGAAGATACTGTCGAAGACTTGGCACAAGGCAGCACTGTTTTAATCACCGGTGTAAGTAGATAGCCTTATAAGGGGGAAAAGGTCAACGGTCTTGTGCAAGGCCAAAGATTACTTACCCAGTTCCGCACTGTTCAACTTTTGTAATATTAAGTTGTAACAGGTTGTTAAGCCATGACACGAGCTCTTGTCTATATTTTCCATGTTGTTAGAGATCGAGAATTCTTGTTGATGTTGTACTGTATGAGTCCAACGAACCTTGATTCTCCCATTTTCAAAGGAGGTCTTCAAATAGCAAAGTTGATGGAACGAGCGAGGTGTATAGTTTGATAGATAGTCTAGTAGACTTTAGTTGTGCCACAAGACAACCAACGACGTAAAAATTAAGATTTTTCTGTGAGAAGTTATCGCAACCAACGAGAGTCTTATTTAGGTTCCGTTGACACTTCTGTCGCCTTAGGTAACCAAATTCTACAACAAACGAGAATTTGGATCACGTGATTGGGAGCCATCGGACTTTCCTGAACTTATCTCCAATTCCATCAACGTAATTCATCCTTGTTCGTATTTGACAGTAGAGAGAGAGAGAGAGAGAGAGAGCATACAATTGGTGTTATTGCAATTTCCACTTCTCCCCTCATAATCTCTCTATTAATGAGCTTTTAATGACATGGATAATGCCATTATATATTAGTTGATCAGCTTCTCTCGATCTTTGATTTTCCCTTTCCTCTTTCACGCATGAACTCTTCTACCTCTGCAAAGCGGCGTTACACTGAGTTGATCAAGTGACCAAGTTCCCATCCTTCATTCGACAATGCTACCGAACATGTTACTTGGGGAACTCGGTCTTTTCAAGACAAGAACACTGTCATCTTTGACACCACCCTTGCACGAAAGCCACCTCTATGTATCTTGGATGATCTTTAAGGTAGGTGGTACGCTCCAGAATATTGAGAGTGTTTTCCACCATCTATATCCAAGCCGGCTCTATTGATAAAGGGCGTTGCATGATTGAGCTAGTGCATCAGGGGAGCAACCCCGCAGATCCCACAACTTCATGAAGTACCGGTGGGTGTTGTGCCGAATTTTCGAGACGGGACGAAGTTGAAAAAGAGGGAAAATATGTCTTATCGATGACTGTAGCACAAGCCCAGCTCAGGATCACATTTGTATTACTGGCTGGATTATTCCGCATAGTCTTAGTATTATACCAGGAAAGGATCTGTCTCTGTCTAACGTCTCCATGATCTTGAAAGCTTGATTTCATCGTTCGTTGAACTTCCTGTTTCGTCCATACTGATTCAATCCCACCCATGCGGGACATGGTTCTTGAATGATAGGCCAGATCATACAGCACACAGGATCATGGTCAACATGAACCTCGGAATGCAAGTATCACAAGCTTCTTTCTTTTTATCCCCGTTGACAGCTTTTAACTATAAAAGTTGTCTTGGTGTACATGCATACGTTCTTTCCATCGCCTAATTTTTCTATATCATGAATCCTTCCCGCCCATCAATTGACTAGCGAAAACCTTAGCACCTCGAGAGTTATCCAGCCAATTTCTACTTTTCAGGTTAGAGCATCCTTGCGATGTCTTTAATTAAGGTCATCTTCTTGATTTTCTCTTTGTCGCTATTGGGGCTTGGGCAAGCTAAGCTACCTTCGTTCATACATAAGGCTCCACCCATTCCCCCTCCTAGCGAGGAAACACTCGTGAAAAGGGATTCAGTTCCTGCGGGATATGTTGCTGTTCCATATTACCCTTCGCCGAAAGGTGGTTGGGTTAGTAGCTGGACATCAGCATATGCAAAGGCACAAACTGTAGTTGCACAAATGACATTGGCCGAAAAGGTCAATCTCACGACTGGAATTGGAGAACTTATGGGAAGATGTGTTGGCAATACAGGCTCTGCACTAAGATTCGGTATTCCCAGTCTTTGTTTACAAGACTCGGCACTTGGTATAGCTGCAACCGACTTCAATACTGCTTTCCCCGCCGGCATTACCACCGGTGCAACATGGAGCAAAGATTTAGCCTATCAACGAGGTCTCGCGCTAGGTGCAGAAGCACGAGGAAAGGGGGTCAACATTCTTCTAGGTCCAACAATTGGTATGTATGAAGAGCATTTGTAACGACACCATTATAAAGACATTCTTTGAGTTGAAAGTCATCAATGTCCAAATTGCTGACTCTCTTTAGGTCCAATTGGAAGGAAACCGCGTGGTGGTCGAAATTGGGAAGGATTTGGCGCTGGTAAGAGTCGACCAGAAGTATAGTCTCAGGTGCAACACTAAAACATGGGAATCTAGACCCCGTCCTTCAAGGAGTAGGCGCTGCCCAAACAATCAATGGAATTCAAGCGAATGGCGTCATATCAGTTCTCAAGCACTTCATTGGAAATGAACAAGAAGCATACCGAATGGATATCATCCCTCATGGGTTGATGAAAGCTCTCAGTAGTAATATCGATGACAGGTATGTGTGCTTCCAACATAGGTCTTGCCAAGTCTAATTTGTAGAACTCTTCATGAGTTTTATATGTGGCCCTTTGCGGAGGGTATTAGAGCTGGAGTTGGAGCTGTTATGACAAGTTACAATGATGTGAGTGCATGTCTCTTGTGGTTGTATGAATGAATCCGTTCAGTGGGTTTTGAAAAAGAAATATGAAATACCAAGTCGAGTACATCAATCGGTCAACGAGAAGTACCCGAAAGGAGACATTCCAAAGATTTCTTTCATCGCTCGATCAATACTTAGACTGAACTTCAAATCCTTAGTTTCAGCTTTGTAGACCCTCAAATGCATCTTGCTGACAAAATAAGGTCAACGGAAGCGCGGCAAGTCAGAATTCCTACCTGATCAATAACCTTCTCAAGGATGAACTTGGCTTCCAAGGCCTGGTGAGAATCTATTTATCAATGTTTCAATTCATTTCTAACATTATATAGGTTATGACGGATTGGCTAGCCCAGATTGGTGGTGTCTCGTCTGCTTTGGCTGGTCTCGACATGGCCATGCCTGGGGATGGTGGAATTCCCTTCCTCGGCGAAGCATACTGGGCATATGAACTCTCAACTGCTATTTTGAACGGAACTGTTCCAGTCGATCGATTGAATGATATGGTTACCCGAATCGTTGCAACTTGGTAAGCTTTCATATGCAAAAGTCATCCCCCAAAAGTGCTCCAACTCGAGACAAACTCTCCTTAACATATTATTTTCGGGGCCTATGGCTAACGTAAGATTTTATATAGGTATCAACTTGGACAGGACAAAAGTTTTCCGCCACCAAATTTCTCCGCGAATACTTTGGACACTAACGGACCATGTTATCCAGCAGCATTGTTTTCTCCAACATGCACGGTAAACTCACATGTAAACGTTCAATCCGATCATGCTGTCATTTCTCAAAATATCTCGAGAGAAGCAATAACCCTTTTGAAAAATGTCAATAACACGCTACCTCTCTCAACCTCCTCAGCTTTGAAAGTTTTTGGTTCAGATTCCGCAAATAATCCTGCAGGTCCTAATGCTTGCAATCAAAGGGGTTGTGATATCGGTACTCTCGGCATGGGGTGGGGTTCAGGTACATCTACTCGTCAATCCAAATTATTTAGTGATAAAGCAAACTAATCAAGCTTATAGGCACTGCTAATTATCCATACCTTGATGCACCTATTGATGCAATCAAGCGAAAAGCTTCTAATGTCTATTATTCGAGTAGTAATAGCTTCCCATCTGGTTTGACTGCTCTCCCCGGGGATATTGCCATTGTCTTTATCAACAGTGATTCTGGAGAAAATTCAATAACCGTGGAAGGTAACAATGGAGATCGTTCATCGTCAGGGTTATATGCGTGGCACAATGGCGATGCACTTATTCAAGCAGCCGCAGCGAAATACTCCACTGTAGTGGTAGTTGTTCACACAGTAGGACCGATTCTTGTTGAGAAGTGGATAAATCTTGCTTCGGTCAAAGCAGTACTCTTTGCCCATCTTCCGGGTCAAGAAGCTGGAAATTCATTGACGGATATTCTTTTCGGTGCATACTCACCTAGTGGTCATTTACCTTATTCTATTCCTGTCTCAGAAAGCAATTACCCATCCTCTGTTAGTCTTGTCGGATTCGCGCTTGGCCAGGTTCAGGACACTTTCTCTGAAGGTCTGTATGTCGATTATCGATATCTTAACAAGCATGCTATTAGCCCTCGTTTCCCATTCGGCCACGGACTTTCCTACACTACATTCTCAAGAACAGCTGCTCTCGCAGCCGGAAAAGCACTCACACCAGTTCCTCCGGCTCGAGCAGCTAAAGGTTCAACCCCAATATATAGTGCAGCCATTCCTTCCGCGGCAGAAGTCGCCTGGCCAGCAGGTTTCTCTGCTATAGGACGATATCTCTACCCATATCTCGACAATCCCTCGAACATCAAGTCAGGTACATTTGCCTACCCTACCGGCTATACCAATGTTTCCAAACCCGATCCTCCATCTGGTGGGTGTCAGGGTGGAAATCCTGCACTCTGGGATGTCATGTTCACTCTTTCCGTCACAGTGACCAATACTGGCCCCGTAGCTGGTAAATCTGTCGCCCAGCTTTACGTTCAATATCCCTCCGATTCTGCATATGACACTCCCATCATTCAGCTGCGAGACTATGCTAAAACGGAGACTCTGGTTACAGGTGGGAAACAGGTTTTATCCCTTGTAGTTACGAGAAAAGATATCAGTGTCTGGGATGTGACGAAACAGAACTGGGTGATTCCGGTCTCTACGACGAAGCCATTTGTGTTTTGGGTTGGAGATAGTTCGGGCAACTTAACTTTGGCTTGTGAGAGTATTAGTGGAGCATGTAGTGCAAGTAGGACGCCGCCTGTGGTTTAGAAATTTCTTTGGTGTGAGATGTGAGATGGGAGAATGATATGTCAATGCTTGATCTTAAGGGTGTATTTTGGGAATGATCTATGCAGGGTTTCCTCTAGTCCATACTAAATCCATTAATGAATCCGTTCGATGCTGAGTTTTTGGTATATTCAAAAGATCTGAAAGATTTACAGCTTTTCGATGATTAAGGACTTGATATTTGAAAGGAAAAATGAAACATCTACATTCCATTGTGGAATATTCCCTGTGTCTTCCCTATTTGGAATAGATATCCCGAACTAGCGGCGGATGCGGAAACTAAAGATTAGTTCCTTATTAGAGTTTGGCTAAAGTCAGGTACGAACATCTGACGTCATGACTTATTTCCTTTCAAGCCTTTTATCAACCTTCACTGATACCAAAACTATACAACCTCACTTGTTTGTACTCGAGTAGTCCAACCACAATCACATCTTTGTAAGATACAGTTCATACTCTAAAAGAACCAGATAACCAGATTTCTGTACTGTACCGATATGCCAAAACCACGTGTAATATATTGGTTTCGAACTGACCTCCGCCTTCATGATTCGCCCGCTCTCGATGCAGCTCTCAAACTTGACCCAGAAGCGTTCTGGCCAATATGGACATGGGACCCCCATTATGTATACCGCGCTCGTGTGGGAGTTAATCGTTGGCAATTTCTGTAAATACATCTTAAGTCTGCCCCACAAAGAAAAAGTCTAATGATTCAAAAGTCTGGATTGCCAAAATGATCTCTCAAGATCCATCACCAAAATCAACCCACAATCTAAACTTTTTCTGCTTCGTGAAGCGCCACAGACTTTGTTTCCCAAATTATTCAAAGCATGGAGGGTAACACATCTGGTATTCGAAAAAGATACTGATGCTTACGCTCGCACGCGCGACGAAAGTGTCATGAAGGCTGCAAAAGAAGCAGGCGTGGAAGTAATCATTCGTACCGGAAGAACTTTATGGGATAGCGATGAATTAGTCGCTCGAAATGGAGGAAAACCTACTATGAGTATAAGTACTGTTCAAACACTTGGCCCCAAAATTGGGAAAATCCCAAGGCCAATCTCAGCTCCAACTACATTTCCGAATCCTGGGAATACGAATCTAGACTTCGAACAAGAGTCCCCAGAAAAAGGTATAGATTTGAACAGTGGCGCGCGGGAGAATGGTGATGGCGATAAATCCTACAAGACTATCGCCGGACCGAACCACGATTTTGCGGTTCCGACATTAGAAGAATTGGGATTTCCCGCTGCGACAACATCTCATCGAGGAGGCGAGACACTCGCTCTTCAGACGCTTGATAAGCTCATGGAGAACGAGGAGTATATCGCCAAATTCGAGAAACCAAAAACGGCGCCTACGGATTTCGAACCACAAGCTACTACTTTACTCTCTCCGCATCTACACTTTGGATCCCTATCTATTCGAGAATTCTATTGGAGAGTAAAAGATCTCGTCGCAAAATATCAGGGAAAGGCATCTCAAACACCGGTTTCTCTAGAGGGACAATTACTATTTAGAGATATGTACTTTGGCGCTCAAGCTGCTATTGGTTATGAATTCGCGCAGACAGTTGGGAACGCTCATTGTAGATTTATTCCTTGGCATCTTCGCGACCCCGTTTCCTTGATATCATCATCTGGATCTCCAAATCCTAATTCCCCACGTGAGCTCAATCTGTTCTTTCATGTTGCACTCCCCGATGTCCACTTTATCTGAATGTTCCAGTTTTTGCATGCTCTTCACTTTCTAATACAGCTTTAACTCATCATTTTCCTCTGAAAACCTTCCTTTGAAGACAACTACTGACTCCCCCGATGTTGCAGTTCAAGAAAAATGGCTCTATCGCTGGACACATGGTCTCACTGGATTCCCCTTCATCGACGCATTAATGCGACAATTACGCCAAGAAGGCTGGATTCATCATTTAGGCCGTCATGCCGTAGCATGTTTCCTCACTCGAGGCGGTTGCTATATATCCTGGGAACGAGGAGCCGAAGTCTTCGAAGAGTTATTGTTGGATCATGAGACAGCGTGTAATGTAGGAAATTGGCAGTGGTTAAGTTGTACCGCATTTTACCACATGTATTATAGGATGTATAGCCCGATAGCTTTTGGCAAGAATTGGGATCCTGAAGGAAATTTCGTGCGGAAATATGTACCGGAGTTGAAGGGGTTAAATAAGAAATTCATATATGAACCGTGGAAGGCGCCGATGGGGGACTTGTTGAAGGCGGGGATAAGGATTGAGGGAGATGGGATGGATGGGAAGAAGGGGGGGTGTTATCCTAAGCCGATGTTTGATTTTGGGGAGAGGAGGACGGTTTGTTTGGGGGCCATGAAGAAAGCGTATGCGGTGGGATTATATGGAAATGATGAGAGGGTAAAGAATGGGACTTGGAGAGAGCTTTTTGGGAAGGACGACGAGGGATTAAGCGGAGTAATAGAGAATAAGGGAGAGGTTGGTGGTGGTGATGAGGTGGGAGATGGAGATGGGGCAATTGAGGAGGATGAGAGGGGCGCGGCGCGAACGGGAGATCATGATATGGGAAATAAGGTTATTGGGCAGAAGAGGAAGAAAGAAAAGGGACAAGCGACTCTTGATGGAATTTTTAAGAAGAAGAGAGTTTGAAGTTGGTTACTCTACATTGGAATGTTGGGCGGAAAACGAATGTTTTCGCTTGGGGGGTTTCAACTTTCAAGGTTCACCTGGTCAATCGATCTTTGATAGAACTATTCACCAACCTAGAAATATTTTGAAGAAGTGATAACTTTTCTATGACAGATGAATTTCGGCTTTATGATCCGCAGTACCTCTAATAAATTGTTTGCTCAAGCATTGCATTTCTCTTCTCTTCTCCTCTCCTCTCACCAACGATTATTAGAAACCTCATCACTAATTCATTCCAGACATTCCTTCCGTCGATCCTTCAACAATAAATCTTCTCTTATATCATCACTGGCAGGGAGCTACAGTAGCTACCTAGCTAGTATATCCGAATAATCATAATCTCGGAGTCACTACTGTACATAATTAAGCGACAACACCGACACTAACACCAATTACGAGTACAGTAGTTCAGTGATCTGGAGTTTGGAAGCTATATAAGTGCGTATACTCGTACTCGAGTAGATAAAATAGCATTTTGTAGAACGAATTTGTTTGGGTGTTTGTTTAGATGTGTGTTCAGGTGTTTGTTTGTTCTACAAGAAATACCTAGGTAGGGTATTGGTATGCAAAACATGGATGGGTACCTAGTATGGACTCGGAGATGGCGGCTTGAGGACTGGTTTGTGGGTTTTTGATATCTAATAGTAATAATAATAATAATAATAATAATAATAATAATATTGGAGAGCAGATGTTATGAATAGATATGCTGTGTATGATACTCGAGTACAGTATTCGTAGAGGAAGAGGAAGAGATATGTAAAAGATAATAGAATTAGATGGGTTTGATGATGATGATGATGATGATGATGGTGATTCGAAAGGAAAAGATATTCATGCTTGTTTGGAAGATTCTGTTATTTATTTGTAAGACTTACAAAATACTCTTCTCAGAATAAGAATTTCACAAGGTTGTTTATATTGGAACTTAGAACTTGGAACTTGGGAAAAAGCTAGGACCGGTATATCATCGCTTAGGACAACTCTGAATAACCTTAAGCTTACTGGAAGGAGATAATGTAATCGCTGCATCTTTCATCTTCCATATTATATTTACCAGCGAGGATGATCGAGGAATATGTTATATATGGGAGAAGGAGGAGGAATAGCGATGCAGCTATGTACCTTGCACAGAGATGCAAAGGAGAAGAGTCTACAGTACTGAATATTATTAACTTGAAAGTTGAAGGCATGTTGAGAATTTGACAGTAATGAGTTCTGTAACTTGAGATACTTTATATTGTTCTAGACTACCGGTATATATTATACAATTTGTTATAAGCTGCAGTAATGTTTTATTATCATTTGTACTCGTAAATTGATAATGTATTACTCGTAGCTTGACTCGCAAGGAGATAAATCTCGATATTCTACCTCAACTTCGACAATCATGCATTGGCTGCATTTGTTTTCAATGATTTTCTACTGCTTTATTGGAAATTGAAATGTTACTACCAATACTACCAGTACTATTGTAAAATTTAATTCACGGGTATTGAAAGTATGATGGTGGAGAGTGAATACAGTGGTAACAGTACCTTTCAAATCGAAGCGTGAATGAGAAGTGGAATGGAGAGTGAGTCTCGGGCTCTTTCTTCATCATGTATCAGGGAAGTAATGGGGGTAATAGGAAACGGTATTCTCGTTATTGGTACTTGATACTTGGGTACTACGATGAGGGTTGAACAATATCAATAAGAATTTATATCAAATACAAGAGAAAATAGGTTCAAGTATTTGCATTCAGATTTATATTAATTTGATGTTACTGATGGTCACGGTATGGCTACTATGATGTCACAAGTTCTCGTATTAAGGGTGTCGTTTAGGGTAGGGGGTTCTTTCAAACCAATACATTAATATAGTCTAATGCTAAGTGGCTAAGTTCATGACCTTAATTGATATCAATTTCATCGCACTGGTATTGGATTCCTCTGATCTTAATTTTGACTTGAACTCAACCTCGATTGATATTTGTCGCTGCTACTTGAGTATTGTGATGCACATTTGACCAAGAATTTGAAAGGAAAGGAAAGATACAGATGGAGTTGAGGAATGTACTTCAATACCATAATATCTCAGGCTCTCAGAAATAGGAATATACCTAGACTTATATATCATATGAATCAACTTAGGTTTCCTTTACATAATAATCCATAGTTCATGACCGCTCCTACTACATCCACGTCACGGGATCATCCCATCCCAACGATTCTGCCAAGACGAAACTTTATCTAGTTGGCTATGGCATTAGCTTATCTCCACAGTTGCTTGTTTCAACCTTGTATTCTTCTTTCCTCTCAAATATACCAATCATACACTGTTCTTCATCTTCCTAATAATCAGTCTATCCTGCGGAACCGACACAAGAGGGGGTGAACACATTTCTGCAGATCCTTGTACTGCAAATCATTTGAAAAAGTCGTTTTTATTCTTGTTGACTCGTCAGCGCCAAGTGGTCAAACGACTGATTAGGAAAAATATAAACTTGGCAGTTCGAAATAAATTCGGAATTTCCATGCTAATAAAATACATTACCCAGACTTTTTTCGTGGCTTGGGAATTTGAGTTTCGAGTTGAGGGAAATGTGCGCATAGGAGGAGTCTTCATTTACAATGATATCAAAATCATCAACATATTGGTCGACTAGTCGAGAATGTGATGAGTTCTAGATCTACGCATAGCCTCAAGAAAGATAAGATTGTATAAACTTATTTCATGGTTTCAGAATCGATGTTCTATCGAGTCATCCAATCATTCTGGCATTTTCTAGGCTCTCCCATCCTTTGAATGCAATCTATCTCTCGAGAATTATATGAGATCTACTCCGTTTAGTAGATCGCAATATCTCCACATGTTTCCTCTTTGTTGTTTACAGCCTCCGATATGGTGAATTTTCGTTCTCCTTTTGAAAGTTCAAAGGGGCACCCATCGACGAACATCCAAGGAAGAAGTAACTCGAAGGAATATATAAGTTGGTCAAGTACCGGTAGCCATCTATTATCATTCTTCATCTCATCTTTATCTTCATCTTGCGCTCTTTCTTACATCCTTTACCATCCAGGCAATTCAGTCTTTCGTTTCATTCTTTGCTGGCAAAACTTATTTCAACATTTCAATTCAAGTTCTTATCAGTCAATTTCCCCTCGAAAACATCATGCAATTCTCATACGCTCAATTGGCCATCTTGGCCATGGCACTCGGTGTCGCTAGTGCGGCTCCTACCATGAATCTTTCTGGTGTCGAAACACGCGATGCCGACCGCATTCACTTCAGGCAGCTCATCCACGATCGCAAGACTTCTGATGATGATGACAGTAGTAGTTCTTCAGGGTTAGTGAACAAGAACATTTACAATAGTTTCCTCATCATCCGAACTTGACATCCCAAATTTCCCGGAGCAATACTGATTCCAAGGTGCTACACAGTGCTAAAGCAACCACCACTAAAAAATCCTCGAAATCCTCCAAAACATCAACCAAAGCTTCAGCATCCAAAGCCACCGGTTCTTCCTCATTTAACTCCTCGGGCTCTTCCGGATCCAACTCCTCAAGTGCCGCCGCATCAACCATCACCAGCTCCGCATCTTCTAGCAATGCATCCACCGGCACGACCGGCAATTCCATGCCCGCATCCTCAGGATCCTCGGCCCTTTCCGCCGTCCAAACTATCGCCGCAGGCGAATCCTTCGATGGCGGCATGTTCGTATATGATCGAGGAGTCAGCTGTACAGGACAATCCGAAGGCGGCGACAGCGACGCCGTCTTCCAAATCGAGGCTGGAGGATCCCTCTCCAATGTCATCATCGGAGCCAATCAAATCGAAGGTGTGCATTGTCAAGGAGGTTGCACCTTGACTAATGTGTGGTGGTCGGCCGTCTGCGAAGATGCTTTCACGATCAAGAAACAGGATGCCGGGAAAACGACTACGATTTCTGGCGGTGGCGCTTTTGGTGCCGATGATAAGGTTCTTCAGCATAATGGCGCCGGAACCCTTTCGGTTTCTGATTTCACCGTGGATACTTTTGGGAAGTTGTATAGATCGTGCGGAAACTGCGATAGTATGTATGAGAGACATGTGATTATGGATTCCGTCACGGCGACCAGTGGATCCGAACTTGCTGGTATGTTTATCCTAATTTCCCCTTGATTTCCCACCTTTCGAGTTTTCACCCTCATAAATCCTCTTCTGGAGATTACTTACTGATTTGATTGTCTATGTATAGGTATCAATTACAACTACGGCGATACCGCCACCTTCACCAATATCGTCGCAACGGACGTCGATGATATTTGTGTGGAATACACGGGTACAGATGATAACAATGAGGAACCCACAGAGTACAAGACTGGTGCCGATGGTACATATTGTATCTACAGTACGAGCGATGTTACATCCTCGTGAGAAGTTCGAAAGTGGACACTTGATCTTGCGAGCTGGGTTTGCACTCTCAGTCTGGAGTGATGATAGGCTATGGGGTGGATTAGATAGAGTCTTAGATGACAACTAGAAGTTGTGGGGTTTTTTTACTCTAAGAGTCTGGGACTAGAGACTACGGTTAGAAGGTAGAACTTGGGAACTTGGGAACTTGGAACTTTATTCTTGTATATTATATTATATCATATTTGCTTGCTTGAGACATTAGAAAATAGAAAATGTAAATTATGTTTTTGATTTTGTTAAATCATAATTGGATTTACAATACCGTACTCGTGATGATATTTGACCGACAGTGACCTACATCCTTGGACCTTGATGAAGGAATTGGATTAGAACTCTTCAATATTCGAACTGTTTTGGCATTCTTATCCATTCATTAACTATCATTCATCTTCACTTTCATCTTCATCTCTGACTCTAACTCCCACACCCGACCATTTAATAATTAAAAATAAATACACCTACAGTCAGTATAATACCTAAGACTAATACTAACTATCTCTACCCATATATCATCCGTCATCAAAAGATATAAAAAAAATTTATCCATGTTTATAAATGTGTTTATATCAATCTTATTATTATTATTATTATCTCAAAGATAAAAAAGAATTAACACCAAATTTGAACCTCCCCCTCCCCCCTCCCATCGCCAAAAAACACCATCTACCATCCATATCCACAACCAATCCTCTACCCTCTACAACCAATCCTCTACAATTCTCATTCTCATTCTCATTCCCATCCTCATCCTCAACCATTATAATAGATAAATACTAATACTAATATCCATAATCCCTGTGACCACCACCATGGCACCATCGACTTGTATCGCTAGGGAAAATCGAGGATTCATGTTCCCTTTCTCCTTTCTCCGTTCTTTCTTTTCTGTCTTCGAGTCTTCGAGTCCTATTACTATTACTATTTTTATTCTAATTACATGTTCATGTCCATGTCCAGATTCCTATTCCTATTCCTATTCCTATTCCACATATAAAACACCCACCCACTCCCCTAGCTCACAAGCTCACAAGCTAGCTATCAGAAAGCATCAATAACCCCCCTTATTCCTTCCCCTTCTTCCTTCCCCTTCTTCCTTCCCCTCCTCCTCCTCCTCCTATGACCCCAACTCCAGCCAACTCCAATTCCAATTCCATATCAAGCTGCTATCTCCCAGCCGTACGTATATGTGTAAAGACATAGAAACACCAAACTCTCCATCTCCATATCCATACTATACCACATAACCGCCATCCCTCAGCTGAGCCGACCATACTATTATAGTAGAGCCTTTGAATTCCATTTACAAATTCCACATACAAGTTGCAAGTTGCAAGTTGTAATTCCCTTATTCAAATATCCATTAGCGAATGCGATACCGGTACATTGTATATATGATATCTCCACCCCACTCCAACCTCAAGTACTGAAAATTTCTTGTCTGTGATGATGACTCACTCGGTCATGTATTAAGCGGATTAAGCGCAGCACTATTGCTGTGCCACTCTGAATTCTCCGTCGCATCACTGATACTCTGCGATCCCTCAACCAAATTACTACCTTGCGGCTCCCCAACCACATCAAGACTCGTAACCCTCTCTGCTCCCCCATCATCATCATCATCATCATCATCATCATCATCACCCATACCCTCCTCCCTAACCAATAAATCCCCATACCCCGGCAACTCATCCACAGCCCCACTACCCACGACTCTCGCCGCTCCCCCAGTAGCAACCTGCACCGTAACACCATGCACCATCGACTCCCTATAACTCGGCAATACTTCTTCCATCTCACCCCCTCTCCCTCCATCCCCTTCTCCACCACTTCGTCCCTCGCCACTTCTCCTTTGCGCAACCTCCCTATTCTCCTCCCTCTCACTCCACAACATGTGTTTCCGCCTCAGTACTCTATTAATTTCCGCTGCAAAAAAGCCCATTGCTCGATGATTACCATTTCTTCTCGCCAGATCAATCTGTTCCCTTAAATCCCTCTCTTCCCTCTCAAACCTACACTGTCTCTTCCATTCCTCATACCAGAAACACAGAAGCGCCACCACTAATTTCTGCCCATCGATCGGCAGGCCCGTCGAAGCCAGTTGATGCGGTAAATTCCTCGTAATCGCTGCAATCTTCACCGGCATCTCATCTTCACTATAAACATTACATCTAGCAGCCGACATACTAGTCAGAGAAGAAGATACTGGCGCTTCTAATAATATTCCATGTTTCACAAGCGCTTTGTGGATTTTCACACTCGAAGTCTCGAGGTCGACAATGTCGGTGATGAGGAAAGCGCGCTCGCCGAGATATGTGGGATGAGGGAGACGCCGTTGGTATGTGATGAGAGCATCGCATTGGGCGGGGGTGAGGGTGATGTCGGTGAGGGGAGGAGGTTCAAAGACGGTACCGACTGCGTGGAGGAAGGCTCCGGAGAGTTTGCGCACGCGTTCCATGGTTGATGAGGGCCCTTGTAGTTGTGCCACTCCGTGTACTATTTTGGAGGTTTCGGTGGCTGATGGGATGATATCTGATTTGATGAGATTGATGGATGGATGGATGTGAATGCAAGGTACTGTATTGCCCCCGTCCACAAATGATGTTGATGCTGGTACAGTATGGTTTTGAATATGGAAGGTGCTCAGTGCTTACGAGCAAAGATGAAGTCATTCATTCACAAATGAGGGGTATCCATTTGCGCACATGTTTCGTACTTACGAAGTACAGGTTATATGCATCAGTGACCCATTCACCATGCATACATCAAGAATGCACGAGATCATTGGTTAAAAGGAGCAAGGCTGAAAAAGAGCAAGGCTATTTCTAAATCAAACATAGAGATCATGAGATGGAGGAAATGACCATGTGACCCCATTTCCAACCAATGCAGAGCTGACACCAAGATCCAGATTCTAGATTGAGAAATCATGCACGAGACGCTGAAGGATGGCTGCAGCTAGGGTTGCAGTTATAGATTTGGGTCACGAAATGATCACTTGAACATTCTTCCCGTGATTTCTTGGGCTTTGAAATTGGGTTGTGATCGATTATTGGGAGGCGTATGTGGGTGCCAGTGGGTACGTATGAAATCGCAGAGTTGCGAAGGAAGCGAAGGAAGTCGACCCCCACAAATACTGTGTGGCGAGTGCATAACCATACCAACTTTTTGAAGCATCGTCGACCTCAACAAGTGTGGCGGCGATACCGATATTCATTAAGCAATGATGTTCCACATACCTATCCACATACAAAGCCACGAACAAGTATTCGTGATCAATAAAAGTTAATGAAAAGTTATTGACGTGGTGTTGCACTGCCACAGCGAGCGACCAAATAGCGCATCGTTCAACCCGTTGTCCGTGACGAAAAATTGTCTGTTCCCGACTCGCGATTATGAACGGCTCCATGCGTATTGCCCTCAACTGCTCCGTAAACTATCTAGTACAGTATCGCCTCCTCACTTTTTTTTCGCTGGCATTATGGACTTTCTAGGAAAGAGAGAAACATTGCAGATATTCCGCCTGGTGTTCAGCTGTTCTAGGATACCTACCTATGCCACGTTGATACGCGTTATACCGTACCTGTACCCAGATAGGCTTTTGGATATCGGCGGGTGGTGATCCACTGACTTATTAGATACCTGGATTTGGTATCTTGAGACTCAGATCTGATAATAACCGCATCGATATTCCCGAAGCCATTGATATTCATGGTGATTGTGGTCATTAATATGGCTATGGTTACATTCAGAAACACCATTTGGAAGCCCGATATAACCAGGGATATTTGATGGGTATTCATTGATAGGTTCATTGCATTTTGACCATGAAAACCTGAAACAGAATAACTAACCCAACATTCGATTTGTGTGAAATCGGTGCGAGTAGTTCTAGATACGAACTAAAACCTCGGACGATATAATAGATCTCATGTGCATGTGGATAAAGCGTGGGTAGAAAGAAAAAGAGCCAGACAGGGCACGGCGCCAAATCCACATCGTGTCGTCGATCCGAATGGGAATATCTTCTGGACGAATCCGCAACGTGCTTTCCCTAATTCCAGAAAATGGAAAAGTCGATGTCATGCGTCACACTGCATTTGTACCCTCTTCCTGTACCGGTAAAGTTCAAGTATCTAAGCGCGCATGTAGAGTCACCTGGTCGATGGTTACGCTTATTCCTGTGTCCATTACTTTATCCTCTAGAGCAAAGTTCTCTTCGGGCATCAAGATGGACATGCTTAAAAGCGCTTCGATGCGGGCAAGGACAGATGACAGATGGATGAAGCAAGCAGATGATAGGTTCAAATATTGAAAATATTGCTCACCGTAAGATGCTCAGGTACGAAAGTTCGGCTTTTGTGTCCTGGTGATCATGTACTACCTAGGGCAGGCAGTATGCAGATGCAGATTTCTCTGCCATTGAATTGCTTCTGATGTTGAGATAAAATGAAAGTCACGAGAGTGAAGAGTTTTGAAGTTTGGTCTCGTGAGTAATCAGATTGATACTGTACAAATTTGATGTTAGGCTTGTGATGGATCCGAGGTTCAATGATGTGGAACATAATTGTGGTGGGTGTGTACCGGTATTGCGTGGTTGTGTGATGCTGCTGTGTGGCTGTGGTGCAAGTTGTGGTTGTTTTTTCTCTAGGTGCGATGACTCTGAGTCGTACGAGACGAGACCCTATGACGGCAGATTTAATATCGGAACGAAAGACAGTTAAGTTATTTTATGGACAATTATTATTTAAAAGCAGCGAGACTGAGATAGTAAAAACTCCTCGTGTGGCGGTGCAAAATTAAAAAAATTGATCCATCCCCATTCATCCCACTCATTGTGATCAAGCAGAAGCAAGTCAAGCAGCAAAGAGTTTCCATCACCAATTCGGCCGGCAGACCGATAAAACCTAATTATAGATATGTGGATGAAAACAAATGCTCAACGTCGCCACACTTCGTTACATCCTATGATATCCTATGATTCCTATCGTATACCATAAACGCGTACACCGAGATCTGATCAATGACAATGACGGTGCTTCTCCGAGGTTCATGCTGTGAGGGAGGAGGGGGGTTACTGTCAGTATAGACCAGACCCTGAATTTGTATCACAGGAACCTGTTCCGATGCATCTCCACAGGCACCATGTGCTCCTACCGCTCCTACCGGTATACCTGTGCGCGAAGGAGCAATAGCCTTCAACGAATACTCTCATTCTTTTCTCACTTCCCCGAGTCCGACATCGTTGTAAGTGCATGGCTGGTGGAACAGCAAGTTTAGACGGTCATGGTTGACGGATATGGTTGGCACGACTTGCACCGGCTCGAAAACTGGCTTGTGCGAATCAAAAGCCAGAAACGTCCAATTGACAGCGACACTATCTTTTAAACCGGGATTGGCTTTTGGGATAAATTCAATCTACAGGCTCAGATTCAACGACGACGCCTCAGTCTAGTACTAAGATGTAAGAATTTTTACCATCCACAGTCCACCTTTCAAGGAATGTTTCGTCCATCGTACCCCAGAGGGGTGTCGCTCGCTGGTTGACTTGGTTGATTTGGTGCATGGCTCGCACAAAGGAAAAAGAGTTCTGGAACTTCAAAATCGATTCATGCAGGAGATTCCAATTTTGGCGCGCACCTGGGTAGATTATCGATGAAATAGGTTCAATATCCGGCCGACCGTCCTCCAGTCTGAGACTTGGAGATTCATAATCGTTGTGAGGCTTCGGAGAGGTCTCTCAATCTCCAATGCCTATGTATATTATGGAGATGCATGAGATTAGGAATTCTTCGTATTGAATCAACTCACTGTAAAATTGTATCCTGTTTCACATGGTTAACGCTACCTCACGATTATCAACTTTCTGCCTTTCTGTGTGCGCTGAATGTGCGTATGCATTGTGCTGTGCTGTGTTGTGTGGAGGTGCAGGATTGGGCTTGATGCAAGTCATCTTTCATCGCCGGCCGAAGTTGAGGCCAAATGATATTGGTGATATCAGTCGACCGGAGCAGAAAACACCGATGTCGACATCTTATATGGAGAATGGGAGTAATATACATATTGAGACCTAGATTAACTTGAGTAGGTAGTATTTGAGGGTGATAAAGGGTGGCAAGTCAGGTAATGTAGCATGGTTATCATTGTGTAGTGGGTGAGGAAGAGCCGAGAGAGAACCCAATTCATCCACCCACAGAGATAATGCAGTGAGAGATCTTCAATCATTTTATCCTTTAATGTAGAAGCAAATTTTATAACGATGACCATATTAGGGGTCTTATAAAATCAAAAGAAATGGGAAAGTTATTATTGTCGGAATTTAATAACTTTATCTTCTTCTTCTACACTCTAATTGGTACCAGGAAGATATTCATGAATTTCATTGATGACTGATTGATGACTTGATGACTTGATATCCGGGATTGACGATAAATTCCCACATATCCAAACTTGATCAGCTACAAGCCTACAACTCAATAATCAATCTTTGAAAGCGGCGGCACCTAAAACGGGAGACGGGAAACTAGAATATCCCATTATTTTTTCAAAGACATGCCCATCATTCTACTCCATTGTTACATCCTCGGCAATATCAAAATATCCCATCAACTGTATCAACACCAATACATACAATATCATCATGACCAGTATGATCATTCTACTATTTATCATATTCCGTTGTCTCTCGGTGGTTCAACGTAGGCTGTGGTACGGCCGTGCATGCATGAATCTTCTCTGAATCTATCTGAGATGGGAGTCAGTGGCCACCCACCCACTGGCCAAATAGAATCTGCTCCACGATACCGGGAAGTTCAGATGCAAGATTCTTGCATATTTTCAGCTGCAGTGGTGATTGAAAGTGGATAAATGAAGTAAGAGACGAGACAAGACAGGCTTTATTTATTACGAGTTACTCTGCAGGTAGGTGGCCATTATTATTAATTATTAAAGAATACCAGGGACCCTATTTAGTGTTATGCAGCTCTAATGCAGCACTGCCCCAGCTACATCTTTACTATTGAAGCTACGGTTAGCATATTCTACTGAGGCCTGACTGGACTGACTAGACTAATTGGGCCCCTTCGAGTATCTTTGTTTCCCATGGGACCCGTAACATTTCGATCTTTGCGAACGAATGAGGCATTTTCATCGGAACTTTCTTTTGAAAGATGTGAGTGGAGTCGGGGAATGGAGGTGGCATTGGAATACAAGACTACCTACCACACCACCACCCTCCTTCTCTTCTGCCACACTTTACTACTTCTAGTATCTACTCCTGGCCTTTTCTATCACCACATATTATCCAGAAGTCGAACCCAGCCTCCGGAAAATAAGTGGCTACCGATCTAGTTAAACCCTACGGCTACTATTAAGGGCATTTCAAAGATTTTCCCATCATTGTACCTTTTACTTACCCCTTCATCCCTACGAACCGATCCCGCCGCTTAACTAGTACAGTAGCTAGCTGATCGTTGACCTCTCTCTATCTTATAACAACCCCACCATACCCTTCAACTCTTTTTTTCTTACCCTTCCCTTCTTCACGACCTCATTCGTCCATACCTTTCTCATTACTTATCCAAGGCGCGCAAACTAGATCCCTTGTCTCGGGACCGCCAAAAGATTTATCTCTATCTTAATTTAACGTTCTGACTTTTTTGTTTCCCAATATCTTTGTCACGTCACGCTCTCGCCTTCTCCATATACTCTTGGCTTTTTGTCTTCGAATATCTATCCGTATCGTCGTCGCTCTACACTCGCCTCCCATAACTACCCTCAAACTTCGTTCCAATGCCTCCTCAATTGCTCCCTGCTTCGGCAGCTGCTTTTGCACCAAGAGCTTCATCAGTCAATGTTGTGTTAAGTTCAAAGGTTGAGCCATGGTTAACACAAACATTAAAACGTATAAATCGCGTAAAGCGTCCTCTCAACAGTGTACCACAGCACCACAGGTGTTTAACGGAAACTTTATCTTCGTCAACAGCTATATGGACTCTTGGTTCGTTGATGCTATCGAAGGCTCCGGATCAAAGACGTCAAGACTCAAATCCATTAGTCGAGGCCCTCTTCAACTATCAACTCATTCACATCGAAGCTTATGTTGTTCATGTTGATTTTGTATTAAGAAATGAGATTGCCTACAAACTTACTCCAGATACGATAGAATCCCTTATCGAGTTCCACAAGGAAGTTCATTGCTTGGATATTGCAGCGAATACCTACAACTGGTCAGAGAAGGATCAACAAGTGAAGAAGATGCACGAGGATTTCATCCAAGCCATCAACAAGTTTGTCTACCGAACTCATGTCTCTGCATTGGAGGGACTGGAGGAAGATGGAGCTGGTGAACTGTTATGCGGTAAAGGTGATGAGGTCAAGAACAACATCATGGGACTTTTCCTTCCTCTACTTCCCCCACCACCAAGGATTGTTGATGTGGTCAGACCTCCTGCTTTGTTGCCTAGCTCACCCGCTGGCATGAATTGGTGGTCGCAACCCATGATGCCAGTAACTACCACGGCTCCTGTCGACCCATGGAGGATGATTCCCTCAAGTCCAAGTACAACATCTTCCATGTCCTCTTCAACTGATACTCAGTCTTTATGGGCAAGTATGGGTTTAAACGAGCTTCAACTACCGTCCCCTACGCCATCTTATAGCCAACCGTTCACCACGGCCGGACTCTTCTACAGCGCACTACAAGTTAGTGCGCCAATTCCAGCACTTCCATTACCAAGCATGCTAGCACAGCAACACTGCGGTAGTGGTATGGGTTATGGCGGATTTGGTGGATTTGGAGGTGGATGGGACCGATATCAAGAGTATGCCACACCGATGTGACAACCAAGGCCTGGATCTTCGAATAATCCCCCTACCACCAGCTCTGGGGTTTAGGGTAGGCGTCAATATCACACCATGGCTCAAAGCCTTTGTACAAGACAACAAGCATTACATACATACATGGCACCGGCAAACTTTTTAGCGGCATTTGATACCTCCGAGGGCACTTACGGCGTTTTGACATCTTCATTATCATCCTCATCTGCGATCGAGCGAACAAATGATATCCTGGGAACAAATCATACTTAATAATCAATAGGACACCGATTTTCTTATCATCACTTTTCTTTTTCTGTTTATTTTAGCGCAGCGAATTTTGCTTTTTACACGATATCACGACCGCAAGACCGGTTCGACCAAATTTTCCTTTCATCGCATATGGCAGGACCTACAGGCGGGTTATTTTTGAAGCATTTACTGGCACGGTTCCAAGAATTTTTTATCATCATAAAGAGAATCCCTTATTAAGAGGATAACGCAGCAATGCAGGGCTTCACGGGCGCGTCTGGATATTTTTTTTTTCGTCATTTCTTTTTGGGTTTGAGATATCATCTTACATACATTTGTCTTGGGAAGGATACCTGGTTTTTGCTCGGTTCATATTCTTTGGTGTCTGTTTTGCGACTTTATGAATCATGAATGCTTATGAATTTTTGCTTGGACAAAAATTCAAAGCATATGATTTATGGATTCATGAAAATAAGAATTGGAATATGGAGAATCATCTGCAGCGCAGATTGATATAAAAGATCGATGAACGAAATACTGGATTTTTTCTTCACGGACAAGCGGACTTTTGGACGATATCATCAAACAGTGACATTTCTCAACTTTCGCTAGTCGAGTTGGGGTTTGAAGCGAAGAGAGCTTGGATCGACTTCTCCTATCAGAATCGACGGACTCCTTCCCAATCAAACTCAATATCGGCTCATTATCTCGAATGCGGATCGGTCAATACCTGCGAGTCGGGCGATCGAACCTTACATGTTGGGGTGGGTTTGGAATTGGCGGGATTTTTGCAGGGGGTTCGGTTATGATGGTAGGAGAGAGCGTGAAGAACAAATGGTAGCTCATCACTACAGTCTTCCATATATTATCCGAAGCCATTCTACTTGATGTATGATGAGCATCAGATAGGATATGGAAGAACACTGAAATCTTTCTCTCGTCCAGCGGACAGAGTTAGACGGAAGTACAGATGCGGATTTCTTTTTTTTTCACGGCACAGGGGAATGGCAATATAATGAATGGGAGCCTTGGGAGGAGCAAAATCTCTCATACTGGTTATGGAGATCATTGAAGGGACGGGTGATGGATGACATGTCTGGTACATGGATTGCTATTGTATGTGTGGAAAGAGAAGGGAGGATTGGATTGGAATGCTGTGTGTATGTAGGTATTCTTGAACTTGTACGTACTTGATACCGAGAAAAAACCCGAGGATGAAAATATGAAAAAATTGAATTTAAAAAAAATAGAAATCTATCATAACTCATTTCTGAGGCTTTGGGCTTTTTGGGCTTGTAATTGAGTAATGCGGTTAATTTAGGTCAGTATCACATGCAAAGTAATTACGAGAGCTCGCGAAGTCAAATACTCTCTCTCCCTTTCTCTTCCCGAATTGTCGAATTGTATGCAAATGTCAGTCAGCAGTAGTCAGATCCTTATTTCGTCCTTCCCCATCTATCCATCCATCCATCCCCCAGCAGCCGAAAGGGGTCTTCATATCCACATCCATGTTACATCCATATCTCTATCCCTATCCCATACATAAACCATACCATACCATACCCAAAATCCAAATCCAAAATCCAAATCCGGATCCGTAAGAAAATTAAAAAAAAAACAGGCCTCGAGTCCGATTGGTTGGTATTACGACGGTTGTGACTTGTAAGACTTAAGCCTAAATAATTGCTAATTGATATCCGCGATCGCCGTTTGTTAGTTCAGCTACTGTGTGAGAGCCTGGGAGGGAGGGTACTTTGAAGAAATCCCAATATTACAAATTCGCCACTGGCAATTCAATGGCAATGTCAATGTCAATAAGCGCTTTTACCGAAGACGACTGACTTGGGCCCGTTGAGGTTGTTGAACTTGTTTGGGATTGTTGGATTGCTGGATTTGTTGGTATTGTTGGTATTGGTATTGGTATTGGTATTGGATATAAGCGCTGGGAAGCTAACTATATTTGGTGTTTACACGAAAAATTGGGTGAAGTTGATCATGATATGAGATGGAATGAGATGGGATGGATAAATAAGCGCTTTATTTATATAGTTATCTAAAATTCAATTTATTTTATTCACTTATATAAACTTTATTCTCTCCTTTTTTTTCCTTTGTCCAATCAAATCTAATCTATATACAGAATATATTCTACGGATTCCTACGAGTACACTCCATTTCTATCTACAAAACCAAACCAAACTAAACTAAACTTCTCAATTCAGTTCAATTCAATTCAATTACTCGCATAGCTCAGGTAGTCAATACAATATCATATCCATATCCGGGGTAAATCATAACTCATACACTGACATACAATAATTATCACATTATTTTCTCGGCCCTTCTTATATTTATCCACACAACACATATGCATCTATCTAGGTTTCTATCTGTATATCTCCACATCTTTGTATCCATCCCTACTACATGATATGATATGATACGATACGACATGACAAGACATATCGAAAGATTCTTGCATAACAATACCATACTACGGAGTATGATATGCGTGTGATCACATATTATAATACGGTAGGTAAGGAAGGTTATTTAATGACCCGCATGAATTTCTAGTCATGTGAGGATGGACGGAGGGTCCGAAATTCATATATGGTATCTGTACCCTTCTACTCCTGGCTCATATCCTGGATCTTCGTATTGATTTGCTGGCTAGGCTAGTTGGCTGGTTAGCTAGCTGGGTTAGTTGTTGATCATTGTGTTTTATAGAGTACCGGTATACTAGATTGATTGGTAAATTGGTAGATTATCTACCGGTACTCGAGCATATAAAGAGTGGTACAAATAACAAATAATAAATACTTAGGTTAGTACTCGTATATGTAGTATGGGATGCACATGAGATTCACATTCACATTCACATTTACATTCACATGACCGAATATTCATCCGGGTTATTATTATTTACAGTATAAACTCGAGCTCCGGCATACATCACTGCATCTGCATTATTAACCTTTAATCTCCAAGTTTTAGTTCATCTATTCCCAATCATCTACGAGTACTCGTACCAAATATCTATGGAGAAATGGGATATGGCGATATGCAAGGTAAGGTAAGGTAAGGCAATGCAAGCTTGATTGGATTGGCTTTTTGATAAACTACCTAGTATGTGTTGCAGCACTGTATTGGTAGTGTTTTATTTTTTATTACTTGATATATGATAGATAGATAGGTAAATAGGTGGGATATATGATATGAAACTAACCAACCGGCGGCTCGAACTCAAGATGGATGATGTGATTTGAGTTCTAACGATGGATAGATAGATGACCCGCATCATGGGCCGCATGAGGTTTTAGTCATGTGAGTTACATACACCTAGGATTCTAGGGAGTTATTGGCTAGTATTGTATTGTATGTATCTCATCTCTACTAGGTGAGGCGAGGTGATGGAACTAGACAAGACAGACAGGTCTATTTTTATTTGCGAAACCTGGTGTTAATATAAGTGTCTGGCTAAAGATAATGCAATATCATATTACATATTACAGACTAGCCCGGGGAAAATAGTGTATTGGACAGACTTCAGTACACTAAAAACATACATGATATAAAAGGTAATTAATTCATTCTGTCTAACCTCCCATTTTATACAAAGTAGGAAGTGCTAACTATAAGGGAATCCTACCCCGCTCTACGGGACACCCGTTCCGGGCGTTCCGTATACACGCTACGCGTACAAGAGTGGGATTGATGCACGCATTCCAACAGGGAAATGGATAGTGATAGATTGAAGGATAGAGAGCTATCTATTCTAGAACTTCGACTCTGCATGCATAGTGAAGAAATAGATGCTGCGGCCGGAAACCCATCTGCATCTACGAGTGCATGCATCATCGGACTGTTTGTGATGCTATAGTATCACTCTATCACTCCCACTCATTATAACAAGTTGATAACAACCTGCATGAGAAACTAATCATGTGAGTAGAATGTATATGGTATTCTAGATACCATTGGTCAATCATGAACCACATTTTAGCTTCTTACATCTTAACAGAAACCTACAGCAGCCCGATACTGCAGGTTATTTCGGGCCGGAGACCGTTTCTGAATTTGACGAAATATCTTCTTGTTACATGATGTTGATGTTACACGATGTAAATGTTACAAGAAATAGCATTATATTCTCCAATGAATTTTCTATCTGACGAGTCGAATGCTGTATATTATGATTGGTATTGTTAGTGGCCTGTGATTGCTGGGAGATTTAGTCGGTTGTGTCATGTATAAGAGTTAATTAATTACTAGTGTTTATATCTCTTTTCGATAACTCAATCTAGACCTTTTTAGTTTCATCGGCAACCCACACGCCAAAGTAAACGCCCGGATATGTGTATAGAAAATTCTCAAGACTTGACTTGACCTAGCCTATTACGGTCTCGGTAACTAAAGTGAGATCTCATTCTCATTCTCGTCCGGATAGACAAACTCCCGACACTCGAGTCCAAGCCGAAGAATTCAAGAACTACTCATACTACTCGAGCCGATTCGAGCGAGCCATACCAATTACAAAATACAGTACGTGTATATGAATATCCGCGCCAACTACGGCTACAGCTACAGCTTATTGATTATCCGAGTTCTCAGAATTCCCCCCCTCCCCCGAAACCAAAAAATGCATCTCGGAATGTATAATTATATATCGGATTCTTATCTTTTCGTGATGAATCACATTTACTTGCAGTAAGTCAAATATCCCAAGTGAGCAAGAAGCGGAAGGTTGGTCTAGACTCTCTAGATTGAGGCTTTTTGGAGGTGCTAGATAGAACGCTAGAGAGCTAAGAACTAGCTACAGTATTATTAGCCAGCCTATTTTGCTAGACACTTCAATTGATCCCTGACGAATCCAAATCCAAACCCAAACCCAAACCCACCAACTAACTAACTAACTAACTAACTAACTAACTAACTAAATCCTAATTCAATATTCCTCAAATGAAGTATGGATGAGATTATATATATACTCGAGTACAATCACTACTACTCTACTACTCTACTACTCTACTACTACTCTACAACTTTTACAATTTCTATACTCGAGTACTATATAGTATACCAGTATATATACTCTACATACAACTAAATGTCCTTCAAGTTGGATAACATAACATAACTTATCTTATCTTGCTATTTACTACAGGGAACTTTCTAGCTCGATTAGATATTGAATTTATTCAAATTTATTACCTACCAGGTCGATCTTCATCTTCAATATACTTTGTTCTATCTTCTATAAAACCTATTGGTTTCCAATAGTCTGAATTACAGTACGAAAATAAGGGCTTCTTGATTTCGCACCTATTTGGAACATTCTGTCCATTTAAAATACGATAGCAAATCCACAAAAAAACTGTAATTATTAGCAAAAGATTGCCGGATTTTCATTCATGTTATGACTTATCATGATGAGGTATTTATTGATTCATGTGTATTCGTACTACTAAAGGACTTCCAACTTGATGTGTCCAATTAATTATCTATTCATCCATCCATCCATCCATCTATTCATATCAATGTGCAAGATTTTATCTTCTTTCTTGATAGATAAATCACTAAGCTATCAAGCTATCAAACCACTCTATAATATGCATCTCCACTCTCATCCCATTTCATCTCATCTCAAATCTATCAGATCTATCAAAAAAATCATCTTATATCATAACTTCATAAACTATGTACCTATACCCAAGAACGTATAGTAACCCTTCACTTTCTACTCGAGTACACCCCATTCATTAAGTATAGTATTACGCACCATCACCATCAAAATTCATGCTCAACCCCATCCCCCCTAAACCAAATCCTGACTCAGCGGTAAAATCCTCGAACTAGAACCTACATAAACCGTCTTCGTATAATCACTAATAAACCAATTTTGGGCCGCAGTATCCCAATTGCTCAAATCTCTCCTAGTCAAATCCGCCGTAAAAGTAGCTGTTGAACCCGCATCAATCGAGAGACGTTCAAACCCTCGCAAGACGATAAGAGGATCATTGGGACCACCAAGTTTGACGTAGAGTTGAGGAACTTCTTCGCCGTTGAGTGTGCCGCTGTTGTGGACTTGCGCAGTCACCGTGTAGAGAACCTCGTAGAGTTCGGGGTTTCCGCCTGGTGCACCACCTGCTGCGAGTATGGGTTGTGCGGAGCCGTCTGTGGCTCCTGGGGGGAGGAATTCCGAGGCGGTTTGCCCATATTTTGGATCTGCGGAGGCGGCGGCTGCGTCGCTGGTGTTGAGATAGGGGTAGATGTATTGGTAGACGTATGGGAAAGAACCGTTGGGGAAGAGATAATCGTTGAGATCTGTAGAGAAGTTTCCGAAACTTGGAGCTGCTTCGGTCGATCCAGATGATGGAGTATAAGTGCTGCTTGCGTTGGTACTCTTGGTTACAATGAGACCGTAGTAATCAAATGTGGTGTATGAGAGACCAAAACCAAATTCGTAAATTGGAGTGATGTTTTGAGCATCAAAAGCACGGTAGTCGATGAAGTTTCCTTCGGTGAAGTCGAGTTGTGGTGCAGCTTCGCCGTTGTTTGGCTTGTAGAGAATATCGGTACCATAACTCTCCCTGGTTGGACCCCATGTGAATGGTGTGCGTGCAGCAGGGTTAACCTTTCCGTAGAGAACATCAGTGATACTATTTCCACTTTCTTGTCCTGGTACACCAGCCCACAAGATTGCCGTGACGTTCTCGTTGTCATACCAGTCACCAACCAAAGTAGGTCCAGTGGAGTGAATAACAACAATAGTGTTGTTGCAAAGGGCAGCCACATTTTGAATCAATGCATCTCCAGAATGCCAAAGAGTAAGGTTTTGACGATCACCTTCATTTCCATCAACACTGATATATCCTTCTCCAGAGTCGGCGTTGACGAAAACGATAGCTGTGACTTCTTGACTAACAAGTGCTTCAATTTCGGATGTAGCATAGTTATCGAAGATACTTTGATAAACAGTGCCATCGGTAATCGCTTGGTTTTGAAGAGCAGTATCTGGAGTGATGAGGTAAGGGAAGTTTGAGGAACCAGATCCCCAAGCCATACCAAGAGTGCCATTATCGCAACCTCTGTCAGGGCATCCATTAGGTCCGTAAGCATTTGGCCCCGCATCTTCTCCAATCACAGCAAGGAACTTTGGCTTGTGAAGAGGAAGTGCGTTGTTGGTATTCTTCAAAAGAACTGTTGATCGAGCTCCAATATCTCTGATCAACTTTGCATGATCTCCCCGAACATCGACGTGGAAGTTGATTTGTTGAACATCCTTTCCGGCAGCATAGTGAAGTGGTCCGTATGTATCGAAAGTCCACGAGGAAAAGTTGATCTCTGGTTCATCGAGAGTCAAACCAACCTTGAAGTAAGCAGCCATAATTCTCATTGCCATATCGTCAATTCTCCATTCTGGAACAGTTCCGTTAATGACTGCTAGCGTGAGATTCGTTCCCCAGTAACTTTCTCCGCTGCTGAAGACAGTATCACCAGGCATGGTCATGTCCAATCCAGCTACTGCTGAAGCCGCTCCAGTATGTTGAGCTTGCCAATCACTCATAACGAATCCTTGGAATCCAAGCTCATCCTTGAGTAAATTGTTGAGCATCTTAGAGTTTTGACAGGCATACGAGTTGTTGACTTGATTGTAAGAACACATAATGGAACCAACACCAGCCCGAACTGCGTCTGCAAATGGCCACAGGTAAGTTTCATGCATCGTTACATCATCGATGTTTGATGAACTGGATTCGGTAATGTTGTAACCAAAGCCTTGTGCTTCACCAGATTGACGGAAATGTTCCTGTGCGAGTGTTAGTTCCAGTTGTGATGGTATAGTTAAATGGTAACCAAAAATATCCCGCCAGTTTCGACCAGAAGGTGAGTACATACCTGTTCATTACCAATGAAATGCTTAGCACAAGCAATAACACCGGCATCTTGAATACCTTTGATAGTTTCAGCAATTCCAATACCTGTCAGAACAGGATCAGGGCTGAATCCTTCCCAGTTACGTCCACCTTGTGGTGCACGACCTAGAGGACCAGCAACTGGACCAAGTTGAACAGTTACACCTTTTGCTTTATGTTCTTGACCTATATAATGAGTCAGCTTTGGTCGAAAGCTGGTATAAAGATAGTCAAAAGTAACCGAATGAATGTAAACTTACCCATAGCATATCCTCGAGCATACATCAAACCACGATCAAAAGTAGCTGCAACAGATTGTCCACTCGAAAATACCGAGTTGAAATCGGTATCCCGAAGACCAACTGGAGAATCTTGCATACACAATGATCTGAAACCAAGTCGAGGAATAGATCCTACTTGACCAACACATTGTTCACCTTCCCAACTAAATGATTATTAGCCTTTTTTCAACCAACGATAATATTATACCAAAAACTTACCCAACACCAGTAGTTAAGTTAACCTTCTCAGTCAACGTGAGTTGAGAAACAAAATCCTTAGCCTTAACATAAGCATCTTCCCAACCGCCAGTATTTGGATTCATCCATGGTGAAGGATAGAATGGTTCGCTGGTTTGACCGAATTTTGCACCTGCTTCAGTAGCAACATCGACTGCGCCAGGATATGTAGAATTAATCGACTGGGTACCAAGAGTTAGTAACGATCTATCTCCCGTAATTATACCGGTGAGAACCAGAACAAGATCAAGTAAACTCTTCATGGTGTTAAATGAAGGTGTAATGTGAATTATAAAATGACTGTAATCATGAAAAGCGATAAAAGAAGAACGAATGTTATTTTTTGGATTACGATTAAAAGATTGAAGAGTTGAGAGTAGTGAGGGAGAAATATAGTTATGGTTTGTAGTTGTATATGAAAGGAAGGAGGAAAGAGGAAAGGGTATGAAACGGAAAAACTAACCTGTCGTGATTGTTTGGTACGACGTGAGGTACTTTCTTGTTGACTTGGAGCTGCAGCAGCCAGTAACCCAGCAACGACTAGTGAATATCGCATTTTGATACTCAGTAATGAACCACCAATTACAGTCTCGAGAAATTAAAATGTAAGAAGGATTTATACTTATACATTTGAGAGAGAGTGAGTGAGATACTTTATATACTCGAGTATGTCTATGGATCTTACTTTTCCCATCTTCTCATCATCTCTTGTCATGGTGATGTTCAAAAATGGGGTCGCATACCAAGCATAAGGTACAAGCAACTATTGTGGAGAGAAGATACACTTTTTTCTTGAGCTTCCCCAGTATCTGCAGGAAGTGGAAAGTTACCCTTGTTCGATTGATCATAAGGAAAGCCAAGTATTGAATGATACTGGCGACGCACTATCAGAAGACGTGCATTAAGTTCTACTCTAGAGTCTCGAATGATACGAGCGAGTCTTGAAGAGTTTTTAGGTATGTATGTATTGATGCCATACTGATTTAATCTACTTGTATCTAGCTGGAATTTTCTGAGTCAATCCTTGCGTCCTTCTCCAATCATAATATGACTTGCAACAGAGACTTAACAGAAAATGATACAAAAAGAAATAGTCACTTCCAAGCTGACAATGCAGCGATGGGTAATGACAATGAGACAAGCATGGATAAGTTGGTGAACGGCTTACTTACTGGGGCAAACAACGGGAGAGGCTTGTATATACCTAGTAGGCCGAGGCAGGCTATCCAGAGAATTCTTCCCTATCCAGGTTCGATAACTCGAGTAGAGCCGAATAAATAAATGAATGATGAAGTCGGAGTCAGACAGTCTTCCAGCTTCCCAAGAACTCCGCTCAAATACGTTTCCTGCTACCTAACTCACCAGTCTCCTCCACACTCACACTCACACTCACACGATCCCATATATCAAACTGTAGCACGATGGATAGAACAGAACGAATTGTGACAATCTCGGAAGCTTCTCCAAATATTGAAAAGTTCTTTCAAGGTCAATTCCTCCGCAACCCCACAAAGTTATGCTGACCCACTCAGCCCGCTAAACCCATAAACTATCATCGGACAATCTTCGGAAACTGGGGAAAAAGCGGGGGCTGTGCCGCATAGTCACCTGTCAAGTGATGATGATGATGGAATTTATTCTGGTGATGAGTTCAATCCTCCACTTCTGACTTGCAATTGACCTTCACAATTGATGATACATGATGAACGGTGAACGGTGAAAGATGGAATGAGAGGACGAGGGGTATCAGTGGTAGGTCTGGTGCTAGGGGAAGTTTATGTGAATTATGGTGATAGTTGATGTTTGACCTTAACTTTGGTGTGAGAAGAGAGATCCAACAGGGGAAACTAGAAGAGGTTCTGGAATCGAGATTCTGGAATTTGGTTGATCATCGGACGAAAGGGTACAACCCCCATTCTACACTCGTTGTAAAGAGCGACGATTAGACTAAGAATGGTGTTAACCCCCATTCATCAACGAAACTTTCCGAGATTCAGTACAAGCAAACCGCAACATTCTACTCTATCCCAGCTAACATTGGCACCTCCGATCGGCAATACTCAACGACCCGTTAGGAATAATATATTCCGCCCCGCCCTCCCATCTTCATCCATTTCAACTATAGCCGAGCTTCCCAAGATTTCCAAGCTTTTCCAGCCATGCTCTCGTCCGAACTTCGTACCCATCTCATCTGCCCCGATATTCAACCCCGCCCTTTGCATTTCCCCAGCTTCACGCTAGCTACCCTTACACTAGTTATACAGTACAGTAATACTATATATCTCTTCGGACCGATTACTTGTACACACTTATTCTCTTCTTCTCCATCATTTCCCTCCTCCATGGTTGAATCGAGCGAGCGAGACAAACATAATCAACCCGAATAAGAAGGTTTACCGAAAACCACACCGTACTCTTTACGAATAAACTGGGAATCTCCAGATTTTCTTCCCCGCTCCCCATGGGACGATGGCTAATGTTCGGAATCAACCCAACTCATGGCTATAGCGGGCCCGACTCTCACTACAGTTATATCTGCATACAGCATTGGCAACCCAACTTTGGATTACTGTGTTACTTGCATGCTTCGATATCTTTCCTTTCACGGGACAATACAAGCAAGTTGCGAGGATACGTCCACCGGAAGAAGATATTCCCAGTGGATTCCAATGACTGTTGTGATGGAGCTTCAGAGGGTTTTGCTGTCTAGTGACGGAGAACTCTCTGATATATATCAGGTGATTAATGAGGTTTGTGGATAGATTAAGTCTTACTCTACACTTTCGGAATCTTCGGATCTGAGGTTATATTTTAAGATATACTTTTATTGAACTGAAAGTGGGTACGTAGCTTCACCAGATATTTTATCCGATTCACTAACTAGGCCAGGAACACATGATTGCTAGGAACAATGTAAGAGCTTTGCATTTAACCTCACTCGAACTAACTGCATAACAATAGAACTAAAAGTTTATTGATGTTTCGCTGGCATGAATCGAATTACAAATAGATTCGTCCCGTTCGCTTCTGAATCTTGGAATTCATCTCATCTTCCTTTATCAACTCATATCCATCTAATCCCCATCCTTCACATCCCCATCCTTCTCATCCCCATTCTTCTCATCCCCAACCTTCTCTTCCTCATCCATCTCATCCCCATCTCCATCCTCATCCTCATCCTCATTTGCATCTTGTTCCGCAGATAACCTTTCCAACTTCCGGTCCAATATCTTCTTCGCTACACTCCCGCCAGATAAATCACGTTGATGACCAGGTCTATAACTAAACTCTGAAGGCACTAACGGTGAATCAAGCCCTGAAGTCACTGCCCTTGAATCAGACCCTGAAGATTCAGGTGTATCTAGAGCCGAGACTTCCGTTCCATCAGGAAGCATAAACACACTCGCCTTGAACCCCTTCACCTCCAGAGTTAGTGCTGTCGACCCAACGGGTCGTCTTTCCGGAATCCGAGATGGGGGTATTGGTATGGGTTGTGCCGGGGCTGTTACAGGTGATGGTGGAGCAAGTTGTTCTTCATTCCACACCGAAAAATCTTCATAGGCGCCAGTGTCCATCACTTGTGACTTTGATCGAGTTCGAGCTAGTTTTCTCACTGGCCGGGGAGATTCTGGATTACTCGCTGACCCTTCTCTTCTAAATCTTTCAGTCATGTTTCCTCCATCCCCTTCTGTTTCTGCAGTCTTTTCTAATTCATTATCCGCTTCCATATCCGCTTCCTTGACCATTTTAGAAAAGAATTTCCTCACTCTGATTTCCATTTCACGTCTATCACTGCTTTCGTCAGAGTCATTCAATGGTGCATCCGGAATCACGTCAGATCCATTTGATGATGTATCCGGAGTCGACGATCTATTCAATTGAGGCGGTGGAGTGGTCGGCATCGACGCTTGCCCCGATGCTTCTCCCGATATTTGTCCCGATGCATCTCCCGATGCTTCTCCCGATTCTTGTCCCGATTCTTGCCCCGATGGTACATTTGACGATAGCTCTGGTTCTTGCGTTCCATCTCGCCCAAACGACTCATAAACCGAAAATCCTGGATTAGTATGATTATGGACAATATATTCATGTCGAAAAGCCAAGTTCCTAGATGTATAATCAGCTCAGAAGATATTTCAAACCAAAGATGGTCTTTGCGTATAATTAGAACATACGAGTTCTCGAATCGAAGATTGCAAAAGGCGCATGGGTACTTCGTCATTTCGAAGACGCAAAATGATTGTGGATGGTGGATGGTGTGTGGTAGCTATGCAAGCAGCGAGTTGAAGAATGGGAGTTGAGGAGTAGAGTACTCTTGCCAGTGAAGATGTTGCTATTGGTGATCTATTCGTATCCGTCGAGGATTGGGGATTTGTGTTTCCTAATAATGGAATGATATGCAGGTGAGGTAAATAAAAAGGTTTGCTGTAATTCTTCTACTCGAGTAATATATAAGGATTATCAAAATGCTTCGATACTGATACTGATACAGTGTATAATAAATCTATCGATATGAACGTATGAAGAAGAGAGAGATTGGAATTAGAACTTTCACGAGCGAAAACCAAATCAATATTTACCAAAAAGATATCCCTACTTAGGGAAAGAACGGGTGGTAATGTTATCACTAACTAACATCATCATACTTTAAGTTCATAACGTACGTGTGGCGTAATTTTGCTACTAGTGTAGGTAGGAAAGGTATACACAGATCTTCCACTCACTTGGAGAAAGAACGATGAAAATTAATTACTGGCTAAGATAGATAGATAGATAGATAGGTAGGTAGGTAGATGAATTTGGGCAAGTACATACACCAACCAACGCAGCGATGTTCCTGGAATCTCTCGGATCTTCATCTACGAGAGTATTAGCATATTGATCCTCTCCCGATGGAGAGAATTACTTGTTGAAGATACTAAATACAAGAGTATGTATGTATATATAACTGACATTCAGTATTTCAGTAAATTCAATATCTGACTCCAAGTGTGAAGTATCTAATAATATATCAATAATCCTCATCCTCAGATCTAATCATCTACCGGTACTCAGAGTAAATCATGCTTTGTTTATGTATTATCATCAACCCCTGCCGCCTACAGTTAGTTCCTCCATGCGATCGGTACGGTCTAGTATGCAAGTGCAGTATCTACTAATATTTTGAAGGTATCTAGTATCTAGTATCTATAATATAACCTCTTCTCTTATCAAGTTATTATCCAGATTCAATTATTGTTTCGTTTCGTAAGACTTACTCTATAATCTTGAATATCATTATACAGTATGTCGCTGGATTCTACGAGTATTACTCTCTTATCTATCTAAAATATACGTTACTGTTTTACTAGAGTACTATCTTATACTATTCCTTTTCCTTTTTATTATTTACTACCACTGTTGTCTCGATACACTCGAGTATAATATACCCCTTATTCCTTATTCCTTATTCTATAAATCTCATCACTATCGCCATCATTACCACTATCACTATCACATTCAACCTTTACTATTATATATTATATACAAATACATTCCAATCCAATACATTCTCCATCTATTCCACATCCATCAATATCCATCAATATCCATCTCTTCTCTTCTCTTCAAATCTAGAACAAATGTACATGATTTTTCATCAAGCTATATTATATATCTCTACTATATCCCAGTGATATATAATCTCCTTAATCGAATATATACAAGATCGACAATGAAGCTTCAAGGAAGGAATAGCTAGCTAAAACATATTATTCACTACTCGTACAGTTCAAACATTTTTCTACATTATACTAATTAGTATATAAATAAACCACATCTTCTCTAGGACAAAAAACTCCAAGCCAAGTTTACTTCATCATTACCTTTCATGCTTGGAAGCTATGGGTATATCACATGTGAGCACTTTCTGTCTATCTGTCTAGTATTTACTATAATTTCAGTCCTTTACTCGAGACTCGAGTAGATTAATAGTATATTTATTAATAGATAATCTTCTCTTTCGTGTGACCGTGTCTAGAGCTCAAGGAGATATACAAGTATTGAAGATGCGTTATTGTATTGTTGAAATGTTATTTTCACCATTGTTTATTATTCGAATATGAAAACATACACTTCCTTACTATCATTATTTCCTCCGTTGTCATATCCACTCTTTTCCTCTATCTCTTTTTTCTCTTCTTCTTCCTCTCCTCAGAGTCCGGCAATTTCTACCCTATCCATTTACTTCCTTGCACTCGAGTAGATTAATCGACCATAGTATCCAAGCCAAACACACAATCTAATAACTATAGTTTGTATTCGATTTCAAATGTGTATTTTAATTTTGTAAGAGATTTCGAGAGTAGGATTTGTTTTTATATCTACAACTTTTCTAAATTTTCCCTCAATATTAAGTGAATCTTATAGCTAGATACTCGTAGAATATTATATATAAGAAAATCGAAATAGAGAAGAGACGAAAGACAATCCAACTTCCCACTTCCAACTTCCTTCATCCCATATTCTCCAAATACGGGTATTTAACAAGAAAATTAATTAGATATCAATATCCCCTGCCCTGCCCTCCACTCTATAGAAGTAACATTAAAAATAAATTAATATCCTCGATTCATTCCCAAGGTTTTATATTCACTTCTATATAACCAAAACCATATCGCCCTTACTCATTTACTTATACTCATCTACAAACAAAAAATGAAACTCCAATCATAATTCATATAATTCATATCCCAATCCCAATCTAATCCAATCCAACATAGATCTTTAATATATACATACATAGCTCGCTTTCTAAAAAATAGGAATTTCTCCTCCTTATTGCCATTCTCAAATTCTCATCACCAAGAACGGAGTTTCGCCATCATTATTTCCTCCCCTTTACTTTCTACTTTCTACTTTGCACGTTAAGGTTTCTATTCGAGTATATTCGTATACACATATATACATAATACCCCCAAGTTCCAACCTTCATCTTCCTCCTATTGCATTGATTCCGAGTCCATTGATTCCTATAAAATATCTATATTATACTAGTCTACGAGTATATGATCTAATAATAGTAATAGCAATATAAGACTTACTATTTATATTATAATCTACTGATGTTTTCCTATGATTAACAATAATAGTAATCATCCCTCATCCCCAATATAACCCCATTTCTAACCCTATCTCCAACCCCTTCTCCCTTTCAATCCAGCCCAGCCAGCCAGCCTAATCTAATCTAATCTAATCCAATACACTCACTACACTACACTACTATACATACTCTACACACACACACACACACACACACACACACACACACACACATACATTCAAACATATTACACTACTATACACACACACACACTCTCTCTCTCTCTCTCTCCACACACATACATACACACAAACATCACCTTTCCTTTATAAAAGTAAAATAAATGAATTAGATTTAGACAATAAGTAAACTGCGTAGGTATTCATATCATCTCATCATATCATCTCATCAAGATCATCTCATCAAGATTAATCAGTACACAAAAAATAAATGAACATAAAAAATAGCAATCAATACAGTATTGATCTCGTCTAAAGTAACAGAGTAGACGAACGGACTATGCCCCGCCTATGGATCATTCATCATTCATCATTCATCTCATATAATCACACCATATAATTATATCATCATGATACGCTTCACTTCACTTCAATTCACTTCAAGGCATCCAAGACAAGGTTGGTATGATGTAGTCTATATTATATCTCATCTCAATAAACCTCTCACTCATATCATCTTCACATCCATATCATAACCACTTATCTCATCTCATATCAAATCAAATCACCCAACACCACTCACTCCTCACTCCTGACCCAAAAAAGAGAAAGCATATGGAAACATTTTTGATTGTACACAAGGAGATTCATCTCTCATCTCCTTCTTCCTCATCTTCATCCCCAACCATTTATCTCTCCACGCTTCTGATTTTCCTCTCCTCTCAGATTGTAAGCCACAACCCGCCAATCAGAAAATAGCCACCCCAACCCCAAACCAGCCAGCGAAAACCATAGGAAAGAAATCGCATCGCATACTAAACCAGTCCCAGCCTAGGCGCTCCATCTACCTCATTCAATAGAGATAGAGAGCACACTAGTCTATCAACTAGTGACAAAACAGGCTAAAATACACAAGATATCCACCACACTGCTCTTGCCTGTCGTTGACATCCCACTCCACCCATTCCCAGAAATTTCTGTTCCTTCTTTCCCTTATAGACATCCCATTATCCCCCAATCGTCTGAACAAACCCACACAAACTGAGGATGGTTTTGAGAGCTTCATAAAGAAATCCATCATGATCATCAAAGTAATCCCAAGTAGCCGCAACCAATATGACAGGCCCTAGCGCCTATAGAAAAGCCGTATCAAATAAAAACTTAAAAGGAGACAGAGCCAAGTGGTAAATCTTTGGTGAAAGCCAATAACAATGTCTAGCATACAGCAGAACTCGCAAAGCTATGCAGTAAAAAGAAAAGTAGAGAAAAAGACTAAAAGGATCATATACAAATGGGGTTGTAGAAGGTGTCAAAGTCGACTAAGTGGTGAATAAAATGATATCGAAAGGCTTGCATCATTCCCACGACGGGGAGCTTGGAAAGAACTCTATATCGGCTGTTGCATGAGTTGATGTGCGGTGATAAGCTGGCTAGGAGCAGCCATACCAGGATTCATCATTCCCATGGACATAGGCATGCCGTTGAAGCTCGACGTCATGCTTTGTGGGAGATAGCCATTTTCGGAATTAGGAGAAGCGTCTTCAAGGGGTCCGAGGTGATCTTCACCCTCGAAATCTTCTTCTTCGCCACTGTAGCTACCATAGGCACCTTCAGATCCGTCACCACGATCGTGCGTACGACGATGTCTAATAGATAATCGTTAGTTCATGTTTTGAATACTCTTAATTGAGGGGATCAATATTGTGCTGTGCTATGTTGTGGTGTGGTTGGAATTGAAAATCAAATAATGTGTAACATACTGTGCTAGGTTGTCTGAGCGGGAAAATGCTTTGCTGCAGTGCTGGCAGATGTAAGGTCTTTCTTGTGTATGGGTTCTCACATGTCTGGAGGGGGGTGGGTCAGCGGCTTGATCTACAGCCGGACAAATGAAATGATGAAGAAAAATTAAAGTATGGAACATACCGTTTGAGATGCTCTAAACGTTTGAACAGACGACCGCAAGTGGGAATTGGGCATGAATGTGACTTTTGGGGATAGGGGCCAAGTTCCATCATGGTGGCGCTTCGTGCTCTTCGCACAACGCCACCAGGGCCTTGCATATGTCTTCGTTGGGGGGAGTGGTCAAGTGGACTATCACCTGAAAGATCATCATTCAACTGAAAGTCTGATTGCTGCAACGACATTGGGTTCATGTGCGGGGAATCCTCGACATTAGAAAGTGGGGTTCCATGTCTTGAGAAATCAGCCAATTCCTTGTGATGTGGCATTTGACGGGGAATCTGGTTGCTGTAGGTAAGTCCAGGTGGAGAGTTTTCACCCGACTCGTCGCCCTCAGCTACTGGTCCCACGGAATGCGACACCGATCTTCTCAGATCCGATGGTCTATGGGCAGGGTGTGAGTGTTGACCAGCAGCTGCGGCAGCAGCAACAATTGATGCAACTCCAGGAGGAATTGACGAGCGGCGCCTTCTTTGCTTGTAGGTTGGAGATCCTTCAATTACCGAATAGACATTGTTTGCTCCATAACCTCTAGTGGCATGCGAAAATTGTGGCCCAGACAGGTTTGATGGGGGTATCTGCATCAGTGTGTGTAGGCCATTAACACCGCCCATATGATCCGGAATTGCTGTGTAGAGACCAGTTTCTTCATTTGCGATATAAGCAGGCTCAGCTCCCATTCCAAGGGCTTGTTGAGGAGGGGTAATGGGTTCAAAAGAAATCCCACGAGCGCTGTAATCTTCGTAGTGTGATGAAACAAATGATGGCGCGGGAGAGTACTCCAATCCGTATGCAGGCATGGAGGCATGTCGCTGATGTGTTTGCCCGATTGGGACACCATTTTGATTGTATTGAACGCGGTTGAAATCTGGTTCCCTCTTAACTTGTTGCATCTGCTGTTGATGATGTTGCTGATGATGATGTTGCGGATGGTGTTGCGGATGGTGTTGTTGTGGTTGCATGTGTGGTTGCTGCATCGTCATTTGTTGATAAGCTGCCATTTGATTCATCTCTTCTGGCATCGCCATTGCTTGTGGAATCATCTGTGGGGGAGGCATCGAATCCATTGCTCGCATCACCGGGGATGTTGATTGTGATTGATTATATGAAGGTTGTTGAGCGGAGAACGACGAGGAGTTCGCTTGTTGGGCCTTGGTGAGTTGCTCGAATAATGATTGCGATGAGTCGAATTCGAAAGACAAAGCTGGCTCATTGACTGCCATGGTTGTAGCCTCCTGTCCCATTTTCTCCCTCTTCAAATCCCGCTCGAGCGCATCCAAAAACAACCTATCGTGTGGTACACTATACCAATAGAAAACCTTTTGCTTCTTTTGTGTTCGTATGCAATTATTCTTGTATAGGAAATCGAGGAAACCACTCTTTGGCTCTTCGAGGGAGGCATCGGTGCCAGACTTCAGATTGCGCAGATCGGAGAAGATACCTTCTTCAAATTTCTTCGAGTTCTTGACTGGTCGACCAAAAGCTTGGAATCGGAAAGACAAGCATCGAACGATATCGGTACCGGAAATGTGAAAGAGGTTGTTCCTATATAGACATCAGTTCTCCTGAACCCTCAACAAAGAAAGACTTCACCATACCATAACACGCAAGAAACGTATTCACCGGTTGGAAGGAGAAATCGTCTGATGTATTGATCCGCCGTCCAATCAACAGGAGCAGATATTAAAAAGTATTTTACTGCCACCAGGTCAGTAAGAATCAACTGAGTCTTGATAATCTTTTACTTACAATTGTCGACTTGTTGGAGTGCGACTTGAGCATCTTGAGGAAGACTTTGTTGTGCTTCACTGCTCAGCATGAAGGTCTCTGGTTTCTGTGGAGGAGCCATCGTAGCATGATGTTGTGAATACATCATATGCGCCATTCAATTGAGTCGAAACAACGCGTCAGGAACCGTTAAATGATAAGATATCAATTAAATCGATAAGGAATCGAAACACCGACAAGGCCGTAAGGCTGAGGAACACAATGTATCGAAGTATGGGACGTATTGATTAATGTTTGAAGTAATGGGAAATCAGCGACGTCGATGAAGTAATAGTGTCCTTGGAACGTTGATGAATGAAGCGAGTGTCAGAAGACTAGATTGGTATCGGTATGGTAAGGATATTCTACAAGATGAATGGACTTGATGTTTAGATGGGAGGGCCTGCTCCGTACAGAAAAAGCCAGATGGAACAGTTGACGTTCGAGGGGTTCGAGGCCAGCAAGAACTCGACTCAATTCGAAATGTATTTGAAGTGAGGAAAGAAGAAACAAAACCGTTTAATCGCGGTTGGTTTTAAAATTAAGAGAAGGGTGAGAAAGAGTCGACGGGTCGATTAGGGGAAGTGAAAAAGTTCCGACGAGCGAAAAGGTGTAAAAGAAGAAAAAAGGCTGCGACAACAACACTCTTTAAAAATAAATCCAAATCTCTTTCGTCGCGATGATATCGTTTCGTTCGGTCGGTAAATGAAGAGATACCCTCGGATGAATGCTGCGATCAATACCTAGGTAGATTGATTGAATGCGGCTGAGGGGTTGAAGCTATTTTCGATGTACGGGCGACCTGCGACAAGAATGAGAGACGTAGGGCTTTTTTCGAGTTTGAGATGAGGGAAGGCACGGGAGGTTTAAGTCGTTTTAGAATCTCAATCCTGAGCCTTTTGGACCTGGTCTGCGCGATCGAATGGTAAGGGTCTTGGATCTTTTTTCTTTTCCTTTCCTTTTTACCTGGGTATGAATATGGGTGGATGTGGTGCACTTGAGAAGATTGGGTAAGGGTAAAAGAGAATAATAATATAAATAAATCCGAATACCTATTGGGTAGGTGAAAAGGGTATGAGATTATGAGATTATGAGTAGTAGCCAAGGAAGAACGCTGATGGAATGGGTGGATGATCGATCCGCTCTGTCTCTTTTCTTCCCCCTTTCGTCCTTTCGGTTTAACTTATTATTCTTTTGGTATATTTGGGGGAATTATAATCGCGCTCGCTGCTTTGGCTTTTGGCTTTGGCTTTATTCTCGCTTTGCTTACTGGTAAGAAATGTTATGGAGGGTCAAGGGGTTGGTGGTTGGGTTGTGGTTGGATGGGTTGTGCTCAATCTTTTCTCCCTTGCTATTTTAAAAAGTTAGGACCTCCGAAGCTTGGGTCGTGGGTGCTTTATTATTTGTTGAAGTGGAGAGAAGTATAATCCCAGGCGAATAATGGAAATATCTATGGAAATATAGTTCGTACCTTATGCGTTGATTCTGAATAGTGTACCTGTACCTGCACTTGTACAGAGATGTCGCTAGCTTCAAACTCGAGCAGGAATGCTTTGCTAGACGACCTTTTGTTTCTTCTTGTGCTTGCCCGTTGCTACTTTTACAAGTGTTATATTCGTAAAAGTCGTTGTTGAACAAGCAGTTGTAGAACCAGGAACCAGGGTTTATTGCTAATAGATCTAGTCTGGGTAACTAGGTTGTGGATGGTTCGAGGGATCAGATTGGTCACTATCGTCATCTGAAGCAAGCTTCCAGGGGGGATTAGTTGACGTTTATCAAGGTCGTATGGATTATGTATATGCGATATAATATGTATGTATGCAAGTGTTAAGTGAATGAGCGCAAGCAATAATGGAGGTATTGAAGGAAGGATGGGATACTGTAGGTGCTAGGTAGTGGTACAGAATCCTGAGGGTTTATGCTAATAAAGACTTTCGGAGATGGGTGAGAACGTGCGTGAGTGTGCGTTGTAAATGCCTTTTCTTCTCCTCGTCGGTGTGTGTAATCGTATATATGTATTGTAGAGTATAATTTCCCTATATTCCCTTTTCTGGCTTCTTATCGGGGGTCGGTAGTAGGATTCCTTGAACTTCTGATCTCTTATTATTGAGGAGGATAATTGGCAGGTGGATAGATGTATAGGAAAGTGGATATCAAGTGGAAGTTGCCCTTGTTGAAATGACTCTAAGATTTTTACAGTGAGACGAGATAACCGAGTGGTTGGTAACCATGTCTTCGATTTAGATTCAAATTAGTTATTATCACTTATTAATACTCATCTCAACAAATCATGCAAATTCATGAAAGCAGCACCAGAAACAGAAGAACCTATTCAGAATGCACGACTCAATAAAGTAACCGCTAGCTAGGGCATCATCGTTATGATATGGGAAATAATACTATAACGGCATTGAAAGGAGAAGGTTATTAATAGCGATGGGCTGCTGCTTTGTGTGATAGGTATATCGGTAGGTTTTCATCTAGGCCTAATTGCTAGATTGTAGATACAGCCTAACAGACAATAAACATGACTTGTACAACTTGCGAACCTAATGACTCTCAACCAATTAATCCAATCATCCAAATTTATATACGTTCGTGATACCCTCTACCCGCCTATTATATATTTTTATCTGTGAAGCATAGAGATTCTCCTTTCCATACTTCCATCTCATTGTGGCTTAGTGTATTTATCTCTTATTACCCATTCCTAAAAGCCTCTCTTCATCCATCCATCCATCATAAATCGTTGCCCAACCTGCATAAAATAAAGCAAAAGGCTTATTCAATTCATCAAAGCAATAGCACACACTATCACCTCCTCAGGCTTCGTTCGTGTTTTAGAAATAAGTACTCCGATCATAGGTAAAAATGCACATGGCACAACCTGCTCCTGGCGCTTGTTTCTAGTTTCCCTCTCCTTTTTTATTCAGCGAGTGGGCTTCCCCTTCTGGTATCTCATCTCACGCATTTGCATGTATACATACAACCTGCATATCCATTGCATACCGGTACTTTTGAATTATTTGCCCAAGGAATAAGAAGGAGATACAGATACTGTACTTGTAGGAATGGGAACGAGGCGAAGTATAACCGAATGTACCGTAAGTGTAACCCCCGATATTCAACTGACAATGGGTGAGGGGGGTGTACCTATGTTACCGTGCCGTTCTCAAGGCGTGCAGCATCTGAGGAGAGCAGGAAATTTGTGTTTCAGGGTTATTCACTAGTTTTGGAGTGGACCTGCAAGTGCTCTAGAACTTTAGATCAACGTTAAGCAAAGTCAAGTCAGTTATTGCCTATTGCAAAAACTGGGTATAGTACAATATTTCACATGCATTAAGTTCATGGAATATGAAACATATATATATCTTTCACTTGCGACCCTGCATTTTCGACAAGAAAATGATTCCTTTTTTCCTTTTTCTTGCTTCTCCTTCATTCCTTGCCCATGCTAGGTTCATATGATAATGCTCTTATACCACCTCTTGCGTCGGCTTCAAATACCCCATTTGATGTGTAATCTCCGCGTAACCTTGCCATCTGCATATCTGGACCATGCTTCTTAAATCGGGAGTAAATATTGTGGTTCCTCCCTATACAAATTGCTTTCTCGGTCGAACCTCACCGAAAGGAAAGCTCTTTTGTTGATATGGCGATCTCATGGCCATTGGCCCATTAGTTGATGGAGCACAAGAGGGTCGTACTGGTACGGAGAGCGGAGTAATACTCATACTGGGAACGAGGTTAGAATTGGATGTCCAGAATAGACATCACGGAATGGGCTAGTACGACCGCTTGGGGATGCGGAACTTGCAAATGAGGAAGCTGAACTGCTGAAGACAACGTGTTTCTATATTTGATCTTAATTAAGAGCCGAGAAAACCATGTGTAGGAAATATCACTTGTTTGCGTGGGGGAGGAAGTGGATCATGAGGGGCATGGTCAAGTATTATTCAATAAGTGAGGCGAGATATGTTCGTTATGACAATTCAATATCCAAGCACAGATGATCTAGTCAGTGCAGTCCATTGGTACATCGGTATATTGGAAATCTTGAGGAGATTCATGCGTTAGTAGAAAGTCGACATTTGAACTTTGGAAAGGAGACGACAAGATCCTTCAACTATTCCGTAATGTATTTAAGTTCAACCTAAGAATCCTCTGATCAAAGGGGTCAAAAGAAGTGCCGGAGCATCGGACTCCTAGTTATATTACCCGTCAATAATGTCAGTGGACAAGGTTGGAAGCACAAGAGAGAGCTTCGAGAACAAAGTGTAAACGGCACTGCGTGGATGGCGCGCGATCTGAGCGTTGAAGTCGTTGCTATGACGGCAAACTTACTCAGTGTAGAGTGTACACCCGTGAAGTTCCCAGGATTGAAGCATTTCACAGAAGAGGCATTGACCAATACCACCCCGTCTGTTTGTTAAAACGATGCGACCTCCCCTCCATGTATGGATACTTCCGCCGCCCGCGAGTCACGAAGATGGCTGGTATGTCGTCCCGCGGCCATCGAATCCACAAGAGGGGTAGATATATTAATGTGAAACGACGCTGAGGAAATCTCGGCTTGCCTCAGATATGCAGGTACTATTTCTCCTGATGACTTCGAGCCGTTGAGACTTGAGAGGCGGCGTGTCAACCGCTTTTTCTTCTAGCTATCGAACTTGAGAACATGCTTTCGTGGCCTTGCTTCATATCTTTCAGATGGCGGTAATGCAATAAACATGTTCATCGCAAACCTCGATAGATTCATGCGATACGAAACGATACGTTGAGATTGTCAGCTTTCGAATGACTTATAGAATGCTGTTACTATTTTCATCCACACTTGGGTTGAATTTCGGGTCGGTAGGGCAATTCACCGACCGATATTCTTCATCCCCTTTCCAATATCTTCCCATCGCTTCCATCAAGATGAGAATATTAAATCTTGGCTTTCACTGCTGTCGTTTTTGTTTCTCGTTTGGTCGTTTGCCAGATTTTATTATGTCATATTTACATTATAAGTCATGAAACCAATCCCCGCCATGAATCGTTTGCCTTATAGCAGCGTAAGCTCTGAATTGGACCCCCCTCTGAATCTTCCAATCAATCGGCGATTCGGCATACATTGATGTAGCCACCACCTGCACCACGTAGCCACAAAATGATACATACAGGATGTACCTTGTCATCTCTACATATGTTTGGTGGGTTTTGATATTCAATCATTCCTACGGCACCGCAACCCCGAATACAATAGGTAAACCTCTCAATCCAAAATCCGAAACTCACCTCGACAAATTTCATCACAACCATATGGAATCACATCAACATTAAACTTTAAAGATGGAAGGTATTTCCGTCATCACAAAGTTTCTCGGGGGAACTTCTCAAATCGGTTCCTGCGTTTACTTTCAAGGTATAACACTAGTAGATCTTACCTATGGATCAGGTCAAGCCTAAATGGCGGTACCTGTTTGATCATCAATATGAAACCTTATGGTACGAAATATATCTGAATTATAACAAGGTATTGCCCGTCGAGAATTGTCACGGAATCATATATCCAACTTCTTGACTTTGTGATATATGTTTCTTCACCATGGATCCCTAATGAAGGGGTTCCGGATCATAAGCGACCGAGAGTGAAGTTCATTGTTGGATTGAGAATCGATCATTGGGCAGCACAACGGGCATCACCCATTTGTCCCTGAGGATTTCTTCTTGGATACAAAGTCTATTTCGCGATGTGATAACAATAGAGACGGGCCGTACAGACAGCCATGATTTTCACTCTGTATTGTTATTTTTATATTTCTTTGACAGAAGATCATCATTCATATCAAACCCATACATTCCTTACCAATGCTTTCCCCAATTCGCAACAAATTCTCCGAAATCCTATGTAGGCAAAAGAAAAGCAGGTACGCGCGAAGCATCTATCTTTCGAGATCTTCTAACCACTCGAGTGTCTTCAGCAATTAAACTCGGCGTTTACATACATATAATATATGTGTACCACGATAGAATCAACCCAATCCCATACAGCTTATGTAACATAGGACTCCACCCTACGATGCGATGCAGTGATCCCGAAAATAGAGTATTCGGTAGATACATGCTGTACATTCCACCTTCATACCTTAGCTCACTGTCAATTATTTCTTGCTTAGAGCGATATGCGTCTCTTTTGCTGCAGAAAACCCAATAACAAGCGCTTGCTCACTGATTGTCCTGCACACAATGCCACACATTTGTACTTTCAAAAGATTATTGGCTGTATTTTCCAAGATATATATCCTCCGACCGATTGGCTCACAATATTCAATAATGAATAGAAATATTGGTCTAAACAGGGATTAATTAATGCAGGTATGTATGAAACATCGACTCAAAGCTTGAGCTCTTCAGGAATCTCATTGGAGAGCAAGTACGGTTGTCTCATATTATTCTATTCACACTCTATCCAGGAAATTGATCGTCCCTCTTGTCCTATTGCTGCTTCTTAACATAGATTCACAGACTAAAGAACTAAAACAATCTTTCGCGAATTGGACTGGCAAGCGTTAATACATTCATCAGTGGCCATTCAAATATAATTCCAATATGGCTTTTGAAGCCACTTTCACTACCGATCCGTCTTCGCTGTCACTTTATCCCGGCTGTCAGACCCAAATGTTATGACCTCGTGACCACGGTAGCGCTTCCAAAGACCTTCAAAGCGACCATTCTTCTATAATTATCCGCAAATCGTCTTCAGCTGTATTTGCTGGACCAGTAACTCGGTGTCGGCGTTTAGGTCGTCATCACTTTTAGATCTGTTGTACTCCAATGATTTATTTCCAAGATCTGAATCTTCAGATTTGAAGGGAATATAGAACGATCAGGAACCACCACATCCATCATATGTTGACCGGTAGGTATCCCTGATCAAACTACTTGCTCGGCGCGATTTTTTGTTGCTGAAACATTGACACCGGATACCAAGATACGTAAATACATGGCCCAAAATAGCTTTGGACTTTGAATTTACTAGCATGAGCCTTGAGGTATTACTGACAGACATCTGTGCGGAATCATAGTCTTCTTTCTTACTTGCCCACTCGCCTTGTCGTTATCGCAGAGTAATGGCTTGTATACCAGGGGTCCTCAAAGCTTGAAACGACGGTGTCTATGGTTGGAAATCCAAAGGAAGTTCCCTTTGACTATTTCTTTCTAGATTGTATCAGATTATTCTAAAGCAAGTAACTATCAGCAAGTCAATCCTCATTTCCTATTGGCAGACTAGCTATCTACCGTGAATGTTTATGTCAGTGCCAGTGCCTGTGTCAGTGGTAATTTATTTGCGCACGCCTTAGGGTCGAAACAAAGGAGGATTAGCTACTTAGTGATGGCTCACTATTTTTCCGCCTCTTGCGCAAAGAAAGTGGCTTTGCTACTATCTAGTTATCAGATTCTAATACTGTATCTACCTACTATCTTCCAAGAAGCTGGTCAGCGGACTACACAAAGAAGTGGTGGGTAAGTCAAAACAGCGTACTTGCATCGCTCTCAGACATTCTGTACATCAATATCTTAAATCCCACATACCTACATGAATCAATCTTCAACCACAAAGAAATTAAACCAACAGGTTGGTCAATTTTCTGTACGAAATGCCGGCAGTTGAATCCCATTCGAACCTCGCCGCAAAGCTACAGTACGTTGGTACTCTCTCTCTTTGTACTTTCGTATGTAAATGTCTCGTCTTATCCGAAACATCAGTCAACACGAGAAGGATTTCGCTTGAAATTTGATTCATATTAGGATCTCACTTTTGCGCCGCACCTCAAAGAAAGTGCTTACTTAGTGACTAGTGTGATAAGTTAAGTGGCTTCATAAGGAAGTCATAAATTCTTTTGTTGCATATCGCGAAACGAGGGATCTGAGATCGCATTTCTTGTCATGCTTGTCATGCTAATCCAATCCAATTCATCCTTCTTTGGTGAGGAAGGAAGATGTGGAGGAATAACTCGTGTAGGTGGAAGGATGCGTCAGTATGCACCGTGCGATTGAAGAATCCTTCTGATGAATGCATACTTTGCAGAGAACTGCTGAAGTACAGAAGAAGGATTGCGGTGGGAGTGAAAGATTAGCGTGGAAGAGGTAGTGAGGACGAAGAAAATACACCTCGGTATGAGTGATGGATTCTTCCACGTTTGATATTCAACGGAAATGACGGTTTGTGGTTTGAATATAGGATTTTGAGTAGTGCTTATGTTCGGAATGAAAGAAAGTTCTTCGTGGATTCGATGACTTCCCCGTGTTGTCATGGATAATGGGCGTTTCTGCGCCGTGATATACGACGGTGACAGTAATACTGCGGGAGGATTCAATTGCACATCTTCATATCTGTTTCGAGTTTTGTGTGGGGGTGTAAGGTGTAAGATGTAAGATGTAAGGTGTTGAAATATACGATTCGATACACACATATGCGTAGGGTTGAAGAAACTTGTGTGCAGGTGTTCGTTGTCGTGATACTATACCTTGCATCGTGATCCTGCGCTCAGTGGTAGCATCAAATCACCAATTGTGTATGTATAGTAACCTCAATTTGATTAGCACATCCTTTTCCTCAATGAAAACTACTATCCTTTCATACAAACATGCGCATAAACTAAGTACATCACACCAGCATTCAGCTATATATCACAACCATCTTTCACATCTTATTTCCTAGCAAAGAACACGTACATTTTCAACTTCAAACGTACTTCGAACATGAAGGTTGTATAGATACAACATCGTATATATGTAAGGATCGCAAGCGCGGTACATATGTGTTTGAAATGTTGTGCGCGTGGGTTCTAGATACTGTGCTGTGATGTGAGTGAGCAGGTGGAGTTTGTGAGGTTTGAGGATTCTATCGTATCGTTTACTTTCTGTAGCTTTGAGATGTGAAGGGTCGTGGTGCAGATTCTAGATACTCTTCACGAGCAATGACTGTTTGAATTTTTGGCTAGTCCTTGATGGAGAACTAGTATCGGTAACAATATATATTCTCGCAACCCTTTCACTTCGCTTCTGTCTTTAATGCCGAGGGCATCCATAGAGCCTTGACTAATTGTTGCAATCCTGATCCGTACCTCTTCTTGTGATGACAGTTGTACACTTATCTGGCATCTGGATCTATTTCACAATGGAGCAACCCAATTTCTCGAAGATATTCTTCCACAGTCTGCGGATCCCCCGCTTTTTCTTCATTTGCTAGAACTATAATTTTATATACTACTGTGTCCAGTATATCTTGGTCTTCTTGTCTGTATCCTTCCTCCTCATCCTCATCTTCATCATCATGATCCTCGGTCGCATCTGCTGCGTTTCCTGGGTGTGGCTGATCGACGTCTTCTTCGAGTTTCTGAGTATCAGCAAATTCATTTTTCACTCTAATCCCGTCATGATTGGATTCTCCCTGCTCGCTCTTCACAGCCAGTTGAAAAACATCCTTCCTGCGGTGCTTTCTATGACGTTTCACTACTCGATATTCTCGTTTGACTTTGTGGCCTTCTTCGTCCTTTGCGTCTTTGTTCTCTGGCTCCTCGTCGCCCTGATAATCATCCATCGTGTGATCCCCACGAGTCTGAACTCGACGCCCTCTTCCTCTCGTCTCACACCTTTCAAGCATCTCGCTCAACTGTCTCCTTTCTGTTCCTTCTGCTGCGCGTCGGCCGGAATTCCATAAGTTATGGTAAAACTTTTTCAATCGTGTGCCAGTGATTTTTTGCCGCTTTCCATGTCGCAGTCCCGGTGCGTCAATTGTAGGGTCTGCCGTGGCAAGATCAAGTATGTCGATCCATCGGATGACGGGATCGGTTTGTACGAGCCATGTGACGAGTCGGATTTCGGTTGCTCTATTCATGATTGTGATGTGTTTTGCGGTGTGAAAATTGAGTGTTCTTTGTCAACTGTATATGTAATACTGTACTCGTAGGTTGGTAGATAATACACTTTTGAGGTTTTGAAAGCTTGGGCATTCGAGGTTGAATGGATATATACTAGGTTGGTAGAAAATACACTTTTAACATACATGTTGAAAGCTTGCAGGAAAGAGAAACTTCGGATCCGCGACTTCCATATAATTCCACTCGACTTGAGATCTCTTTCTACGGAATATTATACACATCCTTTCTTTCCCTCATAACCAGCAAAAGCATTAACTTCATATAAACAAGGTTCTAGGAACTAACAGCTATAGCTCATCTCAGAATAAACATTTCTTCAAAAACTACATCTCTCGGGATTCCCTACACACAATAACAAGATAAGAATAGTATATTCGTAAATATAAAAATCATAGAAAGTTTAAGTAGTGTACGCTTGTCTTCGGATTACATTTGAGATCAAAATATGCGTATTTCTTCTTCGGGGGAAGCTAGTTGTATTGTGCCGAGAACTTGTAGCCCACTTCTCCCTTTGCGTAGTTGGATATTCGGTTATCTTGTACCGAATACTCGGCGAGGAGACGAGACGGGGAGAGAGTGGCTTGGGAATCGAGACAACATGATAGCGTACCGTATGGAAATGAAAGTGTCCGTGAAGGGATGAATATCAAAATACGGTAGTGCTGAATAATATATATGGGTGAATAACATAACAACAATGGTGAATTTCAGGGACAAACTAGGAAGGCTTCTGATCTCATGATTTGTCAGATTCACTCACACTTCAAATTATGTGAAAACTTCGTTGTACTTGAGCATTATTTTGATAGTTATTATGTTTTTCTTGTCTATGGCAAGGGCTATTTCGATGATGAGTAGCTATAGCATAACATAAGGCGGGACTGGTCTTGGATTCGTATTGGTGCTTTGATGCAGCACTTACTGCATGTATTGGGTTCTGGGCCCCGGGGAACCACAGAAATATCTGCAAAGAGAAGGAAGTAATTCATCTGAGGAAATGAATTTGTTTGGTGGATTAAGGTTAGGGTCTTGACTGACAATGACTGTTGAGGTGAAGGCGTATGAGTCGGGATGGAAGTGAAGAAAATGCATAGCTCAGTATAACAAGTCTACGTAAAAGGTTTATGGCAAGGAAGTAGTATTAGCAGTAAAGATTATGTGTGATGATGAGTGACATGGTCTAGAAAACGACGATGATAAGATCTAGAAACAACAATAAATAGATGTCGAAATAATAGACGTGATTAATCGAAACAACAGTAGCTCATGTCTCAAACACACAGAGATCTTTCGGGAAACTATTTAGCTGTTAGTTTCCATATCAAGCGACTTGAAGGATGATAAGAAGGCCCTTGTAAAGGAGGTGGAACAAATCATATAGTTGCTGGATATACTCGTACTTCTTGGATTGGATATCCCTTATATAAAAGATTTCTGAGCATTAACACGGAGAAAATGAGAAAACGATTTCATTGAAGCTCACTGCCATCCTTCCCATTGTGATTCACTTCACTACATCATATCCATTACAATAATCAAGATAAATTCTTCGCCAAGACAAGAGGGAACGTCAACCGCCCCGAAGATCTCTTCGACGCCGACGACGTCCACTATTAATTCCGAGCCCAAACCACCCACGAAGCCGCCGTTCAACGCCGTCTTGACGCTGAAAAAGAAGCTATGCGAGCCAATGCCTAGGTTGGTATGTATATAAGGCCACCTCGGTGGTACAATCAAGACAGCAGACGGGAGGTTCAGGACCTGTCTTCTAGGCAACCATCTGTTGCAGGCTATTGAACAAATACCATTACGGTTGTATTTCATCTTATGCTGATAGGATGACCGACACAGCTACGTAAGAGATCAGAGAATAAGTGAGTCTTCAGGATCAACGACAATGATAAGAAAATATAAAATGACAACACTCTTTAGCACAAACATAATAGTAAAAAAATCAGGTTTCCGTCTGTGAAAAACATGAATGTGTCAATATAATGCTACTCTCGATGTCCAATAAGTCAACATCATAAAATTAAAAGACAGTTGCACAACTTGCCATGGGGCAACATCGCTTGATACGCTTAGCTTCGTCTATCGTGTGATAGTGATATTTGGTGGAGAGAGTTCTTATTATATAGATGCCCTTCGCGAACTTGGAGTGGAGAAAATCGGGGGGGGATCGGCATGAGTAGTTATGCTATTCACTTGATTCTGACTTCGTTCTAAGTTTGTGAGTCATGATTGACTCTAGCTGGCTACAATTGTTGAGAACAGAGGTTGGGGAGGGTATACTGAGTACTAAAAATCTTTATTGACTTCTTTTCAACTCCACAAGAAGATGAATTTAAAACGTGTCTCTTCCCTCAGAAGGCCCGAGATCTCTCTTGCATCGGTGTTTCAATTCTTTTACGTTCTTTTTTATAGTTTACTCGAGTATGGGGAATAGAATGATACAGTTTATAATGATAATTCAATACCATTAATTGTGAAAGCATCGACTATAACGATCAGACGAGTATGATCTTATTGCCAACATTTACCAAAATGAGCTTTCCTTTACAATGACAACAATTTATCAATATCCGACAGATACAAGTGATATGTAGTAGCTAAATTCAACCATTTGGATATCAAACATATCTTTAACTTTTCGTCCCAAACCTCAACTATTACACAGGCTATTTCGTGATTTGTCCAAAAAAGTGACGAACTTCTCTATGCAGCCATGATTGCGCAGTCTCATATCAACATCTAGCTTCATTCCTACGTCCGACATATCAACTAACTTTATTCCATGCTACCAAGAAGAGGGCTATATGATTCTCATACTCTTTATATACACAACCATTGAACTTTTCAGGTCAGGAAAGGTGAGAACTTGAGAAAGATATTTGATTCACTATCCAACATCCAACAAATCTAGATATTCTCAGAATACGGCTATGGGTACAGAATCGTTCCTTAGGAATAGATGGCCTCACCCGGGGACAAAGTACTAAGTATATAAGAGCATCTAGACGTCAACCTAACTCGATAGTATCACCCATAAATATCTAGTACGACTGACTTCAGGGCAGAGTAGCGGTGGGACTACGAGCTAATTAGTAAGGCTATAGCCCTCGCCGCACGTGGAATTCTTCGAGTACATACCGTACTTGAGATACGAACAAGGTACTCGAGTAATTGCAGTAATAAATCTCAAAAGCATGGTACCGGTGCAGCACAAGTTGATGGCACAGATGAGCACAGAGAAGAAGCTGGTGCGCTTCGGCTTACTGGCTTTGCGGCGCGGGGAGATGAGTTGTATCTTGTGGGAAGAAGAGAAGAGGAAGTGGTTCTATATCTCAAAGGCTTAAATTGACTGAATTAATTTCTGTGATATTACAAAAAGGTGGTAGGATAATGAGGAATATATACCACTAAAAAACGATAGTAAGATTGGTAATGAAAAGATATGACGGTGCAAATACTAATGATGGTAGACACAAGTTCGCTTCAGTGACATACCATAATATATACTGATATACTGATATACTGATATACTGTTATACCACCAGTCCCAACTTCCAAGCCTAAATTCAAGTTCCAGGGAACTAAATAAAAGCTCTACTGAGTTTCAAAACATTGCATAGTATACCCACCACACACTAGTTGTACTGTTGGATGAATTCTACGGAGTGGAGGGTTTCTATATATAGCTCTCAAAATTCTGGATGAAGAGAGCTGGGCACTGAAAATTTTGAATACTAACCGTATATTGACGTCGCCATGATATGAGATTCACTCGAAGATACCGGCATTATCGGTGTGGGAGAGTACTTCTAGTTGAGCTATGCGGTATGAGATAATGAAATCAGTTAATTCAGGAAATACCAATTCATCCGAAAAGCAAACCCAGACCGAAATCAGAAGAAGAGGGATATAAAACTCGTACTAAACATAGACATAAACATCAAGACCTTTACTCTCCCACTTCAAGAATTAGGAGTAGTTGTCCTCTGGGTAAGCATGCTGGGCTCACTGCGTTTTGTTCTCACAAAGGCCAGGGGAGCGAGACATTCACATTTGCAAGGGAAAATGGGAGGGATGAAAAGAGTAATTTCTAGGCTGATGATAGTTGGTGAGTGATGAGTGACGAGTGACGATGAGAACCATATACTAGCGATAATAATAAATGATGAATCATGACAGTACTCATCACCAATGTTATTCTGACAGTGCCAAACGACTTCGTTAGTCATGGATCTAAACCTCTTCATACCGCATACCAATCAATACTCATAAATTAAGCCCATACGCATAGAACACAATCATTCCCTTCCGATCAAACAATGTTCTATGAATATATCTTCAGTCTCGTTTAGAATATAATTTTTCAAGACAAATTAGTCTTGAACTCCAATATATATACTCGAATATCAGATATACACAAACCGTTATCCAATTCGATTTCACATGTTCACAGGAACTATATAAAACCAAACACAGAACGAGATTTCCGCACTGCATCACACAATCTCCACTGACAGATATCTCAAATAGGTGGGGGTTTCAGGTATAAAAAGAATCCAGAGATTTGCTTTTTGGATATCAAACTCTGAAGGATCGATACTTACGATCCCTGCAGAGGATCGGGGTATTTGGTGTAGAGGAAGCTGAGTAACAGAGTAATCAAACTGTAGTGAAACGTTGGGACATGAATTAGCAACTGAGGTATTATGTACATGTATATCTGACATATGAGAGAATACTCGATAAATGGCAACAGTGAAAACACCATGATCTGATAACAGAATCAACTGCGATGACAACAAATTCAACGAAGCTAGTAACAAGAGAACACTTGTCCTATTTGACAAAGACTAGAGATCCGAAGATCAGATCTAATATCGATTGTATGTTCTTGAAAATTTTATCCATCGGGGCCATAACTGTCACTCAAGTTCAAGATTGCACAAATAACCTAAAGGAATGGACGCAATGGTTTAGACGACTTGAGAATACCATGTTGTGCAAGGAGAGATGTCTCAATTTATACACCGGCTTCTTTTAGAAAGTAAAGATAAGTAAAGATCCCACTTGCAGTATCTACGAGTGAATCAAACTTGAACTTTAAACTCATTACTCTCTGAACTTCCGACGATATCACTTCGATATCTAGTTCGAATACACATCGAACTGGTACAATTGCATAGCTTAATATTTCGCCTACTGACTACTAACTAAGACTCAAACCCCAACCTCTCAAGCACCAAAACACTTCTCATACCCCACCATCGTAAATCTATACTTAACATCATTATTATGCAACCTGGTCAACGCCTTCTTCAACCCCTCCTCACCAATCTCAATCGTCTCCACCCAACTCTTAATATCCTTCTCGACTGCCAAATCCAACATAGACAGAACCTCTTTTCTGGAACCCAAGTGACTTCCTCCAATAAGCACACCATTTTTCAAGAGTTCAAAGTTGTCGATGGTTTGGCCTTCGCCTTCGGGGAGTCCAACGGATACCCAGCGTCCGTGTACGTCGAGGAGTTCGAGGTATTCCGAGAGGTTGAAGCCCGAGGAGGAAGAGGCGGTGTTGATGATTAGGTCAAAGGTCATGATGTGTTCTTTATTCCAGTCCTTATCGGCAGTGGCGAGGAAACCATCGGCGCCAAGTTTTTTCGCGTCGGCTTCCTTCGCATGAGTTCTATTTTGGAAAACCCCATTAGTCCTGCTCATTATCATCTCCAAACAATCCTGGAAACCCAGAAAGCTCGCCAGCATAATCCACCTACCTAGAAATCGCCCAAGTCTCCGCCCCCAGCGCCTTAGCAAACAAAACCCCAAAATGGCCAATCCCGCCCAACCCCACAATCCCCACCTTCTTCCCCGGTCCACACCCATTCCTGACCAACGGACTATAAGATGTCAGGCCGGCACACAACATCGGAGCCACCTCTTCCGTCTTCAATCCCTCTGGGATGGGGAAAACCCAATGTTCGTGAGTTCTCACATGGCTCGCATAGCCCCCTTGAGACACGATTCCCGTTTCCGGCCAGACGGCTCCATAAGTATCGAGTTGGTGGCGACAATATGTTTCATTGTCATTTTTGCACTGGCGACATTGGAGACAGGAGTAGGATTGGGCGCCGACGCCGACGCGTTGCCCGCGCTTGACGAGGGTTACTTTGGGGCCGACGCGGAGGGCTTTGCCTACAATTTCTATTTGGTTTTTAGTATGTTTTTATTCTCTCATGGCTATTCAGTTTGATCTCTTTTCTCTTGTCTCTTGTCTATAATTCCCCGAACCAAATATAAACTGAGAAAGGAGGGATTCATAAAAACATCGGGAAATCATACCATGCCCCACACAAAGCGGAAACTTCTGGTCACCCCACCCTCCACTAACAGTATGTAAATCACTGGCACAAACACCACACGCCTGGATCTTGATATCGACATCAAAGTCACCGAATGGTTTGGGCGTATATTCATTCTTATGAAACTCCGTCCACTTTGCCGGGTCTTCAATTTGGAACCCGGTGAAGGTATCTGGATATCCCATTTTCGTTTGATTTGATGGGAAGTAGTGTTTTGGAGGGGTATATATTGAGAACTTGTGAATGGGGAAAGGGTGGTCAGTACTTGAGAAGGACGGACAAAAATCTAGATGTATGATATGAGAAAGCAGCAGAGGAGGAACAGGAAGAGGAAGAGTGAGAGGAGTGATTAACAAACAATATATACCTCCTCATTCACCTGCCAAGCCATCTCCAATTTTCCCCCCATCCATGGAGGACATCCATGCGGACATCTAGGGGAGGTATACAATCCCCATTTAATAATCATCACTCACCCCACCATCTCAGCGGGGTTCATGTTATCGGATCTATCTGACCAAATAGATTAATTGCATTGAGGGTTTTTTCCGGGGTCGTTGACTCGTTGGTCGTGGAAGTGCCTTTTTATCCGTGGCCGGGGAAGTCTCGTTTAATATGGGGGCTTGTTGATGCGGCTGCTTATTTTTCCACCAGTTAGAATGTGGGAATGGGGAAAGGGTCATGTAATATCTGCATCAGCATGATACATAGTACGGTGGATATGGAGCTGATTGAAATGCATATCGTATTTCTGCAATAGGATATGATATGCTCGTCTCAATGTGAGTAGTTTGAAACTTGGAACAGAAGGGAACTTCAATGTTTATAATGAAGAATATATTGTCTGAAGTCTGCCATTTTCAATCATTTATTGTACGATTCAAAATACAAAGAACTTGGTCTTGTAGCAGCATGGTAGGCGAAAGAGGATACTTACGAATGAATGGCTTAAGAATTCCAAGTGTTCTATCTGTCTACTATACTCTTACAACATTAGATTAGAATAAAACTGAGCATTCATATGATTTCTCATAGTCCCTTGAAAGTAGGTCGCCCGCCCAGCACTGTGCATGCCAATGGCAAAAGTACCTCCTTGTAACCACTAAAACGCACAAAAGCCAAAATTGATCAATTTCCATGAAGCACAATACACCTACGCAAAGCAGACTCCTTCGTCAAAGCATGATGCATTGATGCTTCCCTCCCTAACCAACCAATCCATAACTCCATGGTTTCCTTACCAAACTTGTCGGGCCTTTAAACTCCTACACCCAAATAACACACCTTCGTTGAATTGAAAACCTTATCATACAAATTTCGTTATCCCTAGGAAGAATTCGTAAAACATTCAGTAATTCCGTATTACTTGAATCCTCGGAACTTTCTTCTGCTCTTAACCTTTCTTCCTTTTGCGGCCGGTGTGGTTTCACTCTGTTCGCTCGGCCTATCCTGAACGCTAGCCAATGCTTTGACATCCTCATCATCCATTTCGCTGAGGTCATCACTTGCATGAGAGTCATTCGGGTTCTCGACTGAGACTTCTTGCAAGACACTTGTTCCTTCAGGCTGGAAATCTTTGACATACCAGGGAATGCCCCCATTGATGAGGACGTCGGCACCATCTGTCGTATTCTCACCATTTGAAACTGGTGGAGTTGGCGGGGAAGGTAGATTTTCTTCCGGAGTAGGAGAATAACCATTGGTATTAGGCGGTGTAATACTATTACCATTTGTAGTGGGGTTTTCAACACCATTGTCAAGGAGTCGTGGGTCTATCATATGATCTGTACCAGAAGTAGTGATAGATGCAACATGAATAACATCTTCGACATCATTCTCTGCATCGGCGTCTGGCATATCCGTATCTATGATATCAGCGTTGGCATAGGAAGACTCGTCGCGTGCTACGACACCGCCTTTTAGATCTTCAATTGCAGGCTCTTCTGATTGTGCAACATCAATCATGTCTTCATCTTGTGATGGCTCCGGTGCTCCAAGATCTGCGAAGGCATCAAGTGAGCCGTTCGAACCTTCTGGTGGAAGTAGACAGTTTTCGAGTATGGAATTTAACACTTTCAACTGATCTTCGGGCGCTGTCTTAACCACATCACACTCAGCTCGAATTGCAGCCTCCAACATAGGTTGGATAGCTTTGATAATGCGTTTTCCGAGTTTACGACGATCTCGCACTTCGACATTAACCTTTCTTGTGGAAGTCTTTTCGGAATCCCCAGCCATATTGTCTTTTTGTTCACCTTGTCGGGGTTCATTCATGATAGCAGCATTGATCGTTGAACCAAAGTCTTTCGCAAACACCCCCGCAGTAGTGTAAAAGCGTTGATTGAGCTTCCCACTGAGTCGATTGAGACCACCGGTAAAGATCTTCTTGCCATCGAGTCTGCGTCCTATTAGCTTTCTTCTACTTTAAAGTCGGGCAATAACTTACTGTACGGCCCTTTCAATGATTGGTGGCAGGAGATGCGCCACAGGAAAGTATATTGTATCGACAGCAACCCTCTCGACCCTTGCAGTCTCCAACTTCTTCAATTCGCGTTCTTTTACATCTCCAGCAAGTTCACGTAGCTTCTCGATGTCTTTGAGCAGAAGCTGGGCGAAGTCAATACGGCGTGCAAGTCTTTCCCTTCCTACGTGACCCATACCGGCGAAATTGCGCCGGGTAATTTCCATGGAAGAAAAACTTTCCATTTGAAGTTGTAGTCGCTTTAAAAGAGCTGCACCCCTTCGGGCTTCTCTCTTAAGCGTCCAATACTTACAGCAATCTGCAGTCCATTCCCTACGCCTGCGGAGATTGTAACGCTGCAATGACATCTCAACAGAGTTGAAAATAACTTTCGGAATGATCGGAGCACCCGAAGGAAGTTTCCAGACCCCCTTGATTGGCTCTTCAGATTGAATATCTTGGTTGTATTGGAGCAATGATCCCCGAGCACCATTCAAGTCCCCAGCTTCTGGGTGTCTTCCAGCTTTGCGATGCGCTACAGCCAACATAGACGCCGCTTCGTTCGTATCAGCCCATACACGTCCGCGCATAGTCTTCTTGTAGAACCTCCGAGCTTCAGCAGTAGCAGCAACAGTGTCGTTCTCCCGAGCATGATCCTGAGGCGAGTGTTTATCACAAAAGGCTTTTAAAACAGCGTGTCCATCCAGAACAGCCAATGTACCATGGTTATTCTTCATCTTCAAGAACAGCCGAGCTTTGCGAGCACAAGTAACATGGAACGCTGTGAAGCAGGCTTTATTGCCACATTGTACGCATGCTCCCATACTTTGATTGCAGATGTAGCAGTTCAATTTCCACCTGCTCTTTGGCACCTTCTCCACTTCCATAACTGGCTCCATGAATGTGGTATTGCCAAGAGAGACTTCGGGAATCCACATTGCACAAAGTAGATGTGACCATTTTGAAGCATTTGTTTGTTTGAAAGCTCCGTCGGTGTTCGGACAGAAAATACAGGTCTAGAAATAATGTTAGCATTTAGTGTGGGAATGTATATCTTGCATACAACTTACAGGAGTGGAACGGCCAATCAGTTGACACTTTCTGCACATCCATTGACCTTCCGGGATAAAAGGGACTCCGTAGCATTCTTGATGCACAGCTAGGTCGCAGCCGTCGCAAAAGACAATGGCGTTAGTATTTTCACAATCTCCGTCATCACAGATGGCACATTTGCTATCTTGCTCTTCTCCAACCTGAGCCTCACCATTAACTGCGGCAGCGGAGCTAGATCTGGGTCGATGGGTTTGAGGGGGTTTTGGGTTCGGCTTTGGTATAGTTCGTTCCAAGTTATGCCAATCTTTCTCTATTTTGGTAAGAGTAACCTCGAAAATGTGGCGAAGAACCTCATCAACGCCTTCAGCCTTTCGCTTCTCGTTGTATTGTTGTAACCATTTGTCATCCGCCTCATCCATATCGTATTCAACACGGCCAAGGGTACTTCCGATTCCATCCAGATCTTCGTTGAAGTTGATATCAGAAGCTTTTATAAATTCTTGCTCGGGTCGAATGAATTCATCACTTTCCTGATATCCTACGTTCGCCATAGACTTATCGACATACTGATCGAATTCTGGCGTGTCAAACTTTTTGAGAGTATTCGTTAATCGGAACGATGGTTGTGGCAGGGTCAACTTTTCTTTCGCACTAGTATTCACAACATGTATGTTCTTTGGTGTCTTTGGTGTTTTCGGGTTACTAACGCTGAGAGGTATTCCAAGATTCGCAGCAGCCCTTGCAGCGTAGAATGCCTCCGGGTTCTTGGGCGGACGACCAGGTCTTCTTTTGCCACCTCCTGGTGTGCCAGGTATAGTAAATGGGACGGGAATACCGTTTGTGCTGGGAGTAGGAGTTGCATCGTTTGGACTTGCGGTTGTGCCATTTTCGTTAGCTTGTCCAGGCTTGCCGTTCGCTGATCCTTCTGCTGATTGCGATGCGCCGGCGGGAGTTACAGGTCTCGAGTTCGATATTCCCTCTACTGCTTCCTGACTGAAACACATCATTTCTTGATTTATATCTAGATCGGGGTGAAACTCCTCCCAACTTCGTTCTTCTCGTGGCTTATACCCATCATTTTGCGCGACGGCAGCGGCAGCCTGCGATGAAGATCCGAATCTGCTTGGGGCAGCCATGGGGGGTTGTTGTGCGCGAGGAAGTATCGTTCTTGTTCTTGTTGTTCGATTATCTCTGCGAGGGTAAATGATAGGCTGGACTCCGTTCGCAGCGTTTTCGCGTCCTATACGACCGCGAGGTCCAATATAATTATAACCCCCTGGTCCCGTACCGCCAACTAATAGTAGATCTTGACCGTTCTCGTCCACGTATCTGCCTCCTCCACCAGGACCGCCTGGCACGTATCGACCTTTTCTTGGAGGCTCGGAGACCGGGTTCTTAACAATCGGATTTTCGAATCTTCGATTTGAAACTGATGCGGATTTTGGACGTGTAGATCTTGTACCTGAGCCACTTGCAGCTCTTCTTGGGGTTCCTGGTAATGGCGTCGGGGCCATGTTGATATTTAATTCACTTCGGCTTATTTATGCGACGAGAATAATAAAAAAGTGTGGACAAAGGTGAGTTTGTTCCACTAGTGCGCTTGCTAAAAGTGATGATGAATAGTAGTAAATTTCGTGAGGGGCCAGGCGCATGAGGAACCAGATATTATAAAGACACGTTATTTTGCGTCTTTCTCTTTGTATATGATTCGACTGATATTTGTAAGAGTGAATTACATGTAAATAATGTCAAGATATGGGAGATTATCCTAATCTGACTTTACTTAGAAAGGGCAACATCTTTCAGTTTGGTAGTCGCGATGTGGTTGCTCATTCTAATCAGGCTTAGCTTTAATTCAGGGATCAAAACTCAATTGGGGTTAGAATCGGAAAAAAGTATAATTATATTCCGATATGAGGAGTTATGGGTTATGAGTGTTATAGAGTAAGTTTATATAATTATATGTGTATATATATATACCGGTATATATATACTCTTTACATGTGAATTTACTCGTAATATGACAAGCTAGTGCTTTTCTACTGTTCGTGTATTATGTTAGGTTTAATGCATATGATATGTACCTAGGTACCTCTCTCGTTTCACTTCAATCTCTTCCAATCTTCCTTTTCACAGTTCAATACGATACTATTCACAATGTATCTTCGTTGTCAATATGCGATACGATTCACAATATATCTTCATTGTCGACAACATCTTATTGGTGCGCGATGATGATGATAATGGAGTGCCTTTAATGATGCTTAGTTGCTGTTCATTCTAGACGTATCCAGCTCTACTCTCGAGTACAAGCAAAGTTATTGTTCTCCCACTTCCGAGTCAAAAGTGTGGTCCCATGTTAACTGTTGAGCGCAATTCCTCAAGAGTGGATTCGGCATCACCTGTTCAACTACCGGTCTGTATTCCTGAGGTTATCAGATCTACAGAAGTTCACACGATTCGTAGTTCTAGCCCACACGAGAAATAACAGGCAGAACTTGGTATATATAGATCAACTTTTCAATCTCACCCTTCAGCCCTGTTCAAGGTGCACAATGGCTTGACAGATCGATATGCCTATGCGAAATCAAATTTTTCTCGATTCTTTTCAGAGTGCTGTCATAAAAATCTATAAGTTCATTTGAATGAAACTTCAAGGCAACAACACACGAGCCAATGTCCGCCCATTATTCCTCACATCCAGAGTTTGTATCGATCTCTTCGACTGATGAGAAACTTTAGAGTATTGAGGTTTTACCGGCACACCGTTAACTTCCACAAGTGCGAGAGTAAAGGTTTCACAAAAAACATTTTCGGCCCTCGTTGTACGATTTGGTGGTTGTTACATGAGCCGTGAACCTGGCACTCCTGCTGCATGAGCCCTGCAGCTACGCGCACGCTTACCCTACTAGATCTTACAGTTCCAAAATCCACCTCGTTATTGTGTCCAAAAGACAACATCATATCATACCCACGTAAATATATATCTCACCCATTCTAATTAGCCTGAACTAAAATATACCTATCCACAATGTTTCTGGGTGCGGGGAAGAAAGTTGATCTTTTGCCCCGCCAAGTCAACAACCTGCATCATGACAAGATCTCTTCACTACAGACAACCTATCGGTGTATGAATGGATCCCTGATGTGCAATTTTCGTAAATGCCTTTCATTTAACCGTTGATTTGTCTAGAGCCATGCTCACAGTTTCAAGGTATGCACAGCATATGAGCTTAAGAGCTCCAGAAAATATATATATATCCAGTGAGTACAATAGGAAGCATAAGCAATTCCTGATTTCATCTGTCTCTTCTCCAGTTTCTTATTCCTGGCTTTCCTTGTCGTGAATCTCCATACATAAAAAAAAAGTCCATTCACCATGGCAGCCGGAGCTCCTGTGAATGGCCTTCAAGATATGACTCTCCAACGTCGACAAAAGCTTATGGGTGCCAGTGGCCCAGCAGCTTTAGTTAAAAACTTTCGAGTCTTCAGTATTGCCCTATTCGCCTGCATTGGAGGGTATTATATGTAAGTTCCTCTATTGTGGCGCCTTGATCAAGGAAATAGCTTTCTACGAAACTGATTCAGGGAGTCTTCTCTGGTGTACTCACGATGAACTCATTTATGACGCACATGGGCAATTATGATAGCACTAATCCAGCAGATCAAAGCAGAAAAGGGTGGTTGACTAGTATATTGGAATGGGTGCTTGGGTTGGAACACTTCTAAATGGGTTTATGGCAGAGGCGGCGAGGAGAAAGTATGGAATTTTGATCGCTACCGGTATGTTTCTTTCCTCACACTCCAAGGACTTAGTATTAAATGTTGAAAAATGATTTTTCTATTGGCTAGGAACGAACGAAGGGCAGTATTTATAAAACCATACTGACAGATTATGTTCGAACAAAGCCGTCTTCATCATAGGCGTCATAATTCAAGCCACCGCCATTTCCGTCGGCCCTTCCGCCATCGTAGGCGGCCGATTCATTACCGGAGTGGGTGTTGGAAGTCTGAGCATGATAGTACCCATGTACAATGCCGAAGTCACCGCCCCTGAGGTCCGAGGCTCTCTAATAGCCCTCCAACAACTAGCCATCTGCACCGGTATAAAGATATCCTTCTGGATCGATTACGGCACAAATTACATAGTGGGAACTGGTGCATCGCAATCTGATGCAGCCTGGCTCGTACCTATCTGTTTGCAACTTTTCCCAGCTGTGATTCTTTTTGCTGGTATTCTCTTCATGCCCTTCTCGCCTAGATGGTTAGTACACCATGGAAGGGAAGGGGGGATCAGAAAAGTACTAGCGCGATTGAGAGATTTGCCCCAAGACCATGAATCAGTACAAATAGGAGATCAAAGCACAGAGTTTATTTGAAAAGAGATCGGTTGCAGAATTATGGCCAGGTCTTCAAGAGTTGACCTGGATGAATACTGCAAAGTTACAATTTGTGGCGATAGGAAGTCTATTCAAGACTAAAGCGATGCTGAAGAGAGTGGTAGTGGCTACTGTTACCATGTTCTTCCAGCAGTGGACGGGCATCAACGTATGTCCCATTCCTCTATTCCCTTCCCTCGTCTTTCTCTTTCGCTTAGTAGCAAAGTCCATAAAACCTCCAGTATACCAATATCCCTATCCCACTCCCAGGCAATACTCTACTACGCCCCCACCATCTTCGCCTCGCTAGGCCTCCTCTCCAGCAACACCGTCACCCTTCTCGCCACGGGCGTCGTCGGCATCGTAATGTTTCTCGCCACCATCCCATCCCATCCGTTCTCTACATCGACAAACTAGGCCGAAAACCCCATTCTGAACATCGGTTCTATCGGCATGACCACATGTCATATAATCATCGCGGTCATCATTGCAAAGAATCGAGATTCATGGGAAGACCACAAAGCCGCCGGCTGGGCAGCCATGGCTATGGTTTGGTTTATCCTCTTCTCCTTCCTCTTCTCCTCCCTCTTTCCCTCCCTATTTTTCCCACCCCCTAACACTCTCCCGCAAAAAGGCTCTTCGTAATCCACTTCGGCTACAGCTGGGGTCCCTGCGCCTGGATCCTCGTCGCGGAAATCTGGCCCCTCTCCAACCGTCCTTACGGCATCGCCCTCGGCGCCTCCTCAAACTGGATGAATAATTTTATCGTATGCCAGGTTACCCCCGATATGTTGAGCGGCATCTCCTACGGTACCTATATCATTTTCGAATTATTGACGTATATGGGGGCTGCGTTTATATGGTGGGGTGTGCCTGAGACGAAGAGGCTGGGTTGTGAGCGTTTATCTTTTCTTTTCTTGATTTCTTAGCTTCTTGAGTTGTTTTCTATTCTCTCCCACTTCCCAATTCCCAATGCCCAATTCCCATCCCATAGTATGTACAAGTAATATACACGAAAGAAAGAGATGAGATGGATGTATAGTAAGAGCATATTATCCATATAATTAACCAACAATCTCAGTGGAGGAAATGGACCTAGTATTCGGAAGCGAAGGAGTGGGCCGCAACGATATCGCGAGAATGGAAGGAAGCGGATACCAATGGTGATGGTCACTTTTGTAACGGGACAGAAGAGTGAAATGGGAGACAAAATTCATGAAATATAGATGAAGGTGATCTACATTGGTACACTGGTGAGGTGCACTTGTTTTGTCGATTAGAGTCGCGATTTTCGAGGAAAGGGTGGGAGTTTCAATAAAGGTGTTAACGTTTGTATTTATTCGCTTGTATAAGGAGTTTTATTAAGTGTATGTGTATGCAGAAACACCCAACTCCAACTGCCAGGCTATGTGGTATATCCCCCTCGCTACTCATTCCTCTCCCTTCCCTTCGATGCCGCGCCATGAAGCAAATTCAAATATAATTTCCGCGAAGATTGGAAGCAAAACCAAAAGGTATCAACAGAACGAATAAGCAGTTAAACTCAGAATGGGCCGAGCCAAACCCAGTATCAACCATGACCATCTGTACAATCAAGCTGGCATGTCACCTATCTTTCTTGGCTTTGCGATATCTCTCGCACCTCCATCTATTCCCGTGCTGCCAATTTGGTTGTTGAGAAATGGGATCTTATCTAGACTAGTACTTCTTAGGTGACTCGGTCCCTTTGTCTCGCCATTTTCACCTAGCATTTCTCCACCTTCGGTTTTAGGTGTCAATATAGGAGATACCATCAACTCGGGGGTATTTTGCCATTTCTGGACTTCTCGCTTCATTTCCTCAAGCTCGTTCTGGAAACGTTTGCCAAAAACCTCAATGTAGTAATTTGCACCGTTATAGACAGACCAGCAGAATACGGCCATGAGGAATGTCGCAGATGCATATCGATACCAGAACCATAGAGGGCATGGTAACATGGTGAGCAACGCATATGAGTATTGAATAAGCATAAATGCAGGCTCTTGTAGAGAATCTGGAAGGGCGAGAACCGCTTTGCCAATCCAAGCTTTGGAGTATGACTTTCGTAGCCAGGTGAATGATGTTGGACGTCCTGCAGCAATCTTCTCGCGACGGCGAACAGTGATGAGAAAATGGTAAGAAAGCTGCCATACAGCATATGGAATTGATGACCATAGGGCCATGGATAGGAGACCGTAATGAGTACTGGACCCTACTGGAGATGTGCGTATATCGTAGATGGCACTGAAACGAGATTGCTGAGTCGATGGGTCTATGAGATGAACCAGACAGTGAAGCGTCACGCATGGCATGATATGAATGAAGAGAGAGGTAACCTTATCGAAACTGTGAAACACCATGGAATTCCTCCACATGGCGATCGCCACAGCGTTATTTCCCATGGCTAGACAGTAAGTGCTGATGAATAGTCGTTTCGATTGTGGGAAGATCCAGATTGAAAGAATGCAGAGAAAGTTGGTAAAGTAACAAAGATCTGCGAGGAAGTAATGGTATCCCCGTTTATGGTAAGAATAAAACCTGATGGGCATGAAGTATAGCAATTGGGCAGTGTACCACCTGTGAAATAGCTCAGGGTACCCGCCGAGTAAGTAGCCACTGATGAGTACATTTAAGACTCCACAGATGAAGGAGACCTTTTCTCGAATTGTCACTGCCTTTGTATCATTCCAACGTGTCCCAAGTTTGTCGACACTATCGCGCATCCTCTTTTTATATCTTTCGAGCTGCTCATCGGCAGTAGGAACACGCTTTCGCCATTCTTCAACAACCCGAGTCTTCGCATAACTCGAACTTGTCTTTAGCTTATCTCGTTGCTTTCGAACCTTTTGAGATTGTGCGGATAGATTTCTCTGTAACTTTTCAAGCTGTTGGGGCAAAGTAAAGTTCTCTAACAAATCAAACACAGTGATCTTATCGAGAGGAGGCCATGGTTCCCAATCTTCTTGATATGTACTACTCTCAGAGGCAGAGGGACGTCTCGAAAGATGAGGACTTCCATTATCCGAGGGTATTAGTGTAGGTGATTTGCTGTCCCATGAAGGAGAGCTTCCGGTCAGTGGATCTCTGGTATTTAGACGTTGCCCCGATGATAACGAACTTGACTCGAGTGCAGGCTCCGATTTAGAGCTGGGTATGGGTATGGGATCAGACATTTCTGCTATTGAATGTGGATGATTTTGAATGGGATCGTAGAAACAAATGCGCCGGAACGCAGAAGCGCCTCTTAAAGCTACATCAGCCATATGTCTGCAGATCTTGTGTATGCACGTAAATGGAGGAGAGATGACAGATATATAAGGAGAATGGCATAACTCACAGAGAAGTCTTCTACTGCGGATAGATAGCTTTTATATACGTTCAAGAATGCCTAGGTAGTGGAGAACTGCCGTTTAATCCAAGCACATGAACGAATTCTCGAAAAGGTAATACGTTATCAAAGAATCATAAGGTTCTTCTAACTCGAAACGGACCCTCAAAGTAGAAGTGTTTTGTTCTGGACCAATTCTTTCGTAGGTGCTTGACGTTGAAGGAAGTAAGATCGTGCCTATTTCACGGCTTTTGGTTGGATGTTGATATCAAGATAGAAACAACACTATCTCGACTCCTGTGATTTTTTGGCTTGATCACAAGATATTCTTTATCGTTTGCGTTGCTTTCATATTGGAATGAATTTAGAGTCAAAGTATGAAAGATGAAAATGGTAGAACAATATCTTTTTATTCTGTTGTATGTGTTGTCTCAACTTTTTTGGTCCAGGCCTTAGACCTGCTACCAATCAATCACTTCACTTGATCTGGGGAACACATTTCGTCATTGCTACCTCTGGGCTGGCTACCAGAAACCCCTGCTAGTTATTACGGTAACCTTGAGTTTCGAGTTACGTTGACCTGACACATATAAATGTGCAATATATTTCAATGTCATGTGATCCATAATTCGCGTCCGCGACTTTTTGTGATGTGCTGAGCAGCTGGGAAAGTTGAAGTTGAAGAAATTCAGAGCCACTCTTCCTCTTCCGTCTAAAGATACAACCCAACCGTCAATTATTCTAGACGCATTATTGTTCGTCGTGGATATCATATTGATGCGCCACCACTAAACATTTTCATTCCTTCGTCACTGGGTTTACTTGTGGTTATTATTCCCTTTTAACGCGTTCACCCCGCTACGATCAACGCGTATAAGTCAAGATGGGAAAACTTATACGTCTTGAGCTTTTCAGTAAGCTGGTCGCGCATTCTATCCTTTGCTATTACTTGTGGCTAACTATGTGTAGACTTCAAGTCATACAAGGGGCACCATGTTCTACTGTTTGGGGATTCATATTTCACCTCTATAATCGGCCCCAATGGCTCTGGCAAATCGAATTCGTATGTGATGCGCAAGATATCGTCGGAAAACTACTAATTTGACTAATAGTATGGACGCAATATCTTTTGTTTTAGGCATCAAGTCATCCCATTTACGATCTGCGCATTTACGAGACCTGGTATACCGTGGAAGAGTACTGAAAACCTCGAAAATCAACGACGATGGATCTGCGGTTGACCCAGCTGCAAATGGACATGCGAATGGGGATGGAGGGGGTTCGGATGAAGAATCACAATCTCAGAAACCGGCGCGCAACGACCCCAAAAGCGCATGGGTTATGGCTGTTTACGAGGATGATGCAGGCGATGAACAAAAATGGAAGCGTTCAATCACAAACCAAGGGGCCAGTGAGTATCGCATCAACGATCGCGTCGTCACCGCACAGGCATACAATGATGCCCTCGAATCTGAAAATATCCTCATTAAAGCTCGAAACTTTTTGGTTTTCCAAGGAGATGTTGAAGCAATCGCGTCGCAATCACCAAAGGACCTGACCCGGCTCATCGAACAAATATCTGGCAGTTTGGAATACAAGGTAGAGTATGAAAGGTTGCAGGATGAGGCGGAGAAAGCAGCGGACGAGCAAAATTATAGTCTACACCGCAGACGTGGCATTAATTCAGAAATCAAGCAGTATCAAGAACAAAAGAGAGAAGCAGAGGCTTTCCAAAGCAAGGCAGTGGAAAAAGATGACGCCATTGTCACTCATATCCTATGGAAATTATATCACTTCCAACGAGTTATGGACGAGTCAAGTGCTAGCATTCAGGAACACCAGGAAAATTTGAAGGAGTACCGCCGTGGCGTAGAAAAGTATCAGAGTAACCTGGATGCGGCGAGAGCAGAGCAGGCTAAAATTAATAAAGATGCCAGCCGGACTGAGCGAAATATCAAGCGTAAGGAAAAGGAGATTGAGGAAAAGGAAGTCCAATTGTTACCATTTGATCAGAAAATCGAGACCGTCACGTCTGAGATCGAAAAGCTGAGAAGGAAGGCTGTCGGCATCACAAACGAACGAGACGATAAGTCCAAGGTTATTGCGAAGCTCAAAAAGGATCTCGCGTTAGTTGAGAAGGCACAAAAACAATTCGAGGTTCAATGGCAGGAAACTCTAAAAAATCAGGGCAAGCAGTTGAGTGAGGACGATTTCAAGGAGTACCAGAAGCTCAGGTCCGAAGTGGTCAAAAAGACATCTGAGGATCAGGCCAAGCTAGACAATCTAGTGCGTCAATTGAAAACCGACGAAGTCACGGCGAATAGCTTGAAAGGCAAGATGGAGGCGGCGCAGGCTTCGGTGGAAAAACTTCAGAGTGAGCTGGACACCAGCGTGAGACGAAGAGACAACCTCAAGGAGTCAATTGCCGAAACAACCAAGGATAAAAACGCGAAGAAAAAGGAACATAACTCCCTGCAGTCGGAACGCGTTCGCTACAACCAATTGAAGACCGACCTCGAGGAGAAACTCCAAGAAATTTACAAACAGATTAGAGAAGGTGAATATGGCCGACGAGAGAGCGAAAAGGAAAGGAGGGTCAAAGAAACCATAACCGAAATCAAAAGAATATTTCCAGGCGTGAAAGGGCGCATTGGCGACCTTTGCAAGCCGAAGCAAAAGAAGTTTGAAGAGGCTGTAAGCACAGCTCTCGGCCGAGACTTTGACTCAATTGTTGTTGATACGGAGAAGACTGGCACTGAGTGTGTGCAATACCTGAAAGATGGCAAAAAGCCCCCGATGACTTTCATCCCTTTGGATAACATCAAAGTCAATGCGACAAACTCTTCATTGAAAGGACTACCGAAGGCCCGTCTGACTATCGATACGATTGATTTTGATTCATCTGTCGAAAGAGCTATGTCTTACGCATGCGGAAGCTCAATTGTCTGTGATGATATCGCAACAGCCAAAGACATTTGTTATCGAAAGAAGCTCCAAGTCAAAGCTGTAACTCTGGATGGTGTCATGATCGCCAAAGCTGGTAATATCACAGGTGGTCGTGTTCCAGATGGTCGTGGTAACAAGCGCGCATTCGGTGATGCGGAGATGGATAAGCTTAAAGCTATGGCCGAGAAATACGATCGCGAGATCAGAGCTCTAGATGCCAGCAAGAAAAGAACGGGCGAGGAGGAACAGTTATCGAACGCAATTAATAACTTAAACCAGAAGGCTACCTACGAGCAGAATGAGCTGGCCGCATTTGAGAAAAACATTGTCAGTGAGCAAGGGAAGCTAAAGCAAGAACAACGCCAGTTAGAAGATGTGGAGCCTAAGTTCGATGAAAAAAGTGCAGAAGTTGAGAAGCTTCGGCTGAAGGTGGAGGAGTTTCAACGGGCTATCGCAAAGGTCGCGGATAAGATCTTCTCTAATTTCTGCAAGAGAACAGAATACTCGAATATCAGAGACTATGAAGCACAACAAGGCAGCCTCGAGCAAGAGGCTTCGGAGAAAAAAAACGAGTTTGAGAAACAAAAACAAATCTTGAAGAGCCAATTGGCCTGGGAAAACAATTGGAAGGCCGATGTTGTAGACCGTTTGGACAAACTCGAGAAGAACATTGAAAAGTTTGAATCGGACATCGAGGAATACGAGGCAGAAAAAGAAACACTTGCACAGGCAATGGATGAAGACCGAGCAGCTGTGACGGAACTAGAGGATGCGCTTCAGAAACAGAAAGAAAAGCTCGCGGCGAAAACAGATAAAGTTAACGTCACAAGGCACGACCTACAGAAGGCGAGCAAGGGCATTGATGAGCGTACAAAATCCATCACCACTCTAGAGACGGTAGCTCAACGTACTAGCGCAAATCGATATGCTCTTTTACGACGGTGCAAGATGGAGCAGATAGCCATACCATTGACAGCAGGATCAAAATCCTTAGATAATCTCCCTGCAAATGAAAACTTGCAACAAGAGGATCCCGATGCCATGGATGTTGATGAAGGCGATCAAGCTCCTGAGGAAATCATTAAAGATTACGGCATAGACGTGGATTTCAATAGGCTTGATGATGACTTCAAAAACGTAGGTAATTCACAATATACGAAAACGTACATGCTAATTCTAAACAGGCCGATGAAGAAGATGTTGAGGAGCAACTCCAAGAAAAGATATCTACCCTCAACTCGGAACTTGAGAAACTTAATCCTAACATGCGCGCTATCGAGCGACTGGATGTTGTCGAGACACGCCTTAGAGATACTGACAAGGACTTCACCGCCGCTCGCGACGCTGCAAAAGCTACTCGTGATGCTTTCAACGAAATCAAGGAGAAACGTTACGACCTCTTTAACAAAGCTTTTGCACATATATCCGAACAAATATCTCATGTTTATAAGGATCTTACACGCTCAGCCACCTTCCCTCTCGGTGGTCAGGCCTATCTTGATATTGAAGATAGCGATGCACCGTATCTCTCTGGAATCAAATACCACGCCATGCCGCCACTCAAACGTTTCCGTGACATGGAACATCTATCTGGTGGTGAGAAGACTATGGCTGCCTTGGCTTTATTATTCGCAGTCCACAGTTATCAACCTTCTCCATTCTTCGTATTGGACGAAGTTGATGCTGCTCTTGACAATGCAAACGTGGAGAAGATTAGGAATTATATCAAGGAGCACGCGGGACCTGGAATGCAATTCATTGTCATTAGTTTGAAAACGGGATTGTTCCAAGGAAGTGAGAGTTTGGTTGGTGTTTTCAGAGATCAGGAGGTCAACAGTTCAAAGACTTTGACGCTTGACGTAAGTTTTTTTTTAATTCCTCTGAAGTGTCTACTTACTGATATCTTGAATAGTTACGCAAATATGCATGAACAATGTATCTGGTGAAAATGAGTTTGTCGTTGTACATTACATGGTGGAATTGGGTGCTGTTACATGTTCAGTTTGACAATCGCATGTTAATCGGGCGGGTGGATTGGCTCGATAGCTTATGAATACCAAGTCTGAAGGCTGTTTGGGATATGGGAGTTTGTAGGAATGTGTTTATCCTCTAGTCGATAAATGAGTAATTTGCTCTTTTTTATGGATAGCTGTCTGTTCCGTGGTACAGTAGAAGCAATCGATATATCAGTTTTGTAGATGACTACAGTTGCCAAATCAGATATGCCGTGTTTCATCCCAGTGTCTTCCTGAAACAATCAAACAATATTCCTTCAGTCCTTTGGACGACATCTCGTTATTATACAAACTTACAAGAACCATGCGGCAACTTTAGCGGATATTCGACTTAATAATACATTCTACAGTGCTCAACACTTATGTCACCCTCTAACTATGTGCCCTCTAGCTATATACAACTGCTCGCATGCTAATTCGACAAGTTTAACTCATCCACCCACCGGCTTTATAACTTAAATCCATCTATTGCAATCTCTCTGCAAGGCTAGCACCATACCACATCGTAGCTAGGAAAGATACCATATTTATTAATGAAGAAGCCCCATGCATTCTTCCAAATGCCTTGTTTAACTTTTGCATCTCTCTTGAATGCGGCGCCGCATCATAGGATTTCTTCCCATCTCTCGTTTCTGCAAATAGAATCATTAGCCTCTCTTATGTTCACCTCCATAACTCCGCCCTCCCTTCAACCATTCAACCAGAGAAACCTACCCTGATGTTTCCTCTCCCTCATAATCTGCGTAGTAGCCGGCCCAATGACCACCAGATTCGCCAATCCCGTTACAAACATTGTAGCCAGAGGCACCAGCACACTCCATCTATTGACCTCCGCAAGCGTCCCTGATATCCCAGAAACAGTGCCGAGATGAGTGTGAGATCCCGGATAGGTAATGGCTAGGACGGCGGGCAGCGCAGTTTGGATACCAAAGTAGATGGGGAAGAGGTTTTGTTGGAGGATGGAAAATTGGGGGCGGGGGAGGGATTTGTAGGCTACGATGCCGTTGATGAAGGATTGGAAGAATTGGGTGCCGAGGAGGGTTCCGTAGCTAAATGAGTGTGTTGGTTGGGTGAAGATGGGAATTGAGGGGGGAAGGGACGTACGTTATGATGTGGTATGGGCCGGGAGTTTTGAGGATTGAGATGTCTGGCATTTTGAATGTAGGGTCGTTGAAAGATTCTATGTGAAAGTGTATAAAACTTTATGAGAAAGTCAACAAATGTTATATCCAGTGGCAATTCAGGTTGGATACGGAATTTGATGGGTCTGATATCTGTTTATCACACGATGACGGCTCTATTGGTGCGTACAGGTCCGAGCACCGAGGTCCGCATCACGTGATATCGCGATAGATCTGAGCTTCTATGGGGCTATGACGCGTCTGCCTGATTACAATCCGATTGAAACCGCGACTTAATCAAGCACTGCCACCAGTATTTGATTCCCTCAACTTCTCAACTTCTCGATTTCAGTTCCTACCCACCTCATGTAAACACCGAATTCTCACACCATGACTGAAAAACAAGCAACCGTCTACGTCGTCGACCTAGGTAAATCTCTAGGAGATTGCCATAATGGACGTGTGGAAACTGATCTCGAATATGGAATGCGATATGTTTGGGATAAGATTACGTTGGCAATGTCCTCTGATCGGAAAACCGATGGGGTTGGCATTGTTGGTTTTCGTACTGATGATACAAAAAACGATTTACAAGCTGGTGGGGAAGAGGGATATGAAAATATATCTGTATTGAAGCCTCTTGGACAATTTCAGATGGAACAGCTGGAGGAAATGCAAGGGGTTATTAAACCAAGTAGTACTGATGCTGGAGATGCTATATCGGCGGTTATCGTTGCAATGGAGATGATTAAGGGCTTTACTACATTGAAATCTGGAAAGCCGGGCAAGTTTGCGAGGAAGATTGTTTTGATTACGGATGGGCATGGGGTTATGCATGGTGAGGAGCTTGATGATATTGCGAAGGAGATGAACAAACACGATATACGACTCGTCGTCATGTAAGTGGCTCTTCGAGTGGTCGTATTTCCTGCTAATATGAGACTAGAGGGGTTGACTTTGATGATGCGGAATTTGGTTTCAAGGAGGAAGATAAAGATTTGGCTAAGGTCCGTCATCGAGTCCTCTGATCTGTTTGTAAGACTAATTATCGGTAGGCTGAAAATGAGAAACTCCTCAAATCTTTCACAGAGAGTTGCTCGGACGGAATGTTTGCTACCACAGAGGAAGCCATTGAAGCCCTCGCAACACCCGTAGTCAAAGTCACGAGGGAATATAAGACCTTTGAAGGATTACTAACCCTAGGAGACCCGATCAAATATCCCGAGACAGCTGTATCGATAGATATTGCTCGATATTTCAAAACACATCAAGCTAAATCTGTTTCCGCCACAAGTTTCGTTACTCGAACGACGGAGCAAGGCGACGAAGGTGGACCAATTGATGTGGAAATGCTGGATAGTGATCTTACGTCGGTTTATCAGTCAAGGACTTACAGAGTCAATGATCCAACCGCACCGGGTGGTAAGAGAGACGTCGAACGAGATGGCCTGGAAAAGGGTTATGAATATGGCAGGACCATTGTTCCTATTAGTCAATCGGACGAAGGTGTCACAAAACTTCAGGCAATGAAAGATTTCTCGATTATTGGATTTGTGCCCAACAATGTAAGCACTTATATACAAAAAGTACCCTCTAGCATAAACTAACTTCTTTAGTACGAAAGATATCTCAACATGGGAGAAAGTTGCATTACCATTCCTCAAAAGTTGAATGAGAAAGCAAAAATGGCATTGTCATCACTTGTCCATGCTCTCCATGAGCTGGAATCTTGTGCTATCGCCAGACTCGTCAAAAAAGACGGATCAGACCCACAAATTGTACTTCTTGCACCCTTTATAGAGCCCGATTTGGAGGGCCTGATTGATGTGCCTCTTCCATTCGCCGAAGATGTACGAAGCTATCGTTTCGCGCCTCTGGATAAAGTACTCAATAGCTCTGGCGGTATAATGGAGAAGCACAAAAGCCTTCCGAGCAAAGACTTGAAAGCTGCAATGAGCGATTTTGTTGATAGTATGGATTTGTCGACGGCCGGAAAGGATGATGAAGGGTAAGACCAAAGCATGATTATCATACGTATCTGACTAACTTTGCACAGCCAGCCAGCGGAATACATGGCTATCGAAGATACTTACTCTCCTGTACTCCATCGTATTAGTCAAGCCATACGCAGACGTGCTGTCAAGCCAGGTGAAGGTGTACTCCCGCCTCCTGATGTTCTAACCAAATGGTCGCATCCTCCTGCCGAGCTCGTCCAAAAATCAAGTAACAAGCTCGAAAAACTGATTGAAATAGCCGATGTCAAGAAAGGTAACACGCTCTCCAACCCTCTTTCAATTTTCCTTTTCTAACCATGTCTCAGTTCCCGCCACAGCCAAAACCAAACGCAACCGAGAAGTCATCAAACCTCTCTCCGGTCTCGACGTCGAAGCTCTCTTGGGCCGAGAGAAGCGCCAAAAGATCTCGATAGACAATGCCATCCCAGAGTTCAAACAAGCACTCTCCAACACCGATTCCACCGATGGCGTCATAAAAGCCACCCGAGAAATGGGCGACATCGTCCGCACACTACTCAAAAGAAGCACCGGAAACTCCACATGGGCACAAGCGGGAGAATATTTGAGAACCATGAGAACGGAATTAATCGATCTAATCGAACCGGACATCTACAATAACTTTATCGAGAAATTCAAGAGACAGCTTCAAAACGAAGATTTTGATAAGATGTTTTGGTTTGAGGTTGTGAGGAAAGATAAATTGGGGCTGATTCATAAAGATGAAGCGGAGAATACGGGGAGGACTGAGGAGGAGGCTAGACAGGTTCGTGCATTTTCTTCATTTTGCTTTTATGATGAGTTGAGAGATGTATTGTATTATAGCTAACCTGGAATACAGTTCTATAATTTGGGTGCGGCGGAGGAGCTGCCTAATCGCGGAAGATCATGATTGATCTGGGTATGAAGCTAGGTTTACAATATATGCATGGAAGGGGATGTCCAAATTTATTATTGCGTTGTTGATTACATTACACTCGTTACGAGAATGGCGTTGGCATTAGCATTGGCTTTGTCTAATAATATGATTGATGACCGTTTTGCTGATTTGGGAAGGAAGGAAGGAAGGATGATTTTTGCAGAACTTTCTTTGAGACATTGCAATTGTATTATTATCTGTTAAAGTACTGTACCTGGTATCATTTTATGAAAAGATTGTTGACATGAAATGATGAACTGGAGTTTCACAACTAGGTATCCTACTTATAATGGTCCACATGTTATAGAAGGAGTAATAATAAGAGAAAGAAACCATGCGGGTTGAGGGATCCGAACGGTTCCTTCTCAGATGGGAAACTAAAGGCGCAGCTCCTGTCTTCGATGAACCCATTTCAACTTGGGAGATTTGACGATCGTCTTAAGGGTGGGAAATGATGATGATGATTGCCGTCATGTCATGTAGAAATTGAGATTTGAGTTGTTCGAATCGGAATTTGATATTGAAGCTTGAATGCCAAATTTGCTTCGAGGAAAGAACGATGGAATAGGTCATTATTGATGACAGCGCGAAGAAAGATATCCGCATACTTGAGTTGTAAGATTAAGTTTACATAGCTTAACATGGGGAATATTACTCGAGTACTACTTTTGATGACAGGTATGAACAAAATCAACAAGCAACATGATGTAATCCCACCCCATGAACCATCCCATATTCTAATCCACTCCTTGCAATGCGTTGCTGGCTCTTCTGCCTGCTACAAATACAACTGGTGGCGTATAATGTTTCCTCCCATGCACAAAATATATCAGCCCCGCTATCACAATTACCGCAAACCAAACCGCTGGCGCCCACTACAAAAGCGTTAGCCCATCATCCACTTCCATCTTCCACTCCAATCACCCATCACCCATCACCCATCACCCCACACCCAAACTCAAAATGAAAAGAAAACTCACATTAGCATTCCCGACCGTAACCGGCACCTCACTCGGAAAACAACTCCAAACCATGACAAACGCACTATACGCAAAAGCAAAAGCATTAATGGGCAATCCATAGCGACCCAAACTCCATCGGGCGGGCGGCAGAGGTTCCCCCTTGATACGTTTTAAGAGCACGCAGCCGATGGATAGCATGTAGGTAGAGAGGAGGGCGAGGAGAGAGAGGGAGACGATGATGTTGAAGGCGAAGGAGGAACCAAGATTTATGAGGCAGAGGAGGACGGTGAGGAAGGAGGTTAGGTAGATGGCATTGGGGGGGACGTTGAGGGCGTGGTTCATCTAGGGGGTTGGGGTGTTAGGGGTCGAGTTTGGGGTTTGGGGTTTGGGAAGGGGGAAAGGGGAAATGTTCGTGAGAATAATGGACATCATGATGGGATGGACGTCAAAATACTACAGTCTTACCTTTGAAATCCACTTCGAGAACGGAAATCCCTTGTCCCTCGAAAAAGCCCACAATTCTCTACTTGTAGTAGCCAACGCTGTGATATTCCCAGAAAACACCAGTATTAGAAGAATAATCATGAGTACCGTAGCCATGGCATCAGATCCCGTGTTTTGGAACAGTTTTAGATACGGGGCCGGAGATGCGATTGCAGCATCGAGGGGTCCGATGCAGAAGAGCATGGTTACTAATGTGATTATTCCGAGAACGACGTTGAGGACATAACTCCACCACATAGCACGCGGGACATTAATCGATGCGTCTTCTACTTCTTCGGCTGGTGAGATGTAAGTATAAGCGCGTGGTTACATCATATGCGGAGATTTATCACTTACAGATATGCACCGCACTATCCGAACCTACGATTCCCTCCCATTAGCCACTACATCAAACAAAACCTGATAATATCTCTCACTAGCAACTTACCAAGATTACAATACAAAACGCTAACCTGCGCAATCAAACAACTCGTCCCCTTATTACTCCACCCCCCATTATTTACCACATCTACAAACACACTCTTCGCCGAATTCTTTGGCGCCATAACCCACAATGGTATAATTGTGACTAAAAATCCTGCTAAATGTCCAAACAATGAAGTCGTTTCAATCATAGGTAGGAGTCTTGCGCCCCAAGTATTGAAAACGATGGTGACTAGGAGGTAGGCTATCATGATTAGTGTGTATTGCCATGGTGCGAAGGAATAATCTGCATTTCGGATATCGATGATTGCTTCGACAAGAGTAGCGAGAATAAATACGCTGCTAGCGAAACTAGCGATCCAGCCAAGGGTGGACATCCAACCTATGTAAGGTAGTTAGTGAGGAGTGAAGATTTTGGAGTTGAGGAGACTAGGGGCGGAATGTCGTCACCGGCAGTGTAACTTAAGAATTTTTGGTATTTGGGAGGTGAAAATTCTGAAACCCAGTGATATTGACCTATGAGTTTATTAACCTTATTGTTTATCGCAATCTAGTATATCACGAGAAGAACTCACCACCGCTGGTAGGAGCCATTGATTCCATTTCCGCAAGTGAGGCAACGATTGACGAGTAACATATCACCGTTCCAATGAATACCCAAAACAACCCCGCAAACCCTCCATTGATCAATCCTACGCTCAGTGACCTGTACTCTAGTAAGAGATTGATCTCATCGCAATGAAAATTAAGGATCACGAACACTAGCACAAACTCCCATGTTGCCATGTAGATTGAAATGAAGCCCAGCGTCGACAGCAGATTGAAATTCCTCTACACTTGAATTAAACCGCCGTCCAATTGATAAAGTAGACTGTCCTGTGGTTTGCATAATACCTTGAATTCCTGCTTCTTGCCCAATCTATGCATATCAGAGAGATCATTTTGAGTATCTCCGCCGTCACCTGGAGTCGGCGAAGCAGCTTCCAGGTTTGTTTCCCGCTCATCGCCATCAATGCTCTTTCGCTCTGTAAGCATCTGTTGATTATTTGATGTCATGATACCTCACTTGAGGTATGGCAGCAATTGAGTTGGATACCGGAGTCAATTTTCAATAAAGGTATGTAAGAAATATGTGTTAAAAATGAATGGATGTCAAATTTACCGATGTATCATTGATATGCTAGTACTTTTTATGTCAAGGTTGTCACTGAAATAAATCGAAGAGGCCTGGTCTGCAATTTTAGCGTACGTCTAACGCTTTCCGCCGTCACTACTACCCTAACTGATTCCATGTTGATTGCTGTATATTGAATGCAGTTTGCAAAAGTTATCAAACCTAATTCTGGTGTTACTAACCTTTGTCACCGTGGGACAATACTCTCCTTCCTCGATTTCAAGACATTGGAATATCCTCGGCAATATTTTTATCAGAGGGTGCTCCAACCCATTTAAAAACTTTATAATGAAGGCTATCTTTGGCCAAAATCACTAATCTCTTCGTGTCGTCATTATTTTTGGTCCCAATTTGTGGTCGAATCATCATTTTTTCTGGAATAATTGACCCTTCGCCTGCAAATTCATTTAGCAGGAAGTTATCAATTACTTCCTCGTTACTCAAAATGATTGCCTTGGAGCGACTTGCGGAGATTCGATGAGATTGATACTTTATATGATCTCCTCCCATCTTGTAGGGTATTCCGAGAAGGTTGCACTTTCCTGTATTCACGTTAGCTCTGAAGACAGAGTTGGGTTAGACTTACCATTGGCCTCCCATAATACAAGTATGATGCTGTCGTCCATGAATTTGAGGTCCTTGATTTGCCCATCGCCAAGCTGAAGAATAGACGAATTCGTGCTGCGCACAGTGCTAATACCGTTCTCGATGGAAAGTTCTACCTGAATGATTTGAACTTTTACCCGGTCAATTCACATCCAAGTGATGCATATGCAGCGTATTGACTGACCTTTATTTAAGGATCCTTTTGGCACAAAAGCAATATAATTATAGCAAGCATTACGATCCTAAAACCAATTAGTTTCGGATTGCACAACTCGTAGTAATACTAACAATTATATTCATCTTCATCTCGATAGGCACATTCTTTTGGGCCATTCCGAGTTCACTTGCCTTGCCGAAGATGACATTGCTCTTTTCAGCGTCTGCAATTTGAGTAAAGATAGCAGCTGCTTGGATCCTCAAATATTTGCAGAGGAATTCTACTTGTGGCAAAGTCTTCCTGTATTTCAGACCTTGCTCTTGCTTTTCCAACTGTCTTGTGAGCAAATCGAATACTTGAACGCCCTTTCCTATATGCGCACTTTCATCATCGTAGTCTTCAAGTGTGATTTCGCCGATAAAAGCCGCCAATGGACTGTTAGTCATCACTGTTTGGATGTAGAGTAGTACTTTACTGTGATCGATCGAAGTCTCTTTCTCAGCAGCATCATCATTATGTGAAGAAGACGCATCAGATGCCAGTCTATCGATCTCGTAACGTAGCCAAGCAGAAAACGAGGTAAAGAGTTCAAGCTCATCTACCACCTGGAGTAAAATTTTGGCAGAAACAAGATGCAGAGATGCGACCGTATCCATTATTGAAGTAATCTGAGCACTGGAGAAACCCAATGAAGAATCAGGACCCTGAAATTTCGCAATCCCATTCAATCGGCTTAGAATAACAGAACAACGGTCAAGAGCCGGAATCATATTCTCATGAACCAAACGTCGTAGGTTTTCTAGACCTGATACCACGGTTTTATCCCATCTTTTATGACCCTACAAATTCAGCACAGATATTACAAAAAGTAAAATAAAAGGGTCTTACTCTTTCTGTCAGCTCATCCACAAGCCACTCGCGTACAGTCGGGAAAGTATGGCCAGTTGCGACTGAATGATAAAGTGCCTGTACAATATCCCGATCTCCTTGTTCCGCAAGAGTTTCATTGATATTTAGGAGGAATCTGCTGGGTAATTCTTGTGTTGACTTCCATTCGGCAAGCATAAGACTTCGTATTTGATTGATGTACCGGAGAAGATTCTCCAGAGCTGTTGACCGAGACGCAAGGATAGAGAGGTACTCGCTCGAGGCAGATAAGAAGCGAAGATCCATTGGGACGAAATAGAACCTTTCTTCAGATTCACTGGTTTTCATGAGCAATGCATGCGTTGAATATAATTTATGGGACGCATGTGAAACAAGATATGCTGGGCGTCTCTGAACGATCACTGGAGCCTTGAAATATCCTACAACAAATGAGTCGTAAATACTCAAATGGATATTGCCCTCCTTCGTCCCAACGACCATGACATCGGCCATGTCGTTATCTTCTGGGTCAAATGGACGGAAAAGCGAATCTAGAGATGATCTGGAACTAAAAACCTCATCTCTAATGTGAAGAAGTAAGCAAGAGTCCGTGAACAAGGATAGATACACTTACGAGGTTCCTCCTGCAGGGAGAACACTTAGCTTTGGCAGGCTATGTTCAATGTCAAGAAGAGCGAGGTCTCTTGGCAAGTCCAAAACCGCCCTCCCTTCAGATAATTCCGACTCATCTTTAAATATATTCTTCAAAGTATCTGGGACAAGCTTCGAGCCTTTACCCTCAACTCTTCTACCGATGGTATTCGAACTCCAACTCATGCACGTGACACCCGAGAACTCTTGATCATCTGTAGTTGTATAGAAGTGGTGGACCACCTTTGTGCTTTCAGCACCAACGAGACGTACAGACCCATCACTCCAAGCGATTGCCAGTAAATGGCCTACGCAAGTATTAGTTTAAAGATATCATTAACGGGTGGAGACGCTCGGCACCATTTGGTTTCCAGCTGATCTTTTCAACACGAAGAGTATTGACCTTTTGTGCAGCCCCGTAGACTCTCTGTCCGTTCAGACGATAGATCAAAACTTGCTGATCAGTACTACCCAACGCTATCAAATCCATCGATGAACAGTATACGAAAAGTTCTGGATTCACCGTTTGATGCAGAGTTTTTTCGCCGAGTAGCTCGAGACGCTTAACCTCCGCCATCTTGTCCGCCGCAACAAAATATCATCTATAAAAGGAAAACTATATTGATGAAGCTGGCGGTATTCACATTTCTTAGTGACTGGTTAATAGTTTACAAGACCTGCACGTTGTGTAAATATGAGCATTGTTGTCGTGAGTACGTAAGCGAGACATGCAAACGCTCGTTCTTTCCATTTTTCGAGAATTAAAAAGATGCTTATTATGCTAGCTAAGTTCCCAGAATACCATGTAGATAGAAGTTTATTATTATATAAAAGATTCAAACTTTAAGGTAAGTTTTTGATCTTGCCATGATTCCGGTTTAGTTTAGAAACTTTTGCGCAAATATTGTAGGTTTTATTTTCTATGGCTAGTACAACAACAAAGATTATGGATTGCCATCTCTCCTACGCCACGCACTTCCTTCAAATCCCACCCATTTTCAACACCAGTATCCTTACTCTATCAAATAAGAGTCAGCGACTGACTTGATATCTTTCGAGAAATCCACGGCCTCGTTCAATTCTAGTAATGTGACATTGGTAACCTGTATGAGTGTTAGTCTCGGACTGCCATTCAAGATTTGAATGTAACTTACATCAACATCAATGTAAGGATTTGTTCTAGCGAACTTGATTTGCATTGGAAAGAAATCATTCTCATCCCCATCTTGTACTTCGAATTCGAAAGAGCCGGCTCCATTAGAAGAATCCACAGACCCGATTGTCCACTCGAGGCTATCCCCAGAGACTTCATATGTTGCGTCAAAGCTAGATACTGCTGGCTCGCTTGAGGCGTATGGAATGGTAACAGCGACATCTTGCAGAGGATCCTCTCCAGTAAGCTCGTATTCCACAGTAATGTTGAGAGGATCGCCTTGCCCCCCAACAACCCATACGGTGAATTGAATCGGCAAGGCACTGGTGTCATCAATTTTAGGCTGAGCTCTCCAACGTAAGACACCAACCGAATTATTGACGGGAAATCCCCTGGAGACATTGCTCATCTGGATGGCTTTAGATCCACCGAACACTCCCTTATCGACGTTTGGATGTGTGCGGAATTGTACTCCATGACTCTGGTTGGCAACAAGATCTAATCTGACCTTGGTAAGCGTAGGGTCTGAGATCCTCAAGTTCAGATCACCCTTGACTTCCAAGGAATTGAGTGAGCCATCTCGAGATAATTTGGCATTGATCGTCTCCGAGATTGTAACATGAATGGCGTCACGATCCAATGCAGATGACGTGTGAGGTGGTTGTTCGGCAGCAGCTGGTATAGGATGATTGGGTATAAGTGGCGACGAGATGATTTCCTCTACTTCAGCACCCATATCGCCACGAATCTTTTCAAACATGTCTGTAGTTTTCGACTTCTTCCCCAACTGCATTCCTTTGCCTTTCAGTGCGCCAGCTCTGTGAAATGTTAGTCTCGTTAATCTTGCAGCGACCATGGGACCACCTACTTGAAAGATTTATTCTTGGCAGCTTCGTATGAATCGTAGGTTTCGGTATTAACAGATTGTGTAGGTGGTGTATATGTCGGATATTGTGGCCTACTTGGTATAGCACTTCTACCACTCCTTGAAACCTCCTTACGTTGCATTTCCAATTGTTTTGCCTTGCGCTTACGCTCTTCTGTGGCCTCCAGCTCTTTATTCTGAGATGCTAGTTAGCCAAGGTTTCTGTAGTACAACTTGCATAAAGCCTACTCTCGAGATGATTTCTTGTATCCTTTCTTCATGACTCTCCATCTCCAAGAATGTCTTGATTTGGCTGATTGTAAGGTTTTCTCGATACCCAAGCGTGACAAGCTCGTCAAATGCACTGAGCAATTCGTATGCGTTCTTTAAAATCTCTCTCTCGTCCAAGGTTTTGCATGTGCTAGTGACCACCTGGGCGAAGAGGTGTAAGGAATCGATGTCTTGCAAGATGTTGGACTGCTTGTTCGTGATGAGGACCATGTATAATTCGTCCAGCGGCTGATACACAAATCGCACATTATCTTGCTCCACCGTCGTATGCTGAGTTCCAGAGTCTGCTAACTTCGGAAAGGATGCTAGAAGAGCTTCAATTCTGGATCTTTGCATTTCGCGAAACTGTCTGGAGAGGACAGCTTTTCCCCCCCGGGTGCAAATCGAAGCTGCTAAGACGACCTAGGAATCCATTAACATATAAAACGATTAGATGTTGGGAAGAAATAGCGCACCATTTTTGAGTAAAAATCGGGCAATCTACTTCTTTTTCAATTCTGTCGAGAATTTTGGTTGTAGAGAGTCCAAATTGGATTGCGATGTTGTATATCGGGCGGTGGACCAAACGATGGCTCCGACATTGCGGTCCACACGCGATTACTCAGCCAAATAACGCTAATTTAGCGTCAGTCAGGGACATGGAGCTCCAAAAGCGCGCTACAACTTTGATCTTTCAAGGTCTCCCAACTTACTCAAAACGACACCACGCTCAATACTCAGTGACGAATAAACAAACGTGTTTCGTCATAAATTTGCCATAACTTATTAAAATAACTACGAAGGTAGTTTCAATTTGCGTACTTATTCGACGCTCCTTTGTCCTACCCGCTCTCCATGGTGCACTAAAAACCTTTCACTTACACGCGAAACCAAGAAATTGATCACATCTCAGGCTTGAGAGCAATTTTTTTGATACACATTCTTCCACCGAAATCACATCTTTCGGTTTTGAACCAATCTCGGTAAATCACCGAAGGTAGACAAGCCACGAAACTCGTGAGCGCATCGAGTCTTTCACCCCCTACGAGTTTCCACATCATGGTGGACGATAGCATGGAGATAGCTTCCGAGCATGGACATAACATAGTTGAGGGGGATATTGATATCGATATTGACCTCACTACTGGCCATATTGATGAAGATGATATCCTAGATGACATCGATGCAGATGCAGACTTTGATACCAATATTGTCGATGTGCCAGCGCAAACCGAGACAGACGATCTGATGCTTGATGATGTCCGTGATGATACATCGTACCATATGGAAGATGCAGATCAGTTGGAGGAGGAAGCAGATGATCACATCATGGAACAGGAACCTGCCGGAATGTCTTTCGCGACCGATGCCCATTATTCTTTTAATGAGATACACCCTGCAGACCCAAGCAATCTGGATGCCGGCGTTTCCGATCAATTCTGGGACGATCCCCAACTGGCACAACAGTCGGATGATGCTGCAGATGCGCAAGACACAGAAGCAACCGTCCATGGTGCAGAAAATGCAATCGCCAATGGTCCCGATAGTGCATTTAATTTGAATGCCAAGGATATTCAGGAGCTTGCGCCCGTCTCGTTTCCTCATTTACCCACTGATGAAGATACCCGATCCAACAGCCCACAAAATCCCAACTACAATGAGTCTAATGGAGAAAGTCTCGAAAGCAATTTAAATGAGCCGACAGACCCCGTCGAGGCGGTTGATCACAATATATATGCGGAGGATGAAACACACCTTGATTTGAACAAGGTCTCTTCTAAAAGTGGCTCAATCAATCCCAATGTACATGCCGAGGATCAAGAAGAAGAACATCCTGATCCAAATATAGCTTCTCCAGAAAGTGGCTCTGTTCATCCAAATGAGGCTAAATTCGAGCCCTCGAAAGATACGGAGGACCAATATCATGCTCGTGAAATAGTAGTTAAATACAACAACCGCAATTATCCATTAATCAGGAAATCTTCAGCAGATCATCCCAACGAATTCTTCTTCGAGGACCCCTCCGTAGTTGAGAAATCATTCAATGAGTTTTGCGTCGAGATTCGTAAAGTTCTCCTGGAGGAAAATCTCCCCAAAGATGACAAGATTAGCTTAGTCGTTGAAGAGCTCCAATTGGTAATTGAGGAGGTTAGTATTCATGATACCCCACCCCCATCCTCACTCCTAATCATTACTAACTTTCCTTATAGATTCAACTCACAGATTATCCTGATGACTTGAGCTTAGGTCAAATCATTCGCCTATACGAAAAACTAGTCAATAACGACGGCACCGAAGATATTCCTCCTTTGAATCTTAGACTCATCATCCAGCCGACAGGTCGTGATAGATTCTTAGCGCTGTCGAAGGGAGCTGCTGAGGGTAAGGGTTTACTAGACTATGTTACTTGGGACGCCGATAGCGAAGATGATCCAACTGAGTTTGGAGAGCCGACCGAGCATTATGACAGTGAATCTCCAGGTGGCGAATGCAATCCGGAGCTCGAAGAAGTAGAAACATCTATCGAAGCTAGCGTTGTGCTTGACAAAAAATTTGACCCTGACTCCCGCGATGAACAGCCACGTCTCGAACATCTAGATTCTGCCACTTCAGCCAGTGCCGAAGTCCTACAAGGGGAACAGAATAAGGTGCAAAGAGATGTTAACGCTCAACAGTCAGCACCTGTAGAATTGCGACATTCATCTGAAATTTTGCAGAAACCTGATGATGAGATTGACGAGGATGGGGATTTCATCGATTACGAAGATGAAGAGAATGTCGAAAAGCCCCCAAACAATGGAACTTTGAAGTCCGAACTTCCTGAGACTGATGAAAGCAGACCACATAACGGTAGATCCACCGATTTTAATTTGCCATGCATTCTTCCTGCCACCTGTCTTTGTTCCACATGTAATGACCTTTTTCTAACTGAATGTCGAGCGGCAGAAGAAGAGTCTCGTCGAAACTCAATCTCTCTCAGAACAGAGAATCTACCCGATGAGTTGGACGACCAAGTTGGTGATGAAACGTCCCACAATAATGATGCGGCTGCCCAGCCCAACGAAACCTTGCAAGATGTAGAAAGCGACATTGATTACGAGGAAGATAATGCCGAGGAAGAGAACGCCGACGATAATTTCAACGCCGATGAGAATGAGCAGAACAACGAAAATTTTGACGCTGAGGAAGAACAGATCACAGCGACCAACGGCATCGAAAATGCCGAACATACTGAAAATTTGATCGACTTGAACGGCACCAATGAAGAAGACTGTGAGTATACCTCGTACAATGATAACAACGAAATCGAACAACACGTAGATGGCGAAGGCCACAACCCAGCAGATCATACCCTTCAAGCATCTTACGATGACAACAATCGGCCAGAGCAGAACGGAGACGGCGAAAGCCTAGATCTGGAAGATCATTCTCTGGAAGTAGATAACGTGGACATTAGTTTTGCCGGTGATGATGGAAATGCGGAACAGCATAATTTTGAGGAAGATGAGTTTGATTTGGGTGTCGGGGACGAAGAAGAAAACGAGTTCCTTCTGAACTATCAATTAGATGACGACACCACTCTCAATGGCAACAATGAGTCCATGAACATTTCTGTGGGCGAGGATACCACCACTGCCAAATTCGCCTTCGATGGCACAGCAGCGGAAACGGACAGCGCCACATTAAGCAATGCTTCAATCACTGAACTCCAGGGAATGAAGCCAAGCCTCGTCAATGGACAGGATCAAGAAGACGAAATCGATTACGAAGACGATGAAGAGGACCTCACATCTCCAGTAATCGTACCTCAACCTCCAACCCCGGCCTCAAAAGGATCACCCGTTTCGAACTTTGGAAAGAGGCCTATAGCTGAAACAGACTTCGAAGATGACGGTGATTCGATCACCAATGGTTAGCACTTCTCACTTATCTTAAAGCAACCAGACATTGAGCTAATAATGGACAGAAGCTAAGCGGATTAGATCATGATCTCAACATGACATGATGGTTCTCGATTGGTTCACGCGATATTCCTCTTAGACTTATCTAGTGTTTGACATTGTGCTCATGGACACTCTTCAGCATCTTCGAAGTCTGCTAGACGAATCTCTTTCTCAACCGATAAACAAAAGTATTTGACAACAACCTGGTGACTCGGAACGGCCCTCAACGCGTGGACAACGAATTCCCCCCCCAAAACAACGACTGAAGAACGACTCAAAAATGACTCTTTTCCTTACGGTAGGTCTTCATAGGTATGATGTATTAACCCCTTCCAATATTTCCCACCCCCTAATTTCCCCAATCCCGTGACACGATTCAATTTCGCACTCAAAATTTTAGCAATTGGTTACGTAGCATAAGGCGCAGTTTAGCACTGGTCATTACGGTAGTCGAAGAAGACGAAAATCTGGAGGAAATACGCGCAGGACTTATTCGTGGAGTTTGGCTTTTGCAAGATCTGTAAATGCGCGATACCCATCGATATAGGATGATCTGGTTTTCGGTTGTGTGAAATCTTCATGGCGAGCATATGGATGGAAGATGATGGTGGAGTTTGGAGCGGTTGGTTTTTCTGTGAAGGATTCGAGGTTTGGCTATCCAATCCGCAGGCAGGCAGTAAAAAGTTCCCTTCAAACTCTTTCTCCATGACTTGAGGTATCATAACGTGGCTTTGGTGATTTTATCAGTTGATAGATATGAATATTACTTCTGAGCACTCCATTATCCGAAACAAACTCATACATTGTGATTACAGTATATGAAACAGTTCCTAAATATCAGATGTCGATGTCGATATCTTTCCTTCACATGAATCCATACTCATGTCGCCAGAAAGTCCGCAACTCGGGAACAACTAAGAAAACTATGTTACTCCCTTGTAGTTTACCAGTTATGGGCAATAATGAACATAAATATTTGCCCATGCCAGACAACATGCATTCCTTGCTGGAAGAATTTGATAGGTCGCACAGCCTCAAAGCCCCGTTACGTGCGCGTCAAAGATCCCTACAAGAATCTTTTTAGATAATAACCAATACGAAGGACTTACTCGTACTGTAGAAGTCAAATTATTTTATACTTATTCCAAATCTTCATGATAATTTATTAATATATAGACAATTGGTATGATATGATATAGAGTTACCTCCGTATACTAAATTTAGGAGGAATTACCTAACAAAGTCGGCCCAAACAGAATAATAAGGCCAAAGTTCTATGAACCAACTCAAACACTAGAGACCTTAACTTCGTACCTAGTTTCATCTCTTCCAGTTACCTAGGGCCGCAAATTTCCAAATTTCCCACCCACGAACCAAACTTCGAACATCCGAATTTAAAAACCATCCCACACTGCCAAGAAGAACTTTGTGGCTTCAATTGTGCAGTTTTACGACGACTCAATCCATTCAATCATTCAACCATCAAATAATTCGTTATCGGATATCGTTCATTATTTGTTGCCTCGGTGGACAGGCATTCGACCTACACAATTATCACTAAAGCTAGGGGTGAAGCTATCTCATGACCCTCCACGTTGGCTTGCGATCACCACAATCAATATCTGCGAACGACGCTCCACGGCAACAGTTAGATCTAAAGCAGTCCCACAATATACTTGCGCCGATTTACAGCCTTGCGCTGTCTTCACTTTGATACTGTTACGAGGATTTTCCTGGGCGTGAGCTCAAAGGCTCAACAAATCAAATAAACACATTGCAACATTAGGAGGGAGAGTTCACTCTGCGCAGTCAAGATGCTGGAAGACAAGTATGTTAATGATCGCTGGAATTTGTTCTATCGCGCATGAGATTGTGCCGGGGTTTCCAGTAGGCAGAGGCTGACTAGTGATAAAGATACATAGGGTTGGCGTTAGCCGTGACCTCAACTATGGCGATAGGTATGAATATAAAGATCACAACAGGGAAGACAAATTGAGGCTGACATTATGTTTCTCTTGCAGGCACAAGTTTTGTCATCACCAAAAAGGTACGAACATCCACGCATTTAGTATCAACTTACAACAATTTATTAACACCTTATTAGGGGTTGATGGATGCCGAAGAAAGACACGGCTTTGAAGGAGACGGGTTCACATATCTGAGGAGTCCAATATGGTGGGGTGGCATAGTATCATGTACGAGTAAATGAATTGCATACAATGCGGGGATCCTCAGCTAACGGGATGCCAACAGTAATTGTCGGAGAAATCGCAAACTTCGCAGCGTATGCGTTTGCCCCAGCGATTTTAGTCACACCTCTCGGAGCGCTCAGTGTTTTGATCGGAGCCGTGCTAGGGTCATACTTTTTGAACGAGAAACTGGGTACCTTGGGAAAATTGGGCTGCGCGATATGCTTGATAGGTTCGGTCATTATTGTTCTTCACGCGCCCCCGGACAAGGAGATCAAGAGGATAGACGAGATTCTTCATTATGCTATTCAACCGGGTATGTCGTATACCCCCCTTTCTTCTGGCAGGTACTAATGTGTATAGGATTTCTTTTCTTTTGCCTCTTAGTTGCAGTCTTTGCAGTCGTTATGATTTACAGAGTAGCCCCGAAGTATGGCAAGAAGAATCCCCTTGTGTACCTGTCAATATGTTCAACTGTTGGCGGTGTTTCAGTCATGTCAGTCAAGGCATTTGGTATTGCAGTGAAGTTGACATTGGGGGGTGAAAATCAATTCATCTATCCCTCGACCTATGTCTTCATTATCGTAACTGTAGTCTGTATCTTGACACAGATGAATTATTTCAACAAGGCGCTGAGCCAGTTCCCCACTTCTATGTAAGTCATATCTATTTTTGAGCTCGTATATTGAATCTGACGTCTAGCCAGTGTAAACCCACTTTACTACGTTACTTTTACGACTGCAACACTTACCGCTTCCTTCATCCTATACGGCGGTTTCAACACTTCTGATGCGGTCAATACAATCTCCCTTCTCTGCGGATTTCTTGTCATTTTTACAGGAGTCTACTTACTCAACATATCGAGAACTGACCCGGAAGGGAGAAAGATGATATCCGGTACAGACGGCATAGCGACCGACCCTCTTTCCGGCATATCAACAAGACGAAGTATGCAAGCCCGACGAAGCAACGATCCACACAGGATGAGCCTTGGGAGCAACGGATTTGGCCTAGGAGACAGAGAGGGACTGATACACGCATACGATGAGGAAGAGGACGTAGGTTTCGGTCTCACGGATCTAGCAGAAGACAGCGACGACGATCCGCCACCCCCACGAGCTATGAATGGGAAAATCAACGGACATGGCAGTAAGAGGAGTTTCAGCGAGCCTTTAGAACAGGAGAGGCCGGGTAAATCATCCACTCGGTGACCTCTCGAATAGGAATGATAGTTGATTTGATGTGATGACACACACGTTTTGAAACTACTAGCGGAAAAGCTCGGGCTGCATATGTGATTTGCATAGGGTTGGGTCATTTTCTGTGAAGGTCGTGCGCAGTCACTTTTCTTTTGTTTCATTAGAATGTTATGTTGGTAGCAGACTGGTCTGCTGGCTGGAGCTATATTTCAAAGTACGACTGCATGAGGTTCTGGCGTTCAGGCTGCTATTCTGTACAAAAAGAGACGGGTTGGGGCAAAGACATATGTACGATATATACGTGGGCGAATTAGGGAATGGGCTTTGAAGAGTCGCTATACGCTTAATTGACTCACGCTTTGAATGCAATCCGATATGGCAGCATTTTACATCATATTTAATAGAATCATGTACCATTATTTTGAAGTGTTTTTAAAGCCGTAAAATTCGTTGGCTAGATATTGATCCGAATCCCTTGACTAGAACTCGCATGCAAATATTTGGAAACGCCCATCCTATTTTACTATAGTATAATTTATTCCTCCTCAGCAGCAACTGGGGCAGACTCTTCACCAGCCTGTTCCGATGAGCGAGCGGCCTCAGCAGCTGCTTGAGCAGCGGCAGCCTTCGCACCGTAATCCTGGCTCATAGGTTGAACAACACTTTGCTCTTCCTTTGGCTCGATGATAGTGACGGAATCTGGAAGACCCTTGGTTGGGCCAGACTTTCCTTCTGGGTCGGTACCTCTCATGATCTTGACCTTGATACCGAGAACACCTTGCTTGAGGAGAACGTGACGGGTAGCGTGGTCAATGAAGTCCTTAGCTGGTTGACCGGAGTGGATCATGAAACCATCAGTGAACTTCATGGACTTGGCACGGGCAGCACGTAATTTTCCAGAAACGACAACCTCGCAACCCTTAGCACCAGACTCCATGATGAATCTGAGAACACCGTAACATGCTCTGCGGACGGCAAGACCGTTAAGGAGCTTGTATCTGAGGGACTCGCATTGTGCGACGGCGGAGAGACCACGGTTTTGGACCTTGGCGGCGTAGAGGGAAACGCTGTTCTCGGGGAACTTGAAGCGCTTTTGGATGAGGGAGGTAAGTTCGCGAATGCGGCGTCCTTGCTCTCCGAGAACTTCTTGGGTGTGGGTTGCGCGGATGATGATGTCGGTGACGGTTGGGGTGACACGGACTTCGACACCGGAGTATCCCTCCTCAGCCAACTCGCGTTGGAAGAACTCGTTCAATTCGGCGTAGAAAACACCATCGGCGACAAACTTTCTGCGCTTCGAGCTGTACACCAGAAAGTCATGATTAGCCCCGCGAACTTTATGTTGGATGAGCTTTAGCGAGCTGCAATTTCTTACATAGCGGCACCTGGAACACCGGAAGCCATATTGTCTGATTTATGAGATTATGAACCGGTGGAAAAGAGGTTCAACGTCGTCGTCGGTGATTGTCGTTAGGTGGATTGTCGCAAGTTCGAAATTAGAGTTGGGAATTTTCCCAAATCTAGTGTGTGGATTTAAGCGAGTTGATTGATTACGGCCTTCAATTTGAGGCTGCATCCGGGACCATAAGGCTCATAGATTGATAACCCGTAAGCCGAAAGGCTGCAGGCCTGATTGGAACACCAGGATGCTAGATGCTACGTAACTGATCTGATATCGAATTCCAGTCACGAAGACAAGAAACTTCCCAAAATACAACTCAAAATTTATGCAAAAATACCCATACATTCACCCAAAGGATTCAAGACTAACTACAGGGGCGACATAACAGAAAGGACACTCACACAGTTACAAATGATTCGTATTATTGGTATCAGAACTGAGTGCGCCGAGCCATAAATTAAAATGGCAGACAACCTCAAGATCTCAAAGGTTGGTCAATATTGAAGTCCTGCCACACAATGAAGGCTTAACTAACCTCGGAAATTACCTCGCAGGTGGATAATGTTCACGTAGTAGCTCGCGGAAAAGCTTCCAGTGTTACACTGCACTTAACAGCCCACCATCTAATTGTCGTTCAAGCCCCTCCTCCGTCGCCGGAATCATCGAAACAAGCATCGCCATCGCAGAAACGCACAGCGCCCCCAGTTAGGTCGAGGGAGTCATGGATAGCATATCCTATGATAGCGTATTGCACATTTCGACCAACTCCACCAGGATCTGGACAATCTTCTTCCATACGTCTGCGGGGTCGAGACTTCAACTTCTATACTCTTAATTTTGTGGATGACAAGCAAGCTCGGGAAACTTTCGAAAATATAAAGAGTGCAACATGCAAGCTGGGCAGCATCGAAAGGTTGTATGCTTTTAGTTACAAGGCGCATGGGGCAGAAAAGCAGATAAATGGTTGGGATGTATATGATCCGAAGGCGGAATGGAAACGACTGGGAATAAGTGAAAAGGGGATCGATAGAGGATGGAGGTTATCTAAGATGAACCATGATTATGCCTTCTCACCTACGTACCCAGCCTTGCTACCAGTCCCTTCAGCTGTCTCTGATATCACAATCAAGCATGCTAGCCAGCACCGTTCGAGGGCACGCATACCAGTCCTGACGTATCTACACCCTATTAATAATTGCGCCTTGACGAGATGTTCACAGCCTCGGACTGGTATGCGAGGATCCCGTAGTATACAGGATGAGAAGTTGGTCAGCGCGTGTTTTTCTGCAACACCGCAGGTGGACGAGGCGGATTCGGTGTCCCCAGCGGTATCTAGAAATAGTCCGGCTTCCAGTCAAGGCGACATTAGCACGCCGAATAATGGGGAGCTGACAGAGACGGAGCGTTATGAGGATGAGATGCTTGCTTCTGCGTCGAACATCGAGATCATAACCGAGAAACCTCATGTGTATGGAGCTCAACAGAACAATCTCATTGTTGATGCAAGACCTCAGGTCAATGCATACGCTAATCAAGTGAATGGTTTTGGTACGGAGAATATGGAATACTATCCACTTGCTAAGAAAGCGTATTTGAATATTGCAAATATTCACGTAATGCGAGACTCTCTGGCGAAAGTAATTGATGCTATCAAGGATGCTGATGTCTCCCCTCTTCCGCCGAATCGAGACCTTTTGGCAAAAAGTGGCTGGCTGAAGCATATCAATGGCATTCTTGATGGGGCTGCACTGATAGCCCGGCAGGTTGGCATACAGCATTCTCATGTTCTCATCCACTGTTCGGATGGTTGGGATAGAACAAGTCAGCTGAGCGCTTTATCACAGTTGATGCTTGATCCGTACTATAGAACCTTAGAAGGTTTCATAGTACTAGTTGAAAAGGATTGGCTAGGCTTTGGACATATGTTCCAGCACAGATCTGGATTCCTGAACCACGAGAAGTGGTTCGCGACACAGAACGATGCTCTCGCGGGCTCGGCAATACAGCCAGGTGGTAACGTTGATGGGCGTGGAGATGCTATTGAAAATGCTCTACTCAGCGCCAAACGATTCTTCAATAAGAGCAACCACAGCCAGGAGACTGTTGATGACGCAGATGAAGTCGCAGTCGATCAATCTCCAAAAAAGCCTATATTGGACACACTTCCACAAAGTGATGTCACTAAGCCCAAAGAAACTAGTCCCGTTTTCCACCAATTCTTAGACGCAACCTATCAACTTCTCCGTCAACATCCTACCCGTTTCGAATTTAATGAGCGATTCCTACGCCGACTCCTCTATCATCTATATTCCTGTCAATATGGAACATTTCTCTACAATAACGAGAAATCCCGTGTGGATGCCCGCGTCAAAGAACGCACTAAAAGCGTTTGGGCATACTTCCTATCCAAGAAACCCGAATTTACTAATACGGATTACGACGGAGGAGAAATTGACGACCACGTCAAAGGGAAAGAACGGCTAATTTTCCCCAATTTGGAGGATGTTAGGTGGTGGCATCAAGTGTTCAACCGCACGGATGAGGAAATGAATGGGCCGCACAATCCTGCCATGGAAAGATACCTAGCACTCAGCGCGAACAGCAGTAATGGGCATAACACATCTACAAGTATAAGTTCGCCGCCAGGCCCGCCATCCAGCCGCACAGTTCTCGCGGGTGTTGAAGCAGGGATTCCGGCGAGACAGGTTAACAATGGGACGGGAGTGAGCACAGTCAGTGGCAATCCATTTGCAAGTTTGAGGGAGGGGATTGCAGGGCTGGGCATTGGGATGGGAAGTGCGAGTAAGAGTAGCCCGGCGGGTTTGAATGGGTTGGCTAATGGGAATGGGAATGGTAGTGGGAGTGGGAGTGGGAATGGACAGGAAATGGAGGTCGAGATGCAATGATGATATCATGTGGTGATTGATGGATTATTACGGGATGGATGATGGGATATGGGCTGGCTTTGGGATTGGGATTGGGATTGGGATTGGGGATTATATGTTGTTGGTCTGGGAGGGAGGGAAAGGAAGAGCGGAAAACATTCATCTAATCATATCTATCGTACGTCTGAGCAATGCATTGTAGGAGTAAGGCGTACTGGTAGAGAAACATCACGTCACGTTTCTTGGTGTTACTCTTTGTTTGAAGGGAAAATCAAGCAAATCAATTACGTCAAATGACTTTTGATACTTTTTACTCATTATTCATGCATCAAGCTATTCTAGTAGTTAAATAACAAAAGTAAAGCCGCAAACCAATGCCTTCTTCTTTTGAGAAACTCCTAGCTTGCCTTTTGGTCTAGATGTGATGGATGTGATTTGATGGATTATAAGAAGACCTCAAGATTGATCTCTAAAGTGCTGACAGGATATCTAGTATCTATTAGCATTGGTCGTTGACAAATATATAAGCGAACATAGACTTGCCTCAATTCAAATTTATCCAGAACAGTAGGATGCAAGATGCCAAACTCTCCAACACGCACTTCCTTACCTCCCAGACGCAAATAAATTGCAGCCGCGTGACCGGCAAAGAAGGTTGGCTCGTCGATCTCCTCGATCCAGTATCCATCTGGTTTTGTGGGATTTTCCTTGATTGCAAAATCCATTTTCTTACCCTCTAAGCCCTCTTCATGTGTAAGGAAAGCGGTCTGCAACATGAGTAAAACGCGATCAAGTAAGCCGTGGATAACTTCGAAACCACTGGTTTTACCGTACCACGCTGCTGCGAAATGACGCTCATTCCGCGATTTGCGCTCTAAGCTCATATCTTTGAAAGCAACGTCGGATACTTCGAAGACTTTGAGAGGGAGGCTGTGTTTCTTATTTTCACGAATGGTTTTAAGAAGACCGGGAAGTAGGGATGTACGGACAACTTGGTATTCAGCCGTCTTAGGGTTAGCGAGACGAACAGCGGTAGTGCCATCGTCTTTGCGGTTGAGCCAAGCAAAATTTTCATCGTGGGAACAGAGGATTAACGGCATGACTTCGCTCCAGCCTGCCATGGCGGTTTCCATTCTTACGATATCGCCAAGTTTGTTGATGGGGAGGGGTTTGGCAATTGTGGAGGCTTTACTTGGGGATGTGCGGGGAAGGTTGTTGAAACCATAAGCAATAGCAACGTCTTCCATAATGTCGCATTGGTGAAGAACATCAGCTCGGGTCGGTGGTATCGAGACATCCAGTAAATTCTTGTCTTTTGAGGAAGGTTTTGCAGATAAACACATCTTCTTGAGAAGTTCACAGATGTTTTCTGGCGATTCTGAGAGGCCGCAACAGTTATTGATATAGTCCACCTCTGCCTCAGCTTGTCGAGGGCTGAGATTAGGAGTTTGTCGAGTTTCCTGATTGTGCTCCGAGATGATCTTGACAGGCTCGATTGTGAATGGTTCCGCGCAGTATTGCGAGAACATAGAAACGATTATGTTGTTTACTATTTCCAACTTTGTGCGGTCCGTACCAGTCATCTCAATAAAAATATTCTTGGTTTCCAAAGAAATCTTAGAATGATTTCCGTTGATGATTGGAGGCATCGACATGACGGTGCGATTTGAATCGTAAATAGCTGGGTATACTGGTTTATCTCGGATAATGTGTAGGTATTTCCCCAAGTGTTTGTCGTTCTCATAGAATTGCATCAACTCCTCCGCGTTCATCTCTTTGGTTTGGTTCAAAGGTGTAAAAGCGATATCCTTCGGGGGAAGTGCCTCGTAGGTGAAAGGTCCCTTAACTGTGTCCAAATCATGTGTACCGATCGCAACTAAAGTGCGCTGTCGAGCAAGATTCTGATGGAGCTTGTCTTGTAGCGAAATGAAAGAGTCATAACTATCTTGGGTGAAGGTAACATTTCGCAGAATAGATGCCGAGACATATGGTCGCACTTTCATTGTGTCTTGGTGAACTGTTAAGGTCTCCAAGTTTCCACTCTCTGGTTTAACCAATCTATAATTTGGGAAGGGCGTTTTCTCTCTGAAGATATTCAGCATAAGAGCTATACCTTCGAAGCAGAGCATATCATATCGATTGGCGGGAATTTCGATTTTGAGTTGTGCAGGTTCTTGTTTTCCGTTCACTATTGGTCGTTCCGAATTTGATGTGTCCTCGTCCAACTCGATTCCAAAGTCGAAGCATAATTCCTCGAACTCCTCTGTAGTGTACCTGGTACGTAATTTAGTTCTGCTCCATCACACATGGCGAGTTACAAAGTCGCAGAATTGTATACTCACTCTTGCCCGAGAGCTTCATAGAGCTTGACTTTATCAACACTGATAGTGGGCATCTTGACTGATATGTTGTGGTTGCGATATTTGCTTCACAGTTTCCAAGTCAAGAGTGATGAGTCGAAATAAATACTAGTGGGGTTGTCGCAGAGGGGTTCTTGGATTGAAATGTGACTTGTTCCGAGAAATAGATTCATGCCTGAGGCATTTACATGATGATCGAGGTGGTTGCTTCTCAAATGTTCAAACTCACCGAAAGCTGTTGCTGCCAACCAACTTCATTACAACCTCTTCTGGATCTTAAAGCATTTGCGCAGCACCATTACTTTGAATACGGTCTCAATTTCCATACTCTTTCCAGCAGTGAGTTTTTCCAGGTATGTTTCAATCACTCTCTTTCACTATCAATCAAGGTTTTGATCTGTTTACAAAGAGTCCTTCGTTGTTTCCCCCACCATGTGCGGCCCAGATATCTTCAAGATATACCGTGCTAATAACATGTATTGGCAGTTCCCAGGTTGGAATTATATCACAAATTTTGTTCACCTCTCCTCTCGCCTTTCCTTAGTACCGGAAATTAATTCTCAAGTTCCGTCAATCTATCAACGGTAACCAACGACCACCACGCGATAAACACCCAAATATCCTCAACCACAAGCTCAAAAGTAAACAAGTTCGACACTTGGCTTGTTGAACCTCCGAATCCATCTCCTAAAGACCTTTACAACCCTTCATAATGGCGGACGGTCCAGACAAGACTGACGAGCTCTACCCCATAGCTGTGCTTATTGATGAGTTAAAGGTATTGAACCAAGGCGCATCCCCTTGGAAGGACAAAGCCTTGTTGCGCAGGTACTGATAGCTTACTAGCATGACGATGTACTCTTAAGATTGAACGCCATTCATCGACTTTCAACGATTGCCCTTGCGCTGGGAGCGGATCGCACAAGAGACGAGCTGATTCCCTTCTTAGATGGTATGCTGCGCTATTTAGAACTTATACTTTGATACACTGGTTGATGACATTCTGCAGAATCTGTCGAAGATGAAGACGAAGTTCTCACGGCTTTGAGCGAGGAACTCGGAAACTTTGTGGAATATGTTGGCGGTCCAGAGTGGGGCCATGTTCTCCTGTCGCCTCTTGAGAACCTCGCAGCTATCGAGGAACCCCTGGTGCGAGAAAAGGTTTGTAGATACCAGTGGTCAGGGGTTACAGCTGTGCTAATTGAACCAGGCCGTAGAATCTTTGAACAAGATATGCGAGGAGCTATCTTCACAACAAGTCGAAGAGTACTTCATTCCCCTCACGATCCGACTCTCGAAAGCCGACTGGTTCACCTCAAAGATCTCCGCTACAGGACTATATAATGTGCCATACAAGAAGGCGTCACCTCCGATGCAAGAACAGCTCAGACAACAATTTGGCCTCTTAGTTCATGACGAAACTCCCATGGTCCGAAGACAATCTGCGAATAACTTGTCAAAATTTGTCAAGGAAATGCCTGCTACGATAGTTGTAGAAGAAATGATACCGTTATTCCAACACCTTGCCGGCGACGACCAGGATAGCGTACGTTTGTTGACGGTGGAGATATTGATTGCTATCGCGGAGGTTGTGCCAAAAGAGCAACAATCAAGTCACGGGGTTTTACTTACAGCTCTGAGGAGTTTAATCGAAGACAAAAGCTGGAGAGTCAGGTATATGGTTGCTGATAGATTTGAGAAGGTATGTTCACATTGGAGTCCTTGAATTTCTCGTGGACAATGCTGATGTGCTTTAGATTGCAAAAGCAGTTGATGATGAGGTTGTAACAAGAGACCTTGTACCAGCATTCGTAAAGTTATTGAAAGACAGCGAAGCCGAAGTACGAACAGCAATTGCTGGTCAAATTCCTGGTATGCCTCCACTTATTCCCGATTTCTCTGAAAGATTACTAAAAGGAGGAAAGGTTTCTGCAAGCTTGTCGATCGTACCACCCTCTTAAATGATATCATGACCACTGTCGAAGATTTGGTTTCTGATACTTCCCAACACGTTCGGGCTGCCCTTGGTACCCAGATCAGTGGACTTGCACCAATTCTTGGCAAGCAAGAGTATGTCTTTTACATCCATACTTTTATAATTTTTAAGCTTACAAATTGTCATAGGACTATTGATCACCTGCTTCCTATGTTCTTACAGATGCTCAAGGACGAGTTCCCTGACGTCCGTTTACATATAATCTCCAAGTTGGAGTTGGTTAACCAAGTTATCGGCATTGATCTCCTCTCACAATCTCTTCTTCCTGCCATTGTACAGCTTGCTGAAGACAAACAATGGCGTGTTAGATTGGCCATCATCGAGTATATCCCTCTTCTGGCCAGTCAGCTTGGCGTTCAATTCTTTGACGAGAAGTTGGCTGCTCTCTGCATGGGCTGGTTGGGAGATACAGTCTTCTCTATCCGTGATGCAGCAACAAAGAATTTGAAAAAGCTTACCGAGGTTTTTGGCGTAGACTGGGCAAACGAGGCAATTATTCCAAAGGTTATGGCTATGGGAGCTCATCCAAATTATCTTTACAGAATGACCACATGCTTTGCAATCACAGTAGGTTTCGAACCTTGCCTTCACACAAACTATGCTAACTTTGGTGACAGACACTTGCACAAGTCGTCAGTCTCGATGTTGTCTCGAATTCCATCCTACCCATGATGGATAAATTGGTAGCCGATGAGATTCCAAATATTCGTTTCAACGTCGCCAAATCATACTCTGAGATTATTTCAGTTCTCAAGAGATTGCCAGATCAGGGTACCGTCTATTCGCTAGAGAAGTCTGGTAGCTCAGAACCGCCCTCGACCAGAGGTCAAGAACTCATCCAAGATAGAATTTTGCCAAATTTGTTAAAGTTGCAAAAGGATGATGATGTCGATGTTCGATTCTTTGCTATCACCGCCGAGGCATCTATCTCTGGTGAGCCAATGGAAACTTCATAGATGGGTGAAGAAAGAAGTTGCATATGGCAAGAAAATGTATGCTTTTTTGAGCCAGTAACCTGAGCATGGTGGCCTTGCTGTTTTCTTGTTATTCTAGATCGGAGCATGAATACCAGCAAAGTCCCTTCTAATACGTTTTTGATAAGCGACCTGATATGCAGATGGTAGGCAACAAAATTGTAGACTGAAAAAAAGACAAATGAGAATGATATTCTGAGTATTCCACTTATTGCCATTGATTGGGTTCATGAATTGTATCTCATGAGTATAAAATACCACATACCAAACACCAAATACCAAATACCAGATTTTCAAACTCCCGCATGTGATTCGAGGATTCGAGATCTCTCCAGACTCGTCAGGCGGTGAAGCAGTAAACCCCTGTCCAAATTATTCTGCCACCACCCAATTTCTAAATACCCATCATCTCCTGCATAATATCTCCGCCCCACGAACTGCATAAGATTCTCGCTGAAGATTGGAGACCAATATGACTTCAGAAACATCTAAACCATCTCATCTCGATCCGTCAGCTCTCGGTACAAAGGAATAGTAAGTATGTTTTACATGCTTTACGGATATTTTACCCCTCCATACTACCCCTCCTTCTGCACAATTTCTCTCCTCTCCCTGAACCGTCTTCACTATCCAGCATATATACTTCCTTTTATATCGTCTCTGGCCTCACTCTCTTACACACATTGACCAAATAATAGCTGGGATAACCTCTACAATCGCGAAATCTCAAATCATGCTCTAGACGCCACAGATGTCGGCACGATATGGTTTGATGACTCGTCTGCGGAAGACAAGGTTGTGGATTTTTTGAATGAGGAGATTATTGGGAAGGATCTACTGGGGCTGGGGGAGGGAAGGAGGAGGGGCGATCTCAGCTTATTGGATTTGGGGACGGGGAATGGTCATTTTTTGGTTAGGTTGAGGGAGGATGAGGAAGGGGATAGTGAGGAGGAAGAGGGGGGGGAAGAGGAAGAGGGGAAAGGAATTGAGAATGTGGGAAATAAATGGATTGGTAGGATGATGGGTGTGGATTATTCGGAGAGATCCATTGAGTTTGCGAGGCGGATTGCGGAAGATAAACGAGAGGAAAAGGAGAACGAAGATCAAGCAGATGCAAACGGAAAAGAGGAACCGGAAATCGAATTCATCACTTGGGACATAATGAAAGAAGACCCGTCTCCGAAAGTGCTAAATGGAAAACAGACCAAGGGATGGGATATAGTACTTGATAAAGGGACATTTGATGCAATTAGTTTGTCGGAGGAGACAGATACGAATGGGAAGAGAATTTTCGAGGGGTATAAGGAGAAAGTGTTAGCCTTGGTGCGGGTGGGTGGGGTGGCGGTCGTGACGAGTTGTAATTGGACGGAGGGGGAGTTGATAGAGTGGTTTGTGGGGAAGGGCCGAGAGGAGGAGGGTGAGAGGTTCGATGTTTTGAGGAAAATTGAGTATAGGAGTTTTAGTTTTGGAGGGGTGAAGGGTCAAACGGTTTGTAGTGTTTGTTTTAGAAAGTGTGGGGAGGATAGGTAGATATGATGAGAGTTGGACTTTTAAGGTTGTAGACAGCTATGGCTCATGATGAATGGATGGTTCTTCTGACTGATGAGCTGCAATAGTAATGTGGTTCTGAGTCTCAATAAAACCTTGAGCCAGGGACGAGGAGGGTCTTGGGTTTTATGATAGATGAAATAAGTAGCTCACCGGGAGCTCATCGGGAGTAGGCTTTTGGGGAAGCTACTTGCTGGGGGTTATACCTGAGTATCAAATTTTGAGTGGCAGTTGTGATTTGATATGAGTTCCTGGGAGCGAGAGAGATGATGTAGGTGTCTTTGGAATTTTGATGGTTGTCGTCTTTGTTGTAGGTGGACCCTAGGATTTGTGGAAGGTAGCGAAGCTGCTCACCGGAAAACATCTTGTGTTATACTTATACTACTAATTATACTCAACAATAACATCTTCAATTTGATACGCTTTTAAAATTGAATGAAGAAATGCGTGACGTAACGACCTGACTATATTCAAGAATTTCAAGCTATTTCGATGCACATTATTTGAGGTAGCATTTGGAATAGCGAAGTAGCAGTTCATCGCAGCCTTGCATGCAGGGCTGACCTCGGTGTTCGTTCAGCTTACATAACCAACACTTAACAGACATCGATCAATGAACTCTTCGTCAACCTCGATCGCAAGCCCACCACAGTATTCCAAACCATTTCAAATTACCAAATCGCACGCAAAAAATGGCGCCAGTCAATAACGCTGATCAAAGCGTCGTGGCGAGTGAGTTCTCTACAATACAATTCCTCCTCCCCAATACAAGCTACTAACCCCCTCCCCGCAGCCCAAATCAAAAATGTCATCCAAGACCTCTACGAAATCATGGTACAAGTCAACAACTACGATAACGCCGGACGACCCACGCGGGAAACTCTCGAGAAATCCCTGCTCAACCTCTCCGAATCCCTCCAACTAGTTTCGCGCATCACTGTTCCTGCGGGGGCCCCCACCGGAACCCCCAAGATCGATAGCGTTGCTGGAAAGGGAACGGATCTCCCGTGGGTGCCGGCGGATCTCATTCAATATGTGGATAATGGACGGAATCCAGATATTTATACGCGGGAGTTTGTGGAGGCGGCGAGGAAAAATAATCAGTTGATGAGGGGGAAGATGCAGGCGTTTGCGGGGTTTAGGGATGTGTTGGCGGGGGAGATGGGGAAGGTTTTTCCGGAGTTGGAGGAGGATGTTAGGATGGTGGTGGAGGCTACTAGTTATGATGGGGAGGTGGGAAAGTGAGGAGTAGGTAATGAGCGGTTGAAGTTTGATCAGGGTTAGAGGGTATCAAGAGAGTAGAAAGTAGGAAATGAGCTGTCGGGGCTACAGGGTGGAATAATGGATAGAAAAGAGTAGATGAGAAAGGAGAGGAGGCATCGTTTCCCGAGATAGATGTTTGGGAATTTATTTATTGGGATTATGGGGCATCCAAGGGCTGGATTCGCATGGAGTTCCGGAAAATACAAAGGTGGGACATCGGTGTTATGGGCAATCGAACGAATGGGATAATACATCAAACCTCACGGTACTCAAAAAGAAAGGAGTTTAGTACTGATCGGCATTTGGAGAAGTAAAATACGAGATGTACTTCCAAGGAAATAATCATGGTGCAGATGACATACATACATGATTGAGGTACGAGTACTTCATTTCACTTGCTCATTACACTTTTCACACATTAGAATTCGGTAGTACGAGAACATAATTTAGCAAGATATGCAAATCAAGGGGATCCCAATTTTTTGACTTTGATTTTTGATTCTTGATTCTTGAATTTTAAATTTCTGTATTTAAGATACAGCAAACCTCTGAGATAGAAAGCAATCTTGAGTAAAACTCCCAAGACAAATCCAGACATACCTTTTCGAGTAGTATATCTCTTTATCGACGATGCCCAAATTAAAATAAAATAAAACGCCTTCCTTCCAGTATGGAAGTCGGCAAAAACCAAAAAAACAAACGAAAAGAATACCTATGCAACCCAGCCATATAACGAAGATTCTCCTTCACGCCCGCCCGCCAACCCAGCATGCTATGCCATACCATCCATATTACTCCACGCAGAGGAGCTTTGCTTTGAAGCTTGCTTGTAAAGTAAAAACGATGGTTTAAAAAAGTAAGAAAAAGAAGAAGAAAAAAACAAAGACAATGGGTAGAAATCCGTGAAGAAAATCCATCCTCGAGTCGTCCAAGTCAAGTCTCCCGAACATATACCTAATCCTAATATAACTCCAATTCTCCTATCTCCCAGTCTTCAATCTGCACTCCAACCTGAACCAACCCAACCCTACCCTACCCAAACCAACCTCTTATACTCAATCCCATCCTTTTGTTAACAAATCCGAAAAATAAAATGCAAAAACAAAATCAGGATATCAAACATACTCTCAAGACATTGAACTCCTCCTTACAGATTTTCCAAAACAGATTCAATAACATCGACCGCCGTCCTCACAATATACTCAACATCCTCCTTCGTCACCAGATAATTCGGCGACAGCATGATATGATCACCACACATACCATCGACGGTTCCCGTGCCCGGATACATGGTCATATTATACGGATGAGAAATCGCCGTATCGTGTATCCGCTGCGCCACACTAAGTTTGGTATCAAAAGCCATCTTGCTCTTTTTATCCTTGACAAATTCGATGCCCCAGAAAAGTCCCTTGCCACGGATATCGCCCACGTGCGGATGGTCTGCGAGATGTTGCTTGAGCAGTTTGCCGAGATACGCTCCTTGGATGCGTACGTTATCTAGAACGTTGTGTTGGCGGATAATGCGTTGGACTTCGAGGGCAGCAGCGGCTTGGACGGGCATTCCTTGGTAGGTTTGTCCGTGGATGAATTGCCCGGTGCCGTTGTAGAGAACATTGACGACTTTTTGCGAGATGAGAACACCGGCTATAGGTTGATATCCACCACCGAGTCCTTTACCGATAGTTTGCAGATCTGGGGCTACGTTTTCCGATTGCCAGGCGTGCAGAGTGCCAGTGCGACCCATGCCGCACATGACTTCGTCGAGGATGAAGAGCGCGCCGTGGCGATGACAGATGTCGCGCATGGCTTTAAGGTAGCCGGGGAGTGCGGCTACGCAACCGAGGGCGGCTCCTACGATGGGTTCGACGCAGAAACCAATGACGGTTTCCGGGCCCAGTTCTTGAAATTTGGCTTCTAGTTCTGCGGCTTTGCGCGAGACGAACAAGGCGTCGGATTCGTTGGGGAGTCGTTGCCGATAGGGATTACAGGAGGACACGTGATGGACGTTGGGCATGAGGAAGGGAGTGTAGGGAGCGCGGCGGGCTTTGTGGCCTGACATGCCTAATGCACCGAGGGTGTTGCCATGATATGATCCTTCCCGAGTAATGAAGTTGACTCGTGGGGTGGATTTATCTTTTTCGTAAAAGTACTGCCGTGCCAATTTGCATGTGGCTTCCATAGCCTCGGATCCTACATGAATTAGCTTGGGTCACATCAACGGTTGGCTGTGTAGCTTACCTGAACCAGTTAAATAGACTCGGGCCATTTTTCGACCAGTGCCGTTGATGAGTTCCTCGCAAAGATCATCCACAGTCTCGTTTCCGAAGAATCCTGAGGCTAGGTATGGAATGCCGGATGCCATTTGCTGATATACGGCATTGGTGACTCGCTTGTTGCCATGTCCCAAACATGAGACAGCGGCGCCGGATGTTGCATCGAATATGACTCGTCCGTCTTTAGTGTAGAGATTACTTCCACTTCCTCGTACGATGACTGGGAAATCCTTATGGAGATGTCGGTCAAATAGGAATGTGGTTCTCTTCATGCCTTGTACAGCTCCTCCGTTCATATATGACGAAGATCCATTGCTCACCGCCCTGATGGCGGCTACATATGGATCTCCATGTGCTTCTGCGATGGCAGCCGGCGACATGATGAATGATGTTTGGAGAGTAGACTTTGGGTTATGAAGTGAGGTGAAGGGCAGATGTAGACAGATAGTATATGTTGTCGACGATAGATATGTTCATGAGTTCGAAGTCCTGATATATAGGAATCAAAGTCGATGAGGGGTATGCAAAGTGTTTTGGGCAAGTACTTAATAGGAAGGATATTCGGAGGTCCCCGTGGGAAAAGGCACCTTAATATATATGGTCAAGGTAGTGAACGGCTAGTAGCACTATGACGGAAGGAAGGGAAAAAAGAAAAAGATGGGACAACAGATACCCGGGACCAGGGCATACAAGATTGGGTCGAAGGGGGTGCTAGATTTCGGAGTGGAGATGAGAATATAAATTTGGGTGAGAGGTGAAATGTACGAGAGAAGTTGATAAGTTGAACAAGATGTGATAGGGCGATCAAAGTGGATTCAAACTTAGCTGCAACTTGCCTTTAGTTAGATTAGCCTCACCGAAGAAGATCTAGATCAAAAAAAGCACCAATCCTTGCTTCTCCACAGCTAACATGGCGCGGAGATGGAATTTTGCTTTACATTGGTGGATGGGTGGACCGATGAAAGGATGTCCTGACGCTAAATTCGGATGAGGATTGACGTTAGACTTTCAACGAAGGTATTAGTTACTAAGGTGGGTAGATACTAAAATGCATGGCATGACTAGCTAGTTCTTCACTAATGTGGTTAGCAAGAAAGTATATATTCAAAGTATTTCGTATACCGGTAATAATGGGGGAGAAATGAGAAGGAATGTGTGTGGTGTGTGTGGTGTGTGCTGTATGAAATGACCCGATTGCGTGGTATATGGTATGAGAGCATGAGCATGAGTAGTAGCATGAGCAGCATGAGCATGAGCATGAGCATGAAAATGGTTGAAAAATGCCTGGCAGCGAAGAAAGGAATAAGATGGAGCCAAGAAGACGTGTCATTCAGAAGTCAGTTCCCATCCGAATATTTTAGAAACGAAATGCACAGCTATGCTATGTGATTGATTGCTCTCACCGCACTTAGCCTTCCTCTCTTTACCATAGCCGGGTAAAGCTGTTTCCCATCAGAGACATATGATCCGGGGATATGGGCAATGGATGGATGGGGCATATCTTTGAGGCACGTAAATCTGAGGAGGAGGCACGAAGCCCGGTCACATATGCGGCCGGGCCCATAGCCGCTCTCCAATGGGAAGTCTACCATGTCGGTTGCTCAAACAAAGCCGGGGGAGAGGGGAATTTTATTTTTTATTTTGTTTCGTTAATTTTTATGATATGAAGATCTCCGAAGGGTAACCTGCTTAGATAGAAATAGAAAGATTTGTGATTCGATTTGGTCATGATACCCAATATTCAATATGATTTTGAAGAGCCGACTTGTTTTTATTTTTGGTTTTTGGTTTGTTTTCTGTTTCTGTTTTCTGTTTTCCTTTTTATCCTTGGTCCCATTAACTTTACGATACCATTACAATAACTAACCAGAATGTGCTCCACTTCCCGAACATATATACCCACCTAACCCTATCTAATCTACCCTTACTTGCTTAGTGTATGATATGATATGACCATTTTCTATCGATTGTACAGTCCGATCAACGACGCATGGCAAGGGGCGGCTAACTAAGTAAGTAACCTAACTAACTAATCAGTCAGTTGGTTGGTTTTGATTAAGGTTCTGATTTCCATTTTCGATAATGCGAAAGAAGAAAGAAAGAAAGAAGGAAAGAAAGCAAGGGCAAAAAGACAAGGGCAACAGTGAAAAAGTTGCATCCTACTTGAGAAGCCTTGGAAGGTTTGAAAGGTTGGAGTGTTGGTGCAATGCATATAGAAGTCGGTGGCATTTATTTGGCAAAAACGCCTTTTGAGATCGTGAATGTGATTGATCATTTTACCCAAATTCCCCAAGGTCAAGGTCAAGGTTGTTACTCCAAAGTGCGAAACCTATCATTGGGATTTTTACGCCCCCAACAATCCGTATAGATCCGTAAATGTTTTCTTTTTGGTTTGGTTTGGTTTGGTTTGGTGCTCTTATTGGCATCTTTTTCCCTCCAATAATCCTTTCATGATGGTATATTAAGGTGATGCAATAAACTTAGATCGAGTGCAGGAACCATGCGATACATCGCAAAAGACTGTTACTGTGTGTGAGATAGGGAGGTTGCAGAGAGATGGTTCCATTTCGTGAATCTTGTCCATCCATCATGCCATATCGCTGTATATCGGTGCGGTAGTAACTGTCGGTTAATTTGTATTCAGCGAAAACCGGGTTACAGAGATACTTCACGGTCGTATTGTACAACTCAGTCGTTGACTTTAATATTCAGAATCTCTATTGTACGAGTCGTAGCCAGGTTCTCGTCAACTGGGCAGCAGTACAGAATTCGATTGATCCGCTTTTCATTCAAAGGCGAGACCTCAAAATTCAATCAAGGCGAGCACAAAGCCGTGACGTCTAGATCTTTGCATAAAGCGGTAGCCAACCGGGAATCTTCTATTGGAATGCTTTTTTGTACTCATCCTCCATCAGCTGATAGTCTCATATCATACAATACAGACAGACAGACAGACAGATAGATGTATACGATATACTCGAGTAAGTATTGAATGGGAGAAACATACAGTACTTTCCTTTGGAAAGTCTTAAGATCGACAAATGCCAAGATCAATAATTGCTAGTAAGATCGATGAATGCAAACATCAATTCTACTGATTATCCAAATTATCCATTTCAAAAATATCAACAACCTTCATTTGGCTATTTTCATTTCTTATTCTTGATATCTCTCTGAATTTGGAATGGTTCTTTTGTCGTCGAATCAAATCCAAATCTATTTGTGTAATAGTCATATTAAGGTACAAGAACTGTATATTCGCGGAAGATTTTTCTCTTGTCCTTTTCTGATGCTTGTTGGCCATGAACTCAATGCCTGCGACCCTCCTGCCACCTTACCATTTTCAATTGCATGACGACCGGCCCAAGTCCTTCCTTCCTTTACCAGCTGTTTACATAGCAATCTTTTGATTTGCGGCCCAACAGCTCATGAATCACGCGGCCATGATTTATGCAACACTGCAGCTGCATGACAGATTATGAAAAAAAAGGGTGTGGAAGGAAAGGAGAAATAGGACAAGAGAGCGGTGTCCAAAAAATGAAAGCATAATTCGTAACCTATCGCAGGAGGGTCGGTGATTGTCGTAAATTGTCATGGTCCGTCCCACCTATCCATCGTTGCAGCATTGTATGAGCGTGAAATCATTTGATGACCATATGCATACGCAGACGCAGGATCAAAACAAGGGTGTGTGGGAAGAAACTGATATTCTTGACTGGGTGATACCCAAGATGCAGCGGACCCTCTTTCGAGTTCATTCCGGTCGTTTGGCACCTTTTTTCGATCTTGGGCTTCTTTCCATAAATACTAGGAATTTGAGAAGATACCTCGTAGCCTCGTAGCCAATACACAAAGGAAAATAAACATGCCATTCAGATGTTCCGACTTTTCATCGGCTTCGGATACTACTCCATCGGCATCCCGAACATAGTATTGCCGAGAACGGAAGTAGATCAAGAAATTTTCGGTTAGTCGGGATCCCTAAAGGCCTAAAATAACCGTCCACTTTTTGTTTTTGGATACAATCGTCATCAGACACATCCAGATCGAGTCAAGAGTGGAAATTTGATCATAGATTAGGTTATTGTATGATGTCAATAACTCTCAACATAAAAATGGGGGGAGGGGCGAGGGGGTGGAATACCGGTATATGGTATACCTAGGTAGGTATTCAAGTACCTAGTGGACGTGGACCCCATTTTCATACAAACAAAATATCATTTGATATGACAGTGTTGTTCTCGAACTCGGCTAAGAACGGTGAAGGGTTTTCTGATCATAAGGTTGATCTACAATTCGAGATGATATAGAATATAAATGATATATGATAGACGTCCCCTTAAAATATCTGGGGTGTGGCGGTCGTACCTTAAGTGGCTGCAGAATGTGTTTGTTAGCTTGGACTTTGGACTTTGGACTTCTCTTCAGCCCTGAAGACCACAGGATGACTGTACCTGGACTGGGAAGTTGATTTGTACTTATTTTTAATCATCAAGCTCTAACGTCCCAGTCAGTACCTTATACCTGGCAACCAATTAAAGGACCATAGCGATCTTTTCGACAAATGAAATCATATTCTATACAGTCTATACGAGTTACCAATCTCATGTCCGTAGTCCCGTAGTCAGTCCGTAGTGAGAATGCCGGTACTCAGACTTGTTGGCGATTTAGTTCCGCGATTCGGATAAAAAGCAAAAGTTAACTCGTGAGAGGTAGGAATCCTACATCATTACATAAGCCGACCAGGTAGGGGTAGGTGGTATAATGCACGGGCGTTTTTGAAGTCACCCCTTCATACAGCTATTTTGATAATTATCTTCAATAACATCTGAACCTAAACATCGTTTCTATTACTGTTTAAAATATCAGGTAATGACAATCAACTGTTATTGAACCATTTCCGGCCTATCCGGGACAGTCTTATACAAGATTCGGGGAAAAGATGCCGATATTATCAAGATACCTCCCGTTTGCTTCAAAAACAACAGATACGCAGGCAGTGACCTATCTCCTAGCCGTGTGCCTTTTTTCTATCTCCTTTCTAGTCTTCCTTAATAGCAGCGTATCATTCGTTATCACTGATCTCATTGGAATAAAAGATGGTGTGGGGGACTTGGTGGGCACTCTCGTACGACCCCATGAATGTCAAATTACTTTTAAAAATTAAAATACTTACGCGCTGTTAGGGATTCGCGGATGAACTGGTTGCTTTATTAGCTTGTCCCGCGTGGGGAATACTCAGCGACAGAGTCGGTGTTAGGGTGGTTTGCGTTTTGGGATACGCAATCGTTGGCCTTGCATTGATCTTATTCGTGCAAGCAAAGAATGTCTTCCCACAACTCTTACTTGCGAGATTGTTCTTCTCTGTGGGGGGAGCTGCTACGTGAGTCTATTCCGAGCGACATTATACCCGCATGCTAACCGAGATTGAAGTGCGACGATGGTGACCGCAATCCTACCTTCGATGACAGCCCGAAAGACCGATAATTCGGAGAGTTCCCCTAATTTGAGATCAGCCTTGCCGGAAAACGTCCGCCACAGTATTGCGACTGAGTCTATAGATTCTGAGATTACCATAACACCTACCAATTATAATGGAAGACGTGGGAGTTATCCTGGCGATCATTCGAAAACCATGAAGCAAAGCGGATCGAGCCCCCCGCGGTTGGCCGGTTTAGTCGGGGTATTTACAGGTTGCGGGGCACTCGTGGCACTAATTGCTTTTTTGCCATTGCCAGCGCAGTTCTCACGGATGAAAGGGGTATCCCAAGGCCAAGCGGTGGCCGATAGTTTCTACGTGGTTGGAGTTGTGTCACTCATGGTGTCTTGCTTCTGCTTCATTGGCCTCCGGGGCTTGGCAGGCGAGGAGGGTAAAGGGTGGCGCCTACTTCTCGGTAGGCCAGTGGTCAGAGACACCGCAGAAGTAGTATACTCTCATCACGGACGAGAAGACACGGAGAAGTTTCAGCCATACTGGAAGCTAATCACAGATTCAACGATTCTAGGGTTCAAAGATGCACAAATTGGCCTTGGTTACCTAGGAGGATTCGTCGCACGTGCATCATCTGTGGGCATATCACTCTTTATCCCACTTTATATTAACTCATATTTCATTGGGCATGGGTTTTGCCAAGGATCTCCAAATGATCCATCACCTGAACTCAAGAAAGAATGCCGTAGGGCGTACGTTCTTGCGGCCGAGTTAACTGGAGCATCCCAACTGATCGCTTTGCTTTGTGCTCCGCTATTCGGTTATCTCTCAGATCGCTACCGTCGTTTCAATATCCCACTTCTCGTAGCTAGCGTTTTCGGTATAATTGGATATATCGGTTTCGCTCAGCTTGCTAGCCCTGAGCCACAAAATATTGATGGAAGAGGAGGAAGTCCTGTGGTATTCATTATGGTCGCATTAATTGGCATCAGTCAAATAGGGGCGGTGAGTTCTTTGGCAGATGTTCTTTTTCCTTTCCCTTTCCCCATCCTTAAACGATGATGCATGATTTCCTGCGTCGCCAGAGAGCTATTATTTGTACTAGGCTAATCTCTTAAACAGATTGTCTGCAGTCTTGGCTTACTGGGAAGAGGTGTACTTGGTGATGAAGGTGGTTACAATTTATCTTCCCAACTTCAAGATGCGGCGAGCGATGCGGATCCCAACTCATCCGATACCACTGAAACAGCACCACTAATAGCGTCTCCATCACTTCGTAAGCCTTCATCAAGAAACCACCTTAAAGGATCTATAGCCGGTGTCTACTCTCTCTCTGGGGGTGCTGCCATTTTACTACTCACAAAACTTGGCGGTTACCTTTTCGATAATCTATCCACGGGTGCTCCGTTTTACATGATGGCAGTATTCAATGTTATACTTCTTGTTATTGGCATTGGGGCTGGAGTTTACCGTGAAATTAGGACAGCTCAGATGCATCGATGAGTTCGTTACATAGATCTGCGACATGGATACTCTTGTGCCTGCATTTCACATACGTCTGATTAGATTTCTCACGTGGAATTTCAGGAGTTCGTGTAGGTCTTAGGGTTCATTGTTATTATCATTCGAGAACGAATCACCAATACATTGAATCTTATTTTAAATGCCGGTTCAACTCTCATATCAGATAACAAAGACTTGTATCGGCGATCCTTGCTCGAGCCTACTCGGAAAACTTGACACGTCGACCCATGGCCCCACGCCTTTTGTTCGAGCCTCGAGACCTACTAATCCCACATCGTAACGCTTGAGGTCCCTCATCATAAAGTGCGAGATGCTCCCTGTCACCCTTGTCCTCATCAGAAAGTGCAAGATGCTCCATGTCATCCTCATCCTCGGCTTCGGTCCTGGACTTATTCTTCGCCCTCTTCTGTAGACGATTGCGTCTCCTGTGAGGCTTTTGTGCTGTGTCTTCATCAGAAAGTGCCAGGTCTTCCGGAAACTTGTCATCACTGGGAGTTAAGGCAATCTGGTCAGGGTGGTCGTCGCGACCGTCAAATGTGTTGAAGTCATATGGATCGTCCACGGATGAGTATGTGGTGGAGATGACTTGAGGTTCAAAGCGTTGTCGCTCATGCTGCGCTCGTCGCTCTGCTGCTGGCCTTGCTGTCTGTGACGACTGTGTTGTATATTGCGAACTAGAAGTCCGACCAAATTCGCCACTGAGACCAACAAAATTTAGAGAGCCTTGAGCGTTCAGCTTGATGATATCGCAGGTTAGGCATGTGCGCCATTCGAGATCAAGACCGTGCTTGGGACATGCATTGGGATCGTTGTATGAAGCCATGTCTGTCGGGAGATATATATTTATCGATAGGAGTATTGGATCTGTATATTATATTGTGGAGGAAAGAAATCATTCTGGAGAGTTATTTGAAGTATTTTCACCTTGATTTGTGGTTGTATTCGAGGGAAAAGAGGTACAAAGAAATGAAAACAGCTACTGTATATTCATCATGTCCCCTCCCCTTTGATGAGGATCTTGTCTTTCTTTGTGTGTTGAATTATAAGTTACTCGATCGGATCAAGTCCAATGTTGGATTTCGTTCACTAGCTGGCTTGCCTTGAGCTGTCAATGTAAGGTAAGTTCCCGGCTTATTATTACTTCCTTTCTTGGTTTGAGTAGGTATTTAAAGGTATCTTTCGTTCCAAAAACTTCATTTTCTATTAATGCTGCGAGAAGTCACGGGGAATGAGGATGTATATGAGAATAATCTAATGTAGGACAAAGCAAAGCAAAGCAAAGTATCACATCATATCACAATTATACAATCATCACGTTTTCTTTTCAATTCAAGTCAGAGATCACATGTTGACTTCGAGTATACTTTTTTTTTGGTACTCCTACTCGTACGAGTGTACGTACTAGAATAGAGTAGAGTAGAGTAGAATAAAAAAACCCCCCAATGCAATGGAAACATAAATACTCGTAGATAAATAGATACCTACCTACCTACCTATCTATCTACCTAGATCCTTGAAAAGCCCCAAATCAAGAACCCCGAAAAATAAAACTCCTGTTGTACAGTACAGTATAGTAAAACATCGGAATCGGGAATCGGAATCGGAATTTGGAATCGGGAGGATCTTGGATCTTGGACCTTGTTCTTGTTTGTTTTTTTTTCGATTATCTGAAGATATCTGAAGGGAAAGGGGAAGGGAAGGGAAGGAAGTTATACAAGCTGCTCTCGGAACGGAATATAGGAGGTAATTTTGATTTGATTTGATTTGATTTGATTTGGGTATCATCGTATCATATTTCTCCGTTCCCGTTTTTTGATGATGTGATACATATATTGGAGGGTTGATTGGGTTTATGAGTTGGATTAGATTGGATTGGATTGTACGAGTAATTATTATTCAGTCAGTCAGTCAGTCAGTCATTCAGTATATAGATAGATGGATAAACAGGTCACATCCAATTTGTAAAAGTAGGGAGTAGGACTCGTGGCTAATACTTTTGAAGAGGTATGAAGTATGAGGTGTGGAAAGAGGATGGGAGGATTTATTTCGGTATGTATGTATGTATGTATGTATGTATGTATTAGGTATGTATATTATTATATCTAGGATAGTTGAAAGAATGATTGGTTCTGATAGGATGCTAGGATGTTAAAAGATGTAAATTGTATATAAATTTTGGCTTGGCTGGTAGTACGTACAGTATAATACTCGAGATAACAGACTACTCGAGTACAAATTCCAGACTCGAGGAGTTGAATACAATGAAACACAAAGAAAAATGAAACTCATTAATGAAGGAGTGGGGTTTGATGTTTGACATTTTGACGTTTGACATTTAATGTTTGACATTTGATGTTTGAATTTCCCAAAAAGTTCCTCAATTGGAGCAGATGATTCAAAGGTAAAGAGGTGTGGTCGAGACCGAGGTGTTTGTACTCTATGAGTCGAGTAGATCTTCCCCAGTTGATCTCCTCCGAACATCATCATAACACAACATTTCATTCTGATACTTTCACAATAATATCTACAACATTTACAACATCTACAACTAAATACCTTCCGTACCCTACAAAGCTGAACACCCGTCGGAACAAATTATTGACAGGTGGGAATACGATATAACCCATTTCTCGTTCCAAGACACAAGTACTGTACAGGTACAACAAAAGGTACAACATATTAAACTCAAACCATCATCACTACTTGTCAAACCGACCTGTCAAACCTACATATCACTGGAGTACGAAGTACCAATTCAGCCCAATCTGAATTACGAGCAACTACATACCTACCAATGACCAATTTCCCTTAAACTTTCATCTACATCTACATCAACACTTCCGAACCTGCAGAAATCCATCCCCAGGAGAGCCTCCGCGTGTCATCCTAAGAACCCAATAGATATCTTTTCCCATATCTCTTCCACACATTTGATTTGATTTGATTTGCTCCAAATGTCGGGCATACCTCGATACAACAATGCACCACTAAATGCACGATCGGGAGTCGCTGACCCTGCACCCTCGGAATCCACATCCACATCCACTTCAACGGCAACATCATCAGCACACCGCAACCCCACCACCACATCACCACCTCGCACTTCGTATGCACGCGCGCAGCCCGCAGGAGTAGCAGCTGCCGTACCCCGCGCTACCGAGCTCGCCCCCCCGCCACGTTACGCGTGCGCGCCTGCAAATGCAAATGCAGGCGTGACGGTGACGGAAACCCAGAGGCCACCGCCAACACGCACGATAAAAGAAGATTCCGAGGTGCCTGCTACACCGCAGCCAGGTGCGCTTCCGATGCCGCCAACTGGGTTCGCGGGTACTGGTTATGGGGGCGCTAGGACTGCACCTCCTGCTCCTCCGAGAGCGGGGCTTGCTGCTTCTATAATGCCACTTGGGCTAGAGAATGTGGATGGGGTGCAGAAAGAGAAAGTGCATGGGATGAATCGAAATACTATGGGGTACTATCCCCCTCAGATGGCGATCCCACCGCCCAGTGTTACCCGCGCACCGTTTTCTTCGACGCTGACGATGGATGCGGGTACGGCAGCGAGGACACATAGTACGATGCATATGCATCCTCAACCGGTTTCTGTTGGTGATGCATATGCACATGCACGACATGAAGAGGCGGAGAAAATAGAGAGAGGAGGTGGATATGAGGGTGGATATGAGAGACGCAGTTTGGAACATCCACCGGGTTATGTGCAGAATGCGTATGCGGCTGAATTGAGTAGTGATCAGAGGAGAGCTATGGAGGGAGAGGCGAATCGAAGTGGGGGTTTGGGTTTGGGTATGGGTATGGGTGGGGGTGAGGAGGAGGAGGGTATCTGGGGGAGTGCGAAGAGGTGGGTGGGGAGTGCGGGGAGTAGGTTGAGTGAGGGGGAAAAGGAGGTTTGGAGGAGGATTAATGGACAGTAGAGAAGGTTGTGTAGTGTGAATCGGATTTGGCAAATGGGTTATTGGTTTAGGATGGATGGATGGATGGGATGGCTTGAGATGGGTGGGATAGGGTGATGGGTGTATGGTTTGATTTGGTTTGATTTGATTTGATTTGATTTGATTTGTTATGATAGGATGTATGATCACGATGCGATGCGATGCGATGCGATGCGATGATGTATGATGGTGTATGATTAGGTAGAAGGACTGACTGATACACTCGAGTACTTGCAGCTTAGCTACAAGATGTCAAAAACAATATCCGGGTAGAGGAATCGATACTACTCGTACATGGAGTAAATGATACTTTCTTTTACTTTTTGCATATATTTTTTACATTTTTATATATATTCTGGTGGACAATCTTATATACGAGTGAGTAATGGGTTATCTATACTATGTACAGTACTACTTGAGTACAGTAGTATTGTTCAGGATGATTTGATATGTGATATGTGATATCTAGTCTGAATATATACATGATATGATATGATATGAGTTATAACATACAGTAGGTATGTAGATTAGATATCTCATCTGCGACTCTGCGGCTTAGCCTCGATATGAAGTAATGAAGCAATGAAGCAAGAATATATGTAGTTGTAATAGTGATAGTAATGGCGATAGAAATAGTGATAGGAGGAGTAATTATTGTTTGTATCGATGGATATGGATATGGAAATGAATAAGACAAGAATATGGTAGAATTTATGAGGGTACTATTACTAGTACATGGATGGAGTTCATAGGGTTGGGTTTTTTTTAGGTTAGAGTATGAGTATGTATGTATGTATGTATGAGTAGGTAGATAGGTAGGTAGATAGGTAGATAGGTAGGAGGAGGCTTTGTTATGGTATTGTATTGTATTTATAGTATATTAATTTATGACTTTATGATGGGGAGTTATTTTGGGGAGTTTTGTTGTGGCGTTGTTGGTATATGTGTACGAGTATGTATATCTATTTGTATACGAGTATATGTGTATGGAAAATATAGATAATCTATCTTTTGTTTGAGGGGTTGATGTTTATATGGTGTAGAGGTATACGAGTACAGGTATATATGTATGTATGTATTTATATACGAGTAAATACGTAGCATTAGCTATAGGTAGATCAAATCGATTATGAATTTACTACTACTACTACCTACGAGTAGTATACATGGGATATACAAGTAGAAAAATAGTTTTCTCGATTACTCGTACAGAGATGGAGGATAGAGGATAAAAGATAAAAGGAGGGAAAAGGAAGGGGAAAGGAAGAAAGGAGAAGAGAGGGGTCAAGTTTAGAGTAGAGTAGAGTAGCTGAATAAATGTAAATCATGAATCGTGACAAGAAATATGAGGAGAGGAGAATTGTGAAAGAGAGAAAGGTACGCGCATACGCGGCGTCATTGGGGCGTTCGGTTTCCCTGTTGACTGTTGGATGTTGGTAGCAAGGGGGTACGATACTCAGTCCCAAGCTAGAGGTAAGTGATGGGTAAGGCGGGCTGATCTTCATATGAGATGTGTGATATAGAGAGGGTTTACTGTACACTGTACTCGTATAGTACATGGATATCCATAGTGGATGCTAGATAGGGAAGATTCAAGATAGAGAGAGAGGGGTACTGGTATCTGCATGAATTTGGTGTATAGATTGGGAAAGATTGTGGAAATGAAAGTTAATGAGTGCTTGGATTGTGTGCTGGATGGGGAAGAAAGGTGGATGATGGGTATGAGAACTTTGAAGGGGATGGGAGCCGAAAATCCCCCGCGTGCGAGCTGGGAAGAGAAGGATGATGGATGGGTGATGTGGCTGTGAAGACATGGGATGATGTTCATCTTGCCTTTGGAGGGTAACTGGTGTCGTTTGCGGTTTGAGAAAGATGAGAAGATTGTCGTCCGATGGTGTTCAAAATAGATTTGGGATTGACTTTTGGGATATAGCGATATTAAGGTGTGTTAGCGGAGAGACGGGATGATAGAAGCGTATGGCCGTTTGGAATAGATGCATTAGACTCCTCCCGTACATGAGCTTTGGTCCGAAAGATATCTGCTAGAAGAAAGTTAAAGAATTCCAGAACAAAATAGCGGGTAGGCGGTGCACGGGATGATACTGTGGTAGGTTCGAAAAGGCTAGAGCTAGAGCTAAAGTCCTGCCCTACCCTGCCTTATCCTGCCCTACGAAACAGCTGAGTCCCGAAACAGGTACTGGGTGGAGTTAGATAGAGTGGAGTTAAGCGGGTGATCGGATTTCGGATGGATGAGAAGATTGAGAAGAGGGTCATAGCGGAGAATTGTTTGCGAGAAGTTACGGTGGTTCCGGAGCTTGGTTGACTCTGATTGAGGGATGTGTTAGACGCTTAGGATGGAAAATATATGAGGGTGTTTAGATGGAAAGTACTTGAGTGCCTATTTTGGAAAGGTGTGTGAGTTTGAGTACCTGAAATTGTGTACCTGAGATGACATCTAGTTGCCTAGTGAATAGTGTGTGTGGTTGGGTGAATGAAGTACGGAGTACGAACGAAGTGCGAAGTGGACGCTGGACAGACATATTTTGATACTTGATATCTGTTGGCGCTAGAGATCCTTCCTGACAGCTTTCGATATGTTCTCCTTTTTCGGACAAGGAATGGCTGAACATTTTAGATGGAAGCTAATTGTAACAATAGATAGGATATACCTATCTACTTCGCTGTGTTGTTCTTTCTTTCCATTTCCGAGTCTTACTACTCATGGTGTAGTACGGCTTGTACATCACGGAAGCGGTCAATCATAAGTGATCGAATGCCAGGTAATATATTAATATGCCCGTAACGAACGGCGAGGCCAGCCGAACTGGCATAGGATTGGGATGTAGCTGTATGTCTGTACCTGTGCTGTCAGTGGTGATCAATGAGCCGGGATTAGAGGGGCTGCTGAGGAAAGCCACAGAATATCTGAGGTATGACGAATCGGACATTAAATCGATCATCAGAATCCTGGTCGAGAGTGAGGGATGTAGAGGGTAATGGGATATACGGTTGGGGGTCGCCGACTATTATATGACAGGTATCAAGGTATTCGGCATCAGTCGGTAGAGTGCTCGTACACATATTGAACTTTGAAGGTTGGAAAAGGTCTGCCTACCGGTAGTCAGCAAACAGTTGCGCAACCAGTTGGTCAAATGGTTTCAATGAATGAAATAACAAGCTAAATCTCATGATATGTTTTCTCTTCATCTAAACTATCTTGATGGAAGTTTGAGCATTCCTACCCTCGGACTAACAGTTATTTCTTTCTGGACGTCTACTTGATTAACTTAATTGGTTCAAGTTTCTTACCCTTTCTTACTGGGGTATTCCCCTGTATTGAGTTTCATGATGCTTGTCTCAAACACTACCGAATATGCGTATTACATGGATTAGCGACAAGGATGAAGGGGTCTTAATACTTGCCAAGATGCCCTTGTATGATGTACTCTGAAGTGAAGTTTTAAAAGCGAGCAAAAGCCAGCAAGAGTCAAGCTTCACAATAGTGAAGTTTGAAACTGATTCAAACCATTTCCTTTGGTTCTCTGGCAATCTCTTACTCCGTGTACTTCAACATAGAGACTATCAAAGTAATAACAATGTACTGGAGTATAAGAGAAGGATGCAATGGATGGGATAGATGGTAGATGGCTGGATGCATCGATTATTGGGAAATCCAATACGAGCGTACCGTATCAACATGGCGTGAGTGATTGAAGTGATTGCTATTTAAAATGATAATGATTATTTTTATATCTTCTTGCTTCTGTCAGCCATCTCCTCAATAATAAAGGGGGGGCCTTTCGGTACTGTATATCAAGCTCAAAATAGACATATTTTGGTGATGTAGATCAAAATATGGAAATGGCTGATTGAAAACCGTTATCAGAAGATAATAAATAAATCATAATGATTGGTTATTGATAACTGATAAATTGTTTGATCTATTTCCCTCTTTTACCACTTATCTAACCAGTCAAGATACAAATAGATCTAAGATTATGGATCCAGACCTCTACCTCTCAGATCAATATATTTTACTTTTATCAAACGACGATCTCTGCTCGAGTAATAATTCTTAAAACTACTCGAGTATCTTCTCAACCTTCTCAAAAGACTCTTCTTGTATGTATTATCATATTAAGGCTGATATGCTTTGTTGTACAATTAAAACTCTATAAAACGATTATGGAGTATCCTTGTTCCCGTATAAGATACTCAAACAGCAACCTGATCTTGCAACCAAAATATATTCAATCTACTTACCCATGGCAGCTACTATCTACTAACCACCTACAAAGATAAACCCAAAACTACCAGCTTTTCATATCTATGTACCCAGTACCGCTCACAGACTTCTTGCAATATTTCAAACTGGATATCTTAAATTACCCTGTTCAACGCCATACTTGGGTATTGGGTATCATTGGTTGTCCGTTGATCTCGGACTTCCTGACAAACCTCGATTAGTTACCCTAGATGTTACAAATCCATCCCCGAATCACCCCCGTTAGGATAGTCCGTGAGTTTATGAAGCTCAAGTGCAAGTGACTGGAACCAAGGCAACATCCTTCGTACCACTGTCCACACCCACCAGAGTCACCACCCCTCATCACCACCGTCCGTAATCGCCTCTAAATCTTAAAAACCTTCGAAGAAAAAATACTTTCCCAAAGAAGGACCCACGGCATCGTCATATACTCGCTCAGCCTACCTGCCTTACCCCAGATACTGCACCTTTAAAGTATAGTGGCGCCGGGATGAGACAAGACAAGCCACCCCCTCTACTCGTAGTCCCCTTAAAGTCTCTTGTGGGATGAACACATATGTTCTTCGCATTGAAATATGTCGTTCCTTGATGGGTCAGCGGCAGTGGACCAGTCCCTGGACTCAACCAGCCCTGCAACTTCGATACTGCATCTAATGAACTCGTTGCTCACTTCCACTGACCACTAGACAGTCACTAACTTCAGCTACTATTCGCACAGCTCATCTGTCCTTCCCACCACACCCCCCCTCCCCCCACTTCCACCTACCCATGCAAAGCCAAGCCTTTCCGGCAAAGCGTACTCTCTAGACCTCATCCAGTTTTGTGAGGTTTGGCTTGTATCAGGAACGACGCTGGCATGGGTCTAACAACGACATCCCGATCCCGGGCAGGGCTGCAAACCACGACAGGCGTCCCTCGACCTTTTCATGTATTTCCCTTCTCTTATACCTCATGGATCTCTGCACTGCCCCTCTTCCACCTTTTTCGCGTCGTCCCAATCGCAACACTTCCTGTTCTATTCGACCAGTCACTCCTTTGAGGTCTTTTTAATTTCGCTTTTCGCTCATATATACTATATACTGGGAGCTGGCTCTCATTTACTACAAGCCAGGCTTTGTCGATCACCAAACGAGTTTGTTTCTATACTACTTTTCCCCAAGTGCATAGCTCAACTCATCACACTCATTTCCGCTGTCCGACACTATCTACTTGCAGATACAAAGTAACCATACCCACATATCCTCATCGCGAGGCATCGTTATTCAATCTTGTTCCACCGGAAAATTTACGCATTTCCTACATATAACATATCAGAGTTGCGCATCCTCCGGATCTTATCATATCTGGTAAGTTAAATACAAATCCTTATAATTCCTCCCGGCCATACATTTACCCTGCCGACCCCCCCCGATCGGTTGATCATCATATACCTCTTTTCTTTACAAATCTATCCAACGCTGACGACTATCCTGATAGTTAATCGGCTGTTGACTATAATCAATCAAACCTGATCACCGGTCATGGAATCCAGCCAGGCGCAATCGTGAGAAATCTACAATAACCCCTCCTTACGATATCATCTTTACTTACATCTAGCCCTAGTCGCCATTCATTTCAACCACAATCTTCTTTTACTTTTAATCCAAACAATCAGTTCAGGAGAGATTGTCCCCCACGGTCATTCCCATCAGCTTCTACCATGAATCCCAACGAGATGTCTATGAAGCAAGAACCTACAGGATTGGGTATGTGGTCGACAACAACACCACCAAACCCAACAACCAGACGTCGACCAGCAACCATACATGAGACAGGGTTCTCATATTGTATGCCCGAGCAGAACAACTATTCCTTACCAGCTTGGGACTCGTCGACGTTGCCAATGCAGCCAATGCGCGACGGGTTACCGAACAACTATGCAGTTCATCAAGACTTCTATCCACCCCCGTCAGTTGGGGAACGTGATTCACATCAGAATCATGCTATTTCCGTCAGCGGTAAAGCTTTTTCTGACTTTGATTTCACAGATCATTGGAACACGAAACCCTGTGATGATGGTATGGAAATGCAAGGTCTCGACACAGAAATGCATATGGGACAAGCCTATACCACGGACGAGGCCGTACCAATTTTGGATTTGAGATGTGGAGCTGGAATGGATTCTGATCGACCAAGTATGGATCAGCCATGGAGCTCGCGGAGGATGTCTGGCTCTTCGTTCACGTTATCGACCACGGGAGCTCTTTCTGAAATGCCATCATATGAGGACTTTTCTGCTACCTTATCGGAAGCACCATCTTTTAGTTCAGACTACCCACCTCTGTCAAACAGAAATTCGTTAATGTCGTCAACGCAATTATCGCCAGTAGCATCGCCGAGAATGACGCCTCAAAATAGATCCGAACTAGTAAGGACTCAAAGCAGAGGCAGAGCATCTCCCTCACCTCGGCCAAGTATGCGTTCAGCGCCTTACAACATGGATAGCAGTAGAATCAAGAGATGGTCTACAGGATCATACGCCCCTGCGCCAAGTAGACGCCCCTCTCCGTTTGTCTACCATCAAGGGAACGAATCATTTTCATCACCTCACCCACCTCAAATGACATCACGACATTCTTCACCTACGATACCAAATCCTCATTTGCCTCTCAATATGACTAATTTACAAACGCAACAACATCCATTTGTGATGGCCAATAACACAGCTTTCAATCGGAATAGCATGCTTCTGCCATCTCATTCATATCACGAGCCTCATCAATTTGATACACCTCCCCCTTTACTTTCTCACGGTCTTTTCCGTATGCTCCAAAGTAACGCTGATCCACATTCTCTACATACTCACTATTCGGATTTGAGTGATCCTCCTGATCTTTACGCATCTCTTCACGAAGAACAATTAGCACCTCCACCAGAGGATATGAATCCATCAGATCCAGATCTTATTCCCCATGAGCAAGAATTGCGATTTGACGGAGATTTGTACACCCCAAGATGGGTACGAGGACATGGAAACAAGAGAGAAGGATGGTGTGGCATCTGCAAACCGGGACGATGGCTAGTGTTGAAGAATAGCGCATTCTGGGTGTGTCTCTGCTCAGTTCTCTCAAGCAAAAGTTTGCCTTCGAAAGAAGCTTAATTGCTAACATATCTTGATTCACAGTATGATAAAAGTTTCACCCATGGTATCTCAGCTGCAACCGGGCAACCTTTCCAGGAGCCGCAGGAAACGCGACGCATGGACGGAAATCCAGATGTATGGGAAGGTCTGTGTGGAAGCTGTAATGAATGGGTAGCTCTAGTCAGTAGCAAGAAAAAGGGAACCACTTGGTTCCGACATGCCTACAAAGTAAGTTTCACATATTTCCTTCAAAGAGTCCGAGCACACAGGATATCTCATATCTCTTGTCGGAGAATGTGGAATCAGTGGATCTTGACATTGAATTGAAATGGACTTGAGACTGATATGTATGATCAACAGTGTCACACTCATCCAAAAATTAAAGATGCTCCAAAACGCCGTCGCGAATCTAGCCATTCTCGTGCACTCGGCACGTCGAATGTGAAGTCAAAAGCTCATGATTCCATCACTTCGAATCCGCATCAGTCTTCACCGATGACTCCAAGTGTCACTTCGATACCATTGTATCAGAGAAGGTCGGCTTTAGGTAGTCCGGTGGATGGTTTGAGTAGTACCATGATATAAAATAATTATGAAATTTCTTCTTCTCTATCTTTATCACACTTTCTTTTCTTCTACTTCTTACCTGCGATTTTGTGTTTTTTTTTTCATGTGACTTGATTCGATGTACAATTGTTAAAGACTTTTTTGATATTTTCTCTTTTTTTCGAGATTACAATACTTTTAAGTTGGATGGTCCCTTTCTTTTCCTTGACAGAAACAGAGATAGAAACCTAGGAAGCAAGAGAAGACGAGACTTTTCATATACACGTCATGTTTGTCTGCACACGGACGGGCATAGTCATGACAGGGCGGGGTACCATGCATCTGCATCGTTCATTTGTTTCATTCCACTTTCAATTATGTCTAGGGGCTCGGGGATTGGGGATAGGGGATGGGATTGGGTCGGGGGACTGGTCGGTGGGATGATATGATGTAGGAAATGAACGACAAGAGAGTGCATAAGGCAAAAGAGCTATGAAGAGGAAAAGGAAAATGGAAACTGGAAAACATGAAATCGGGACGAATTTTCTTTCACATCTACAGCACAAGCCATAACATAAGTACAAGTCGAGTATCTGCAGGCAGGCGCGTTGTGTTATGACATGATTTTACGAAAAAGAAGAAGCAGAAACAGAAACAGAAACAGAAACAGAAACAGATAGGCGGACAAGGCAGAGGCAAAGGCAAAGGCAAAGGCGCAAAAAGAAGGAGAAAATAATTGGTTTTGGTACTGGTACTGGTTTTCATTTGGTTGGGCTTGAGATTTCTGGACTTTTTGGTGGGCGGTATATAGATAGATAGCATCACATAGGATACCTAGGTAGCATAGCGGTAGCGATAGTGATGGGTTGGTAGAGTAGAGTAGAGTCCTATCATGAGGTTTGTGAGTTTGTAGGATGGGCAAGGAGGTGGGTAGGAGGTGGAAAGGCGATGGCGATGGCGATGGCGATGGCGAATTTAGTTGGGTTGTTAGTTGGGTAGTTGGAATTTGGGGGTGATGTGGGATGAGATGAAATGAGATTAAATGATATGAGATGAGATGAGATGATATGAGTATTATATAAATATTTGTTTGGTTGTTTATTATTGCGTTGAGTTTGAGTTTGAGACCTGATTTGTTGATTACTTTTGAGGGGTTTGGTGAGTGAGTGGATGAGAGGAGAGGAGAGGAGATGAGATGAGATAAGCAAATCGATGATATGTACTCGAGAATTTCGATTTCACACCTATGTTATAACATGAGAGAGACAAATCTCGTAAGTCTTACTTACCCATACATCATCTTCCTCTACCTCTACCCCGTGTATCTCACAAGTGAGTATGAATTAAACATCACGTCACGTCACTATTCCCTGATGTAACTTGCTCTCTCTTCTTTTCTCTTCTTCTCTTTGTCTCTATCTCTATTCCAACTCTGTTTGCAATACAACACAAGTTACACAACAGTGACAACAACTTAGTTTCAGCTAAGCTAAGCTAAGCTTCTAACTATCCTCGGGTATCTGACTTGTTTGTTTATTGAGTAGGAGAGTAATGAGAGTACAGTAGAGAGTATTGCTGATTGAGATAATTATATTCTGCTACTCTGCTAATATGTATGTATGTGTATATGTATATCACATTGTATTTGCATTTAGAGGGATTGGAATAATACTGTATAAAAATATATTCGAGTGTATGTATATAAATACTTTTTGATTGTTTCTTGAATTTGGTTTGGCAGTTCGGGATATGTTCTGCAATGAAATGCTATGCTATGTAGATCTTATAGGAAATGAATATAGAAAACTAGACACAGTATCTATCATAGCGATCTGAACAATCCATCTCAACGCCAAGCTGTATACATGACTATCGCAGGCCTCGTTTGCCGCGTTGGAAATATATACAGTACTATACTGTGATGTGAAATCGCTTGATTGATGTACAGTACTAGAACATGTATCCATGGACTATGGGCATGGACTATGGGCAAGATTATACCGGTATTCGTACCATCGCTGGATGATCCTGGGACCAGATGTCAGATGTGTTATGCTCTGTAGGAAAACATGAAGGGAAAAAAAAGGATGGATGATCGGCGCTGTGTGTTATGCTTGAGAACTACTCGAGTATATCATATGGATGGATGTTTAGATTGTGTTGGGGTGTATGAACTTCAAAAGTTTATAGTTTATTAGCGCAAACTGGTGGGTAGCGAGTTAGGGGGGATGAATGCTGTTCATTTGACACGTATGTTATGTTTCTAGAAGTTAGTTAAGGAAGGGTCTTAGAGCGTGTGAAGTTTGGTAGGTTAGTAGGGAGGGGGATGAAGGGGACTTTTGTTTTGTCCGAAGATTCTGCGGGTTGAAATTGTGATCTGAATATTGGGTGCGAGGAAATTGGTGTGGAGGGGTGGGTTCAAGGAAGTTTGGGTGGTTATGCCGTGAGTAGTGAGTTGGGTGGAAACTGGTGTGTGGTATGGATGTATGGATGAGGTAGTAAGGTTTGGGAAGGACAACGATGGGTGGTAGGGTTGACCAGTGGATCGCTAGACTCGAGAGAGTGGATGGGGGATATGAAGAGGGATAGGGGTAAAGATTCGATGTATAAGATTTTGAGGAGGCATGAAGGTTGAAAGAAGTTGGGGGAGATGGTGCAATACTAGGTATGAAGTAGTATGGAGTATCAGAACTTGAGCTAGAAGCTTGAAAGAATTTGAATGTGGAACGAATTGCAGGGTACGAAGTAAGCTAGAAGAGTCATAAGGCGGGATAGAACTTAGAAGATCTCGATAGGGAATGGAAAGGAGGGAAAGCAGATTCTGGAGGGATCGGGTATATGGAAAGAATGGTTGTGATAATCGTGCAGGGAAGGGGAAGGGAGATTGATATGGAGGTTCATGCGTTGCGATTGTGGACTTAATCTTGTACAGTACCGTAGAAGCCGGAGGAAGACACATGCTAGGATTATGGGATGAAAGCGGAATGGAGGATGGATGGAGTAATTGTAAGCTAATTGTGTGACTCCAAAATGAGATGTTGTATGCCAAGGTGTTTGTTGGTTTTGATTTTTGATGGTGGTGGTAGTTGAACCTCTTGTAAAATGGAGTAAAGTTGTGCCGATGGTTTAAGGAGAGGATGGACGAAGGCGCTTAGCTGATGTGTAAACTTGTATGTGAATACATGCCATTGTACGTTTTGAATGGAGGAAATTGGTAGTTTATCGAGACGGATTATATAAAGGAAGGAGGATGATGGATGTTGTTCTACTCGAGTATACTTATAATAGGTTTGTTGCGCCGTTACCCTTGCTTTGGAGTGGGATTTATGAGAAGAGAGTGTGATGAAACTAGAAGATTTGGAAGCAGTTGGGAGAGATAGATATGATGCGGTTGACTGGAGATTGGCGAGGCGTATGTAGATGCAATTGATGTATTTGAGAAGAAGGCACAAAGGGAGCGATGATTCTGAACCAGTGATTCAGTCGCCCCTTTCTTGGGATGGAACTGGCGAATAACTCGAGTACAGATGATCAATATATAACGAATTCTGTTTTGGAAAATTATAAATAATTATACAATTACCTAATCTTCAATGTTGATACACTTTTTATAATACTTTATAATTAAGTTAATTAAATATATAATTATAAGCTTTATAGTAGCACAAGCTGCGATATACTAGGTAGATTCTGAGGTGCTCTGAAGATATAATTGAAAATATTGAACTAGATGTGATGTTGGTAAATAGTAAATAAGTCTAAATATGACAGAACCTGGCTCTACTACTTATCTCCATAAAATACGCCAAGACAAATTATGACTTATTACGACACAAACGATAATCTGAAGAGTTGAATAATTCCAAGATGATTTTCAAATATTTACCAGTACAGTTATATACAATTGAACTCTCAATTCGATTCATCATTTGCTTGTTTTCATCTCACTGTAATCTTCCATTCTTATCCATTTCATCTACACTGTACTTCACTCAAGCTCAAATCCTTCACACACAAACTTATCCGGCTCAACGACCCGGCCTTCTCTCAGAACAGGAAGAAACGAAGAAACCCCTTCGTTCGATCGGTAGAAATGTTTCCTTGATTTATTTTCCACCACTTTTCTTTTCACTTCACTTCAACGTCCGTCGTCTTCAAACTACTCAGACTATCTTAATTCACCAGAGTTTGGTGTGGATTTAGCCCGGCAGCTCCAATCCTATACCGCCATCTCAGGGTTTCCAGCGAAAGAAGGCTCGCTCCACTTCATTTGACCTACTACGTACCGGTATTCTACTACTAGGCACTCTAGGCCTTTGAAGTACATAGCTCCAACGTTTGGTACCTCCCCGCCTAGGTCTCGGTGTCTTCCTGTATTATATCACCTCTCTAGCATCTCAACACACCAGAGTTTTCGATCGATCATTGTACTCGTAATGCTGTGCAACAATCACTAATCAAGTTCGTTGTGGTCGTGTACCTCTCGTTTGAACAAGAAATCTTCCACAGCTTCAACAACCCTTGTCTATGACTTTGACACCGACTTCATAGCACCTGAAGTAGCTACCGGTAACTTGTACGGAGTAGCGAGTTGAGTGTGGATACATCTTCCGGTTGCCTGGGACAATCCCCGCTATCCTAGTAGCTAGAGAGCAGACGACTCAATCTCAACCTCTTTCCACGAATCTAGTACTTTTCTCCAAAATATTCATTAATATTGCCATTGCCTTTCGATTATTCGGTGAGTGAGAATATAGAATGTGATTCCATTATTAATACTCTTTTAGAAGCTATGCTAACATGTGTGAAACCAGCTTCAAGAAAAACCAAACAGATATACATCCTTGCCATACTGTAGATTATTATACCCTCGACGCCCACAGTTTCTATACAACCATACCGAGACCATTCCTCCAAGTCATTTTGACCTGCTTCGCATCGAAATTCGAGTAAGGATCATACTTCGGAGCGGGCGGCTGCCTGCGGGTAGATCAAGGAGGAATATATTTGATAAGCAAAACTTAAAGAGATCCACTTCGCAAAAAAGTCTTGTTATCTGGAAATATCTTTCATCGATCAATAAAAGCTTATGGAAACTTGAGGAACAGGTTCAGAAGATAATCAACAAAAAGGTTGGAGCACTGGGGTCTGAATGCATGCAGTGTAGAAGGAGGTTGGCCAGACTAAATCTCAACCCCCAATTCGAAAGGGTGGACAGGAGGAGTTGCGATGAGTTGGGAACATCAGACAAGTTACGAAGGGAGTGATCGAGGATGGACCCCACAATTTGCAGAAGATTATTCTATGTTCAACACAACTCCTGGACGTCTTGTCAATGGGCAACGGCCGTTTGTTGATACTTCAACAGTACAAGCATTGTCATGCTTCAACCAAAATGCACAATTCCATGTTGAAGACATGGTGACTGATTTGGGAATGCATATGTACCAATTGTCACCAGATCCTGCTCTTGCAATATCTCCTGCCACATCTCCCAACAAACAAGTTTCTTCTACTACTGCCCCTCAATCTGTCTCCAGAGCAAGATTTAGTGATGTTTTCAAGACACCCCTAAAGCCAAACAAAAGATTGGATGCTCCTTTCTGTGCTCAAAATGCTACAACTCCACAATCTGCTGGAAAAGGTACCAGGAAATTAGACCCAAAAATATTCACCATACCGCATAATGCTCAAGCCCAAAGCAATGGCTTTGAAGCTCCTAACACAAATAATCACCATCTTCAACTGATGGCACAATCCTCAATATCTATGGATCCATTTGTTTACCCTATGTCTGCGCCAGCATCTACTCCTTTCTATGCCAGTAATAAAGCAATGTGGGATGCTAGTATGGATGGCATGGATTTGGATTTCTGGACTGATTCAGCGGGTATCTTTCACAAAGGCCATAGACCTAGCAATGCTAGTGATTGGGAACGAGGCAGTCAGATGTTTCAAGAGTCTATGAATTCACCTCCTCAAAAATCAACCGAACCCAAAGCTGAACCTGAACCCCGCAAACGACACAGACCAAGAGCCTCAAAATCATCCTTCCCAACAACCTCAGCATTACCTACATCACCTCCATTTTTGGCCTTCAGCAGTGCAACAGTAACTCCAAACTCAATAGCGATGGAGGGTTTCCCCAGTGCTGTGAATCCTGATTTGATTTGCACTCGACCCAATACAGGCAATATGTTTCAAGGAGAATATGAAGATATAATTAAACCCGCGCCAAGAGTAGCTACAGCTACAAGCCCAATCCGAAATTTAGAGGTCCAGCCGTATCAACACCAGATTCGAGAATATACTCGCGAACAAGAGGAACTTCGTCGATCTCCAAGTTTTAGAGAGAGTAGTCTTGGGTATCGAGCTGCCAGCTCACCTGTCAAGGGTTCCGCACGACCTGGTCTTAAACGGAGTATCAGTGAGAGCAGGGATGAACTGAATCAAGGTATGCTCAAGAAATTTTCTGATTCTCTGAAACTAAGCTGACCTTTCAACAAGAACTCCGGCGCTTCAATTCTGAACGTTTGTCACCTACAAAGCAACAGCGTCAACCAAGTCTTACTTCTATCCCTGAATCTCCAGTCACATTACCAAAACTTCGACGAGATGTAAAACTCGCTGTCGGCAGCAACGGTCGAGCTACTGTAGTCATTGATGAACCAGCCAAAAAATTACGACGATCGTCATCTCAAGTTATCGATTATGAGTCGGGATATGATACCTCCGATGACGAACCAATCATTATTACAAGTCGAAATAATTCCTTCAAACTACCACAACAAAAGCCACTAAAATTTGGTTTATTCGACACTTCTTCTACTGACTTTCAAAGGCCTAGCACGAGTACAAGTGGCTATAGCCGGTCTACAGGTCAGCACACAAGTATCGATGAGATGAGTGAGGCAGAGACAGTGTTCGATAAGGTCAAGACCGGAGATGCAGCTTCTGCCTTACGGAAAGTTGTTAGAGAGCGCCGGAGCAATCAACAAATGCCAAAGAACGGGAGATATCAGAGCATGGTAACCCCTAGAGCAGGTCGCTATGCAGAGTACACCTCTTCATCTAACAACTCCCCCGATGGGACGACGCCATCCAGCTCGAGAAGTGGCGATATTCGGTGTGTTTGCAGGACTACCGTTGATGATAGCCCCTTATCAATTCAGTGGTAAGTCTACTGTTACTGCTATAACCCCTATATTGGCTCATTAATCTTTAGTGACTCTTGCGAGTATTGGCTGCATGGAGAATGCGTCGATTTACCACCATACCCGATGCCTCTTCCAGAAATTTACATCTGTCCCTTTTGTGCTCAAATGCCAAAAATGCGCAATGACTGTATGAGAGAGTCTGGAAGAGACAAGAGAAATCTGCCGTCTTCTCCTCTTGCTCATAAATCTTTCAGATCATTTCGTCGATGAGAGATTGTTTTGACATTCTACCTTAAATATTTTCTTCCATTCATGTTCTCTTCGACCTGAGAAACGATCAACGAGAATGGAGGATATTCTTCAAAAAAATAAAAAAAATACCTACGGCCAACATTTCTTTCATTAATTTTTTTCATCACTGATACCCCCCTTATTACAGAGCATATGCAATACAAAAAAAGTCTCTATGCATGATTCCCAAGATATAATACAAGAACAGGATTCACGACCGAGAAGAAAGGAGAAAGGTAAAAGGGAAAAAGGGAAAAAGGCAAAGGGGGAAACGGAAAGCAGAAGAATTGGGGATTGAGGATTCCAGTCTGGAATGGATGAGTCCTCAATATGATCAAGGAACGATTCGTAGGATAATTAGCAATACGAGTAGCATAATAGCACCAATAGCACCAAATATACACATATATCTTTTAAACTATCTCGATTACTAAATTAGATTATTTAGATACTTTCAAACCAAACCATATTTACCTATACCTACCTACCTACTACATACTTACCTACTATATACCTACCTACCTATTCATTCGCTATACTCAAAATATAAAAGATCCCGATTTCGGGATAGAGCTTCATTCCGAAATCGGACATGGTGGGGGCAGGACATTAGGAGATTCAATAAAGTTCCCAATCCCCCAAATCTTTCTTCGTTCCCTGAAACAACAATTCAAATTCATTTCTCTTTCTTGAATACCTCATTGATTGTAGTTGAATTTGTCAAATTATCATTTAAGAAAATCACATCACACCACATCACATCACTGCAAATATGGCAACTCATAATATTGTGGTTTTTGGTGGTGATCACTGTGGTCCTGAGGTATGTTTCTGTTGAGTTCAATTTAGCTGTGGTAGCTTTGGTAGCTGTGAGCTGCTGTGGTAGCTGTTTGTGGAGAAGATGACGGGCTTGGCATTGGAGTTGGGATTGGGGGGCTTGGTTTCGTTGTATGATGAATTGAACGGGAAATGGATATGGATATGAATAACAAGAGAAAGAAAATCTGCTAATTAAATATGTCATGATAGGTAGTAGCAGAAGCAGTTAAAGTCTTGAAAACTATTGAGTCTGAGAGACCATCGGTTGGAAAGTTCAATTTCCAAGAACATCTCTTGGGTGGTGTACGTCTATTCTATCTACTCGCTCGCATTTACCAGTTCTCGGCTTCCCTGAATCCCAACCTTAACCCTAATCCCATACATACTAACATCTATCTTCTTCTACACAGTGCTCCATCGATGCCCATGGCGAACCCCTCACCACCGCCGCACTCGAAGCCGCTCAAAATGCTGATGCCGTCCTCCTCGGCGCAATCGGTGGTCCCAAATGGGGCACGGGAAAGATCCGTCCCGAACAAGGCATCCTCGCTCTCCGCAAACAAATGGGCACATATGGAAACCTACGTCCCTGCAATTTCGCCTCACCAACACTAACAGCCATCTCACCCTTAAAAGAAAAAGTATGCGAGGGCGTCGATTTCTGCATTGTGCGCGAATTAACCGGGGGTATTTATTTTGGCGAGCGCAAGGAAGATGACGGTGATGGAAAAGCTTGGGACATGGAACCCTATTCGCGCGAGGAAATCGAGCGCGTCACCCGATTAGCGGCTCATTTGGCGCTGGCGCAGGATCCGCCAGCACCGGTGTGGAGTTTGGATAAGGCGAATGTGTTGGCGACGTCGAGGTTGTGGCGCAAAACGGTGACGGAGGTTATGGCGAGGGAGTTTCCGCAGTTGAAGATTGGGCATCATTTGATTGATAGTGCGGCGATGATGATGGTTAAGGACCCGAGGAAACTTAATGGGATTGTGGTGACGAGTAATCTGTTTGGGGATATTATTAGTGATGAGGCCAGTGTGATTCCGGGTAGTATTGGTCTTTTGCCAAGTGCTAGTTTGAGTGGGGTGCCGGATGGAAAGACTAGGTGTAATGGGATTTACGAGCCGATTCATGGTATGTTTATTTTCTTTATCACTTTTCTTCATATATTACCTCTTTCTTTCTTTCCCATCATTTTTATTCCATCCATCCATATCTAACAAACCTCCCCCCTCTAGGTTCCGCCCCAGACATCAGCGGTCAAGGCATCGTGAACCCCATCGGCACCATCCTCTCCATCGCCATGATGCTCAAATACTCGCTCAATCTCCCCATCGAAGCCAAAGCCGTCGAAGAAGCCGTCCGTCTAACCATCGAGAGGGGAGTCCGCACTGCCGATATCGGTGGTTCGAATAAAACCGTCGAGGTGGGTGATGCTGTTGTGGAGGATTTAAAGAAAGTTTTGAAGAACCTTTGAGGGATCTTATATCTATTAAGAAATACAAAAGTTTGTGGGAGATGTAGCTGGGCTGCTAGAAATTGCACGGTCTGTTGTCATATCAATACATATTATACAGTTGGTGAGGTCAGGTCATAGTCACTGTAATAGCTATATCATGATTCATGATTCATGATGAAAATGAGATGATTTGAGGGAGGAAAGGATATTTCTCGTAAAGGGAAGGGAAGGAAATTGCTTACTATGGAGTTGAAAAGTAATCTTACTGTACCTTGGCTAGCAGGTTTAAAGAATGAATAAAGATATCAATTGCATACTTACTTATTACTGTATTAATTTGATTTTACATGCAATACTCGAGTTGTAGCTATGTATATTTACTTGAATAGTTACATGGCATCAGATTATAAAGACAAAAACACCTTTCAATCCCCAGTGAGCTTTAACATTTGTCATTTGCATCAACACCTACTTGACCCTTCCTTCCTTCCTTACTCAAAGCCTCACTCCACCCTCACTCACCTCAAACCTCACTCAAAACCCTACCCAAATCATTCATCAAAACATCTTAACTTGACAACTTCACAACTTCACAACTTCACAACTTCACAACTTCACAACTTCACACCTTCACACCTTCACAACTCAGCCCCTCCCTCACCTCCCCTCCCCGCTTCAACAAGTCAACAAAACAAAACAAAACAAATCTTACTCGTACATCAGTAATATATATAATATCATACAATACGAGTAAGTAATACGAGTAAGCAATAGGTTAATTCATTCGTTCATTCCATTGAATCTCCCAATAATAGGTAGGTAGATAGGCAGGGTAACACTATCCCTATCCACATCCATATCCACTATCCACTATCCACAATCCACAATCCATATCCATATCAATTTCTTTTCTTTTCTTTCCATCCCCATCCCCATCCCATGAACTCGTACTCGAGTATAATACACTCCCTTTTTACTCAAGTACTTCATACTTAGTACTTACTCATCACCGAATGAACCCCGCGATTCTTTCTTTAGTTCTCTCTCGCTCTTCTCGCCAACCTCGCTGTTTACCTCAATCTCGACCTCCATCTCATCCTCTTGCAATTTTTCTTTTTCCTTCAACTTTTCCTTGCCTTTTCCTTTTATATTCCTCTTTACCTGCTTTTCTCTCTCCAACTTCTCCCTCTCCCTCTCCACCTTCTCCTTCTCCTTCCCCATCCCCCTCATCTCCTCACCAACCCTACTTCTCCTCAAGCTCCTCCTCCCCCCATCCCTCGACCCCGACCTCTCCAACTTATCCCTCTCCTCCTCACTAACCACCCCCCGACTTCTTCTCGAACTCTTTCTACTAGTCATTTCCACCTTTGCCTTTGCTTCCTCTCCTTTTATTAGGATCTTTCCTTCACCACTATCCACCCAATTCCACTCCGATTGACTCTGCGTCTCGGCTCGTTTTCTTTCTCGCTCTAGCTTTTCTTCTTTGACTGTTTGGGCTACTTGTCCTAGACTATGGATAGGTATTTTGTTAGCGTGACTCTGTGTCTCGATTATCCATCCAATCATCCACTAAATCCCATCCCACCTCGCCCACTCCCCAAAGAAAAACAAACCAACCTAACAGTCCCCACCCTCTGCCTCCTAATCTTCTCTACAATCCCCTCCTTCTCCCTCTCCTTTTCTCTCTCCCTCTCTCTCTCAGCACCCCCACCCGGCAACATAACGCCCGCCACACACCTCTCCAAATACTCGGACCCCTGCCCCAAAAACCCCAATTTCGGGCTCGTAATCCCCATACCGATCCCAATCCCAATCCCATAACTCGCATTCGGCTTCGCAATTTCGGGCCTTGGAAAACTCTCAAACGTCGAATCAAAACTACTCTCCCCCCCATCCCTATCCCGCCTCCTCAATGCATCCACATTCGCCACCTCCAAACTCGTGCTCAACCCACAACATGAACCTTTGCGCGGCGTGATAAATGTACTCAGAGGCGACGTCAACAAACTTATATTTGTATTAGCTCCCTCCGCTGCACCTCTCACATTTAGATTCCTAGATCCAACAATCCCCTGAAACGGATCTTCATCCTCATCTTTAGGATACGGAGTCAAAGGTCTCTCGGAAACATCTCGAGGGGCATGTTCATGAAGTGGTACGGCTTGTATATTAATACTAATATTGCCAGATTTAAAACTCGAGGATTCAATGGTGCTCGAGCGGTTTCCGCGTCGATAAGCAGATGCGGGATGGGGATGTGGACGGGGAAGACTTTCTTCGATGGAGACGGAGCGGGGGCGCGTGCTGGTTATTTTGTGGTGGGATTTGGGGCTGGGGATTGCGAGGGAGGAGATGGTGGATTGGGATGTGGATGGTTTGCGGGTACTGCTTGGTGTGTCAATGTTGTCGGAGACGGAGCTGGCTCGTTTTCGAGAGAGGGGTTTAACTAGGGGTGTGTGTTAGATTTTGTTGGGTGAAACAAGTATATAGATAAATATAAACGTTGAGAGTGAGCAAAATAACAAATCATCATACCTTTAGGTGTCACCTCCTCCGAAAGATCCCCCGGAGAAATACCCGTACCTCCTCCCTCCGTCACGCACGGTGTAGACGGACCATGAACCCCAGCACAATCATCCGAATGACTCGACGAAGCACCATCCGCATACGCATCGGGAAGCGCAGCTCTCGAGACCACGGGCCCCGCCTTCCGCTGACGGAAATCACCACGGGATTCTTCGCGGTCACGATGGACATTAGTGGGGAGTAACGACATCCACTTTGGCAACGGTTTGGTTTTACTAGGAATGAATGCTCGACCGGCGGGATCATAGATCGAGACGTAGATGTTGGAGGGACTGGATGCGCTGGGTGAAGTGGATGAAGTGGATGCTTCGGCAGCGGGGCCCAGATCTGCGGGTTCCGTGTCGCTGTGAGAGTGTGTGGAGTCGTCGGGGTTTCCGTCTTCCGATACACCCATCTTGGCGGCGTCGCTGAGGAGTGCGATTTCTTCCTGTGGGATAGTGTTAAAATTCGTGTTCGGGATTGCATTGTATGCTTACATACCTGAGGTGTAGAAGAATCTCGTATCAATTTACTGATTTTCCTTTCGTTCATCGTGGACAATCTACTAGGTCTCTTCTGCATAGACAGTGGCGATAGATCAGACGATGAAGACGGTGGAGAAGGTACCATTTCCTCTCCATCTAATCCCACAACAATATCCTTCTTCTCCTTCCCATTTAAAACCACCCCCAGACCCCTATCCTCATCCAACTTCTCCAACCGACACCTCGTCAATCCCCCATCAGATTTCGTCACATTCTCCAGTCCCCTCTCCAACACCTTCTTCTCTCCAAATCCCTTAATCTTCGTTTCCGTCTCACACCATTCACACAGTGGAATCTTATCTAACTCCGTTCCCTTCCTTGCATTTCCACCATCACTCCCCTCGTCCCCCTCATCCCCTTCCCCATCTCCATCCCCCTCCCTCTCAAAATCCTTCAAAACCCCCTCCCCCAAGCTCACCCCACAAAGCAAACACCCAAAGCAAGCCCGATGCCAAAAACACCACCCCAAACTAACCACCTCATCACCTCTCACAATACACTCCCCACAAACCCAACAAATACTCAAATCCAGCACCGCCCTCCAACACTGATGGCAAACGATTCTCGACGAACGACCCAGAACCCGCGGTGCGGCAGGCGGATGTTGTGGCGACCAGCAAATCGTACATATGAAAGAGGGGTCTGATGATTTTTGTATTGTACGGATAGCGGTTATAGTGGCGGTTGGTCGGGCGGGAATTTGTGGTTGAAGAATTGAAGTATGAGGGCGAGGAAGTGAAGCGTGAGGAGTGACGATTGCTTTTGAAGTATCTGATACGGTGCTTGCTAGGGAAAGAGGCGGAAGGGATATTGTATGACGTGTGCGAGGACGGAGTTCTATGAAAGCTGAAGTAGGTGGACGAGGGGTTGCTTGACGGCCAGTCATGTTGGTCGATGAGGACTGCGGAAGAATCGAAGGCGAGGTCGGAGTATCTTAATACTATCGGAGTTCTGTTTATATAATTGTTAAAGAAAAGTTGAATGACAGAAATGAGAACGTGTAGTGATAATTCTGATGAATAAAAGAGCATAAAAGAATGTGATAGGTGCCGGTATGGTGTCTCAGTTGGTCCTGATTGACGCGGCCCCTATGTTAGGGATATGTGATAGTCAGTTGAAGAGAATAAGAATGAAAGTCAAGGTGAGATTATCATATCACCCATCATCTTTTGTAAGAGGTAAGCAGGAGAGGAAACTTAAAATATGTAGCTTTTTATTCATTTATCATTAATTAAGAAAGAGCAATCTGAAGTATTGACTTAACTACACAAACATCAATCATGATTTTTTGTAACTCCTTTATCTGGAAAGAACCACCTAAATAAAAGTTCCTGATGTAGTAATCCTGGTAAGTCCAACACATCCCTCAATTTGTGATGCACGAATATGCGATATTTTCATGTTGACGCCAACCATATACTCCAATCCCAATTAGAAACAAATCCTGAACAAACATGAGTTGTATGAATGTACAAGCAAGAATGAATGGACAAGTGCCATTGATAAAATTGTCATATCGATCACTTTCGGCTCTTTGGTCGTGCAAGCATGTTGAGGCGACTCAAAGTTAGACCTCTCTTCTTGGCAGGGCTTAAAGTGGTGTTTGGAGAAGTAGCAATCTTTTCAGCTTGAAGTCTTGGAGCCATCAGCATAGCACCCTCTGGAGCCTTGTGCTTCTTTGGTGATCGTGCTTCCTCCTCGCCATCGGATTCAACTCTTCTACGTTTCTTGTTCGACATTCCATGGGGTACGCTGGGCATAACTGAGAGGTTAGTGGGCTTCTTGCTCGATGCACAAACAGGAGGGTCAGTGTTCTCCTTATTGCCATCAGGAAAACTGCCTGGCATAGTGTTAGGGAAGATACTGCGTCGGACTTGGCGGACAGTAGCTTGACTTGGAGATGCACCAAATCCTCTTGGAGATGCACCAAAGCTGATAGTATGGTCACTGCGGAAAGTAAAGGTACTAGGAACTGAGGCGGGAGGATGGGGAGGATCAGCTTGACGAGGTGGGCCTGGAAGAGGTCTAACGCCAGCAAGAGAAGGATACTCCACAGCGCGAGTTCCAGACATCTCGATATCTTTTGCTTGTCGCTCAGTAGATACTTGTTGCTTGAGTACAGGTCTGCGGGGGGCGATTGAAGAAGTAACCTTGATATTGGGCTTCGAAGTGGAACGAGGAATGCCACACTTGACAGGCGATGGAGATTGTGCAACAGTGGCTTCGTCGTGCTTTCTTGTCTCAGGCGTAAAACCAACTTGTTTCATACTCTTAGAGCGGCCGATACCAATGGGAGTTGTAGGGACAGATGGAAAATCCTTCGCAAGATCTGGCTTGCTCGCACTTCTAGGAATCGAAGGGATAGCCGACGCCGTTTCTGTCTTCTTTGTATTGAAGCTCGAGGCTGGATGCCTGAGAATAGACTTGACCAGGTCAAATTTGCTTGGAGTTCGGAGCATGGATTTATTTGGTGCAGTCATTGATCCAGTAACATTGTTCATCGTAGCAGCTTTTGTCATACCACGGGGTGTGCTCTGTAGATTTAACTTTGATGGTGATTTGGACAAGTTAGGTATCTGAGTTGCAGGATGCTTAATGCTGTGAGCACGAGCCATTGAAGCTTGTGTGGGTGTTGTCAAGGATGCGGGAGCGCCAGAAATCTTGTGACGTGGAGTAGAAGGCATTTGGATAGTTTCAGTCTTGCCACGAGATACTGGTCGTAGAGAGGAAGTATCATCTGTCATGCGTTGACGAGCACGCTTTGCAGGTGCAGTATTTTCAAGTCGCCCACTCTCGGTATCACCGGTATCTTGGGAAGACTCTTCACTATGAGTGGCATCTCTATCACCCAGCTTGGCCTTCGATTGTGTGCGCTTGAGGGCGGTAGTAGTAGGGGTGATTCGGGCCGGTTGAGCACGGAAGGAGGATGGATGATTAGCGATACTATCCATCTTTTTGAACCTATATGAAATTAGAAATTATGGCCGAGAGAGTAGATTGATGCTTCACAAAACAACAATATATGCAACTTACTCCGCCATGTGAATATCACTATATCTGCTAACTTTGCCCTTTGCCTGTGCGATTCTCCGACCGCCCATATGACTACCCTCTGGGTTATTCTGTTGTTCCATTTCTCGTTCCGCAGCAAGCTTAGCTTTGATACGGAGTGCCTCTTCACGCAGTTCATCCATCATACGCTGAGCTTCGGGGCCAAGACCGGGTGCAGGACGAGCGAATTTAAAATCGAAAGTTGGGGAGCTGATGTTAATCTTCGACGGGGTGTGTTGTTGAACACCAGATGGTTGGTCATTGCCTTTTGCATTGATATCAACAAAGCCATGTCGGAGTCCTGAATCGGGTTTTTGAGTAGTAGACTTATGTGTCATGGATGGATGCATTTCCTCTCGAGTTGGAATTGCGCGACCGGAAGTAGCTGGTGTTTGAGGTGGCTGGACTGGAGACGAGACATTCGGAAGGGTAGGATAGGTAAACGCTTCATCATCCTCAGCAAGAGATGTAAGTTGAGTATTCCTATTATGAAGTGTCTAAAACCAGTCAGTCAGTAGTAAGTACATTAATTACAATTCATCAATATGATATCACAAGTGCGCTATACATACTCTGGCTGGGGTACGTAGTCGAGATGATCGACGACGCGGAGGAGACGCCATAGCTTATCGCGCACCAAGATGAGGTGAATTATCAATTGAGGATATAACAAAAAATGGTGATTGCAAAGAATTGTAATGAAATGCTATGAGAAAGAGATTGAATTGTAGTTGAAATCCAAGGTCCAAGGTTGGGATTATGAAATCATTGGTAAAAAGTTCTGGGGGTTTGTTGACATTCAATTAAGACAAGCGTAAAAAGTAAACAAGGATTAAACGGCGCTAAATACCACTATCACGTGATTTGGCGTAGCTTTATATATGCATTATGGAGAAACTTACTTTTTTTTTAGGACTAGATGAGTCCTAGACTACCCGGTACCGGTAAAGTATAATGTAACAGAGTAATTCATGTTTGCTCAGTAAATTTGGACTTTGAATATCAAGTCTTGCAAGCAAAGAATACATTCATTGTATTAACAATTAACACGCAATATACCTAAGGTTACGGTATATTCATCATGAACGGGTCCCTATATATATATACAGATCTAATCCGTAGCTTTTACATTGAATCCTCCTTTATTCTTCTCCTCCTAGAGCTAGAGCGAAGCGAAAAAGCCCCCACGGCAGTGGCCAAGCGGAGCGTCATCATTTAATAAACCTTCCTCGTTTTATATATCCGTAATTGCTCTGACCGATATCAAAATGCTGTATAAATGTCTAACATTGTTTCAATTGAACATTTGTTTTCTAGGTAGGTGGTGGTGTTTTTCTTTTCACAATCAAACTTTATCTAGCTTTCAAGCTTGGACCACAATCGGCTTTTTGTTGATATAATGTCGACGCGAGACAAGGATCAGCATATCTGAACGGGATCTTCATATCCGGATGATACGATAACTAGGAATATAACTACTACTCGTACTGAACCCTTTTTCTCCCAAACACATATCGTGGACATCTCGCAATCAAGAACTTCATATATCAGCAATTATTGATCAACAGATTGACAATTTCTGCAACATGGTTTCTAAGAAGACTACGGTCTCTAAAGCAGCTGAACCTCATGGATATGAATTTGGTGGACCGTAAGTAATGCAGCTCCTTACAGACTTGATGATATGTATTGATTATCTCGCAGAATAGGTGCTTTCGGTATATCTTTCGGACTCCCTCTTCTCTGCTACGCGACGACCTTTCTCTGCAATGACATTTCCGGATGTCCAGTTCCCTCCTCGCTCTCCCCTTCGACCCTCACAATCAGTAATCTCAAACAAGAGGTTGGATGGCCAACAAATGGACTTGCAGGCTTGTCAAGCTGGAACGTATTTCTCAAAGTATTGGGATACTATCTTTTGAGCTTGGTTCTACATAGAGTCCTGCCAGGTGAAGAAAAGCTGGGTGCTGAGCTTGCAAGTGGTGGAAAGCTCAAGTATAAATTCAATAGTACGCGTTTCTGTTGTATGCCCACGACGCTTGCTAATGGAAAATATAGCTTGGTCTTCTACCATGTTTACTCTCGCACTCTGCGCCGCCGGAACTATTGCCCAAGGAGCAGAATTTCCAGTCTGGACTTTCATCTACGACAATTACCTACAAATACTTACAGCCAACATTATCATCTCCTATGCTCTTGCAACTTTTGTATACGTTCGCAGTTTCAGCGTTAAACATGGTAATCCCGAACTCCGCGAGTTGGCTGCAGGTGGTCATTCTGGAAACATATTATACGATTGGTTCATTGGACGAGAACTCAACCCAAGAGTAACCCTCCCCTTACTTGGTGAAATCGATATCAAGGAATTCTGTGAGCTACGACCAGGTCTTATGGGATGGCTTCTTATGGATTACGCATTTGTTGCCCACCAATACAAGACTTACGGATATGTTACTGATAGTATCTTGTTGATCACCGCTTTTCAAACACTATACGTTCTCGATTCATACTGGATGGAAAATGCTATTCTCACGACCATGGATATCACCACCGATGGATTCGGACTCATGTTATCATTCGGAGATTTAGTATGGGTTCCATTCATCTATTCCCTCCAAGTCCGCTACCTATCCGTGTACCCCCTTTCCCTTGGTATCTTTGGCACAAGTGGTGTTCTCGCAGTCCTGGGCACAGGATATTACATCTTCCGTGGTGCCAACAACGAAAAGAATCGCTTCAGGACCGATCCGACCGATCCTCGCGTCGCACATCTCAAATACCTTGAGACGAAATCCGGCTCTAAACTTCTCATTTCTGGCTGGTGGGGCGTAGCTCGTCATATCAACTATGCTGGTGATTGGATCATGGCATGGTCTTATTGTCTTCCTACCGGTATCGCTGGTTATCTCATCAATCACAGCTCCGTAGCTCCAGCACCAGGCCAATCTCTCGCCAATGGGTCGTTTGTGTATAATGGACCAGCAGCACATACAGAAGTCACGAAAGGTGCAGCTCGCGGTTGGGGAATGATCATCACGTATTTTTATATAGTTTACTTCGGAGTGTTGTTGGTGCATAGAGAGATGAGGGATGAAGAGAAGTGTGAGAGGAAGTATGGGGAGGATTGGAAGAGGTATAAGGAGATCGTTAGGTATAGAATTATTCCGGGGATTTATTGAAGAGCGAAATAGTTGGATACGGGTTGAGAGGATTCCAAGGGGGGCCGGTGATTAGGTGTCTGGGGAAAAGGTTGTAGGGTAGAGGAGAGAGTGTCTGCACGAGTGTATTAACTATTTAATGTAATATTAAGTAAAAATTTAGGAAATTTTCATCATTTGCTACAAAACTCTAAAGGGTAAGCGCCCACACATGTTCTATATCTCCTTAGTCCTATCGTCTATATAGCAGATCCCTACTTTCCGCCCCCCCCTCCTACAAACAAATGCCGGTCATGAAAAGGATCTCCCAATCATAGAAAGGCTCGCAAGAACTCAAGAACTTACAGTAATGTAATTGCTCCAGCCGTTTCTTTTCCTCTCATAGATGTCTAGTTAGGTCAGGTTAAATTATTATTAATACAACACCCCAGAAAGATCCCAGTGGCATCTATCTACTGAACGACCTGGACCTACTGCCGCCTGCACAATAAGAAGGCGCCACTAGAAGTCGCAAGTCGCAACTCGCAAGTTGGAGATTGGATGTTTGCTACTTTGTGTTCTGTGTTTAGCCTTGTGCTGATTTATTGGTTTATTGGTTTATTGGTTTCCGTGTATTTGCTTGCTTTTTTATTTCTTCTACGAGTACTCGAGTTAGGAGAAAGTAGTGATAGTCTGATAGTGATAGAGAAATTCTGATGGAGAAAATCTGATAGAGAAAGTCTGATAATCTAATAATGTAACAGAGAAAAATACAAAACCTACTAGGTAATGTCATATAAATCTACAATTCACACTTCACACTTCTACTTAATTCACACAAACTATCAGTATTAGTAAATACTAGCACATGCGAACTGGCTCACTCACTATAATACCAGTAAATACTTGTAAAATAAGTGTCTCTTAATTCAATTCGTGCATAAATTCATCCATCAATTGGTAATTGGTATAGTATTATGAATATGAATGCGGAAGGAAGGAGTTATTGGAATTATACTCGAGTATTATCGGTTAATTAATGACTATTATATGTCACGGTCACGGTATCACCTACTACATCAAAACCTCCTCAAAGAACCTCCTCAAGACTGAGAATCTGGTATACAGATAATTATAAGGGAGTTTGATATGTATACATGCATGTATGTATGTATATGTATTCTTCGGAAGTGGTATGGTAGCTCGATGTTCTTTAAATTTATTTCGGTACTGTGTGGGATGGAATCCGCATACTATATCACCATATCATCTACTATAAGGATAGTAGGTTAGCTAGTAATCCTTGGATAGTTGGGTAGTTGAGTAGTTACACGCTTGAATTTTCGTCCTGTTCCCAGTTACTGGTGTATATCGTTATACTTCAATTATAGAGCTAGCTATGTAATGTAGTAATCTAGTAGAGGACTGGAAGAACGTGACATGTATTGGCTCATCGCTCCGGATTATATCGATACTGGTGTCTTGATGAATAAAGTCTTTGAGGGAGATTATAAGGACTGCATTAGTATTACGGACCGTACAATCATGATATTTCCCATTGTGAAGTAAGGTTAGGAAAGCTAGGTAAGTTAATGTGATGCGGATACTGTTACTATATACTGTGAATATATCAGCATGACTAGTTACGAATTACTAAGTAACCTGATTCGAATATTCATTGATGTATCTATAGTAGTAAATATTATATTTAGAGTGGTCACGCTGTACTCATATTATCTTTATACAATACTGTAGTAGGGAGAATATTTTAAGGCCAAGAGAAAATTCTACTCAGGACCTAGGTAAATAGAAACATCAAAATTGGTGAATATGGAAAAAATCACTAGTGAGTAGATGAATCATTTTAAAGTAGTGTCATGATTATCGAGCCCTATAAATAAGTACCGTAACACACAGTCACGCATTAGCTAATCCTGGTAATACGCCACAGCGTGCCGGTACTTCTGCTATAGATTGCTGTGTGTTGAAAGTAGGGGGTTGGGATTGAGAATTTGAGAGGAGAGGAGATGGAGAGGACTGAGGATGGGATGGTATGGGTATACAACGGTGTTGAGAAGGATAAGGTGACAGCGATGAGGTTCGTTGGGTATGAGAATGATTAGGTGATATAATAATGATGAGATGAGATAATGAGAATACGACGACAGAAAAAGTACTTTTATTGTTGTAACAACCAAACCAAACCATTAATCATATCACTTATTGCATTGTATTGATCCCATCTCCTCTTCTCAGCCCAATCCACAAGCCCCAAGCCAATGCTAAAACCAAGCATCTTGCAGCCTTTATTTCTTCGTACGTTGCTAGAGACTGGCGACTGGCGACTGGTGGCTAGCGACCGGCAGCTCTTATATAGAAGGGAAAGTAAAGTCTCGCACGTCTCATACAGTGAGTAACTCAATATTAACATTAACATCAACTAGATAATGAATCTACCGTATGAGAATATACACCCAATACCACGACTAGTGATGTTTAAAGAGCTCGCACTTCACTGATATTTTGTTCTTTTTGTATACTGAGCATAGAATTGGCGAGCGAAAATTCCAGGCGAACGTGGGTTTGCAGTATGAGGAGAGGAGCTGTAAAGTTCATCCTCTCCCTAACGGTTTGGAAGAAAACCGATTGATACTAGTATACGAATATTTTGCAGGTGCTTTCACTATATTCACTGCTGTCGCTAAAAGTGTACTTACTGTTATCTTCTCAAGTCTTGACGACAACAACAAAGAGCAGGAATATCGACAACTCCACCTCTGGAAAGAATAAATCTAAAGTAATGGGATTCTTACCTACTCCTACAAAAGAATCTCCAATTGAAACTGGCCGCTTGGCAAAAACAACACGTATTTCTGCCACTCCATCGATCTGAAGAATGGTGAGTTTTGAAACTTGTTTTGAACTCTGAAAATATCTGCGGGTCGTGGCAGATATATACCCCAAGTAACTTTGGTGGAAGACGCTATTGGTAATATTCAGATGTGGAGCTAGCGATAGCTACTACATCAAACTCTTTGTGAATGAGGAAAATAGATTCGGAAATGAATGGTTGGAAATATATCTCTGCTTGGCTTTTATTTAAGACCGGAAGAGTGCTGCACTTCTTCTGTGAGGTTTCGGTCAAGAGTCGCTACATCGCATTCGATATATCTGTTGTGGATTCTGTCTCTGAGGCTTCAAATATCTCTATTTCTCTATCCTCAGACAAGGAGATCTCAGAGAAGTTGATCAAGCACATTTGGTGAATGATGTAAATCTCACTGAGGTATCTTGAACCATCCGAAACCCAGGTTGCTGTGGTAAAACCATTCAATGTCTGCTTGAAAGCCAATTAATTGCTACTGCCATTGTTGTTGCAATGTATCGATTACTGTCATTAAGATGGATCTTGAACAAGAAACTTGGGATATGAGAAGGTAGACAAAATGATAGCAGCGGCATACTGTCAGACGAGGAATGTCACTCCCTAAGTTGAAGACTGAAGTTTATCTAGACCCATAATTCACTTTGGTGTCTAGAAATTTTGTTGCGCATTTCAAGATCTAGAATGACACAAGACCATGGTTGATAAGTGCAACATTGAAAATATCGGAGCCATATGTTTTTGATGATGAGATATATTGTGAGGGTGAACAGGAGAAGAACTCAAGGTTGTGGAGTCTGTTTAAATAGTAATCTTTTCATTGACTGCATTATCATGATTTGTGCTTTCGCTCTAGCTCTAGCTCCAAAACAAGATGAGATGAGATAGTTCAACTAGAAGTGGTGTTTGATTTCATAGTACAGGTGATTGAACAACATCTCATGGAAATGAAAGGAGAGCAAAATGTATGCAAACAACTTCAAGATTGTAAGTCCAGCGTTCAACCTCAGCTTCTAGTTTCTTGGAGATATCTTTTCAAGTAGACATAAAGTGTTAGCTTTGAAGAGGAAGGGAGCAGGGAATTGACCACAGGATGAGACTTAAACATAAGTCATCAAAATTCGCACTTTTAAGAGTCACTGTCAGTGATTAAATACTAAATCGATTTCTACACTCGATGTGGCCTTGAAACATTCCTCCCATATGTTTGATTTATATCATATACAATCATGCACTCGCATATCTATAATTTTGCCTTAATACCCGGAGCAAATGTCGTTCCACCAGTCTCTCCACCAATGGCTTCTACAATCTTATCTATTGTATTAAGGATCCAGGCGTTTCCTTCCTCGCCTGCCAACCATTCTCCTCCCTTCACAGGTTCTTCGCCGACAGCTTTATATGTACCATCCTCGAACGCTTTTCGTAAACCAAATATATGACTTGTGACCTGTGGGCCCACCCCGGTTTGTGCTCTCAAGCATGTTATACCGATCAGACTTGTGAGGACTCTGCCAATTTTCACCGGTCGTGAAGAGATAGGAGGATCGGTGAAGAGGCTTGAGTAAGAATTTAGGATAACCACTGGGAGATCTGGATGAGATTCAGCAAGCTTATTGAGTAGTTTCGTCTCAAAGGGTCGGTAAATGGAATTCCATAGTCCGTGGCCTCTAATTTTGGCATCATCAACATTGGTAGCTGTCAATTCACTAAGAGATGAAGGCACATTAGCAGTCATTCAATTGGCAAATAGGGGGGGAGGGGGGAAGGGATTAATCTACCGAGATGGACTTTTATTCAACGACTTCATGACTTCATCCGGGAGGTTTGCACGGAATTGACCTAGAACATTAATTGTTCTGGGAATCTGAAGCGCAATTTTAGATACGGTTGCGTCCTCAAAGATATCATGACATTATACCCCATTGAAGCCTATACATTTCAAGCCTACCTCCCTCATCTGCTCCACGGTTCTTACTGTCTGCGCATGATCTTGGTCTTTAGTCACAAGTCGGTAGAGTTCTAGCATTGAGTCGGGAGAATTCATGGTCATCGTCGCAGCGGTCTGCCATTCGAACATATCAGTTTCCCGAGTTCGGTCACATTGATGGGAATCGATGTACCGAGATCGTCAGCCATGATGGCAGTCCAACATTGTTCGTGGAAGCTTCCTCCTCAATCTTTTGGAACACTGAGCGAATATTTCGTGGTGCAGGCGCATAACTCGGACGGGCATAAGGTGCACTTATGAGAGCTTTCAGGGAGGGAGAGAGTTTTGACATAGTGACAGTGGTAAAAGTTGTCTGAGGATGAAAACGAATGGCTTCATGATGTTGATATACGGAATCGTGGGGGATCAATCGACAGGGAAGTGAAGTTCGGAGATAAAAGTATTGCCGATCGTTAGCGGGTAATTTCCCCGGGCGGGGATAATTTCAACTCCGCCGCAGCAATGACTAGATTTTTTGTATCAAGATCATATGATATACCGGTATACCATCTTCTCATAACCGGCGGAGACGAATACCGATTATCTCGGTCCTTGATGACTGTTTATAGCTGCTGTTCGGTCTTGATAGATCATCTGAAATGGACGATCGGCCTGCGCAAGTATCAGGGATACCTACCCTGGAGCATAATAGAAGCGTCAATCCCAAGAAGCCTTCAAAGAACCTTCTCAAGCAAGCCGCATGCTTCAGTTGTCGACGCAGTAAGACTCGTTGTGTCCGTGATCCTACCGATATCAATTGTCAAAGATGTCGTCAGAACAATGCGGAATGTCTAGTGCCAGATTATCATGTTGGAAGACGGAAAGGTATCAAGAAGTGAGCCTCAATCATGCATTTCTAATTTGTTGATCATTGTCTCACCTCAATTAGCAAATGGACTGGGTTGGATAAAGCCGTTCATCAACTCGAAAAGGCTATTAAAAGTTCTAAGAATAATAGTGTACCAGAAGAAGAAGGACAGCGTCTACAGCTTCTTCTCTCTGAAGCCGAAAATCTGGTGTCTGGAGTCGGAAATATCAACTCTTGCACCCAATCCATTATTGAGCAGCACAGACTGTCTAGCTCTCAGAATAATCTGGACAACGTGCCACCTGGCACCAGTGACCCATCCTTATTTGGTGTGCATGATTCATATGCTGACCAAATCGAGACGGACGATGTTGCATTGGATGATGCCGAGAATCCATTGCAACTCCTTACTCGAGCCTCGGACCTTGCAGATGCCGCTCCTCCTCAAGTGCAGCTGCAAAATCATTCCAATCCTCACAAGCAACGATATATCCCTTCTCCACTCGTGGAAATCGGAGAGCTTCGTCGGTTCTTTGGACCTTTTCAACCACGCCTTGACATTGGAAGTGATATTGACCCTGTCAACATTGGCTTGGTCACTCATGAGGAAGTGACTATACTCATAGAATAGTGAGTCGCGCCCAGATCGTCGTCCCCATGGTTTCCAATAGTCTGAATTACAGTCTGACAATAAGGGCTTCTTGATTTCGCACCTATTTGGAACATTCTGTCCATTTAGAATACGCAATCGTTGTGAAGTACTCATTCGATTCGAAGTTTTGTTTGAAGTGTTGGATTCATTTGAAATGTTAAATTATATTCAAAAACATCAAAACTTTCAGCCTTTCAGATATAGTCTGCCAGTTCGGACTATTGGACACCCTGATCAGCCCGATGGATATCTCATCGAGACTGATAATTCTAATAGTTTCTATGCAAATCTGTCGCATACAAGATGGGGCCTCGATCCCTCCATTCACACGTCAGACTTTGTGCGCTCAAGATCTGCGTTCCTTTTGACTTCTATGCTAGCTGCATCTGCAATTTTCCTTCCTTCAGGGGCAGCTTTATCAAAGCGCCTCTCGGATCACAGAAAACATCTTGCTCAATACGTTATATCCAAGAGGTATAGATCGCCGGAAATTGTTCTCGGATTCATGGTGAATATTCCATGGATGTCACCAGAGGAACACTGGGCTGATGACGAAACTTGTTCTTATATGGCAATGGCGCACTCTATCGCCCTTGATGTATATTTGAATAAGATAATCCTACCGAATACAAACAGTCTAAAAACCGCCCTTCCAAAGTCAGACTGCATTAGTTCAAGGAAAGCTCTCGACATGGATGGTTTTGTGGATGTTGATCCCATGGCGCACTGGGGCCGAAAATTGCTTTGCCGGCGTGAAAGAATATGGCTTGCTCTATTCAATCTGGACAGAGGGTGAGCCCACTTTTTCTGTGTACTATTTGAAGATGCTGATACTATTTGGCACAGCGTATGCTTGGCACGAGGAAGAGCTTTCACTGTCCAAATATCTCCTTTTGTCAAGACTTGCAATGTATGGCATGATTCTGATATCGCTGACACTTGGGATGGCTCGATTGTTGCTTCGTCTGTTTTACGGCGAGACATAGTATGTAACCTTTGGAAACATTCCGAGACAGACTGATAATGTTGATAGGTCAAAATCATTACTTGTATAAAAGATACGTGTGACAATACCTTGTCTACAAAATTAGAAGGCTATGATATTGCTCAGTCCCTCCGAAACACAATTGATGACTTTTTCGATCGCTGGTATTCGACATGGACCACAGAAATAGGTCGAGATAACGAGCCTCGCCTTCCACCTTATGTCGAAATCCTAGTATCTCACACTCGTCTTGCTATATACAGTAATGTTCACAATTACCCAACCCAATTTTCGGCCGTCTCTCGTTTCTTTCATTCCGCTGGCCTCTCGTCTGCCTTGAATGTTATGAGAGCTGCGGTCCAGGGAGAACCGCTTCTTAAATCTATGCCGAACAACACCGCAATTATGGTATCATTTTCAGCATGTTTTGCGCTCTGCTTGTCAGCAATGACTGCGAACAATAATTCGAAGTTGAGAGAAAGCATCAAGGTTTTGATAAAGGAGACAGCAGATGTTCTGGGGAGGATTGGAAATATCACTCCCCATAGAGCAGGGAGTTCAGCATTATATGGGAGGCACTTGCAAGAAATCATTCGAAATTCCGCAGCACCGCGAAGGCGTATTTCATCTGGTCTGTCGGACAATACAGTACAGGAAGCGCAGGGCCCCAGACTCGAGCCTGATATCATGGAGCCGCTCCAATTTTCGACTATGTCCGATGACCAAATTGTCGAGTTATTTGACAGTGCCAAAGGAACTCTTGGAATGAGTCCAACCAACTTTCAGCTAGGCGATACAACAGGAATGGAATGGCTGGACTGGTTCGATTTCTACGGAACCGCATAAAATCAATGCTTCTTCACAATGGTTCTTGAACGTCTATTTCCAATCGTTTTGAGATTGTTTACACTTCTCTCCTTTAAGGTACACAAACCGTTGTAATGATGTCTCAACCTGTCTGCTATAAAGCTAAACACGGCACATCTACCACCTGTAGTATTGATCGAGATCCTTTCATTACTCGGATAAGATTCGCGAGCACTATCTTATTTTAACCCCCTGGTCATACACAATACATAATCGAATGCTTTGTGAGAACCTCGAAGCGGGCTACTGGTCATATATGAAAACCGTGCGGTAAATGACAAGTGCAATTCCCGGCCGCAACCCTAACCTTTGGAATCATAGATTTCTCCGATTTTTGAAAGCTCAACGATGAGGCTGCTCAATCTTTCGACGTTATTGATGTTTTCGTGTTTGTGGCCCTTTAAATACCTTGCGATGATCGAAGTTAGTAAAGACACCAAAGATAATATGGCCATGCAGACCACAAGGAAACCGAAACAAACTTACTTGCATATCAATAACGAAGAGTTTGGCGCCATTACAAAGCTGTATATTGAGCTATGGATTGACCGCTCTTCCATTTTACGAGAATAGAATAGTTTGATTTTCTATTGGGGAAATTCACCTGGTATTTATGCTCCTACATTATTGTTGTGCGACATACCGGTATTACTGCCAGTGCCTAGCGTGTCGGCCTTGTCCTGGCATATACAAAATCTCTCATCCAAAACATAAATTCTTTGGCTCAGGCAGGGTCACTAGTAGTTGAGTTAAATCTTGCAATTGGCAATTCTCCGATTTGAAATGAGCCATGTACTGTATCAAGTGACATTCATAGGGCTGAAAACGTAATCATTGGACATTTCCCAATTGAGGCATTGATTGCTAAAATGTCGCTATTGGTAATCTGGCACTGCTTGCCTAACATCCACAGGAAAGCCCCTGACCGCTAGTTGCTTTCTCGAATTCATTCTTGGATGGAGTAGATACCTGAGTGGAAGTAGCGGCATGCTGACTACCAAATATCGGTCCTGCACATAACGGTATTCTCCATCCACTGATCGAAAGTATGCTTCAAAATGATTTGTATCATCGCAAGGCAAGCAACGTTGCAGAATGAATACATAGATCAATAGTCCGTCAAAACGGATGACGGCCAGTCTTGAGTCACGCATTGAAAGACATGATAGAATTTTCGTCAAAGTGGGGACATAATAAGAACAGTAAGCTATGGTTGGACAACTGATTATTTGGTAAACTGCAGTATATGGACCGAGATATGAGACCTCTTGGCTTTCCTACAGGGTCATCCTTTGCTTGGAAATTGACGTTTCAGTAAGATTTACGTTTGTATTTTTTATACGAACCCTCTCATGGTATGGTTTTCCCAAAGTGATGATTTATTCATTTCAATCATCTCTTCGTTAGAAGGGAGCCCCGCATTCAGTCGAGACCTGCGAGCTCAACGTGCCACCTCCTGAACGACATACCTAAGATACCCTCCCCATATCTCCACAACTCACTGGCTTCATAAGCAATCGTCCGAACTTCTTGTATTTCGCTCGGTCGCACCAACACTCCACTATTGTTGGGAATTGTGCCGCCTTCATATGGTGGTTCGTTGCATCGTGCTCCTGTCATAAGCTAGTCCCGTCTTCAATTTGTAAGAAAAAGCTTTCTTGCAGTAGTTGAGAGCGGTATGAACAATAGCTCGCAAATTCGGGTGAGCTGGTATACTCAATGGAAGTGTCTGTTACATTGCCCCTGCTATTAATACCCCCAGTAGACTTTCCATTGAAACATACTCACGCCATGATTGTGGAATGCGACTCGAGTTACAGCTCCTTCATACCCTCATGTTGATTACATCTCACCTTGAGGGTATTTCAAGGGAAGGAGAGAACCCGTTTGATATAGTAGCATGTCTGACATGTCTTCTGACTAACGGTGTAGACCCTACATGGAAAGCGCCCATCTCTCTTCCGGCACTAGCGGGGACCGACACTGGGGATGAATGCACGCACGAGATATTGGCACCGTGGGAATTCTTGTATTCAGTTCCGCAACATTTCATGACCTCCTGGTCGGCCGAAGCAACCTTAAGATGGAATGTCTTTCATGCCCTACTTCAATATGCAGAAGAAGAACGAAGACCAGGGCCTCAGAAGGGGAAAGTACGAATACGAGAACCGGACCTAGACAATCGATTCGACATCCTATTCGATAGCGTGGACGTGGACATGGGCTTTGAACAAAATAGTGCTACAGAATTCAGAGAAGATACGCTTGGGTCAGCCTTCAAGTCAACAGCATATTGCCATTATGGGTAGCAGCACAAACAGAATTACTCACCTATCAACGGCGACAAGAAGACGATAGCTGGATATCGGGTAGTTTCAGCATGCTCTCTTCACTCCATAGCACACCTAATGGGATGATCTCGATCCTTTTGATGGATAATCGTTTAACAAGAAGGGTTTTAGTTGCGGCAAATTCCTCGATGCCGCCGATGAAGCTTGCGTGTGCGTTGATAAGGTATGTATGTATGACTTTGAGAGCAGCAAAAGAGGTACATGTCATGCATCGATATAACAGTTTCCTATGAATGTTAATATGATTGGATGGAGCGATGGTCTTCCCTTAGAAAGAACCACCGGATGTCGCAAATTATCCCTTCATTTCTCTGGGCTGACGACAACTGGTAAGACTGCTTTGGAAATATGAGGAGCTGACTGCAGGGTCCAAGATCCAGTACATACAGCAGTTATTTCTTCTATGCCAATCAGAGCTTTAATTTACTGTACTTATTTACACTCATGGCAATCTATGCCACCGCAAATCTCCTCTTTCAATATGATCACATTTTGATATTGAGTGTATCTGTATTTAGTATTGATACATGCGCTCAATCATGTAACAACCTGGTAACATAGTTGAATTATGGAGCCCTACCAAAGATACGGATCAAGACCATTTGAAGTAAGATTGGTGTTCACCCCAGGTACAAAATTGGATTTATACGGAGTAGAAACCGGCACGTGCATATTATGCGGTATCACGTGATTGTCTCGTAAGCATTTCAACGCATCACCATCACGCGAGACCTGCAGCATCGTTGAAAGCATCTTGGCTGTACGCCGGAGTCTTTGGAGCGTGATCGATTAAGTCTTCCATTTCACACTCTCTGCTAGCTATGCTCGAGTATGAGGTGCGGCGCGTGATGGCAGTAAATAAGCGGTGAAATATCGCCTTACATCCACTTATTTACTCAGTGTGGCCGGATTGCATCGCCTGCATCGAGGCCGTTTCAAGCCTCAAGTTTGAGAAACGCATGAAGGCTCAACGGGCGATCGATACCGGTGAACCTATTAGCCGGTCTATCAACTGGGCCCTAGAATATTCAAACGCCACATACATACGTATCGAGATACGCAGGAGATATTTTCCAAAGGGCATACTGAGATTGCCACTGTAGTTGAATCACGCCATGATATTGGCAGAGCGGCACAGCGTGTCGAGGTTAGCTTGGTGCTGGGAGGTTCTTGGGAGCTGGACCGGCACAGGGATACTGGTCACTGTAATTAACGGCTTCGCATGCCAATGAACGTCTTATTTCCCTCATTCCACCCTCGAGTTTTTGAACTATCCGATCGAAAGCGTTCTCTACTCGTATGACATTCTATCTACAGACCTTCTTAGCAATGTTCTCTCTCAGGTTCGCCTTCACAGTCACTCTTTTGGCTCTGCCATCAGTGGAATGTCTTTCAAACGCCAATCTCTTGGTCTCAAACTGGCAAAACTCTACTGTAACTCATTCGCAAGGTGGGAATGCATTGTGTTTCTCTGGAAAGGTTCCTGTCCCCGTCATAGCTACAACGACAAAGCTTTTACTACCTAAGCTTGCTAGTCAAACGGAAGTAACCCAAATTTTTCAGGAGCTGCTCCAAAGTAATTCAAACATCGTTACTACGGCCTACGGAGGAACCTCCGCCATCAATCAGACATTTCAGATTGACGCCACATATTGTGTACCGACAAGTAATTCTTCCGCGAAGACCATACAGATTTTGACTCACGGCATTGGCTTGGACAAGAGCTATTGGGATATATCACCGGGTTACAGCTATGTCGATGCTGCCGCCGTCGCTGGATATGCCACTCTCGCTTATAATCGTTTGGGCGTTGGAGGCTCCGATCATCCTGATCCACTCCAGATCGTCCAGGCTTCAATAGATGTCGAGATACAACATGGTCTCACATCATTGATTTGGCAAGGCTGGCTCAACAAGAATTTCAAGAGTGTCATTGGGGTTGGACATTCATACGGTTCAATTATTCAGCTAGCGCAGAATGCAAAATACCCCAATGATGTCAATGGTACAGTGTTGACGGGGTTTGTCAATGATGTGGCATCTTTGAGCTATACCATCGCTGCCAACAATCCTGCAGTCGCAGCTATCAACAATCCAAAATTATGGGGCAATCTATCATACGGTTATGTAGTCCACGATACCGCCATATCAATCCAACTTCCATTCTTTAGGGCGCCATACTTTCCCGAGAGCAGTAAGTGACACTCGTGTGTGTTAAAAACATAGCTAATTCATAATAATAGCATTCAATCATCAAGTTGCTCAGAAGCAGACGTATACTATCGGTCAGCAATTCACGTTGCCCACTATCTATTCAACTGCCCCAAAGTTCACAGGCCCAGTTGACATAGTCATCGGAAGGTACGATTTTCCATTCTGTAAAGGAATGTGCAATCATCCCATCGATTTAGCCGCGGCTACGATACCAGTACTGTACCCAGCTGCAAATGCCAAGTCAGAAAGTTTTGTTGTGCCCGACTCTGGCCATCTTATCAACGCACATTACAGGGCTGGTGCTCAATTTGATCACATCAATGGTTTCCTTGGTAAAAACGGGTTTTGAGGAGATTAAATCTCTTGTTAGCTTGGCACCGTACATTATTAACCTGTAATATCGGGTGTATCTTAATTATCAAACCGTAATGGTCTACGAATTTAAATGTCAAGCTTTTCAACCCGAGGTTTCCAGTAAGCTCATATTTTGGAGGGGTATCGCCATAAGTCGTAACATATCGCACCCAGGTACTTGATCACAGCATGCTTGGCGTCCAATATTCTAGCTGCAGCTTCAAGGGGCGTGAGGGGAAGTGCCAGGTTTCGGTGATGCATCAGAATCTACCCATAAGCCAACAATACGGGGTGTTCTAATTGTCGGGTAATAAGCACCCTGCCTTAGTTCGCCTCCGGCTCCCAACCCGATTATTGGAGTCTGCGCCAAGCATATAAAACATGGTTCGTATATTTGAATCAGTCGGAACCAGTGGTACGGACGGATCTGCTCATGGACATTTGCATCAGAGAGCCGTTCGGAAAAGAGGCCATAGAGTTGCCCAGCCTTACAATATGTTACATGATATGCGATGATTCGATATCAGCACCAAGATGGCTGTTCTACCGGGGACACTCTTCCCTCGACAATAAACAGGTTAATTTTTCTCGGCGACGCTGCATCTTATTGGCATCTGATTCTAATTTGTCTAAATTGGCTAATGCAAGCTTTCATATCAATACAAAGAAGGTCTTCGAGGAAGGTGGTGAAAAGATTGCAGTCGTTTTTACCCGAAACTTACTATATATTGTTTGCATCACTGAAGTGGGAGTTTTTTGAGACGAAAGAAGCCACCATCTCTGTCTTCATCGCTTACATTGGCATGTCAATCACGAAGTCATGGTATCTCAATCGCATATTATAGCGGCCAACTTAGTGGTGGCTCTTTCAGCAACCCTAGCTGTGACGCTCAGATTTGTGTCACGAACGTTTATCAAATCGTTTGGCGCAGATGACTGGCTCATTCTTGCGGCTTTGGTGGGTTTCCTGTCGCAAAAGAGAGAATATATGATTGACAAACATCTTATAGCCTTTGGGATGGGGAATGGCAATCTGCACGATCATTGCTGTCCACTATGGACTTGGGCAACATGCTCTATCAGTCCCCCCGGAAAATCTTGTCCCATTTATCAAGGTATGTTCATAGATATATCTTTTACTGAACGAGGGAAATAACTCCAAAGTACAATAGGTCTACTTTGCTTCAGAAGTCATTTGGGCATGCTCAATGGGACTGATCAAAATATCCATTCTCCTTCTTTATGTCCGCATCTTTGGATCCCTGAGGTATTTTCGAATTCTTGCCTACGGCTTTGGCGGCTTTACTTTTGCTTGGGCAGTGATGGTTGTTATTGTTTGTACCTTTCAATGTTTACCAGTCGCGTACCAATGGGACAAAACAATCGAAGGAGGAAAGTGCATCGACTCCTGGCTTTTTTTCACGATCGGGTCGTCTTTCGATGTGCTAGTTGATTTGGCTTTGTTAATTCTCCCTATTCCGGCGGTCTGGAACTTGCAGTTATCAGTACTCCAGAAATTGTCGGTGATTGCTATCTTCTGCCTTGGGTCGCTGTAAGTTGATCCTATCCTATGCTTTAAGATTGCTCCTATTGATCATTCCAAGTACTTGCGTCTTCAGTTTGATACGACTGGTTGCTGTTGCTCAAGATAAAAACGATCCGGATCCGACTTGTAAGTGTTCTCATGATACGAACTCCAAAAAGCACTACTAATTTAAATGTCTAGTCTCTCTTGGAATCGTGGCAATCTGGTCAACTGCAGAACCATGCCTCGGAATAGTTTCCACCTGTCTTCCCACCTACAAACCTATCATTATAAAGTTGTTCGGCCAGAAAAAGGAAGTGGGTGGCTCTGGCGCCAGCAAGTCAATTGGTGGTAATAGCACATTTGGAAGCAAGTTCAAGAAAAATGGCGGTCGAGTTACCCTCACGTCTGGTTCCGAGAACGAAGATGATCTCCAGTTAGTCTGCAGTCAGAAGGAGTTATTGTCTCTTCAGACCTATGCTACCACAGGCGGCGATAGCACACCGAATGGACAGGATATTCCGATGGACAACATCCATGTGCGAACAAAGATCAATAGTACTTGGTCTCATAATGTCTAGGCCTCGGAACCTTCTATTTCACTCGAACTCTTGATACTTTTGAGCTGTATTATAATTGAAGGGGCTTTCTGGGCGTTTCTTTCCATCTTTGAAGGATTTATTTGGTGGCCTAGGTGATCTCATACTATTTATCCCCAGCATTTGTTTATGGAATTGAATTTGAATTAATATAGAGGTAAACATCAGACAAATGATTGATTTGATTTTTATCCTCGCATCTAGTACTGTTAGTTTGCTCACTAAAGGTTCCGTGGCACAAAGACACACTTATGAATACACACACTATCTCCACCTTTCTGATTCTTATAGAATCAATCAAGCAGCAGCACTTATGATAATATCGGCCACTTTGCGCGGCATACTCAACATAACCATATGTCCTGCAGTGCATTTCTCAATTCTGCTTCCTGCTGCCCCTGCGAGCTGTTCCTGAAGCGGTTGTGGAATGCATTGATCATTCTCACACACCAGATACACGCTTGGCACATCTTTCCAACCAGCATATGTAATGGTTCCATCCCAGCCAGACGCAGGTTGAGATTTTAGGGCCTTCTTCCATTTCTCGACATCGTTCTCGCTCAGGTCATTGAAGAGAAGCTTCTCAGGGGTGGCGCAATACATGGCTCCGCCCTTCATCACAGTTAGAGTTTGTCTAATATCTGCTCAGAGATTCGAAATTGCATTATATCCACGTACCTGGGTGATTTGGAATGGCAGGGGGCCATGGGTGAAGCCTTCTGGGAATATTGCCGCCGTCAGAAGCACCAACTTTGCAACACCACCCTTCAAGCCTTTCTCCGTGCGTGCTTTCGCTGTTAGGCCTTCGATGGCACTTGTGCCTATGAAGCCACCGCCCGAGTGAAGGACCATCAAGACATCTTCTTCCGCATCAACTAATTCTTGGACAACACTGCGGACTGCAGCTATATCGTCATTCATATCTGGATTGCCTGGAGAAACGGTACCAGTGCTGGGCAGAGCAGCTACCTGGGTCTTGAATCCGATCGGTTTAAGGAGTGAGATGACTTCTTCGAACACTGTGGGTCCCTCCCAGAAACCCGGAACGAACACAATTGTGGGGGCCATACTGACAATTTGATTTTGCTTATCGGACAATTCGTATTGATTTCAAGAATCACGGCAAGAAATGTGGCTGTCTGGTTGATTGATTGTTGGGAACCCGAAGGAAGTTAATGTAAACATATCAATCTGTGCGGCATAGTATATTGAGTGGATATGGTTTGTTTGATATATTGAATTATAAGATTGGTCGAATGAAGCTGCAGGATGTACAGTATATGGGTTGTCACACCCCTACTGCAAGGATAACAATATGATCAAGCCTTTCTCGCGTTATGGTGCAGCTTTTAGCCACATGCACTGCCGAATGCTCTTATTCGTCGATTATCCGATCCATGCAAGTCGTATGTCAGCTTTTGTACAGAGATACAGTAGTAGAGTTTAACCGGAGGACGTTTGCGGAACATTAAATTAGGCCCCTGGTTTCCTCCCTGCCACACTGACCATGCTCATTCTAAGACTTGCGCCATGATACATCTCGGCAATTGCACGATGATGCATATTCCACCATTCTTCGGCATTACCCCTCTCGCGTTCGATGATTCTACCCATTTCCACTGACGCCATAAGATGTGTCATTGTCCAAGGATATGCAATCTCATCATCGATTGGCACGTATTGGTTGGCCAGCACGAACAGATCTCGTTTCTGAAATGCTTTGTCCAACTCGGTGATCCAGCTAGAAGAAAGTTAGTCTTTTTAATTCCCACGTTGGGTTCGTCCAGACCTACCGAAAGTCATTATATTTGCCCGAAACCAAGCGGTGGGCTTGACTCTTCAACTCATCCATTGCCGTATGGGGTTCTCCAGGGTCTGTTGATTGCGCATATATGCCGCCGAAATCACCATCATCCCATTGAATGTATCCACCGGGCTCTAACATTGGTCAGATATGGTTTCGGATGTCTGACGGTTATGTATAAGTACTCAATAATTTTAAAAGATTGTCCAATATTGGGAACGGGTCGCCCTTCTCCACAACTAGGCACAAATATCCTGCGTGTACCACATCGAAAACTCCATGTAGAGATTTCGGTATAGGTTTCAATATATCCAATGTATCCAAGAGGACATTTTTAGGCAACCATCTCTTTGGAGGAAATTGTGCAGTGGAAATATCATATCCATGAAGTTGGGCCAATGGATAGTTCTTGGCTAACTCTTTTGCCAAGTCAACGAGCCAAATCCTGCATCTCAACATTAACGCCATCATAATTAAGGGACACAATCTTTGATGACTAACCCTGTGCCACAAGCAATATCAGCGATTTTGATTTCGTTCGTCAATGGGATGCATGGCTGCAACAAGTGTCCTAGTTGTCTTTTGCAGATAAAGTGTTGAAGGTACAAGCTTCATGCCAAGTCAGGGTCTGTTGACTTGTATGTAGGATGGAGGTAATGATGGATGATGTACCTACCGTGTGGATGCTTGAAAATCTCTCTCCAATGGATATTTGTCGATACTCCCCTCTGCAGGTCCCTGTATAGGGTTATCAATGAAGTCGTTGGAAGTTTCGGCAGGCATGGTTCGAAAGCTAAGATACCTCAATGTTTACCTCAGGTGTTAAGTTAAATAGCGGACTACTTGTATCTCTTCCCAAACACCTCTATCGGAATTCGGAAACGATCAGCCCTCTCGTGCCCCGTAGCACCTCAGTCATCGCCTGAATATTTTGAACCAACGGCTTATAATATTGGAATGTTTACTCGCCGGCGTCTCACTATATGAAACAGGCTGCTCCGCAATGTATCCAATTATCTTCTATGCAGTCCAGATTCGAAAGATTCAACATGCAAAGTATTGATTCTTCCAAACATGTCCACTGAATCCAGGGTATCTAATAGTCTGGACTGCAGTCCAATTAGAGAAATTCCATTATTCGAAAGATTCTCAATCTCCGAAAACACTTGATATTCAATAATTGAAAAGGTTTGAATATTCTTGATATATTCAATATTATAAATGAAAGTGAATGTATAAGATATATTCAGGAATTAAGAATCTGGTATTGTTGGATTGCAGTCTGGACTATTGATTACCCTGACTGAATTCAAGACCATGGTTGACCAAGCAAGCTCTCTAGAGTATCAGAACCCCTGAAGCTGCATACTCAGGTGCTGCATTAGATCAAATATCACCTGAATACCTCGATACAGTACTTCCGCACGTGAATAATTTTCTTGATCGGCGACTCTACCGCCCCAAGGAACTCTTGAACAAGCATAATCTTCGTGACATAATTGGGGGAGGGGGGAGGGGATCAGATGAACTCAGACCATTGCTATACACATCTTTCGGCCTCATCGATTCGCTTCGGCTTGTGAGTACAGGCCTAGAACTCCTTTATGTCAAGGCATCGGAGCTCAACTCTAGATTTTCTTTCCTCTTCAACAACGATCATTCAACACAAGAATTATGTCAGAAACAAACATACCTATAGCAGTCATCGGTCTAGCTTGTCGATTTCCTGGGGGTATTCATGATGCCGAAAGTCTTTGGGAAGTTCTCATTCAGGGAAAAAGTACCTGGTCTGATATCCCGGCGGATCGTTACGACTGGAGATCATTTTATCACCCTACACGTGGATCCAGATCCGCTCATTCTGCTCGTGGAGGATATTTCTTGAACTCTAATATTGCCGAGTTTGACGCCAACTTCTTTGGAATTTCTCCACTCGAGGCTGTGGCTATAGATCCACAACAACGTATTCTTCTCGAAGTAACATATGAAGCGATGGAAAACGCGGGAATATCGATTGACTCAATCAAAGGTTCTAATACGGGTGTATACGTTGCGACTTTTACACATGACTATGAGAATATGATGTATCATGATTCGCTATCTCTACCAAAATATGGCATGACAGGGGTTGGAACAGCCATTGCCTCCAATCGGATATCATATTTTTTGGATCTTAGGGGTCCCTCAATGTCTCTAGATACTGGCTGCTCTGGAAGTCTCGTTGCCTTACATCAAGCATGCCAGAGCTTACGTTGCGGAGAGACAAACACAAGTTTTGTTGGTGGCACGAATCTCATTCTTAGTCCTGACACCATGATACCTATGGATAATCTTCAGTGAGTTATAAACCCATCAGAATGGTAATGAACTGACTCTAATGGAAAACTATAGTCTCTTGGATAAAACTGGCACTTGCTATCCCTTTGACAGTAGGGGATCTGGCTATGGACGCGGTGAAGGTGCAGCGTTAGTCATCCTGAAACGTCTAGATGATGCTTTGAGTGCAGGCGATTCAATAAGAGCAATCATTCGCAATACTGCCATCGGACAAGACGGAAAAACACCTGGCATCACTTTTCCGAATGGAGATGCACAAGAGTCTCTGATACGATCAGTCTACCAGGCTGTATCGTTGAATCCTTCCCATACTGGATACGTGGAAGCTCATGGAACCGGCACTGTGGCAGGAGATGTCACTGAGATACAGGCTCTTGGTAGAGTATTTCGTGAAAACAGATGGAGTGATGAACCGCTTTATGTTGGTTCGATTAAAGGGAATATCGGCCATCTTGAGAGCGCGAGCGGACTTGCGGGGTTAATCAAGGTTATTTTAATGCTGGAGAAAGGAGTAATTCCTGCTACACCAGGATTTGAAGCCCCCAAAGATGGATTGGATCTTTCAAAATGGAATATAAAGGTAAGTCCTCGCTTTTTGTCGATATGAAAAGTGGAGCAATTAACTCTGACGACTCAAAGATTCCTCAATCGCCACATAATTGGCCAAATGATCTTCCACGAAGGGCAAGCTTGGTAAATATGCTTCCTCATTTTCTGAAAGAAAGCTAATATTAACGATGTAGAATTCCTTTGGGTATGGCGGTGCGAACGCTCATGCAATCATTGAAGCCGCTTCGCTAGATCACATCGGAACTAATGGCACCGTCTCTGTCAAACACCATTCAGATTATTGGAGTAAAGTATTGGAGAGAATTAGTATTTCTAAAGCCTTTACCAATGGAACTTCTGATGGAACTTTAAACGGGCCTATAAACGGTATCTCGTACAAACGCAAGACCAGGGACCAACTTTATCAGATCTTTCCACTCACGGCCAAATCCGAAGAAATTTTGGGATTGGTGGCCAAGAATTTGAGAGATTGGACAAGCAAACATCAGAGTTCAGATCGTTATACAGCAAATTTGGCCCATACTTTGACACGCCGGGGATCACACATGCCCTGGCATTGCACGCTAGTTGCATCCGGACCTAAACAACTTATATCCAAGTTAGAAGCAAAGGAATTGAAGCCCACACGGATATCCAACAAAACAAAAATGATTTATATTTTTACCGGCCAAGGATCACAATGGCATGGTATGGCGAGAGAACTCATGGATTCTTCAACTGAATTTTGTGAATCACTGAAAGCCTCAGAGAGAATATTGAAATTTCTAGGGTGTTCTTGGAGCCTTGTTGAAGAACTCGGTCGAAAACAGAGCACCACCAGAATTGATGAAAGCACCGTCTCCCAGCCATTAACGACTTCCATTCAAATTGCTTTAGTGCAGCTGCTCCGTAGCCTTAATGTCACACCTGACAGAGTCTTGGGACATTCTAGTGGTGAGCTCGCTGCCGCATATGCGGCAGGTTATTTGAGTCACGAATTGGCAATGAAGCTGTCATACTATCGTGGCCTTCTGGGAAGCTACTGCAAGAGAGCGCTAGGTATGAATGGATCAATGCTGGTGGTAGGATTGGGTGGTGATGAGATAATGGCCTACCTGAAGCGCATAAAATCTGGCCGTGTTTCTATCGCATGCTGCAACAGCCCCTCTAACACTACAATCTCGGGCGATGAACATGCTATTGATGAATTAAGTCGGATCCTCCAGAAATTTGGCATACCCTCGCAAAAGCTCAGAGTAGACACAGCTTATCACTCTCACCATATGGAAGTAGTTGCTGAAGATTACCTAAGAAGTATCGGAGACTCTCAATATTCAAACTCCAGCACTTCAACATTTTTCCATTCTTCGGTTACGGGCAAGAGGAAACAAACGGACTTTGACGCTACCTACTGGACACGAAATCTTGTATCAAAAGTATTGTTCGTTCAGGCTTTGCAAGGGCTATTGGAGCAAGTAGATACAGAAATACACTCTGAAGCAACTTCTTCTTCGTGCATCATCCTAGAAGTTGGACCGTCTAATGCACTCAACTTCCCTATCAAGCAAGGACTTACGCATAAGCAACTAGACACGAATCGATACACTTACATGTCCACATTAAGAAAAGACTGTGACGCACAGCTTACCTTTCTCCAAGTTGTTTCTAAACTCTTCGACAAAGGTTATCCGGTGGATATTGCTAGCGCCAACAGACTAAATCAATCCACCCATCGAGCTCGGCTCTCTGTTTTGACAGATTTACCAACGTACCCCTGGGATCATGCTGTATCATATTGGCATGAGTCACAAATAAGTAAGGAACATCGTCTACGCACTCATCCCTATCACGATTTACTAGGCATTCGAATACCAGGGAGTCCAAACATTCAACCAAGATGGCGTCATGTTCTGAACATCGAAAGTTTTCCTTGGTTACAAGATCATGTTGTGGATGGTAGACTCGTTTTCCCTGGCTCCGGGTATCTAGCCATGGCAATAGAAGCGAAGCGCCAGTTACTGCAGGACATTGAGCCTCACAAAAGCATTCGCAACTACATCCTCAAAGATGTTATCTTCTCGACATTTCTCGAAATTCAGGACCCAGCCGAAAACATCGAGGTCCAATTAAGTTTGATTGATCTTATCACCTCTAATAAAAGTAGGATTGAAGAATGGCAAGAATTCCGTATTATTTCGATACCAAAATCTGGTGTCACCACGGAGAATTGCAAAGGCATGATTAAGATAGAGTTTGCTGGCACTCTCAATAGATCTGAAGATGACACTTTTTCGCATGATTTGAGACGAGAACAAGACCATGTGAATAGGACTGCTGAAGAACGTCTCGTTGCGTTCGAAAATAAGTCGTATCACAAACTCGACACTGAAAGTTTTTACCGACGGCTTCAATTGACTGGAAACTACTGGGGACCAAGTTTTGCGGCAATTACGGAGTTTACGCTTGGAGATTCCAATGCTATTGGTACGATCACAATACCGAACGTTGAAAAGTCCATGCCTGGAAAATATATGCAACCGCATATTATCCACCCTACTACACTCGATGCTCTGATTCACTCAAGCCTTGTTCTATTTTCACAACACTATGGCTCGGGTATTATGATTCCTATTGGCATAGAAGAAGTCGTTATATCGGCAGATGTGTCGAAGAGTCCCGGACAACAACTTTCATTTATGACATGCTTAACGTCGACAACCTCAACCTCTACTTCAGCGGATATTTCTGCCTTCCAGGAGACGCCATTAGGGAAGAGGGTTTCATGTGTGCAAATTAGAGCAGCTGGGCTTCGAAGGGCGGTTCAGTCGGAATCTGGTTCCATCATTTTCGATCCATCACTCTGTTACCATCTGAAGTGGGGAATAGACCTAGATTACTCTCAGCCTGAGCTTCATGAAGAAAATGAACAATACAAGAGCTATGAATTCCCGCCAGAGACCAAGCTAAGCATGTTGAATGATCAAGCATATTGTTATGTTCATGAATGCCTGAATAACATTCACGAGAAGGATGTTAGAGGCAAATATGCGGAGTACTACCAATGGATGTTAAAATACAAGAGCTCCAGGACTATTTCAGCACGTCCCAAGATTTCTGAACTTCCTTCGAGTGATATACATAATCTTGGGGTGGAAGGAGATGCTGTAAGCCATATCGGCACGAATCTCATGTCGATCCTAGTAGGCAAAATTGATCCGCTTCAACTTCTTCTGGAGAATAATCTTCTACGACGGATATATGCGGAAAGTACGGCGGCATTACAATGCTACCGATTCCTCATTACTTATGTCAAGAATCTTACTTTCATGAACCCAAATATGAGAATTTTAGAGGTTGGCGCTGGTACTGCAGGGGCAACAATGCCTCTGTTCGAAGGACTAGATGAAGACGGAAAACTTCCCCTCAGACAGTACGACTTTACAGATGTATCAACTGGATTTCTCGACGATGCTAGACCTTTGCTTCAAAAATGGGAAGGACAATTGTTTTTCAAAACGTTCGACTGCAGCAAGAATCCCACAAGGCAGGGGCTTGATGCTGGGACGTACGATTTGATTATAGCATACAATGCTATGCATGCTGCTAACTCCATTGATGAGTCAATCACAAACGTGAGAAAGTTGCTGAAAACAGGCGGCAGGCTGATACTCATCGAGATTACTCGACTCGAGCCTTTTATCAATGCCATATTTGGCTTGCTTCCGGGGTGGTACATGGGTAAGAATTTAATCCAATCTCAAATATCTCGTGTGCGTTTGACTGATGACGAAGCTAGATCGAGCAGACGGTCGAGAGGGTACTCCCATCTTATCGACTGAACAATGGAATTCTCGACTCATAAACGGCGGATTTAATGGCTGCGAGTTCATCAAGCATGATATAGACGGACCAAGTAAGACAACGTCATTGATTGTATCAAGAGCCGTCTCATTGGCCCAAGAGAAGACGATAAGTCGCCCATCATATTTAGTCCATGACAACAGTCAGGCTGTCCGAAGTCTTCTTGGACAGAAGATCCAAAAGCTTTCTTTTCGATCCTCCAGACCACAATCGCCTTCAGGAGACACCAATAAGGAGTCTGTGTATGTCATCATAGATGATGCTCTTTGTAATTCGATACTGAACTCTTCATCCGAAGTAATTGGTAGCGTGTTAAACGTCGCCGCAAAAGCAAAGAATATTCTCTGGATTATCACACCTAGGTACCCACCAACACTTTCCAGTGAGTTTTCTGGCCTTGCTACAGGGTTCGCACGTGGAGCTCGCGTTGAGAACCAAGCGCTCAATCTCGTTACACTTGATATCCAGGGGGATTCTATTGACTTCGATGACCTCAACCGAAAAATCGACGACATATTCAATGCGTCTTTTCTTCGGAGAAACTCTTGTATTGATACGGATTATATATATAGAGATGGGAAAGTTCTCATTCCTCGATTGCAACCAAACAGAAGCTCTCAATCGGTAGCACTCTCTTGCGCGACCACCAAATCAGTACTCTACCATCAGAGCAGACAAATTATTCAACCGCTACGAGACAGAGGCCCTAACAGTAGTGCTTTTGATTTTACCACAGTCAACTTACCAGAGACTCTATTGAGCCCAGGTGATATTGAGGTCAAGGTAGAAGCGTGGAGTGTATCGACAGAAGACCTTTTGACTACTTTTGGCCATGCACGGCCAAAATCTTCAAAATCAATCGTCGGTGGGTTTGCTGGAACTGTAATTGACATTGGCCAGCAAGTTTATTGGAAAGTTGGAGACCGAGTTTGCGGCTGGTCAAGAGCTGTTTTCGCCAACAGCGTCAGAGTAAATTCCGGTCAGGTGTGTCAGTATTCAAAATCGTTGACCATAGGAGAAGCTGCATGTATGCCAACTTCATTTTTGACAGCCTTCTATGCCTTGGTCGAAGTTGCAAAAATCAGACAGGGGCAGACTGTCGTTATTCATGATGCAGGGGCCTCTGTTGGCCAGGCTGCTATTCAGGTTTCGAAGCATATCGGGGCCAACGTGATTGCGGTTATCACCAGAGGAGAACATCAACAGATCCTAATAGACAACTACAAGTTATCCACGGATAGAATCCTATACCCATGCGACAGTAGAGCTTTCGAATCGGCCATTCAGTGCCTCACAAGTAATGGTGGAGCGCATCTTGTCCTCCATTCGTCCTCGAGCGACATACAATTTATAAGCGGGAGTATGGCCTCCTTAGCGCGCTTCGGTACCTTTGTTCAAATCGGTAACATTGATAGCTCATCGAAACTATCAATTGGCGCAGAAATATTCGAGAAAAACGTCTCTGTTGTTTCGCTGGATCTAGCGGCCACATCTGAGCTACAGCCCGAAAAAATGACGGAGCTTATGGGGCATGTCAATTTAATGTTCGAAAAGCATAACCCACAGCCAATTAGGCCAGTTGTCACAATGGACATTGGAGATTTTGAGAATGCCGTCAAGCGAATCCAACAGGGGGGTCTTACCGGGCAGGTAGTCTTCAAAGCAAGTGACACTGCAACAGTGAATCTAGTCTCGATCCCCCCTCCGTTGATATTTAACAGTGACGGCACGTATATAGTCGTTGGGAATTCCACTATCTTGAGCATGGATATGTATAAGTTCCTCCTGATGCATGAGGCAAAGAATGTCTTGGTACTATTCACGGGAACTTTGGAAGAAAGGATCAAAATTGAGAGGAGACTAACCCCCCAGGAAGAAACCAAAGTTAGACTTGTCTCATCAGTTGACGATCTCTCGGCCAAGTTAATTGATCTTCCTTCAATAAGAGGCATAATATATACCGAATTCGTTTCAACAGTAAGTTTGAGGACATTCCACATGAGTTTGACATCAATTCACCAATCATCTAATCTCTACTCCAGATTCACCCGATCACCGCAGACGATACAGCAGCCTATGTAAAGAGAGATTTCGACTACATCAATACCTTGATGTCGTGCTTAAAATCAGAAATCTTGGATTTTCTCGTCATAATCTCCAGCTCCTTGATTCTTCCTAGAGCAAGAAATCGATCCATCGAGTGTGCTATACCGGCCTCCAGACAAGCTTTGTTAGCATCAGGCCTCGGATCGAGAACGAAGCTCATTCACGTAGATATGGCTAATTTATCACCTATATCCGAAAGTTATCAGTCCGAACAGGAAGAGTTGTCTCTTGGCCGTAGCACCTACTCTCATCGGGAAATCTTTGCAATTTTAGAGTCCGAAATCAGTTCAACTAAAGACAATCAAGGCTTTTCTCAGATACTTACTGGGCTTCGAGAATCGACGTTGAATGGAAAATACAAGCTTCCACTTTATTCGCCTTTACTAAAATATTTACCCGAAATTTGGAGGCAAGAAGAGTCTCTCATGGACGTTGCTATCGATGTATCTACACCCGGAACTATCGACGAGAACCTAGCAGATGCCAAGACCGAAGTACATGCACACAAAATTGTGAAGCTAGCAGTACAAAAAAAGATAGCTTCTATGATGGCCGTTCACTATGATCTAATTGATATGAAAATGGCCATTGAAGACTTTGGTCTGGATTCGCTGATCACTTTCACATTCAGAAATTGGATATTTCAAAACTTCCGTGCCGATTTGAATGTTGGTGTTATTTTCTCTGCCTCGAGTATTGATACTCTCGCGTATAGGATACTATCCGTCACGACTATCAAGAGTTTCTCTAGCCAAAATCAATCCAATGGAAACACGCGTGGAAATGTTGTAGAGCCAATTATCTCATTCCCCATGGAATATGCAAACTCTCACACGGATCTGATCCCCAAGCAGCCCTTGCCCGCATTGGAGGACTGCCTCCGACATTATTTGGATGTCGCTCGTCGTTTCTGCTCCATCGAAGAACTGGCTAGAACCAAGCAGTTAGTGGAAGAGCTCGAAAAAATTGGCGGTCAAGGACAAATATTACAGGCTCGTCTGCTCGAACGGAAGAACGACCCATCGATCGACAACTGGTTGTCTGAAATTTATCTTACTCGAAGGTTTTTACAGCAACGCGAGCCTCTAGTAGCAACTCAAAGCTACTTTGGAACCCACCCAAATGGTTTAAAACCTCATACTCAGGCAGAGAGAGCAACAATTGTTACCCTCGCAGCTTTAAAGTTCAAGAAATGTTACGAATCTGGATCTTTACCCAAGAGAGAATTACACGGGCGATCTATCGATACACATGCATATCGATATCTCTTTAATGTCTGTCGAGAGCCACACATTGGCGAAGATATCGTCCGCGAGTACCCCAGTGAAAACTACATTGTCGTTTTGAACAATGGGCATGGATATAAGATTAACCTCGCTGGAAACAACGAGGATATCTCTTTTCCAAGCTTAGAAATGATTTTTGAGAAGATCCTCCATGAGCCAATTGAACAGAAATCCTGGGTGGGGACTTTGTCTGCTGACAACCGTGACGATTGGGCTAAGGTATGTGACATGATTTGATACGTGTAGACAATAAATGACCGGTAGATAGGCTAGAAATGCACTCATAGAATTAGACGAACGCAACAAAACATCGATCGAGACTATCGAAGCAGCCGCATTCATTGTTTGTCTCGATGACGCAACACCAGAGGCTCCCTCACAGCGATTCTCCCAATTTCTCTTCGGAAATGGCTCAAGCAGATGGTATGATAAATCACTACAATTTGTCGTTTGTAAGAACGGCATTTCAGCTTCGGTTTGTGAGCATTCCGTACTAGATGGTATCACGGTGGAGTATCTTCATGAATTTATAAACAAGGCAATCATCGAGCATCAATCGTCTTCACATATTAAAGGAGTGATCGCTTCCGAAAGTTTCGCTACGTATACATTTGAACTGTTACATCTATCCACCAACAGCGCACTCGAGTACCGCACGCAACAAGTACACCAAAATCTTCAGCAAACCACATCCAAATACACATTTGCGCATTTAGATCTCACAAGTCTCAGCCTCAACTTCCTTTCCCAAAAGGGAATCCCAACCCAATCGGGCATCCAGCTCGCCCTCCAACTAGCCTACCTTCGTTTCTTCGCCCACAGTCCACCCGCCCTCGAAACCGTCTCCCTCGCGCAATTTCGCCAAGGAAGAGTCGAAGTCCACCATATCATCACACCTCTCATGGCCCAATTCCTCATCACCAATAAACACGCTGTGAATATTCACTCGCGGGATTTACTCTACGCGGCCGCGAAAGAACATGCGAAATCGCTTACGCGAGCGAGTAAGGGGCGGGGATTCAGTCGGCATTTGTTGGCCATGGAATGGATGGTGAGAGAGGGAGAGAAAATTCCTGCGTTTTTCCACGATCCGGTTTATGCGAGGATGAAGCCGGAAAAGGTGCTGACGAGTTGTTTTACGACGGGATGGCAGGAGGGTGGCTTTGTGTATCCGTTTCCAGGGAGTGTTTTGGTGTATTTTGAGGTTAGGGATGAATCGTAAGTTTTATGTGGTTCTTTCTACCTACAGTCGATGTTGTTGAATCATAGGCTGACATTTTTTAGGACTTCGGTTTCGATTTTTGGTAATGATGCGGACGCGGAGAATTTCAAGAGACTTCTTGTGGTTGCGGGGGATCAGATACAGAGTTTGCTTGATGGTAGTTGAGCAGAATATCAGACGCGGAAAATAGGGAAAGAATGTCTTAATCAGGGTTGTACCTAGTGTATTGAGCATTACATAAAATCCATTCATTTAGAGCCAGCATTAAGGAAGGGTATCTTCGTGACCTCAAATCGAAATACCATCCAATAATAGGCAGATAGGAATTATCAACACCCATTCAGCCTTCACTTTCCATCATCACCTTCATCATCCCATCCACTCACTCATTTACCAACCAATAACCACTCACCCGTCCCACCCCATCTCTCCCATCCTATCCCACCCCATCCATACATACCATACCATCCCATCCTCCCCTTCCCTTCCCATGATTTTCCAATTCACACCTCACCGCACCTCACCACACCACACACAAACATTCATTCATTCATTCATTCATTCATTCATTTCTTATTATCATCACTCTATCTATTATCATATAAAACGAAAATTTCCCAAATTATGCACTATTTTCCCTCCCTCACTCTCTCACTTTCTCACTTTCTCACTTTTTCAAGTACATTAAAGTTGTAAAGGAGAGCTTACTTCTAACCCATCATATCCCATCCTAGTAGAGTCTACCTACCTATCTACCAACTTACTATCACGTCCCTTATATCATCCCCCAACTACCCCCTATACTAACAACCCCCTATTCCCCCATCCTCCACCCAGACTTTCTCCCTAGAATGATTCACACGCCAAACTCACTAAGTATTCGCTCGCTTCCTATCTATCATATGATATGATATGATATGATATAGCCAACTTCTGATGCGATGCAATGATTTTTCTGAATGACAATAACGATGATGACGATAATGTTGATGATGATATGATGATGATGATGATGATGGTACATATTACAGGTAATTCCCAATTTTGTAACCTCGCCTTCCTGGCAATAAATCTTACCACGGCTGCTCCCTCCCTCGTAAATCCCGCCCCCCAATCGCTTAAGCTTCTTCTTCATTCTTTCAGATCTTTGACCTCGATCAATTTTTAGATGCAGCCACCGTCATACCCACTAACACAACACCCTTCATCAACTCATCATGCCCATCACTAACCTCGCCCTCATCATTAATATGCTCACTAGACCCCTCGCATTCGTTCTTTCTCCCATCAGAATCTACTTCCATTTCCATCTTCATAGCCTCTTCATTCTCCCTCATTAAATCCTCTTCTTGCAGCCTTAACTCTCTTTCCTCTTCCGTTTCTTCCTTCACTTCTTTCTCGCTTCCAATATCTCCATTGCTGTTACCCATCTCAAGATCTTCCGATCCTGACATAGGCATACCTTCCGCGGGAGGTGGGGGAGGAGGCGGAGGCGGCGTAGAACTATCAATTGGAGTTTCCCCCTCAGCGCCATCCTCCTTAACCCTCTTATTTTCTGACGGACTTTCCTCATCATCATCATCATTTTCCCTCTTCCTCTTCAGGATTTCTAACTCGAGTTGTCCGCTAGGTGATGCAGTCGGACTTGGTACATCGACCTCCACATCCTCATCGTCAACCAGATCCGGACTACTGCTCATAATCGTATTTTCCGTTTTTGATTCCTTTTCGTTGGCCCCAGTTCCATTAGTTTTTGCCTGCATTTCACGCTTTCTCCTTTCCGCTCTCTTCTTTTCCATTTCCCTTTTCTTTTCAACTGCTTTTTCGAAATAATCCCGTACATATTTCTTAACCTTCTTCTCTTGTTTTTCGGATATCTTTGTAGGGTCTTCAACACGATTATTCTTAAAGTCAGAGGCCACAAGCCTTTTACCAACCTCCTTGGCGAATTTCTTGAGGTCGTCCTTTTGAAGTTTGCCGGAGAACTTTTGCATTACGTATTTGATATGAGGGAAGAGCTATAACATGAAGGTCAGTCAAGAACGTTGAAGGTAGAAAGATATGCGGGAAAGAACCTCTGCTTGAATAAACAAAAAGTGGTACATACAGTATTTTCATAAAGTTTCATCTGCTTCTCCAAGGGCAATGTGCGCCATTTTTCAACAGGCTTTTTTCTTTCCTTTGGTGTACCTTCAGCGGAATGCGAAGAAAGAGCTGGAGTATGTGAGGGTTCTTTTGTAATACTATCGATGATGTCTTGAAGGGCTTTTTGCGTTTGTACACTTTTTGGAGCAGGTTTGGGAGGTGGTGGTGGGGGCTCGGCTCCTGCTGGCATGAATGGTCTCTGCCATGTTGTTTGTCCGGTCTTACTATAATAGTAGGCGTTTCCATTTTGGTCCATCGCGGTGAACCATCCAGGTGGTAATACGTTGAAATTGTTACGCCGAGGTATAGGTCGATTCGCGATGAAGTTGGCATTGCGTTGAGGAATAACACTCCGGGGACCAGTAGGGGCAACAATGACTGGAGACGGGGATTGAGTGACTTTTTCTATTTGCTCTGGACGTCGTTCGAATACTTGTGCAATGAGAGTTGGAGCTCTCCTCGGGATTCGATATGCAAACTCCAGTTTGCTCCATTCTTCCAATAGTCTCTTCGCCTCGAAAGCAACATCTTCATGCTCAGATTTTGTGAATCCATCCAAAACTGGTTCAATTTTCGAATCAACAATTTTGTTCCGAGTAAGTCGTGGAAACTTGTAGAGAATATCGAATACTTGGAGGATCACGTTATTGTCTTCCTTCCAAGTAGTCAAGGTCGTACGAAGAATCTGATAGCCGTGCATTTGTATTACTCTGTTTCGAACCTTGTCATCCTCGCAACGTTGTATTCGACCAAGTAGTTTGACGGCAATCCATTTCTCTTTGCATTGCATCAGGGTTGCCATAACCTTTCGTACACCACTTTCATCGAGACCCTTTGATTGAACATTGTTAACATATTCTTCATCATCCTCACCTGTCTTCTTCTTCCGAGGTTTCTTGGCAACAGCTGTATCCCAACCATCACCATCATCAATACCCAGAGCTTCAATGGTGGCATGAGAAAGTTTGGTAGCACGCTCAGTTTGAGTCTTGCCTCCAATGAATCCAGTACAATTCGGTTCGCCGCAGTAACATGGTTGAGGGTCGGCACCATATCGGTCAACATTATAATTGAAGACCAACTCTTCTCCGGCTTTGATTGTACGCTCGGCAAAAATGCCCATGCGCAACTTTTCTCCGACCACCCACTTATCCACATAACAATTCGGATTACAGGAATGATTGCAAAATCGGCCTAGATTTCCCTTTTTCGTCGCATCCACGAATTCATGTTTCGTAAGTGACATGAAATAGAAATGTTTAATTCCTTCCTGGTCATATTGAATGGTCCGTTTTCGAAAGGTTGGTTCGTTGATAACTTCTCCAATATACTCGAAAATGAAATCATCCGGATGTAAATCAGTATTTGCGCGTAACCCGTAACCTTTTTTATCTGTCTTGATCACTGATACTTTGGCATACTGTTTGCGTTGAAAGCGTTGATTTTGACACGCCGCACCACAGTTGCAATCTTTATGACCTCCACCACATTCCATTTTCGTCAGTCGATTAATACAGTCTGAATCCTCTCCACAGGCATCATTCTTCCCGTCGCCTGATAGAACATGTCAGCCAGAGTTGACATTTTGTAACCGATTACAGCTGAATCAAAAGAAAGTACTTGGAAGTACAATTGAAAGACTTACTGTATTCCTCGGGACAATCACAATCCAATGCATCGTGATCTGAAGCTCCCATATGCTTAGCTCCATAGATACAATCTTTGATTACCTGAAAAACTGAAGCTGCCTCTTCTGTAGAATCTGGAAGATCATTGAAGAGAGGGGGTGGTCGAGATATCACTTTTTGTGACGCTTTCCTCGATAGCTTTGGCGCTTTACCAGGCTCGACGGTGACGCTGATATCACCACCTATAGTCTCTTCATCCTCTTCATCTTCAGATTTGAATGTTTGACTGGTGCTTTGCTTTCCGGTTGGAGTTTGAGAACGATGAGTTACAAGACCGGGTGTATTGGAGCGAGATCTCTTGATTTCTGGAGGAGTAGAAATATATCCATTTGTGCCATTGGCAAAATCTTGCACCTCAATGCCCTCCACAAGTTTCATTTCACCGAGCGCGGCATCTACAGCTTCTGACTTAATCTCCCGAGTGTCGTCCGCCATCATAAATGTATTGTCGTGGTAGAGTTGTGTTGCGATTACTTTAATTTTGTGTGTTGGTGCGAAGGGGAAGCTGAGCTATTGATGCGTTCGATACGGCCTTTTGTTCCTCGAATTGTAGCGGCAGACGCGAAGCACCCAACGACTTTGACTAATGCACAACGCCGTAATATTGATATTGATAGTCCTTGAACTTCCGTCACTTCCCAAGCAATTTATTCTGGTTTATTGCGCGCGCACTTAAAAGTCAAGACAGTGGTTGCGCCTGGATGGCAAAATTGTGAACAGATGAAGATCGCGAAATATTAGCTGGCGAGGTGGGAATTGTATCGCAGACTTAAATATGGTCGAGTTTTCGGTCGACAAGAACATAAAGCTCTTCTTTGCCACAGTGAATGGATGTGGGCCGGAGGAGAGCTGGGACAGGAGGATAAAATGGGATGGGAGCGATGTAATGAAAATGCGTCGATTGAACCTCCAATTTCACCTCTGCAACATGTTGCAAAGACCAGACTCTTAATTTCCTCGATCCCGGTGCTCATATATCACTGCTCATGTATTGAAATAGCTTTCATCCTCCCAAAGTCGTTGATATTTGCTAATAATTGCTCTATGGATGAGGAGGAGGAAGATACAAATTGAGACAAGCTATTGCGAGCTCGGCTAACCTTAATTCCGCTACTTCTGAAGGAACGCTGAAAAGCAAAATGATACTCCCTTTTACCCTAGCAGACAGTTGATAACTACTCCAATCTGCCAGATGATTTTAAGAATTGATACCGCGTATTCAAAGCCTCAATATATGGTTATACCTTACCAATTGTAGGTGTGGTGCGCTGCAAGGAGCTTATCTGCCAATGCCAAATCATTCAGTGCTTCCACCAAGCTTCAACTAAAGATACCACATACTTGTCATAGTGTGTTTATATCGTATTCGCCTCATATTCACAAGAGATCTCTTCGAAATGATCCTCCCATGCCACTTTACAGTATTCAACCTTTAATTCCCATGATGTGTAAGTATAGCTATTCGAACGTAGGTATCGTTTAAGTCGAGCTTGTGGATTGGCAACAATGCCGTGAAAGGTTCATTTTGAAGGTATCCATGGCTCAAATATGGCTGCAACAGTATAGGTTCGAAAATTGATTGTGTGAATGCTGAATGCATAGTTGATGATGCAAATGCGCATCTCCGATTCTTATTCTACTACCCCACAATGATCTCCCACAGGAGGCTTGCAGTCATACATCGGACGGAAGGAATGTTATCGCAATTGTGATCGTATCTGTGATTGTTTGTCAGTGATGGTCCAAAAAGAAAAGAAAGACGAAAATAACTGGCCATTTTCCTACCAATGCCTATGTATCTAAGTACCTGATGGGCTATTGACAGCGCATTCCTGCATGCGCAAAGTCAACCCCACAGAGAAGTCGGATTATATGAGAGTATTACTTCCCTCGAAGAAGAAAGAAAAAGAAGAATTCACAATCATTGATTGTTCCAATACCAATCGAATAATTGATGATTGAAATCTTTGGCGCTTTCGCCCTAAGTTGGAGGGAAGGGGGGGAAGGGGAGGGGAAAGAGAAGAGGCACAATGATCGGGTCGCATTTTTGGCCTCGGAAGAATAACCCATTTAAATCAATCGATCCCTCCAAAACCAATCAATTCAACATTCTCGAAGATTTCAATGATAGCTCGAGTAAAAGATATATTTTTCTGAAGGTTGAAGATAATAAGGCTCTGCTCTGTATGACAAATGACAAAGGTCGCAGATTTTACAGCCTTATCACTAATTGTAGTGATAAAATGGTTGGGTTGGGGTTGTGTCTTATCATTGGCGATGAGATGAAGTTCTCTTTAGCCAATTGTCTTCTGCTGCAAGGACAGTTGAAACTATAGTTGGTATCCAATAGCCATATCGAAATGCCTCCCCTTTTTGAGTTTCCATATAAATAGAAGAATGGAGTATGAAACAAGAAATCGGGTAAATAATATAATATGCATTGTGGTGGAGATGAAGAATTTCGAAAGGAAGAAGGAGATTCGGAAAAGTAGATTCGGAAAAGAGAAGAGAAGGAAAGTTTGTTAGGTAGAGCTTTCAAAAATTGGCCACTAAAAATTCTTAAATTTCTTACCTCAACTTATTTTACAATTTTCTGAACTCTTCATCATACAGTTACTCCCACCTTTCACTACCTAACTTCTAAGTTCTACCTGCCACTTCCACATTCCTTCAAAAAAAAACCATCCTAACATCTTGCATTGCACAGCGCATTTAGCTGGTATCTATATATTATATCCAATTAGATGTTCTCATTCATTCAAGACGTGCATATATGCACAACATAATTCTCTCCCATGTTGTTTATTATTCCTAAAACAAGCTAGAAATACTACTACAGAAAACTTACTTTGATTCATCTTTGTTTATCTCTCACCCGGCTGGGCTTACTTTCCCTGTACTTCTACAGCTACTTGGATTCCTTCACAAATGAAAGCAAGTCCCAAATCAACCTTACCTATCTACTACGGGTAACAGCTTTCGGTACATTCTATTAAGATATAAGTAGGTAGGTAGGAGTAAAGGAGTAAAGGTACAGCTACAGCTACAGCTACAGCTACAACAGGTACAGTACAGGTACATCTCATTGTGTAAAAAAAGTCACTTGCGGCCTCATTGATGGTTGTCGTTGTTGCAAGCCAAAAATCAAACCAAATCAAAGCAAAACATTTATCCTTTCTTGCCTCTCTTTTCTGCACGCGCTTCCTTCAACAACTTGCTCCTCTCCAAGGTTCCTTCAAAATACGGGGGTCTTTCATTACCTACGTTCATCATTACTTTCATCACTTTTCTACCTTTCATTTCTCAAACTTATACCTTCTTGCTACACTTCTATAACTATCCTACAACTTGGTTATCTCACCTTGACTCTTCGGGAGGTGAATTAGGATTCACTCCTCTAATAATTTTATTCAATGTCAAATACTTAATGACTTCTTGGTTTATTTTAATTTTTATTTGTTAATTTTCTTTTACATATTCACTCATTCAATTCAATACACATCTTTTTCCTCTGTCTGTGTTGGGGCTCCGACTGAACATAAACATATTGGTACAACCTTTCAACTACTATTCACACCTCCCACACTTCTCTACAACAATCATGGAGATACCCTTTACAGAACAAGAGCAGGTATGTTTGCGCAAGAAGTTTGATTTGATAGCTAGGAGGGAGTTGAAATTAAGGCGCCCCCAGACTAACCTTTGATTGCATTTATAAACAGCGCTTCCTACTTGCAGAGGCGATCAAGACAAGTTCGATTCCACCAGAAAAGTTGTTGGTCATTCTGAATGAAAGTAACGTCATCCCAAATTGGATGTTGATGCAAGTTCCCCATGGTAAGCGCGTTACCTACCCCAGCTTGATCTTCAACTCCTCTCCGACCCCCCCCCCCCCCCCAAACCCCGCACGAAACATACAAATCACTTCGAGCAGCGATGAACATTAATCGAATGGAAAATATTGATTGAAAATTTTAGGACGAAACCTGGCATCCTGTATCAATACCTTCGAAAGTCTCGCGGGTCGAAATTCCAATAATTTAACACCGCAACTACCCGTCCCTCCATTCTTTCCCGGTGGCTCTCCTGACTTACAGAACAAGCGCAAGTCTGTCTCCGAACTTGACTTGATCGGTGTCGATTCTTCTCGAAAGCGCCGAACTCCAGGTTTAGATATTGTTTCTGCTCAGCGTAACATTCAACCCAAGCCAGCTGCGAACGGCTCTCCTATCTCTTTCGCTTCACCATTTACAGGTCAAGCCCCCAAAAAGCGTGGTCGACCTTCCAAGAATGATCTCAAGATTCGACAAGCTGAAGAAATTGCGCGTGGAGAGATTTTAGGCTCACTTGAGACATCTAAGGGTTCTCTCGTTTCTCCCAGTACCAGTGGTGGAGATGTCAGCTTTTTGGAAAACATTCTGGCACCTGTCGTTACATCGGGTCAAGAGTCTCAGCCAAGTCCAGTTATTTCTTTTGGTGATCAAACAGACTCGGGCAAAAAGAAGCGTGGCCAACCAAACTGTAGGTCATCTAATGTATGCTAATCTGATGACATTTTACGAGCTATTGAGTACTGACTTCTGCGAAGGTCCCAAGAACAGGAGAAGGCAGCTTTCCCATTCTCCCCGCCCAATTTCCGCAACACATACAGCCCCTACAGCGATTTGGTACTCATCAGATCTTCGATCAATCAATGAGAGCTCAATTTCAGCCCGAGTCTCGCGAACTTCAAATGCATAGAGATAACCAAGGCCAAGGGATGCAATTCAATGTCCAAAGCAACATTGAAGGACATCAAATGCATGTTAGCGGCGAGGCACACAAAGAACACCAGGAAATGCAATACAAAGGCACAGCTGTGGAGAGCAAGCCGATGGAACAACACAAAGATGAGAAACGATCTGATATCTAAGTTGACCTCCGTCACGCCTCTTCGCAATTTCCGAGCAATGTTCAGATCTTTTCGCAAATATCTCTCTTCTACTTTACACGCATGACAATCCAAAATTCCCCTCGCATGAGATCTCAGTTCATACTCACCATTTTCGATTCTTTTCATTCGACAAATTACGACATAGTTCTTTCCGATTTCTACGTTTTCACATGAACGGCCTCTTTTAGAGTTTATGCCCGTTGACGAAGTCATACATTTTTCCGTGATATCACGTCTTTCGATGCGTTACGACAAAACATAATTCCACTCATAGCCCAACGGTTTATTTTCCTTTTTTTTCTTTAATGCTGCGATACCATGTTCATGACGACATCTGGGACGGCAGCGTTGATTTTGATTCTTCTTTTTTATTTCTCGACTACAATTACTAGCAGTGATATACCAAGCTTGTTCTTTACAATGCAATTCCTTTACGTCACGCTGGATAGTAAGTGGGATGGATGTCTTTGGTTAACAATATGAAGTCGAGGTGAGGTGGGTAGGGTAGGGTAGGGTAGGGGAGGAGATTAGATTGGATTAAACAAACTCTGGATGATGATGTTGATGATGATGAAGAATAGTGGAGGAAATGGACGAACATGAGATGCAGTCAACGAACAAACAAACAAACGACATTTCATATGTAAGATAGTTACCGAATAAATGTATTATATTTTTAATGCTTGATTGGGGTTTAAGTGTGTGTATATATATATGTATTTGTGATATATACCTACCTAGTATACCTATCATCTTCAGGTAGACGAGTATAAATAGTAGTGATGATTTCTGTTACTCTATAGACGTGTATATGTGATATACCTACCTACATAGTATGCCATCTCAAGGTAGATGAGTATAAGTAGTAGTGATTATTTCTATACTCTATAGACGAGTCATTATAATATCGCAGAATCCATACATTCCATCTATCTATCTATATATCTACAATAGCATACATACCGGTACAATAATACCAATCTTTAATAATTCGACAACTGGATAATTCGACAACTTGAAATTGATAATTTTACTGAGTATACTGTACTATACTGTACTATACTATACACACTTAACTACCAATATACCTATCTTCCTCTCTCCCTCTC